CGTGGGGAACAGGGGTTGTGGAAGGAATTTCAGCTGTCGAGCCGCGGCCGAACGCGAAGGACGACCGTCCAATGGTTTTGGAAGTCCGAGACGGGTTTGTACGTGTCTGACGGGCGGACTGTCGGATTCCTTGGCCCGGGGGATTATTGACTGACGATGGGACGGCGGACATGGTGAAGGGCATAGTCGGGATTGGGAGCTGCGCCGTTGGAGGAGGGTTGAGGTAAGCCTACCCCAATTTGAGGAGGAAATAGTAAGTTTTGAAGAACCAATGGTGTTCGGCAATGATCCGGGACCATGTACAATAGTCAACACCTCGCGTAACAACAGAAGGGCATCGATGCAGGAGAAGCTGCTGCTGGGAAGTTTGAGTGCGGAGAAGAGCGATTGGCAATCGAATCAGGTGAGATTGTTGCCTGCGGCACCAATCAGGCATCTATTGCTGAATCATCTGAGCACGAGGGTGATGTCATATCAGGAACAATGCCCAGGTGTGCATACAAGTAACAATTGATGAGCTATGGAAATTTGAAAGGTTATACACAGAAAAAACAAGCATGAGTCTTCAAAAGTCAACGATTCTTTGTATTTTACATATAGCATGGATTCTAGGTATAGAGGGGACCTTACATTAGGACAACCAAAAGACTGTCCTAGCATACCCTATGACTATGAACCTAGGACACATCGATAACAGACAAAGGAAATCAGTTTAATAAAAGAGGTAGGTAGTACAACAAGGAATTACACGCTAGGTTCTAAGAAAACCGATGAATATATGACACCCAACTCAATGCAAGTGTCAGTGCAAGATCCCAAGTATCTCATCAACAAAAGTCGAATCAAATCGCTAGGAAGGCGTTTACTCGCCCTTCAGGTGATTCTGGTGAAGAGTGAAAGCATCCTCCAAGAGCTCCTGCTCCTCCTTGAGGTGGACGGCCTTGAGACCAGTAGCGACGGAAGCGCTGCCAGCACGACCAGCGTACAGGACGTGGCGGCGGTTGTGGTGCTCGGTAGCGTTCAACAAGCTTTCGATACGGGGCTGGGCGTAGGACCAAGCACCGGCGTTGAGAGGCTCCTCCTGGCACCAGACGATGTTCTTGGCGTTGGGGTAGCTGTCCAGGTTCTCCTTCAGCTGAGCCCAGGGGAAGGGGTGCAACTGCTCAATACGGGTGATCGCAGTGTTGCGGATACCGTTGGCCTCGCGGTGCTTGGCCAAGGCAGCGTAGACCTGTCCGGAGCACAGGATGACGCGCTCGATCTTCTCAGGCTCGTCGATGGCGGTGCCGTGACCCTCATCGGGGATGATCCACTGGAAGTGGGACTCGCCGTTCAGGGCCTCGATGTCAGAGCGGGCAAGGGGGTGACGCAGCAGAGACTTGGAGAAGAAGATGACCAGAGGCTTGCGGAACTGACGGTGAATCTGGCGACGGAGGATGTGGAACAGGTTGGCAGGGGTGGTCATGCAGGCAATCTGCATGTTGCAGTCCTGGTGCTGACGGTCCAGCTTGTCGGCCTCGGGGTACATACGGGGCTCCTCGTTGCAAAGCTGGAGCCAACGCTCCATACGTCCGGAAGAGTGCTCAGGACCCTGGCCGTCATAACCGTGAGGCAGAGACACAACCAGACCGGAACGCTGCAGCCACTTGGATTCACCGGAGGCGATGAACTGATCAATGATACATTGAGCGTTGTTGGCGAAGTCACCGAACTGAGCCTCCCACATCACAAGGGCGTTGGGGGAGGTCAGAGAGTAACCGTACTCGAAGCCGAGACTAGATTGTATGTTAGAATCGTTGTTACGCAGGGAGTTTCAATTAAAAAAACTTACCAACCAAACTCACTCAGGGAGGAGTTAGAGATGACGAAGCTTCCCTGCTTCTCACCGATGTGCTTCAGGGGAGTGTAAGTGCGCTCAGTCTGCTGGTCGTGCAGGACGGCGTGGCGCTGAGAGAAGGTACCACGCTCAACATCTTGACCGGAAACACGGACGTGGTAACCCTCGTCAACGAGGGAACCGAAAGCGAGAGCCTCAGCAGTGGCCCAATCGATGTTCTTGCCCTCATCGACGGCCTTCTTGCGTCCGCTCAAAATACGCTTGAGGTTGCGGTGGAGCTCGAAGCCCTCGGGAACACCGGTACCGGCGATCTTGTCAGCAATGTGCTGCAGGGACTTGGCAGGAACGGCAGTAGGCAGGTGAGGCAGGACCTCATTAGCCAGCTCCTTGGGAGACTTGAAGTTGTTCCAGGCGGAAGTCAGCCACTCCTTGCCGGTGGGCTGGTAGTCCTTGCTGCGGTCGAAGCTGTCGCCGAGCATTCCCCAGACCCACTTCTTGTGCTCATCAATGTCCTCCTTAGTGAAGGTACCCTCGGCAATCAGCTTCTCGACGTACTTGTCGAGCTGAGCCTTCTGCTCAGCAATGCGCTTGTACATCAGGGGCTGGGTGAACGAAGGCTGATCAGTCTCGTTGTGACCCTGCTTACGGTAGCAGACCATGTCAATGACAACGTCACGCTTGAACTCGGCACGCCAGTCAGCAGCGACCTGGCAGACGTAGTTGACAGCCTCAACATCGTCAGCGTTCACGTGGAAGACGGGGGCGTCGATGGACTTGGCAATGTCGGAACAGTAGGGGGTAGACCGGGAGTAACGGGGATCAGTAGTGAAACCAATCTGGTTGTTCACGACAAGGTGGATGGTACCACCGGTCGAGTAGGCCGGAAGGGAGTGGAATCCCATGGTCTCGTAGACAACACCCTGGCCAGCAAAGGCAGCGTCACCGTGCAGCAGAACACCCATGGCGGTGTCGTAGTTGGTCTCGTCGTTGTTGTAGTGCTGGATGGCACGAGTCTTTCCAAGAACAACGGGGTCCTCAGCCTCGAGGTGAGAAGGGTTGGCAACCAGAGACAGCTGCACCCGCTTACCGGAGGGAGTAGGACGCTCGAAGTTCATACCCAAGTGGTACTTGACATCGCCGGAGCCCTCATCGGAAGGCTCAGTAGAACCGGCAAACTCGCTGAAGATGGACTCATTGGGCTTGCGGACAACGTTGGACAGAACATTAAGACGACCACGGTGAGGCATACCAATGACGATGTCCTTAATGCCGTAGTCGACGCTACGATCGATCAGGGCCTTCATACCGGGGACCAGGGTCTCGCAACCCTCCAGACCGAAACGCTTGTCGTTGGGGAACTTGGTAGCGAGGAAGGACTCGAAGCTGGAAGACCAGATTAGACGGTCAAGGATGCGGCGCTTGTCGTCAACCGAGTAGTTGTAAGGTTGAGGGATCTCGAAGCGGTCACGGATCCACTCGCAGGGCTTGCGGTCGGGAATGTGAATGTACTCGACACCGTAAGAGCCACAGTAGATCTTTTCGCAGGCGGCGATGATCTCACGCAGAGTCATCTTCTTGCGGGTTTCAGTGATAAAACGGGGCAAGATACCGGGTCCAAGGGCAAACTCCTGGCTCAAGTCACTCTCGGTGAAACCGTAGTGGTCCAACTCAAGCTCCTTGGGCTTGTCGTAGCCAAAGGCCTCAGCCTCTCCGCGAATGCCGAGAGGGTCGATCTTGGCCTTGTGGTGACCACGGGCCTGGTAGGCGCGGCAGAGCAACTGAACCTTCAAGTGATTCGTCACATCAGCGCCACCGGCGAGTCCCTGACCGGGCATGTCCTGGGGGACACCACCGGTAGGAGTGGGGACGAGGGTAGGGGGAGGAGTGAAGGCCTGGGAGATGGGCATTTTGCCCTCCTCCATGTTCTTGAAGTAAGTCTGCCATGAGATGTGAACACTCGAGGTATCGTTCTTCCATGCCATGTACATCTCATCGATGTAGTTGGCAGTGCTACCAGTAAGGAAAGAATCGTTGGGGTCCTGTTCACGTAAGGGCGAGATCGCGCCGTCGCATTAGTCGAATGCTCGTTTGTTTATTTGAATTATCGGGAACCCGGATCGGATCGCTACCGATCATGAAGATTGTTGTTGCTTACCACTCCTTGACTGGCGCCCTCCGAGGGGGCCGCGTAGGACCGGGCACCGTTGAAAGCACGGTCGACAACAGCAAGAGGCCGACGAGCGGTCATGCTGAAGCCGGAGCTTTTTGAAAAGCTGCGAGCGCTAGTGGCGAGGTGGAATGAACGCCGGCATGATGAAGAGGTCGCACCACGCAGCATACCGCTGTTGGTGGCCTTCAAGGCAGTGTTTCTAAACATTGCGGGATTTTTCTTGGATCAAGGTCCAATAAAGTTTTCGATTTAGAGGAAAGGGGAATTGAAAGACGGTTGTTCGGGATTCTGGCCAAATCGGACGTTAAAGAGTCAGATTCACTGTATGCTATAGTGTCAGCCTGATATTGCCAGGTTGTCCTGCAGGAGGCGCGAGCAAACCAGGATACACGGAGGAAAGGAAAAGAGGCGTAAGTACACGTACGAATTAAATCACAGAACAGGTGTCGACTAGTATTGCCGTAGCACCTGTATAGAATCGGGACTCATCAGAGAGCTAAAGCGCTCTAGATAAGAAAACAAAGTGTGGAGGTAGAGGAAAGATGAAGCAAAAGAAGAGCGCAAAAGGAAGCCGAGAATGACGGGTGTCACGGCAGGTGAGGCTGGTGCGCTGACTCAGCCCGACTCACAGCCGATGCCCGGGGACAGGCGCCACCTATGGTAGTGTAGGAGACGCCCGAAGAAGCCATTGCTCTCCACAGCCGGCTAAAGCATTCGGGCTCGTCTGCGGGAGTTTTCGGCCCAATGGCACTAAAAGGAGTTACTATTAATCATGGGTCTGCCCCATTTCCCTGATTTCCCAACGCCAAGTCTTGTTTTTGATGAGATCTGGTTCGATTTAAAATGTTTCACAGTTTATGATCTGTATTAATATTAACATCTAAACTATAGAATAATTCATGAGATCGTGACAATGCAAAATCGCTGCACAAGTGGGCATATTCAGAGAAATAATAGATCATTATATCCAGACGGGGAAAACCAGGCACCATATTATAAGACATTAAGTCGCTGAGGTCCGCTGGAGGGAACTTCTTCATAATCTGGCCGGCCCGACAACGGTGAAGCAGTCCGTGGGTGGCTGTCGTCATGGAAATAGGCGACATTATTCGAGGCCACCTCATCAGAGCTGAAAGGCCTCACTTCAGAGACTGTCGGGCTTGCTTCGGCACCATTCAAGCTGGCACGGTGGGAGGGTGAGAGCGTATGTGGTGGTGGACTACCTGCACTGCTGCGCAGGCTACCGTTGCTCCCACCCCAGGCTCCCCGGCGTAGCTTCATGAGTGCGCTCAGCGACATTTCGTCGTCGAGATTGCCCATGTCAACCAGCTGCGCCAGCCCAGGGCTCGCTAGAGCTGAATTTGGATGGGTACCGCCGTGGGCCTTGACTGAGATCATAGAGTTGCGTGTGCTCCATTCACTCCGTTCAGTGATAGGGGTCAAGCTGGGCTCCTGGAATTTACCGCGGCTGCTGTGATTCCGTGTGATGCCTTCGACCCGTCGCGGACCAAAGTATCCACCGTTGGTTAGCTCAGAGGCGCCGTTGCCGTCTGCTTGTGCGTAGAAGCCGAACTCTTGGCCGTAGAAGCCATCGTCATCGTTCTCAAGAGCTTCAGCGTTAGCAGCAGCAACGATTGCGTCGTCGAAGTACGAATCATCGTTATCATCGTAGAACTGATCATCGTAGACTTGATTATCAAAGACGTCTTCGAAGGCCATGGCATCCGCAGCTTGGCTAATCCGGCTGTCATCAGAAACCAGACCCGGTTGTGACTCTATCGTCTGCGATGTTTGAGCTGCGCTGTCTTGTCCCTGCGATCGTTCGCTTGTGCTGAACGTGCGCTCAAAGCGCGCACTATATGATGCTTCGTTGGCCGCGAAAGCAAGAGCATGGTGCAAGATATCTAGATTTTGCTCTGTGAGCACACCACCACCATGGGCACGGACAGGGCCCATGTTTGGTATTGGCTCGCCGAGGGGACCACGCTTGACCGATCCTGTGACCCGGTAGTCACTGGCCACACTGGGCATGTGCTGCAGACCTTGGTCTCCCCTTTCTCCCACTGGGCTTTCTTTCCCTGCCGAAGAGTCATCCTCGCCTGGAGCAGCACTGTCCGTTGGTAAAGGTGCCACAGGGCCACCGACCGGCTTTCGTTCGTATAAATGACTGTTTACATCATCAAATATAGATTCATCAAATCCACCATCTTGATTGTCGCCATCAAGATTCCCGAAATCGCCGTCATCGAAATAAAGATCATCATCATCGTCAAGGATTGGGGCCGCTTGTTTCGCAAGCGGAGCCTGGGGAATGGTTGATGTCGCATCAGTTGTGGCAACTAGGGACGGTTGTTCCTCTGGCAGTTGTGGGTTGGGGCCATCGTCTAATTGTGTAGCCTCAGAGAGATGAGAGGCAGAGTGAGAGGTGTTTGTGGGCTCTGGCGGTGCAGCAGTGACCGGGCTAGCAACTACGGGTGACAATCCCGGGATAACCCAGGACTTGGGCTCGTTGATGTTTCGCGAAAGAGAGAAATCATCAAAATCGTCATCATCAGCATCTGCATTGACGCCGGGGATCCTTTCTTCCAGACCATCCAGGTCGTCCATCATGTCATCATCGAAGTCCTCGTCGAAGTCATCAAAATAACCATCCTCCATTCTGCGAGAAGCTTCCTTGGCCTTGTGCTTCTCTTCAAGCATTTTCTCCTGTGTAGATGATTCTACCCCGCTCATATCGAAGCTGAATCGAGAGGCATTGCTCTTGAGATGTCTTGGCAAGGCCGAGGGATTGAAGGGTACATTGGGAATGGTATCTTGGTCTTGAGGGTGCTGAGGATGAGCATGGGAGATTGCTTTGGGTGGGCTTGGGGGAGGCTCCTCCGCCTCAGGCTCAAGCTGCTCCGAAAGATCTGTAGTTCTTTCTGGTAGATGAGGAGGCAAGTTCCGCGCAAAGACCGGTAATGAGCTATCATAGCCAGGCTGTGATTGGCCTGTTAATAGTGAAGACTGAAGATAACCCTTGTTTTCCACCTGTAGAACATTCTGGTCCTCAAAATGTTCCTTGAAAACAGGCGAATGATCACTGTGCCGTTTTGCCTGGTCATTCCAAGTTGCTGCACGCGGTTGACTGGGTATTTGCGGTGGTGAAGTATCCTGCCCATTCACAACTGTATCCCGCTGGGTAGCCGAAAGATTGCGGCGAGGCCGGGGCGCCGAGAAGTCATGGACAATCTTTCCACGAATCCTGGGGTCATAGTCATCTGGCATAGCAGGAACATTCCGGTTCTTGATTTTGACATCTTCTGCCCGGGAGCTAACCACCTGCGAGGAGCGCCTGCGCGCAAGAAGGGACATCGGATTCAAGAGATGGAGCATCGCCTTGCCCGATTTGTGATGTGTCGGTTCTACGGACACATCACGATCTCCGGAGCGCCGGACATTTGTGCTACCATCCATCTTGAAGTCCTTCTGTGGCATTGTTTGTTTATCCGCCGGCGACTCGTCCGGTGAGGTTCTGAACCGGAAATGACCTGATCCTGTTGCCGCAGTTGGCGATCGTTTCTGCTTGCCAAACGAACGTCGAAAGGGCGAGCTTGATTTGAAATTCGGGTCTGTGTCTCCTTGATCGGACCGTCGACCCGTCACAGACAGTTGTGAATTATTCGACTGGGATGTAAATTGTTCTTCCCCGCAGTCGCCGGGGCTGGAATGAGGACGACTTTCTTTTTCAAATGCCGGCGAGGGGACAGCAAGAGTGATCGAGGAAGATAGCGGCGCGACCGATGAGCTGATGTTGAGCTTAGAGGTATCGATGTCCAACGGCGAGTCGTTCGAGTGGGGGCCATCGGGCGAGGAGTAACCGTCAAAGGTAGTAGTGAGCGTCGGTGTATCCGGAATCTGTGGGAGCTGGGGAGGGCTGCTAATCGGGCTTCCATTCGCCCCTTTGGTAGGTGAGGGCGCGGGGATCGAAGCAGGCGACGCGGACCAACGTCGATGGTCTCGGCGCCAATACGAGAAGACGGTAGATGGTGGCATGGCAGCTATTTAAGGCCCTCACGATGCCAGATTGAGTCGCGAGTATTAACAAGGGGCGTAAAGGTCCATTGCAGTTATCAACTGCATGTGTTGGATAAACAAAGACGCTGTCATATACAGACAACTGGACCGTGGGGAGATGCAGAACCCACCCGTGGACTTCTTGACCCGAGCTTTTGTAAACCTACTAAACTCGATTTGACGAAAAGAAGGGGTAATCTGCAGTAAATTTCCAAAGACATCGATTTTTATGTCTATTTATATAAAAGAGAAATGATCTAAGTAACGCGCGGCTAAAAGTTAGGTTACACCCATCCTGCTGTAGTGTCTGGGCCTATCTACAACATCGCGTCACATTCTTGCCCCTACTTCAAGGTTGCTTCTTGTCTGGACACTTTTCTTGACTGTTTTCTCATCTTTTCTCAGATAGGTCAATTCCCCCGAAATGTAGGCGCTAATTCCTCTATAAATCGTACAGCTATGCTACATAGATATCCTTCAAAAAAAATAAATCAAAAGAATGACACGCTCAAAACGACCATATGCTATGCTAACAAAATATAAAGCAAAAATTAATAGATGACGCTTTCAACGAATGCTTTGCCTCCAGCGGTCGATCACGTCGGTTGTGACCGGGCCAGTGTGTGGTGCCATGTTTGGAGTATATCCCATGCCATTCGTGCCCATCATCGCAGGGTTCATAGGATACCCATATTGATGTGCCATCTGGTATCCTGCAGGTGTGGGATATCCCATTTGTGGCGGAAATTGTTGCATGGACATGCGGTTCCCATACTGGGACATGGTGACAGGCCGCTGATTGAAAACATCATGCGACGACTGGCGAGCAAGCTGGGGAGGACGACCCTCTGTAAGCGCGGCCATGCTGCGGCGCATTCGCGGGTTCTTTGGAGGCGCAAGTTGGGCAGCGGCCTCTTTCTGAAGGCGACTACGTCGTTGTGCGAGTGTCTCTTCTTCGTTGGGGGCGGGAGGTTCTTGGGTCTCGTTGGGCACAACTCCAGCCCTGGTATCAATTTCGGCCATCAGGTCACTGGCAAATTTGCTCTCCGAGCGGTTATGTCCCTTTAACCGTTGAAGTCGCTCGGCGAGGGTCTCTATCTCCGTCTCATCCTCACTCTCGGCGGCCGGCTCAGGAACATGCGCCGGGGGCCCTGTTGCATACACTGTAGCAGGACGCTGCTCCGGCTGCGGGATTGGTTCACCCCGCAACCTGGCACGGCGTGAGCTCAGAGGCTCATTTTCTTCTTGTTGGCGCTTCGCTATCAACCCCAAAGGTCGATCGTCATTTTCCGTATTGGTTTTCTCGGGGTACAACATAGCCAGGGGAACGTCATCGTCTTCGTCCCGTCCTTCCCAGGCCAAAGCGACAGGACGTTGCCGCCGTTTATCACTTTGCTTTTGGGCCATTTCGTCCATTTCTAACAAAGTGGTCCGCATACCATGGAAAGGTACAGGCACAGCCGTCCGCCGTCGGTGCTTCAACTCATGCTTCCGCAACTCCAATTCGGCGATAAGCGTGTTCGGTGGACCAACATAGTCCAATTCGCCCTCTTCCTCTTCCTCGTCCTCTTCGTCTTCAGATTGTTCGTCACTTTCGGTATCAGTGCCTTCTGACCCGCGCTCATGGTCGTGCTCATCACGATTTCTATCCGAGTCATTCCCCGCTTCCGATCCATGTCGTGAAGTGACAGGGTCCCCATGCTCGTCTACATTATTAGTGTTATAAGGCTGGCCAATCGTGGCTCGCGAAAGACGATTTGTCTTTTGCCCTGTCGTATCTTTTGTCAGGGTCTTGCGTTTTGATTTGTTGTAGATGAACGCGCCGACATGACCAGCATACGGGTGATCAGTGAAAGCCGAAACGGGGGCATTCGCAGAGGCGTCCAAAATGCTCTCCAGCGTAGCAACCGCAGAATCTTGCTTAACTTCGACCTGGAGTGATGTACTCGGCTGATCAAAAAATACACTCGCACGGAGATGTGGTGGCAATGTCGATTTGCGTTTATCTTTGTGGCTATCGCTTGGGTCTTTTTGATCGGCGTCAGGTAGCACAGCTGTTGACTTTCTATCCTGAGCGGCGATGGCGCCTGCAAGCTGTGTACGACGCTTATCCCGGTCAATGTTTGCCTTGTGTGACAGCTTCGGTGGCAGATTCAACATGCGTGGAACAGGGGCGGGATAAAACACCATGTTCTCCCCTGCTTGCGGTTTTTTGTAATGTTCCGGCTTGCGGGCGAGCGGCGGCTGCTCTAAAGAGACCTGGCGACCCTGCTCCAAGGGTGTGAAATGGACACCGTCAAAGTCGGTGAACAGTGTCCGCGCCTGCTGGTAGGTATCGTTCGATGCGACCGAGGCCCGGCGCTCCAACTCCGCCTCTGCGGGAACTCCTTGTGGAACATATTGGTCGTAATAGTAATCGCTCTGGGTATTGAAAAGGGGCTGCGGTGCTGGTAGATTGGGGAGCCCCGGAAATTCATCCACTTCATGTTCATGTTCATCATGTGCAGGCTCCGCGAGCTGAGCCAGACGCGCCCCTGATGCGGAGCGCTGACGCGCGGGGGACGCATTCGATCCATGAGCGGAAGAAATTGTGGCTGCTGGGGAGAATGCACCATTTCGGTGAATGATTGAATTAGACGCGGAACTGACTGATCGTCGCTTTTGCTCTTGGTCCATGCGACGGATCTCGCTCTCAATGTCCGCGGAGCACGAGCTCAGCTGCTCCGCGCTTTGTTCCAACCGCGTTACATTTCCTTTGTAGGCTCCTTGTATCGACTGTAAATCCGGGGTAGGGTGGCTGAGAGGTACGGGAGCCTCGCTGCATGCGCTGTGGATGGGGGGCTCGGGAGAAGAATGTCGCGCGACGGTCGTATTGAGTGGTGGAATATGCAGGCTGTTGGATCGCTCTTCGGGGGAAGGATCGGCGTCATAGTCATCGTCCTCCACCACATCGTAGCTGGTAGAAGTCATGGAGCGGAGTATCGAACCTAACTGACCGAAACTGGGATTGTCCGTGGTTTTGGCAGCTTCTAGGTGGTTTCCTCCCCCGATGTGATCAGTATCAAGCGGCAGCTGCTCGAATGCATGTCCATGAGCGGGCGAGGGGCTGCGGGATGCAGAAGCGGAAGAAAGGGAAGCCACCTCGTGGTCGACTTGAGCGACGGCGTTGTACGCCATAATATAGGTCTTAGTCACCGACCATCCATTCAGACCAGTTCAAATTGAGTGGGTTTTCGGGATCAAAGGGACTTGGAATAACAGGGATACAGGGATACCAGACAAAGAAATGAAGCCAGACTGGAGGGATGTAAGGAAAGAAATGAAAAACCAGGAAACTGGGCTGGGGATACCGGCTAATTTTGGAAGTTTGCCGTCGTACAATAATTTGGCCCTGGAATGCCAACTGAAACTAAAGCTACTGCTAATAATGCTAATTATATCGATGTAATTTCCTCCTAAATCTCCCCAAAACAAGGAATAAAAAGCACTAAGCCACTTAGGGGGCCTTTGCGTTCATGTCTTAGACCAGTCACCACGTTCTGCACGCCGAGGGCGGGTTTGACTCTCCACTTGGCTCTAGAGGTCTTGGCATTTTTGTATATCTATATATAAGGAGTACTCTCTTTCAAGGAGTATAAGGTCTTAGGCCCTTAGAATATACTAGCAGTACCACCATTGCTTCTCTGCCTCGTTGCCTTTCTGCAAGCTTCCCGGTAACATGCATAAAGAGGCAACCCAAATAGGTAATCCCGAGGTGTGTCTGCGTCTGAGCTGAAGTACTTGACAACCCCGGACCAATCAGACCATCAACAGATATCGTGGCCTCAGTTTTTTTTTCCATTAGATTGCTTCGAAGGTTTGCCTTGCTGGGATCCGACCAATAAAAACACTTTGATTGGTGCTCGAGACTCTGAAATGGTCGCGTGACCTGCACTATGTAGGTAGCCGATATCAAAACACAATAACCTTGCATAAACCTCATCTTAAAATCATCCATATTGGAACCAAGCAATGATTCACTACAATACTGCCGTCGGCTCAATTTTCTTGAAGTAAACAGGTCCGATGGACTCATTTCTGGGAAACTATATTTCAAACCATCGCCGGCACAGACTTCCTGTTCTTCTCTTGGAGATCATGACCGAGCACCTCATACCCCGGTCTCAGAGAGTCTAATGATTACTTTCATACAAGCATACTAGGCCCACGTCCTAAAGCTCGCGGGGATACTCCGTACTCTGCTGGCTGTTTGGCTACGCTGAGGTTGCAGAAGGGACTCCATTATACTCGATAGAACGTGATTACCAGGGAATCCTGGCAGAAGAAGTCGGAGCTACTCTATCTAACGTCCATCACATTCTTCAGGTCGCACTCGTGGACTCGCGGACTTGGATGGCTTTTTCGAATTGGAATAATAGACTCGGTTGGTGTTTGATGGCCTCTGTCCTTCACGACCTAAGACTTTAATGATCTGATCTATTTGGACCAAGATGGTATTAGGGTTGTTAATTAAGAGCCCTCCGATATAATTTTTAGATGTTTTCTTTATATGTCTCCCTATATGTCTTTTCTGATGTCTTCTTGGGTGTATAGGAAGGCGGTAAAAAAATGCATACGTTGTACAAGAGACTTTTCTATGTATAACCTTTGACTCTGTAACAAGGCATATTGGACGATGTAACACATTTCAAATTAACCCTGCCAGCAGGATCGATATCAAAAAATGACAGAAATTCAGAAGCCTAGAGTCGTGATTCGCATGCACCAAGAATGGGAAAACATAAAATGAAGTGGAAAATACACCAATGCGTTTCAAGTGTTTCTGGGCAGTGAACAATAGGAGCAAAAAAAAAATGTAGCCATGCTACTTCGTGTACACGGTTGGGTATCATATAGTACAAAATGGAGAAGAAGCATGACGGAGGAAAAGAAAGATGAAGTAAGAAAGTAAAGAATGAGTAAGGCAGTAATGACCGTTTGTAGAGAATCTCAGCCCCTGCGAGCACGACGGCCCATATACCGAGGCCGTCTCGCATAGTCTTCAGGATGAACAGCCATCTCGGAATGAGGTCTGACATGAGCCTCCATGGAGTCCGGCGTCTCGGCACGGGGGATTCCAAGTCCATGGGTAGTTTCATAGGCTAGACGCGAGGGAGCGCGGTTTTCTTTCGGCACGGAGTCAATGGACTTCTCTGTCCCGGGGACAGACACGGAATCAGAGCGTTTGCCCTTCATCCAGTTGAAGATTCCCAGTGAGCTACGCCGCTTGTGTTCCATGCCAATGCCATGAGATGTGGAGGGGCGTCCTGAGACTGTTGCGGAGCCGGGCTGGTCGGCCAGTGTTGACATTGTCAATGATTGCGGGAGCCCTCGCGGTTTGAAGGCTGGGGGCGGTTCTTCACTGTGGATTGGGGGGTTGGACGAGCCTAGGTCGGTTGGGACGGTGATTATTTGGGACATGGGTCTTCGGGAGCCGCCGCCCATTGTCCTGGTTTTGGGGATTACCGGGGATGGGGCGCCGTCCTCATCGTCATCTTCAAAGTCATTCGGGATTGGGGAACCTTGCAGTCCACGGGGGTGGTTGGTTGAGCGGTTGAAGAATGGGGGTAGGAAGCTGAGGCGTCGACGGGGCTCGGGGTTGGCTTCAGTTTTGGGCTCTGACTGGGCGATGTCGAGGGGTTGTTCTAGGATGTCCAGAGTGGTCATGTCAAGAGTTGGGATACCGGGGACATCAGGCTCGCTTGGATCCGAAGCGATGCTGCTGTCGTCGTGGAATGTGGCTGGACTGACGGCAGTGCGTGGTGACAGCTCTGTCTGTTGAATTTCATGGCGGTTCTGACGCGGCTTGGGCTTGCGAGACCGTGGACCCTGCCTTGCAGCGGCAACCCAGTCTTGAGGTGTGAGTGGTGGCGAAGAGTCGCAGTCACTGGTATGCGGCTCTGGTGTCATAGCCTTGATCGGGCTACGGACACGTTTAATTGTTGGGGTTGATGCTGCGTTGGCATTTGTGTGGTACAGATCCCCAAAGGTCTCGATAACAGGGTTGTCGGGGCTTCCAGGCCCAAGAAGCGCGCTGGCTTTAGAGGAAACAGTATTGAAGGAGGGCAAGATAGTGCGCGACTCGTCAGCTGTGACGTCTAGGCGCGGAGTATCACTGCAGTTAGTTTGCATGCTGTCGTCAACCTCACTGCCATTGAAGCTGTAGTGACTGGCCATCTCTTCCGCAGAACGTGGGCGATTAACTCGCCTACCAGGGAAAAACAGATCCTGCTCAGTCTGTGAACTTCTTCGGGCTTTAATGCTCCCATTGGACCCATTCGATCGGTTTGCACCGGTAGCACATGCCGTACTCATAGTATCAGGAGTGGGAGGAAGTCTGACGCCTCCGAAAAGAGATGCATCCAGTCTTCCGCGTCCACGCGGCTTGGGAGCATACAAGTCTGTTGTAAAATTGGGAATGCTGGCCTTGGTGGCATCAGATGATGCTCGGTTCCTGCGTCTGGTGATTATAGTCTGGTTTACGTCTTCGCGGGACTGCATCCACCGATCAATCTGGTCTTTTTTGCTTTCTTCCCGCCCGCTGGGGGGAACATAGCTATCCAAGCTGCCTGCGGTCGACGACGATCTCCGAACAGGAATCTCGAGCTGATCAAATTCTTGCCACCTTGTAGGCGTGTCGAACGTATTCAGCTCACTGCATTCACTCAAGACGCTCAGTCTGGGTGACTCAGGCTCCATAGTCTCGGTGGTCGTGTGGAAGCTCTCTGATTTCGAAAGTTCAGTCCTTGGAGAGCGTGACTGGGTTTCTTCTTCGGGAGCATAAAGGCTTCGCAAAGTGGCAGTACTTTTGTTATCAGCTCGTAGGAAGGAGGGTGCTTTCGAGAGTTTTCGTAGCTCAGAAGATGTCTGGCGCTGAGCTACGCTCAAGACACATGAATTCCGTATGGAAGAGGTTCTCTCTGGAATCTCAATAATTGCCCGGGATTTTGGCGCTAAGGCCTCGGAGCCGTCGGCGGTCATAGGGCGTGACATAGACAGCCTGGAGGCCCGGCCGCCATTCTCCAGCATGTCGATTTTCGATTCCAACTGGCAGATGAGCTCCACGGCTTCGGTAACAGCCAGATCTCGCTTGTCAAGGTCGGTGCGGAGTTGCTCGTTGGATTCACGTAGAGTCTGGTTGTCTTTCTCAGTGGTCCGAAGCTCCTCCACTTCTGCTACCAAATCTTCCATGTGCGCTAGTTGTTCTTCCATCTCCGCCATCCGTTCTAGCTTCTTTTCATATATAGCCATCTGTTGTGTGCGGTGGAAGACCTCGAGCTTCAAATCGAAATTGAGCTTGTTCATTTTCGAGACATACTTCGAACGAGTCAGCTAATGCCCATGGGGTTCTCGTACTCATGAACTTACTTGGTCCATTTCCCGCATGCCCATCTCTTTTGGTTTTCTCTGACCAGCAGAGAAGACGTCATTCACTTTGCGTGCCTTTTCAGACGCAGTATCTTCCTGGGTTCGAGTAGTCTCAGGGGTTTTGGGAGCATTTTCATTAAAATCGTCTGATATGGTTCCTCGGGAGCTTCGGTGTGCGCGTTCTTCTTTCAGTAAATCCTGCAATAGAGCCGAGGCAGGGTTTACTAGTGTAGGGGTGCCGGGTTCGGGGGTATCTGAGCCACAAATAATCAGTTACTTGTGCTCTGGAGCCATCCAACGTTGCTGGCAATCGGAAGAACATACCAGCTGAGCGGTTTGGCGTCCTTGTGCCCTGACGAATAGGTGACTGGTCTCTCAGCCACGATACCTCTGCGTTCATTCGAGGCGGAGTAAACATATTCGTTCGGCCCTTGACGCGGGAAAGTGATGGGTGTTGAGGACGTTCTGACAAGTCTTGAGGAAGAAGCAATGTCAGCTTTGATTAATTAACCCTGAGTTTTGGAACTAATTCAAGCAGGTGCAGGTGCAGGTTCAAAGATCACGTACTGGAGGGGTGGTCTTTGGAGGAAACACTGCGTTTGGGTGCAGTCCTGGGATGATATACGGGGCCGCGAGAGTCTGAAGGAGCAGGCTGACCAGCGGCCGAGCTCCTTCTTTGAGTTTTCTCATCCATAAAGGCTGCCGGCATAATGTTTACCAAATGCGCATAATTGACGTGCCGTAAAAAGCCCCCAGTTTCCGTATTTGGTAGCAGCACTGCAGTATCCTGCTCAATCAGTGGACACCACGGTAACAATTTCCTGCACAATCCACCAGCCGCATCGGAAGATTAATAGATGGATCCAGGGAGATTGATGTCGATTGGATGGTGGTGGGTAACACGCAGGCGCGATGCGAGGGATGCAGATGTGTTGCAGGTGTGGAGCAATCAGAGGCCGGTTGGGTTGAACCTGTGGAGTGCAAGGTAGGTTCGTAGAGTCAATAGACCCGAATCAAGGCATAGAGGGGTTCTCCCAGTTCCAAACCCAATACTCAAGGGAGGAGATGGCGGGACTGGGACAAGTCAAACGAAGCGAGGGTGAAGTCGCAAACGAATTGTGATGAGTCGATCTTCCAATAAAGAAAAAGAAAAAAAAAAGGGTGTCGTCGCAGGCCCCACTTTGTAGATGTTATTTGTTTTGATGAAGTAGGGACAGTTGTCATGAGAGGTAAGGAATGGAGGAATGGAAGAATCGAAGAATGGAAGAATATAAAAAAATCAACTCCCAAGATCCAAAGATGTTAGCCTCTCTACTTTTCTTCTTTTTTTCCAGCCCCCCAGAGGCTAGATTCAATGGGCTCCTTAGCATGACGATCAATTCGCTATCAACGCTAAGTCGCTCTGTTCCTTTTGACATCACACCAATCGGATTGGGGCCGTGCGTCTCACTTTGGCCCTTACGCGGGGGTTTCTCCTGAGTGTTAGGTGACTTCATAGTTAACTGTTAATTCCTGTTTGACTTGGTAGTAAATGTGACGGGAAATGTATCTCTCTCTATGAATCATCTCAATTCAATAATTTTTAACATTATATTACAGAACAAGACATAAGAAGTATGAAAATGGCCGTTTTGATATATCAACATTCCATTTCCATGGATCCAGATCCCATCCATGGATGTCTCCACCTGGGCATATCCTTCCAATGGAAGTCGATGTCTCAACGGTAAGGTATTGGACTATTGGACCTCACCTGTCAGATTTGACATATTCGTCTATAACACTATAAGTATATATTCTCCGTCTAAAGTATATTCCTCCAATAGCTTTGAAATACACTTATAAAGAATAATTATAAAGAATAAAAACAAGCCCGAGCTAAAACCCCGTCCTACGTCACACACGGCCCCAAAGCCTATCGGATTGAAGAATCATATTGTCACATAAAATGTATCATAACCTTCATGAGCGAGCGCAGCTCAGAGCCCACGAGAAATGCCTTGTCACAAAGAACTATTACTTACGTTTCGCCTCTCCAGACCAGATCCGCATGTCCTTGGCCCGATCATGAGCAGCGCGGAATACTATCGAACCATATTCTGTTAGTGACCTCATCCTCCACCCACACATCCAAAACACGGACAGTCATAACCTACATTGTCGCTCAGTCTCATCCAGCCCGCGAAGGAAATCAACCCCGCCGCCGACTGCACCACGCGAGTTGTGCGCATGATCAGCGATCTCTGCTGCTCGTTTCTTGAATGCCTGACAGCTCGTTAGTGCCAGCTCGGCCAATGCGCTGTCTTCACCAGCAGCGGAGATCAGAGCCACCTACATCTCCGAGAATATCAACCATCTCTTCTTCCTCGAAAAGTTCGAGGATCCGCTCGCTTAGGTTGTAGAAATGCGGTGCTAAAGCGCGCAAGTCAAGCGTGCGCGGATCTGCCTTCAGCGCATTCATAACCCGTTCGGAAAGCGCCTCGGGCATGTCGAGCGTGACTAGACGGGACGTTCCTAGGCGTGCTCTGTAACGGTCACATTTAGCACCTTACCAAAATAACAAACTCCATGCCCGGTCTTCCGAGTAGGCTGAACTGGGTGGGTCCTTACCCGATCGAGAGCATTTCACCTAGCCATAGTGGAAGATCGATCCGGGTTCCAGCTTTGATCTGTGCATGGGTCAGTAAGCTGTGTGGCATGGCAGTGAAAGATAGAGCATAGACTCACATCCTCACCCGCATTGCCCTCTAGAATACCGAGTCCGGGTACTTCGAGCTCAAATGTACATGGCAGTTTCTGGATCCAACGATGTTAGCAATTGATCATTTCTGCGGGTTGATAGTAAGGGCATATGGTAGCAATTAACTCACTTGTGCATCAGTCAAGATGGAGTCTATATCATAGTAAGACATGATGACACGTCGGAATATTCATGTTCTGTTGATCGCAAAGTTGTGAGATTGAGGCGCGTCGATAACGGCGCGCGGTCACGTGCTACCCGCGAAATGGGCCAGGTGGGTGGAGAAACAGATGACATCCACTACAACTGCTGGAAGTTATGAGCTTTGGAGATCTCCGTCTCCTCAAATGGCTGTGAGAAAACCACTACGACCTGGTGGATCGCGGAAAAATAGCTCGATTGCTCAGGTGGGTAATCTGGCACTTCCAAGTCATCAAGTCCAGATATGTGCTTCATACTCTGCGACTTGAACATGGTATTACACCAGCCACTTTGTTTTCCAACAATTCCAGAAGGATTAAGGAAAGCCCCTATAAGGTCAAAAAATGCCAATGCAATCTTGCATGTCGGACCTGATCGGAATTTCAGGCTCAGTAATTAACCTCGGGCATAAGATATCACATATGTCCCTATGTGGCATTGCACACATGGACGCATGCACGCCACATCGTCTCGGTGTGATAGATGTATTTGGATATAATTTTGTCGCTAGGTTCATCGACGGATATTGACTCGGCGGCATCAGTAAAGTTGACCTACTTGCAACGCTTCATTTCTTGGACCTCGACTAGTTTCGGTATACATATTTCAAATTCTGTCAATCCTAGTGGACGCCCACTGCTGAAGTTGAGGCTATAGCATCTGATTATGTAGCCCTGACCTCATATACTGAAGAATGGCACAAGACGTGGACAAGCTGATGGGCTGAGCATGCAGATGGCCTACATATAGCTTTCTGACTTCGGAACACTGAGCATGGTCAACCTGATATATATTTTCGCAATGGTTCCGAATTTCTTTCCCATCTAATTTCCAAACCGAGTGAATACCCTCCAGATATATATACAAAACATGAAAGCAGGCACGATCACAGTGGCTGACTCAAAGCCCATAGAGTTCAGCAAACGGATCGTAACTAGCATCCTCGTGTCGGGTATATTCCATGCTATTTGAGATCTTCCTCGCCAACTCGCTCCCATAGACCTCTTCAATCCAAGCAAGAGTAACATCCATACCAGCACTGACCCCAGAGGAAGACCACACGTTACCATCAACGACCCATCTCGCATGAGGAACCCAATCAACATTCACCGCCAAACCCGTAATCTCAGCCCAGGCCATCTTATTCGTCGTGGCTCGTTTCCTATCCAGAACCCCAGCCCGCGCCGCAAGTCCCGCGCCAGTACACACTGTGATGAGATAGCCTAGCTGGGGATATACGTTTCGGATGTACGCGATTGCTTCCTCGATTGCTGGGCTCGAGACACGCGTGCCCAGGCCACCGGGGACAAGTAGCACATCCAGAGATGGTGCTGCTGCAAAGGTGTGCGTTGGCACCACGCTTTGGCCTAGGGCGTTGGCGCATATCGGTGACTTTGTTGTCACTGCCTCTAGGGTTGAGGATATAAGTGCCAACGTCACCCTGTGGCTCCATGAGAGGACGTTGATGCAGTCCACTGGGCCGAATACATCCAGGGCTTGAAAGCCTGGGAATAGTATCACGCCCACGCGGAGAGGGGTGGATTTGCCTTGAGATCCTAGATACTCAACCTGTTAATATGTGGAGTATGTGCCGGAAGTGATGGTCATACCAGACATATCATTCGTGGTTTCGCTGCTGATAAGAATAATGTATAAACCCTCTTATCTGTCACTAAATGAATGGTTTAGTCTACCAGGCCTCGCGTTAAACCGGGTGATCTGGTCTTTACATGTATGGTTCGGTGTTGGAATGACCCAGCCAAAGCCTTGCGTTGGTTTTGAGCAGATTAGTGCGTAAGCAGGAATTGTTCCGTTTTTGGAGAGTGGGAACTTGTCAAGACATCATTTGTTAACAAGGGAAAACGTAGAGATTGTCTTGGTGGAATAGCTGCTTGGGCTGTTATTTGTTTGATATATGTTAACCCGACACCAACGACGGCAGGTCAAAATAACCTTTTCGCGGGGAACGGTGATCGCCTTAATCATAACCGTAACGCCTTGGAAACCTTCCGAGCTCTGAGCTATGAGTCGAAGATTAGGTAGGATGGACGGGGACTACCTATACCTGCTTGTTATTGCGGCCCGACCAACGGGCACAGCACCGCCCCCAAACCTATTTAGATCTTGACCATCCAAGCTCCTGACTCCTTCCAAGATGGCCGCCGCCGGCCCCTGGCTTTCTGTGCTGCAGGAATTCAACAAAAACACGCCTAGGGTCAGATGCAGGAAATCACCGGGGCCGCATAAGCGGCCGACTATTCTTGTAATGATTGTACCAAAAGTACTTATATGCAATGCGGTCTTAGATTATCCCAAAGTAGGCATCTATTGTGTTATCACGCGAGACAACCAGTCGATACGATACTAACGTAATGGGCACAAACCTATCCTCCCTCCTTCACCTCAAATATTCATTATGCCCTGAATTGTCCTGTTGACTTGGAGACCCTGACGCTGGCGAGACAAACCGGACGTTCTCATCGCTGCTGTGAAGATAGATCACTTAGAAGGCGAATTTCTCCCTAGCACTCCAGGCGAGACCACAAGAGTACCATACCGAGCAGGGTTTCCCTCCTAGTAGATATTAGCAAGACATCGATCAAATCAGGGATATCAAAATCTTACAATGTGCCTTTCTCTGATGTGGCGACGGAGGTTCGAGGCCATTAGCCTTGTCCTTCCGGCCTTGTTGAATTCCTCACAGTAGGGACATCTGTATGCGCAGGGGGCGATTGTCTAAACGATGCAATACGTGTTAGCCACGAACTCGGACGGGTTAGTTTGGAATACGCAGGTTTGGAATACGCACCAGCTCGGCATACTCGGTAGGCCACTCCCACTCGTTGTGGGTTGGGCAGTCACATAGAAATTTGCCCTCTTCCCTGATATAGTATATTTGTTAGCCGTGATCGGTGGTGGGTGAGATGACTCGAAACCTACGCGCAGCGTTGGGGTGGGTAGGGACCATATGCCCTCCAGTAGCTGCCCTGGGGATCACTGCCAGTGCGAGTGCTAGTGCCAGTGTTAGCGCCAGAGCCAGGGTCGGGGCCAGAATCGGGGTTGTCCCCAGCGTTGAGGCTTTGGGGAGTGGACATAGCGACGGATATCACTGGTGCGAGTTGAGTAAATTGTGTTGGGTGATAGAAATAGACCAGGAGAGGAAGTAGAGGAAGTAGAGAGGATATATTGCAATCATCTGAAGAGCCAGGCATCAAGGGTGTCAATGGGCCTATTGTGTTATTAATGGCGAGTTGTGACAGAATATATTGGGAATGATATGACTTGGTAGAGACGAGTGTGAATGAAGCAGTTCCTGTGGACGAGGGAGCCTAGCGCCATCATAAACAAACCGGTGAGGTCTGAACTTGACCTCGAGAGTTGATATTGATGCTTTGGACATGTTAGTCTTGAACAGGCTACATATGTAACTACATGAGGCAAAGGCAAAAGGTTGCAATATCAGTGCAATATCAATATCAAATTGAGGTAAATTCAAGCTCCAAGTCTCCCAATCCATTTTGTTCCCAACTCCAGTTTTTTTGACTTCCCAAAACGCCCAAAAGACATGATATACAGTAAGTCAAAACATTCAAAAACAAATGCCCTCTCTGTCCAACCTAATACCACTTATCCCCCTCCTCTCCAAGCTTCTTCTTCTTCGGATTCAGCGAAACAACCCGCTGCCCAGGAAGCGTATCCGCAGTAAAAGCCGCCTCAAAGATACTCGCAATCCCACGCTTAGCATAATGCCCAAAAGAATCAAAATCATCTCTCTCCCCATTAATAGCCCCCCACTCAATCCCACCAGGCGTAGTCCCATCTCCAAGATCACTCCACCGCGTAACAACAATACACTGCTTGAACCTTCGATCCACCAGATCCTCACTCATCTTAACCTCAATCAAATACTCAGTCGGACACTCAGGACACCTCCGCATCGGCCGACAAAACCCACACAGCGTCGTCAGCGCATTCGGATCAAACACCTGCCCCGCAATCCGGTCCTTCACCTTGTGCTCGAGCCCTTGCAACCCGCCACTACTCCGCGGCCGCGGGATATGCTCCAGCGCACACTTACACACCGGCATGAGCTCGCCGTCCTTCCAGTGCGCGCACGCGCTAAAGTACGGACAGTAGTCTTCGCGCGAGTACAGGAGCATGCGCTGCGCGGACGGCGTGAGAGCCGGCGCCGCGAAGGTCTGGCTAGTGACGCGCATTAGGAGCTTGCCTTCGTTAATATGGAAGCGGGATGAGTGCGACCAGTCATCGCGCTGCCAGCGTCGACCGAGCGCGTCTGGGGCTAGCCCGTAGCTGGGGCCGAAGCGGTGGGCGCGCATGGCTAGTTGCACGAATGTGAAGGGCAGATTGCGGCCGTGGGTTATGCGGTGGCGGGGTGGGGGTTTGAGAACGTTTGTTGAATTTGGGCAGTTGAAGAGCGGGTTTAGGACGTGGCTTGGGCGGATGCGTTCGGTGCCTTCTTGTGTCCGTCTGTGGTATTGTACGCAGGGGAAGCAGAGAAGGTGGTGCGGGAGGGTGATGTCGATGCCGGAGAGGAAGTTGATTTTGTGGGTGTGGTTGTCTGGGTGGTTAAGAGCCATGAGGTATCTTGGGCCTAGTCTTCGGTATAATGTGATGCTGGCGATTGCTAGGCTTGCTGCTTCGGCGGGATTCAGGTATCCTGATATTTGCGCCCATAGCTTTGGTGGGAGACTTGCTATGTCGCCCTCGCCTGGGGGTCGACGTTCATTGTGATCGTAGGTTGGAGGGTTGATTTCGTTGACGTCAAATGTGCCTAGCGTATGGATGATTTCGGTGTAGTCCCTTCGCTCACCCAATTGAGAGTCCACTTCCGCGTGCAATTCCCTGTATTTGAGTCTATGGGCATGCAATGGAGCCAGCTCTGGCATTGGGGGGGCTTCCTCGACACTGGGTTGCGCGGCCAGCCGCAGGTCTGTGGTCGATCTGCCCTTGCGGAGGGTTTGGCGGGATTTCTTGGGACGCAATGCATTAGCGAAAAATGACTTGAAGCTATTCTTCTTGCCAGGACTTTCTGCCGACATAATGGAGTTGCCAATGAATGTAAGTGTTCGAGGCCCAGATGGAGAATATCAGGGTCTTTTGTTTCGGATGCTTGCGGTGATCTTCCGCATTACGCGGTCCGCCCGGCCCGGTTTACCACATTGGTTGATATTCGAGAGGTAAAAGAAATAGCTAAATAAGATAATCTTATATCACCAAATAATTGATAGTATTGAAAAACACATGCTACAATACAGGGGTAATTAAGCGCAAGATATCATAGCAGCATTTACAGATCGAATAGAGTTATTTAAGAGAAGCGCTTCTCAGCTGCCTTCCAGTTGATGACATCCCAGATGGCGGAGAAGTACTCGGCCTTGCGGTTCTGGTATTGCAGGCTAGAGAAATGATTAGTACAGGCAACGGATCACCAAAACAGGAATTCTTACTAGTAAGCGTGCTCCCAAGCGTCAATACCGAGCAAAGGCTCGAACTGGCCGACAACGGGGTCCTGGTTCTGGTAAGGGGTTAGTATCTAGAACGGTTCGAGTAATCGCCAATCATAACTTACGGCATAGGTGCGGATGCCGATCTGTCCGGTCTGCTTGTCCTTCACGAGCCAAGCCCAGCCACTGCCCTGAATGCTGGCCAGAGCAGCGTTCATCTTGGACTGGAACTCGCCAAGGCCACCGTAGGTGGAGTCAATGGCCTTGGACAGAGCACCAGAAGGGGGCTCACCACCTCCGGCACTCTTGGGGGCAAGGTTCTCCCAGAAGAGACTGTGGTTGAGGTGGCCACCACCGTGGAAGTTGACAAGGGGCTTGAGAGCGATCTGAGCAGCGATGTCTCCCTTAGCCTGGGCCTCCTGCAGCTGATCAAGGGTGTTATTGTAGCCGGTCACATAGGTCTGGTGGTGGTTCTTGTAGTGAATCTCCATGATCTTGCCGGAAATGGAGGGCTCAAGGGCGCCAAAGTCGTCTTGTTTTAGAGGTCAGTCTAAATGATTTCACTTCAGATACATAGATACAGCTTCTCTAAGCTCCAGCAGGTACTGAAACACCCAACTTACAGGGAAGGTCGGGAAGGGTGGCCTTGGGAAGGGTGGCCTTGCCGCGGGCAAAGGTCAAGCCCGCAGCTCCGGCCTTGGAGGTAGTCGAAGCTCCCGAGCGAAGGGCAACGCGGGCCGAGTTGCTAAGAAGAGCAGCCATTGTGAATGTATGTGTTGAGAATGAATATGCGGTGAAAAATAGTAAAGATGGCGTCAATTATGAGAGATGAATGAACTCAAAAGAAAAAAGTGGCAGCCGAGCTATGAAGTAACCGAAACCGACCCTAACGTCATCTTGTTTTCGTCGATTCGGATATAGGTTATTCCGCTCCGGGTCCCCACGTGAATTTCATGAGCTTTCGACTGCGACTCATTCTTCCAGGACACTACTTGCTTACTTTTCCGCTTTTGCTGAAAACAGAGGGGGACAGTCGATTTGGCCACAATCTGCCAATGACCCCCTGAAAAGATGGAGTCGCCTTCGTTTTCTGGCCAGAAGCGCAAGGTCGCTGACATGAGCTCCGATGAAGAAAACGCGCGCCCGACCACCGGCTTTCGGGGGTTCGCCAGAGCTGCCTCTGGCTCCGTGACGCCTCCCACTATGGGTGGACTAGGTAGTGGAGCTCGCAACAACCGAAACACCATGGCCAACCCTCGAGGTGGAGGAGCGTCGCGAGGTGGGAAAGGCATGGGAGGTGGCGGTGGAGGGGGAGGAGCCAACAGTTTTGCCGCGCGCATGATGGCAAAGATGGGCTACATGGAAGGACAAGGTCTCGGAACTACTGGCCAGGGTATCGTCAACCCGATTGAGGTACAGGCGCGACCCCAGGGTGCAGGCTTGGGCGCAGTGAGTGAGAAGTCGAAAAAGACTCGCGAAGGAGAGCGCCGAGCAGCTGCACAGAAGGGTGAGGTTCTCGAAGACAGCTCCGAGGACGAACGGCAGCGGCGGCAAAAGAAGAAGGAGGAGCGCAAGGCACAGGGTCGGAGCGGCACAGGTACACCGATTCAGCGTGCGAAGCCCAAATTCCGCACAGCGCGCGAAATTGAGGATGATATGGAAGGACTGGAAGTTCCCAATGTTCTCAAATCACTCGTCGATGCCACCGGAAAAGAGCAGCGTGTTCTCACTTCGACTGCTGGCTTGATGTCAACACAACAATTTGTCAGCCAAGAGGAAGGAGAAGCATTAAAGATTGCCCAGCGAGCCCGGAATGACCTGGAAGCATTTGCGGATGAATGGAAGGGATTGAAAGAGAGAAAACAGTTCATCGAACTCGAAGAAGCTCAGGTCGTGGACGAATTGGATGCATATCAATCCCGGATCAACCATCTCACAGGCCTCATCGCCGCAGTGGAAGAATTAGACATGTTTGAACACGACGAAAGCATCGCGACCAAATTTGATGAGTTGACCAACAAACTTGAAGATATGGAATCCAAATACCGAGATGGTGTTGATGAGCACCGACTCCCAGAGACCGCAGTCGCGGCTCTACATCCATTATTCCGCCAGGCCATGGAGGAATGGGAGCCTCTTCAAGATCCCACGTTCCTCGTGTCCAACCTCACCCGTCTTCAGCCTCTTCTGTCTCGCACGAACGAGTTAGAAGAGCCCCGGAAACGGGCATCTACCTCACCTTACGAAACGATGATCTATACGCTCTGGCTCCCACGAGTGCGCTCAGCACTCTTGAATGATTGGGACGTTTATGATCCGTCCAAGGCAACCGCGCTGGTCGTGGCCTGGAAGGCGATTGTACCGCCATTTGTGTATGCAAACGTTCTCGACCAATTGGTCATTCCCAAGGTAGGCCTGGCCCTCAAAAACTGGAAACCTCGAGCCAGTCGACGGCACGCCGGCTCTGAACAAGATGGAAAGTTCCCCTGGTGGCTCTTCACTTGGCTTCAATACTTGGATGAACGACACACAAACCCGAAACAGCCCACTGGTCTCATGTCTGACGCGAAGAGAAAGTTCCGCTCGGTACTCGACACATGGAGTCTGCGCAAGGGCCTAGTCGATCGCGTTGAGATCTGGCGGGATGCCCTAGGATCCGAATTTGATGTATGCCTACGCAACCACCTGCTGCCACGTCTTGCACGCCATCTTCGCGAGGATTTCACCGTGAACCCGCAGGATCAAGATCTAACTGCGCTCAAGGATGTCTTATGCTGGAAGTTATTCTTCCAGCCTAATGTCATGGGACTATTGCTAGTCTCTGATTTCTTCCCAAAGTGGCACGAGATTCTCTACATCTGGCTTACCAACGACCCCAACTACGAGGAGGTCGGAGCTTGGTTCTCTTGGTGGCGCACTCAAATCCCGGCGGAGGTCAACGAGCTTGCCATCGTCGACGAGGAATGGAACAAGGGTTTGCAAACCATGGACCTTGCCTTACAGCTGGGTGACCGTGCCGCTGCCGAACTCCCACGCCCAACTACGGAACGGGCAACGCTTCCTACCCGGGAAGATAAGGTGGCGGCAGCCGCAGCAACTGCCGCTGCGGCTACTCCTGAACCCCGGGTTAAGGCACCAATCGTGGAAGAAGTTGCGTTCAAAGACATCCTGGAGGGCTGGTGTTTGGAGCAAGGACTTATCATGCTACCCTTGCGTGAGGCTCATCCTCAAAACGGCCAGCCGCTGTTCCGTATTACGGCGAGTGCCACAGGCAAGGGTGGAGTCGTGGCTTTTGTCCAGGGAGATGTGGTGTGGGTGCAAAATAAGAAGGCGAAGGAGATCTGGGAGCCAATGGGATTGGAGGATCAGCTGGTGGAGCGTGCAGAGGGCCGATAAGTGATGATCGGTCATTTTACCGATGCATTAAGTGGATTGACATTGCATTTGAACAAAAATGTACCTATTCAAGATACCCAACCTTTGCCCTCGGCAAGGATGGCACCAGGCCCATGCCTAATGGTACATATTGCAGAGCCCAACCGTGTATGTATCTCAAGCTACATACTTGTTCGTCCGTTTCTGGTGCAATCAGGCGTTCAAGCAGGACTGATCTACCTATATTATCTCCCGATGTCTTACATGATGTCACGTGTGAGTAAGAGGAAAGATGTACATCGTGCTATTCCAGGGTTGAAGATACAACAATGCTGTAATTTACTAGGTTTCAACTCCAACACTATTCAGGTACAATAAACCAAAATGATTCGCATAGGTCTCCAGCTGGGATTTAGGGAAAGACAACAGTGTTTGTAGAATCAGGTCGCCTATGCTCTGTTTTCATTGTCCTTGAATTTGTGTTCGTTAGTGCAACATACCTCTCACACAATGCCAAGCAATTCAAACAAAGACCGTTGTTTAACTGACGAAGGTCAGGTTGTGGCAGACATTTAAAAGTGCATACGCTATACTTCTGAAAGGCGTAATTCCGATCGGATTTAAAAGTCTCGGGATATCGGTCCTTTCCTTCAGCTAATTGTCGGAGATGTCAGACTCCATGGATTTCCGAGATCCGATTGCTCGGAGCTAAGTGTGTAAAAATATATCTACCATTCAACACTGTATATGGAGTACTTCTTCGGTGTTAACAATCGGACTGCCCAGGTGCCCAGGTGAATATCAAAATGGGAAAGCCCGCGATCGTTCCGAGCCCTAGGATAATATATGTAGCCAATCAGAATGCTCTGAATAAGCTAGTGGATCCCCCTGATCTCCAATAGACCCACGGGAATGCGGATCGCCGTTCGCAGCCAATCACCTCACAGACAAAGGTCATCACAACATGCCTCACCAATCGTATCGGTTGGATTTGAAGTGACTTGTTGCCATTTTTTCGCCAAAGTGGGCAAAGCTCATGCCTTGCAGCTCCTAGACCTTCATTTGACTGTCAAAGCTGACATTTGAGAGCCCTGTGATTGGCTCCGGGCCCCTCCTTGGCGAATAAACCTCCATTATTTCCTGTTTGGTCTGCATTCACTGTGGGCTTTTGCTGTTTTTTTTTCTATGGCGCCTGAATCACTGAGACCGGTGAGAGTCTGTGGGACTGGATGTTAAAAGGGGGTGAGACGCGGCCGATCGTTGTAGATAATTTCTTTCTTCTTTTCTTCATACTTCGTTTCAGTCATTGTTGATATCCGTCCAAGACTAAGACACCCATTCCGGATTCTTCTGCTGGATCAAATAAAGTGCAATTATCTTCCAGCTTTACCTTCATCATCTTGTCATCTCCCTCTCGCCAGCTTGTAATTGCGTGGTGAACTTCTGCTATACATCGTACCTTGGAGATATCCAAAAGCATATCGTGGTAGCAGTCCTCTGGATCAGCAACATGGCATTCCTCTTCATCAAGCAGAAGCTCTTCCCTGCAAGGGACGCAGACAAGATACATTCAGGTAAGTAAAGGAAAGAGAATACATACCCACAGAGACATATACTTACGGCAATTCAACTCCAGGCAAACGCCTCCTCGCCCACACTGACGACGACGATACCATCCGCGGAGACTCCGATCAAGACCTCGAGTCCCAAAGCAGCCGCTCCTACGACACCTTCGGACGGTGCACCAGCCCAGACGAATCAACAACAACAACCACCAGCAACTGCAGCACCCGTGCGCGCATCAATCCACGTATCGTCTCAGATGCCATCCTCGGCCTTTCAGACGGGTTGACGGTGCCCTTCGCCCTGAGCGCAGGTCTTTCCGCACTCGGAAACACGAAAGTGGTTGTGCTGGGTGGACTCGCCGAGCTAGCAGCCGGAGCCATCTCCATGGGACTTGGTGGATACGTCGGCGCAAAGAGTGAAGCGTAAGTTATCCACATATGACAACCAAATCAGCACATGTACTAACAAACACCAGTGAATCATATCAAACAACAGTCCGTGAAACACAACAGCTAATCCAAACGGACTCGCAAGAAACTCGCGCCATGGTGCGCGAGACCTTCTCTCCGTACGGGCTCTCGGATTCGGCGGTTGCGGATATCACGCGTGACTTGCATGCGTCCCAAGACCGTCTCCTTGAGTTCCTGCTTGCTTTCCATCATCGAGAGATGGCCCCTGACTGTAACCAGGCGTGGACCTCGGCCATCACGCTTGCGCTCGGTTATTTCATTGGCGGGTTTATTCCGCTTATTCCGTACTTCATTGCCTCACAGGTTACGATCGCGCTGTACTGGAGTATTGGTGTTATGGCGATTACCTTGCTTGTGTTTGGGTATGTTAAGACCTGTGTTGTGCGCGGCTGGTCTGGCCGGGCCAATGTGTTGGCTGCGATTTGGGGCGGAGTGCAGATGTGTTGTGTTGGAGGTGTCGCTGCTGGTGCGGCCATTGGATTGGTTCAATTCATTGATATGGGCAGTACCAGTACTTGACAACCTTTAAGTAGTGATGGTACTGATGATGTTCACGTTGCATTAAGCGTTCATGCATTGCAGCAGTCGGAGTTTTTGGTTTCTCTCTACTCCTACTGTTTTTTTCCATTCTGATTTGACTTGGTTATGAGTCTATCAGCAGGCGTTTCGGGGCTGCAAAAAGCCTTATTATACACATTTAACGAAAGATAATTCATTTCCCATTGACGACATCAAGCTCATGATTTCAAATACAAACATTGAAGGCATTAGTACTGGTTACCTTAGATATAATGGATATGTAAAACAAACAATCAACCACTCAACGCAATCCCAACCAATTTCTTCGCCTTATCCGACAATTGAATCTTCAAAGCCTCCTCCCTCCCCCGCTCCGACATCTTCCCCCATGTCTTCCTCAAGATATCAACCATCTTCTCCTCATCCGCAAGCTCCGCCTCAAACTTATCAAACTGATCATCCAAAAAGACAAGACAAGCAACATCCTCCAGAGTCTGCGTATCAGGATCTCCCTGCTTAAGGTCTGCCTTACGCACCAGTGCGCCAACCCTCGCCGCCTCCTCAGCCGAATACCCGCTCTCAACACAGATCTGCTCGACCAGCGCAGCCTGTCGCTTCTGCAGGCCCGCCCGCCACGAGTGATACCCGATCTTCGTGGCGGGGTAGCTGTCCCGCGGCACTTCCCAGCGACGCAGGTGTTGGGCGCGGATTGCGAGCCGCAGGAGCTCTGGTGCAGATGGGCTCAGGGTTGAGAGGTAGCTGGTCATTTTTTGCGCGTAGTGCAGTTCGTATGGGATTGGGCCGGTGGCTGTTTGGGTTAGGCGGGGGTCGTCGGCGTGCGCTGCGTCGATGCGCTCGAGGGCTGTTTCGTATTTGGTCATTTTTGTGGGGTTGGATGACGTAGATGAGGTAGGTGGTTTATTCTGAGTGGTGTAATTTGGCGAGAGGAGTTTGGCCTTAGGATCAATTGGACTTGTTTGCGCTTGAGAGCTGTCTGAGTCGATTGATATGCGGTTTTGGATAAGAATAGGCGCTAGTCCAGGTGTGGCTTAGTGTGAGTTGTAACTGGACGCTTCTGATTGGTGGGTGAATATGTATATCCATCCATCAGTGCATCGTACATCGTACAATTTCATACATATAGGCTTCACATAGCAATGACCCTGATGGCTAATTACCACGACTGTTATATCTCTTCTATTAGAAACATCCAATTTAAATTGACACCACAAGACAATGGTGGATAATCTCTACATATCTATCTATAGGATTTGCTCTTCCACATGAGCATTGAACAGCAAAGAAAGACACCTACATAACATCGGTATCCGGTCTGCTGGGGATTAGCCTGCGAGGAACTGTTTCGGGACCGAGCACTGTCGTAATTACAACACGCAACAACAACAAAAATTACACAATCACAATCACGATGAGGTGCTGCCCTTTTTCTGGAACACGAGCAGCTCTTGCGAAACATCCGAGGGTGTCTCCACCTGGTAAGTCTTCTCCTTTTCGAAGATTCGCGCCACCTCTTCCAGAGATAGCCCTTTAGTCTCCGGGAAGAGGAAGTAGATCGTCCCCATGAAAATCACAAGACAACCCAGATACACCGTGAAGTACTTCCAGTGGATTGCTGCCAAGGCCACGGGGTTTATATACTGGTTGAAGAAGCAAGCCATCGAATCCGTGGTCAGTGTGATGGCAAGGCCCTTGGCGCGGAGTTGGAAGGGCAGGATTTCAGCTGGGTATGCAATAAACAATGGCATATATGCCATATCGTAAGCGCTGCAAAACAGGAAAAGCATGGGAACCACTGCAATGCCGGCCTCTAGAACGTGCAGTTCTTGGAAGAGACCCGACATAGTCGTCGCGGCGGATAGGTAGATGAACATCAGCATTGTTGCGATTAGCCAGAGTTTTCGTCGTCCGTATCTGTCTGCAGCCATTGCTCCGCCGACCGCGAATGCTAGGTTCCACACCTGCAGGCTGATATTGATGGCGGCCTGGTGAGATGCATTATATATACCGACTGATTCTAGAATCGGCGCTAGATAATAAGAAACCACGCCTGAAAAGTGAAACCTGGTTAGAATCCGTGTTGGAAGTAAAGGGGCTTTGTTTTCTTTTCCATACCATTTCCAGACCATTCTTGCATAAATCCCAGGATCACACAAATGGATAGACGATGCATGTTGCTCCGGGTTGCAAAGAAAGTGCTCCAGCGTCGGCAGCTCTTATCGGATTCCGCATTGATGCTCTTGCAAATCTGGTAGAATTCGTCCTGAACAAGTTCGTCGTTTTCATCTCCATTGGCGTGATATTTTGCCAACATAGCCATTCCCTCCTCTTTCCTGCCCCGAGAGACCAACCATCTTGGGCTCTCGGGAACAAAGCAAAGTCCTATCAATTGAAGGACCGGATAAAACACCTGCGTCAAACAGGGGAGTTTCCATGACCAACTCCCTACAATCGTGAGTCCAGCAAAACCAATAGCAGCCGATGTGATCGATCCGATGAACCAAAGTGCATTGTATAGACCTGTGAAGGTCTGTCGTTGGCGTGGATGTGTTGATTCGGTAATGAGCAATGGCGCAGCGGTTTGTGAGACTCCAACTCCTATTCCAGCTAGAACACGGGCACCGAAGAAGACCCAATGATTGTTTGTAGCGACTTGAGTAATTGAAGCGATGATCACTAGCGAGGAACCGATGAGAACGCAGATCCTCCGCCCCAGATTGTCGGCGATGTAAGATCCGGGGATGAAGGAGCAAAATGATCCCAGCGAGACAGCTGCGATAACAAGACCTCGCGCATTTGTGTCAAGGCCTTCCAGAAATTTCGAGACTGTTTTTTTTGGTTAGCCTTGTGATTCCATATGGCATAGATGTATAAATACCTACATTCAGGAAGCACCAGGAGGCCATTTATCATGCTAGCACAATATCCGGCTGTAGCCGATGCAGATAGCATAAACCCGATCCCCAGGTTTAGTTTCCGCAGCCCTGGATCTTTCATCCAGCTGCTGTTGGTGTTGTTCTGTAAGACCTTGGAGGCCATATTGGCGATGTGCTGCAAAGACAGTAAATATCGTGGAGTATTTTTCCGAACCTTGAACTCCGAGCTGTCAAGCTCTTTTATTTAAACAATAAAGATTAATTGGTAACAAAAAACCTCCGAGTGACAATCCGCCCCAACATTCCTCACATTTATCCAAGACCCGAGCTCTCCGTGCAAGGTTACAGCTGTAGCTAAGGAGTAGGAATGAAGGGAGGGAAGTCAAATGATCCGATCACCGGACAATTTTCCTTAGTTTGCTCTGATTCAAGAGCTCGGATGCGACAAGCTTGTCAACATGCCTGCTTAAAGATCGCGATTGGAAGGTGAGCTTCCAAGGCCTTGGGGAGCTCGGATGCTTCAGGAATGCTCGTAGCTCATAGCTCCCTCCCCTCACCTTTGGCTACGGGGATCGTTTCCTCAGTTGCCTAAGTCTAACTTGGGATTCGTAGCTATAGCTTCCGTATGGATTCCCTTGATTATTGGATTCGCGATAGATCGACTTGCCCTTACGCAGGGACTTGTCTCTGGGGAAACGCTGTAGGAAAATCGTAGACCTTCTAGGGAACAAACTGGATTTCTTTTTCTTTTCTTTCTTGATTTTGGGAGCTAGCTCGGTGTACCTCCTCTACCTATACTACGTCACTTGATATTTGAAGAAGTCTGATCAAGGAGAGTCTTGAATCAGGAAGGCATAGCGGCGCGGAATGATATTACTGGGTTCTGACGCGGACAGCCTTATGGCACCAATCGGAAATCTCATCAAGGTATCCCGGCGGCTTATGGTTTCCCCCTGCTTGAGAGTCGAAGTAGATTCAGGAAAATAAAGTTTACTGTGTAGATATGACCTAGATATGACTGTTGAAGATACTACTGGCTAGTAGATGAGAACATGAAGCATGGAGTATAATAGGTGTTAATGTAGACTAGACTGTAGAAAACTATGTAAGAAGGGGGAAAAGAAAGGCTGTAGAAGTCCTATTAGTACATGGAGTGATAATATGACCTAATAGATTCTAATGGCGATGAAAGTTGCTAAATTTGAAGCGCTTTGGATGTCATATACAGGATTCAAATTTACCAAAATAATTTCCTTCTCGCGCAATAGACTAAAAATGTTACCTAGATAAGTACACTATTCACCGGAATATCTACATACGTACATATGTAGGTAAGTTTCGAACTGGAATCCAAGGTTAATTTCAAGATTAGAGCTTTTGAGCTTATTTAGTTCTTGGTTCGACCAAACTTAGTACCTTGGTACTTTAAAAGCTTGGAAGCTTGGAGACATGGATCTTGTAAGGCTATATGTTTTAGATATTGCGCAAGTATCTTTGTTTACCTTGAAAACATACATATATATCCAGCTATTCTGTAACTTGAGTTTTAATAGGTCCTAAAATTGTGGATATATATTCGGAGAAATAGATCGTCGGGATATGCCTAACGCTATGAAAGTTAGAATTTAACAATTTCCATCCACACAAAGATATATAGGTACTGCAGGCTCCACATGGAGTAATTATTCGTTATTTCTGTTTCAAGAGTAAAAATAAAACCACGTTATCGGCAAAACTAGACTCTTATAAACCATCGAGATGAGCACTGAAATCCTTACGGGATTGGAAGCCCTAATTTCCAGTCACCCACCGGAGAGATCCCGAGACCCCCCAAGAACCCCCAAGACTCCCAAGACCCCACTAATTTAATAGGTATCATCCTTCGTACTCCGACTCGTTAATTCCACTAAGCCAAGAGAAACTCCGCAGGCACTGCCACGATGCCAAGGCGCTGAAGTTGTTCGAGACACCGGGTGTCTTGGTGTAAGCTTACCCCTAAACCTTAGATCGCAGGAAGATTTTTTTTGTCTTATCAGATCTTCATCTTGAGCCCTACAGCTGTACCATCAGAGTCCTAAATTGAGCCCCCTTGGCCAACCTTGACCGATCTCGATCCAATCATACAAAATGACCCTCCTCGACGACCCTCTAAACCTCAACCAATACAAAACAACTATATCCGAACCAAAAAAGAACTGGGTCCCATACTCTTTCAATGATGACAAGGAAAAGCTCACGGACTTCTACAAAGAACAGAATGAAATGATAGAGGGCTTCCTCACCGCCGGCGAAGAAGAGCGCCTCAAAGCCGAAGACGAAGCCCAAAACGGTGGCAAAGTAAAGCTCGCCGTGCGCGCCAGTTTCACAGTCAACTTCTTCCTCTTCGTCATCCAGCTCTACGCAGCCGTGACAACCGGCTCTCTCGCCCTCTTCGCCACTGCTGCAGACGCCTTCATGGACCTCGTCTCTTCGGTTGTTATGCTAGTCACATCGCGCATGTCCTCACGACCAAAGCCATACAAGTACCCCGTTGGACGACGCCGCGTCGAAACAATGGGAGTCATCATGTTCTGTGCGTTGATGACCATCGTCGCGGTGGAGCTGATCATTGAGTCGGCCAAGGCTCTTGCCGCGGGTGAGACCGAGTCCGAGCAGCTGCATCTTGTGCCTCTCATTTGTGTGGGCATTGCTATCTTCTCCAAGTTCATTATGTTCCTGTACTGCTATGGCTTGCGTCGGTACCCGGCTGCTCATGTCTTTTACATTGATCACCGCAATGACCTAGCTGTTAATGGGTTTGGGTTGATCATGTCGATTGTGGGTGATCGATTTGTCTGGTATCTTGATCCCGTGGGCGCGTGCTGCATTGCACTGCTTATCTTGTTCTCGTGGGCGTCCACTGCGTTCGAGAATATGTGGTTGATTGTGGGCAAATGTGCCCCGCGTGAATTTGTGAATAAGTGTATCTACGTGACACTGACTCACGACCAGAGGATTCAGAAGGTGGATACGGTGAGTTGTGAATGTGGGTTGAGGGGATTGTTTATTGGCATTTTGGCTAACGGTACATAGTGTCGCGCTTATCATTCCGGCCAGCAACTCTATGTTGAGGTTGATATCGTCATGGACCCTGAGACTAAGCTTCGGGAGTCTCACGATGTAAGCCAAGCGCTGCAGCGTAAGTTGGAAGGTCTCGCGGATGTTGAGCGAGCCTTTGTGCATGTCGATTATGATTATATGCATGATGTCAATGAGGAACACAGGCCGCTCTATGAGATTGGTGGAACGAAACACTCCATCAGAGCTTTGGTGAAACGATTGTGGTCTAAAGACAAGAAGCAGACAGATGGGACTGCTGTGTGAGAAGCTTCGGTTATATCACGGTTGAGCTGGTCTCCAATGTCTCGGGATGTCATACGGCCACTGAGCAAAAATTCAGTAAAAATTAATATCATTGTAGGCTTATTAACGCCGAAAGTAGTTTCTCAGTCGCAGGGCAATTTGTATCAGACATTGAAGCAAAACCTGGTATCAACACAACCCGGAAGATTCAGAACAAAATTTCAAAACATGATATCCATCTCATACATTAAACGGCCGCGTTTCTCTTCTTAGTCCTTGCAAACATGCCGTATGGCTTGACATTGAAACCGCCATTGAAATTCTTCCCTTCCATATCAAATGTATACTCCTTATCCGCCAACTCAAAATCAACATCCTTGATGATGCGAATGAGTGCATGCAACGTCCATTCCCAAGCATACCGCTTACCGTAACACTCACGCTTCCCGTTCCCGAACCCCTTTTTCACACCGATTGGGAGCCGATCAAAGGCCTCGCCGAGCATGCGCTCGGGCTTGAAATCATTGGGGTCATCAAAGACAGCAGGGTCGCGGTTGACAGCGGACAGGATTGCAATCATGGGCTGTGTCTTGGGAATCTCGTATTCTCCTCCACCGAGTAGGACCGGACCATCGGTGGGCAAAGGCTCGATGTTGAAAGCCGGGGCTGGGGCGCAGAGACGGAAGGATTCACGGAGGATGGCTGCGCAGTAGGGTAATTGCGAGAGATGGAAGTGTTCGATTTGGCCGGAGGGACCGACGAGGGCGTCGATCTCCTCACGGGCACGGGTGACCTCGTCTGGGTTTTTGGCGAGATAGTACAGAGTGAAGGAGAGGAGATTCGGGGCTGTGGAGCTGCCGATGAAAATGTTGATTATCTCGTCGATGACCCGGCTGTCTGGAAGGGATTCTCCGGTCTTCGGGTCCTTTTCGTGAAGTAGGACATTCAGCAAATCGTTCCGTTCTACAGGCTTATCGCGTCGCTTGGCGATGATCTGAGCGCAATAGTCGCGAGAAATCTTGATATCCTTGTCGAATTTACTCTGGTACAAGAGCCGAGTGAGGAGCTTAGGTCGCGTGGGTCGACGTACGCACTCGAAGGTTATATCAGACATAGCTTTGATGACGGCGGGTTCTTCGCCAAGGACGCAGTCTACATGCTGACTGAAGAAGCATTTCATGTTGGCGGCATGGTTGAGTCGTTCCAAGTCATCAGTGACATCCACACGCTGTCCGGTGCTGTCCGTTGAAGTCCATTTCCAGATTAGGTCATCTGCTGTAAGTTGTATGTCCCTATGCATTTCCTTGACGGCCTCGGGCGAAACGGAAGGAGCCATGATACGATGCGCGATGCCCCAGCTTTCCTCGTTGTCGAACGCAGTAAAGAGACTGTCGTGGACAAGATTGCGGATCTCGACAATCGGACCGGTGACACATTTTCGGAAGCGCTTCTCATCACAGATTTCCTCGAGCAGAGCGGCGTTTGTAATGAAGACAAGTTGCTTGGTGAGGATTTTGATTTTGAAGATACCAGCACCACCATGTTCTGCTGCCAGCTTATTTAAAGACGCCCAGGTATTGCCAGGGATCATATCAAACATATTTCCAAGAATTGGAAGCCCATGGGGCTGAGGAATAGGCGAAGGCATAGTGTTGACACACTGGAGAATGATTGAGCTGAGAAGTTTTCAGAATATAATGGCGAACCACTTTCACTTATAAGCAGCAGGACAAGAGAGACCCGTCATAAATGCCAAGAATGCATGAGCTAGGAGATCGCAGTTCTTGTGCCACATGACTATTGGAATGGCAAGCCTCTGAATGGTCCAGAATTAGCTTTAGTGACATTATGATGAGCCTGAATATTCCGTATCCTCGTCCAATTGGACGAGCTCGCATTGTCAGAAACTCAAGGTGGAGCTGAGCTGCACAACCTTGGAACTCCCCCGCATACCCACATGATAAGTGATATGTGATGTGTGATGTGATAATATGACACAGGAAAGTAGGCTCGTCAATAGTCTTGAAGAATGAGTATAAAAGGCTTTAATATTAATATCTACCATGTACGGGGTACTCCGTAGTTAGAAGATGGATACTTAGGGCGACCCACTATAATTTATAAAGGGATAGGAAATCAGCTTATTTTGCTGTGGGAGGGGAAGTCTGCTGGCAATGTTGATATCTCAGCCTTTATAGCACATTTCATGCTCAACCAGGCCATTCGACTTCATTTATGGGGTTCGTAGACCCTTCATATATAAGTGCTTGTCTCGCCTCTAAATCTATCCCAGTGAAAGAGAAGCTATGGGGGCTAGCATCTCAACCTCAAGCCGACTACATATTAATGCAGCTTCTACCTTCCAAACAATGAAGCATGTTGTCATCTATTGAATCGATTGACTAATTCTTCCTTGTCTCGTCATCGCGGAATGATATCTCCACGCTGCCAAGGCCAAGGCTCCAAAGACTCATGGATGTAAAAAAAACGTAAGGAAGTGTCATGCACACTCTCTATAATCATTGAAGATGAACACAGCGGACCATTCAGTTTGGCCGGTAGAAGAATCATGGAAACAAGCTGCAAGCATAAGACACCGTCAAGAAAAATCAGAAGAAACCAACCATTACAGCAGTGCAGATCTCGAATAGCTGTGCGCGAGATATAAAAAGATAAAAGGGAAAGGAAAAAAAAGAAAAAAAAAAAAAAAAAGAGCAAGGGGGGGGTAAAACAAAGCTTACGAAATAAAAGCAATTGATCATATCCACTTTGGATAACTTTGTTTCCCGCCCAAAACGCCGTCCGATTGATGAAGCCGGGTATATCCAGCACCGTAATGCAACATGTACTGAGAATGAATAAAAAGAGATCAACGGGGAGGGGAGCCAAACGAGGCATCGAGTTCCCGTGCCTTGCAGTGGCAAGACTCGGCTCGAGCCATCACCCCATCACCCCTAGGTTAATATGGGCAGAATTGGTGTTTCATCGAAAAAAGAAGAAAAAAAAAGAAACAGCTTTTGGTTGATACGAAATGATCATAGAACCCATTTCGTCATCTGGCCCCAATGCCGAACATGCCTACCCCGTAGCTAGCGCTTCTTTCGGACATGGGGGTGGACACCTTAGCGACGTGGTCCTGATTAGATTAATTTTTATCAATAGATGTGGTTACCGTGGGAATGCGATACCTTCTTGCGTTTCTTCTTCCCAGTTCCCTCGCCGTTCGAGTAGAATCCGGGGTCATCATCATCATCCACAAATCCTTCGCCATAGCCGGCAAAGCTATTGTCATCGTAATGTCTCTTGCGACCTCTGCTAGGCCGTGGCCGCTCTGCTTCCTGTGATTGCGGAGATGCGGCATAGGATTGAGTAGAGGGACGACCGGCAGTTGGAGTTGGGGCAGCCTTCTTGCCAGTCTCGCCTGGCGCTGGATTCTTGGCCTGCTTTTCGTGACCCAAGATGTCTTCCCAGAACTCGTTGTTAGGAATCGGTCCTGGTTCCATTTGCATGGCTCGTAATTGAAGATTTTGTAGCGCCGAATCCATGTCTGAAACCTTGATGGCCTTCCCATGCACCTTCTGGTTCTGCCATTCTTCTTCAGGCCATAGAGTCATGTACCTCAGACTGCCAGGAGCGCCAATCTCCTGCTTCATGGGCTTGTTCCGTCCAGCGAGTCCCAGTCCTTTCAGCTTTCCTTCGTATGATTTCCTGAGGCGGTTGATCTTCTCTCCCGTCACGGGATCCATGCGTGCTACCGAGTGCGCGATTGAGCCTAACCCATAGAGAGAAACGAGATCCACTGAAGGGTCTGGACCAGTAACGATCGGAGCTGTCAAGGAGTAAAAAGCAGTGTTAACAACTTCAGTTCCAAGAATGTGCAAGATCAGTGCATTCATGCAGCTGCACGCAGCAAACACCATGATGCATTTTGGGGAATCTTACAGCTCTTGCAAAGATGAAAAGCCGAGGTTAGCTCTTTCTGAAGAGAATCCAAATCGAGACTGAGGGTATCTGCACGACGAGTCGGCTCTGTATCTACATCCATAGCGTCGGGGTCTGTCGAGTGCCGATCTTGCCCGGTGGCAAAATTGTTAGTGCTGTCTGTTTGTGAAGACTGCCGATCGTGGTCGGTCGGTCTATGTTGTGTTGGTTGTTGTGTTTGTTGCTGAGCGGGACCTGCTCCTGAGTTTTCTGCCGAGTCCTGTATCCCCATATTGAAAGATTTTCTCCCCTGATCCACATCCTCCGAAGTCGCATTCACAGGATTCCCACTGACGCTGCTGGCGGGAGTGGGGAATGAATTGGTTGTGCTCATTGTGGGCTGCTGGGAGACTTGGGTAGACATCGGCGCAGAGGACGGAGGGGAGGAGGTGTTCGGAGGTTGGACCGTCGCCTGATTCGGTGATGTATGCGAGGATATGAAGTTGGCGGCATGACTTTGTTCGCTCACCGACATCAACGGAGGGGATGTCGGGGTCTGGGGAATGTGTTCCGAAGATATGGGCAACCGATGGTTCTCTTTGAGAGACCCGGCGGCAGGCGAGGAAGGTGAAGGAGGTCTTGCTTGAAAGGATGTGGGGTGAGTGCGATCAGACATGAGAGCCCGAGGAAAAGTTCAGCATGCAGAGACGGTATTAACCAGAGCGGCTCTGGATCCGAATCGCAAAGTTTGATACCAGTGCCTGGAGAGGGGGATTCCCGGCCACGATCGACGGTCGCTCAAGCAGGCGAGCAGGTCATTCAACGGGCGGACTAGATCATCTGCATTCCAAGGGACTAGACTGAATCCCTACAAATGGTACAGATTGGGTGGCTGATGAGTGGCTGTGGTGAAGGAGGGTGATGATGAGAGACAATCCAGTGGTCAAAGCCGGCGAGGATGACGGCGAATTGATCAACTCACGTGACCGGTCTTGGCCCGATGTACTTTATTCGGCGCCTGCATTGTATATTCTATTGATTTATGTACGAAGTATGCATTCATCCATTCATGTATTCATTTCTATTCTCTTACTTGTGCCTTTGTTCTCAATATAATGCGACAATAGGAGTGCATCAATTGAGGACTGCAAACAATCCTCTCCTTAGCGAGTGGCGAGAACAACAAGTAGCCCGAAAACAAAACTTTATTCAAAGGCACTTTAAGCTATATTGGCCGGGATTAAATCCCTAATACTTGCTCAAAAATTCATTACATTAATATATGTAGGATATGCAAATCGGATTATGTCGCACTCTTCAGATGTCGGGAGGCGGATCCCGGGTCTTACCTGCTTCCATTATTATCCCAACCCTCCAAGTCATGAAAGAAACAGATATCAAATGGAACTAGAAACAATTAAAAATGGTATCTCTTACTATTGAAAGACTATTCGCCGAGAAAAACAAAGTCAGGTGGTCTAAGATGCGTTTCTCGGCATGGTCGACGACCTCCAGCCCGGTTGGTAACATGACCATTAAAGAAGACATATTTCATGGATGTCAGAAGATGAGCCAGTCCAAGACAGAATATCAGTGATATATCGGGAATCAAAGCACAACTCCCTACTAAGCGCCAGAGCTCTTCCATACAAAATGATCCCCGCAGACAATGTGAGACCAAGTGCATCAGAACCTCAGGACTGATAGTAAGCATTATACTCATTAACCAGTTGGGCAGATACATCGGGTATATTGTGTTCGAGGGAAGCCAGAAGCTCAATTTGCTCTTGTTGGCTGAGGGTCCGCTCGCGCCATGAAGGTACTGGAAATGGCTCATTAAAGTACTGAGAGTACTGGTCTCCAATGGAGGTGGACCAGTTCATGGGATCGACAGTCGCATCGGTGTATGCCAAATGACCCGCGGTTGTTGAGGCAAGTGAGAAGTTGGGGTCCCAGCCTTGCAGTCCGGGAACAACTGAAGGTATCGTGTTATAAGGAGTGTTCGGGTCGATTGATATATCGGGGTAGAGCGTCGGCCCAATGTAGGCTCCTGATGTATAACGTGGTGCCACATTCTGGGCTGTAAGTGGTGGCTGCATGTCAAATGCCGAGGAAACCGATGGCATTTGTGGTTCTTTGGACAGTCCAGGGGCCACTGCAGGTGGGGTTGATTCTTGAGTATATGTAGGATCGGCCGATTGTCCCCTGGAACAAGTACCATTTGAGGCGGTATCGCCGATTGATAGGTTGCCGCCACGGTGGTTGTTGGAATAATATGAAGTAGTCGTACTGCTTGACGGACTGGACATCGCCGGAGGGGTCAATCCCTGCGAGGAGGTTGGCGTAGGGTGGTTAGAAGGCGAGTGTACAACAAACGATTCTTCCGTCCTGTACGCTTTCAAGCACGCAGCAACAAGGCGCCTGTAAAGAAGGAAGGCAGATTGAACACCTGGCCAACGTTCGGCGGAAAAAACGATCACTTCAAAAGCCATATCCAAATGCCCTTGGACTTCCTCAATGGTGTGCTCTTTTCGAATTTCGGGATATGAGAGGGTCCAGAGGACAGTATTTAAAGCCATGAAGAGAGCTTGCACAAACACCCACGTCAAGTCGACAGATCCGGTGATCATCTGTTCTTTATGCATAGCGATATTGGAAATGGCCGCGTCATAACAGGTTTTGGCGGCACTGACGGTTGGTTCGGGGATCTGCGGCGAGGGACGATACATGAGAACAATGATGGTGTTCCGTCTCCCTTGGAACCTGTTGAAGTCATTGTCAGCAAAGCCGCATTTCGGAAAATGAGAATATCAACGAACCATTTCACGTTAAGCCCACTGCCATCGTCGTTCTTGGGAGTAGTGGCCATCCAATGGTCAATTTTGGCCAACATTTGAGAAAACCATGGATCCTGGTCATCAACTGGGCTCTCTCGTCTGTTCGAGTAGAGCATTCTCCTGGGCTCCAATTGGAGTAGTCGCATTTTGAAAAAGTGAACTGCAATACACTTTGCTAGAACGGGTTTCGCTCCAGGCGTGATCCCCTCGGCGGTGATGTACCGGTCGTCCACTAGTTCAAAGAATTTCACATTGATATGGTCGTGGCTGACGCAGTAGCTGCTGCATCGACCCAGACTATGAGAAAGACCGAACTCCATTGATGAGACAATCCAAAATAACCTTCGACGCATATCGATCTCCAAGGGATTCAATGGTTTCCCACACGGTGATTTGGTGACGGTGGCTTCTTCAGTTAATCCCAAGTCCTGACAAAGTTTGGCAGCCGTCCCCACGACCCAGTATGCAGCTGTGCGAGTGGGCGTTACCATTGAATATGAGGCAATGAGCACGAGGCATTGTAGAGCCCCTATATCCAATTGTTTCAGCGTATGTTCCAGGTATGGCAAGGCCGCAAGATAATAACTATCAGCGAGGCCAGCATATTCTGTACTCATTTTCTGCATGCTGATGGCGATGACCATCCGCAGCTGGAAGTTTTTGCAGGGATCTGTAGAGCCATTGAATACCTCCTCTACCTCTTGTCGAAACGTGGGCTCGTGCAGTAGAGGAAGTAGTGCTTGTGCTATACAACGAATCAGTCACACTAGCTACAAGAAGAAGAGTCCGAGCAAAGTGATCGCAGTACCTTTGGCAACAAAGAGATCAATCAATTTATAGGTCAGGGCTTTTGGAGGTAGGTTGGGTTGTGGGATCGAGCTTATCATGGGATAGACTTTTGATGTCGGCTTCGAATCTTCTTCCGCAAACGCGTCTTTGATCTCTTGTGCGGTGAAATCGGGGACAACATCCTTGATGCTTTTGGAGTCGGTATTTTGCTTGGCCATCTCCATGACCAAACGAGTCATGGCGATGCCACTCGAGGCACCGAGATATCGCGGCTCATCGTTCTCCTTGAACCGGATGCGCCCGGCCCCCCGCACCATCAACTCGGCATCAGCAGCATGTTGTATCTCATTCTCGGCTTTGGCAAGCTCTTTTTCTAACGCCCGGGCTTTCTCTCTGAGCGATACGATATAGGTTCGAGGTATAGTTGTGTCTCGGGCCGAGTCATAATACACGCACTTGGCGTTGCTTCGTTCGCAGGGCGCACATCGTGGAATCCCGGGGTCGCATCTGGACTTTCGCTGCACGGAAGGTGGGTCAGTTCCGAAACAGCACCGCGAAAGAGAAAAAAAAAAGGTCATGACGCTAAGAGACAGAGGGGCAAAATGTCCGGGATGGCGGGGAGAAGGTGGAGAGAGGGAACCGATGTCGCATCATACCTGTCTACACCTTGTGCAGGCGGTTAATGTGTGAGCAATGCGACCGTCTGGTGGCTCTAGGGAGTGTAATTCCGGTGACTTCAGCCCTGTGGAGGAATATTCGGGACTCGAGGTCATGGTGGGCCAAAAAGGGTATAAGATAAAAAGGAAGGTCAAGGTCCAATCACATACGCGATTTATACCCAAGGTATCTTTCGGAGATCAAAATTGTGAACAGTCGACATGATCTTGAGGCTCCCGGGCCTTGACAAGGGGGTAGTTCCGGAGTTCAAAGATCTTGAAACGGGGGAGGAAGTTGTGTCTGAAATGGGAAATGGGGCCACCGTGATTTCCAAGAGGAGGGGGGCCTCGGTCCAGATCTGGAGAAAAGGTTGGGCGTGGGACAAGGCGAGGTGGATATGTGGAGGTACAGGGCAGCTGAAAAAGAGAGACCTGGTCCAGTTTAGGGGATATTTAAGGGGTGTAATATACAACATAGAGCTGTTTAATAGCTGTTTTAATAGCATTAGATATTTGGTTAATAGGTACATAGTATTTAATAGCTATTTAATAGCCCTAAAATGATTTAATAGGCACTTTAGTATAATAGCTAATAGCAATTTAGAGACGGGGAGATTCTCGCCAAAGTCCGTGCGGTTCCACAGATCTTCCTCCCCCTCCAATTCCTGTCCTATAATAATCGGTTTCGTATAAAAGAGACATCGGATCTCGGTGGAGTTATTTTTTTCTTTTCAACGTCTTCGGTTAAGGCTTATTTCTATACATTAGTCGCTAATCCTTTCCCTCCCAGGGGCCAGCTCATGCAGGTTCATTCCTTTGGCTTTGTGCTAAGCATATCCTCTATTTCACATCACGTGAGGGTCTTTTGCCCGTTTTGGTGAGTGGAGATACAGGGGGGGAAAGAGTGCCCAGGTGGGGTCCACATATCGTCGAATTTACTGACCGTATATGACCAGTATAATGAGCAGATATGTCCGTCACAGCCACGACCTTTTTGGATAATCCCTTACTCAAGGTGAGTCGTCCGGTCGCTGCCTGCTCAAGATGTCGGACCGCAAAGATCAAATGTGACGGCAAGCTCCCCGCATGTTCAGCTTGCGAAAGAGTCGGCAAGGCGACCACTTGCTCCGGGGCAAGCGATGAATTCGCCAAGGGAAAAGAAAGGAGTTATGTCGCGTCACTGGAAGGATATTGTGAGAAGCTTGAGAAGAAGATCAATCAGATGCGCGCCCGATCAACCTCGCTGTCTGCTGAGGGTGATGGGGTCCCTCGGGAGATGTCGATCACCTCCGTGGCGTCCGAAAGTGCATTGGGCCCTGCGCACCGCAGAGAGGTTTCGGACATTGACGATTTAGTTGGCGATTTTGGTTTCTTGTTAGTACGACTGAAGTGCTTTTTTGATGGCCCCGCTGACATTTCAAAAGGTCCGTCAATGCGACTTCACGAGATTTCCATGGCATCACCTCGAATACCTCCTTCGCCAACCTTCTCCTCTCAGTCGCTCTAGTCGATTCTCCCCCATCCTCCCCTTATTCACTACCTGCGCGGCACGAAGCGACCCCATTGCTACAACACTATTTCGATAATGTTTTTGTCCAGCTGCCTTTCTTTGTCGAAACGAGTTTCTGGACCTCGGTAGATGCCGTATATCAGTCAGGCGGCCGGTTCGCCAAACCGTTCGACCATTGGATGCTGCGCATGGTTCTCGCTATTGCTTCGGCGTCAGTCTCATACCATAACAATGATAAGAACCATCAAAGGGCATGGGCTCTCGTGTCAGAGGCTTTGACATATGCCGAGGAAGTCCTCCGCCCTGGGTCAATCGCGGGAATCCAAGCAATCCTACTGCTTGCTCAATATTCTTTAGTTGACCCAGTACGCTTCCGCAGTTGGTATTTGGTTGGAATGGCTGTCAAGGTTGCGATCGACCTGGGCTTGCATCAAGATCCCCCTACCGAAGTTTCGACTAATCCCGATCGACTTGATATTCGCCGGCGTGTGTTTCATTGCATCTATTGTCTAGACAGGTTCGTTCTCGTTCTGTTCCTCAATTGCCGCCCTGCTAATATTTGTCACAGAGGATTAAGTCCTGCTATGCAGAGAACCTACTCTTTCTCCGACGGATCTGTGAATGTTGCATTACCATCAATTACCGCACCAGGGGCCCCCATAGAGCAAACCCACATTTTCCTACGCAGCCCGGCACCTGCCTTGCATATCGTTAAAATCCGACAGATTCTGTCCGTGGGCTACCAAGAAATGCATTACAGTGGGCGCGATCCATCCCCGCAACCCCTGGTCCTCATCTGGACTTTGTGCTGGCGAGCCCGGGAGTGGTTCCATCAATGCCCCAAGAATGCTCCCAACCACTTTTCACTTCTATACCGACTTGAATTATTATACACCATTATCATCCTGCTCTCCCCTTCGCACCGATATCCATCGCTCCACGACTACAACAAAGCTCTCCTATTTGACCGGTGCATGGACTACATCAGCCAAATTCACCAGGTCTTAGAAAATCCCAGCGCCCTGCCCTTCCTGACATACTTGGACATCCAGCGCGTGCACCAAGTTGGTCGATTATTTGTCGACGTCCTGTCCGGCAATTACGACAAGCTCATTAGTGCCGCTGTCCCGGCAGCTCCGTCCGTCCCCGCTGGAACCCCAGAACCGCCAGTACTGGGCGACGAGGACTTGTTCAATTGCCACGCACGTGCCATCCGCTGTCTGTCCTATATTCGTGACTTGCTCAAATATTGTGATAGGAAGTGGGACATGCATGGGCATCTAGAGCAGTTCGAGGACGAGTCTGCGTCCATAGAGAAAACTCTGATGGATAGCTCGATGGGCTATATGTCGAATCAGGGGATGTATTCTCAAGACCCGTTGTCGGGGATGCCGCTGGCCGGCGATGCATACTCGGGGTACCATGTCGGGCTGTGAAAACATTTTCTTGTAACATTTGGGCATATGAATTTGGAAAAGAAATAAGCGTTCTTTTTGTTTTGTGAAATACCCCTCTACCTGCTGTGCATAATGAATAATATATACTGCGAATTGGTCCAGTAAATGGATTGACTACGTACGGCTGGCATTTAACTCTATATTACTTCGAGCTGTAGCATGCACGGTGTTCATATTTTCCATCCGCCCTGCCTCGTCTCGTACAGTAGGCGCCCTGTGTCTCTAAAAAGCCTTTCATACTAAGCAATTCTAAACGTCAGATAGACCCATTGAAATATAATTTACACTAGCTGAGGTCGACTCTTAAAATAGACACGACGCGGTTGGTATTTCTTCTTGTGATTGGCAACATCAAAGATTACCTTCCACATCAGTCTATCCATACCCTCATAAACACGTCTGTACTAGACTCACACCTCTTGCATTCCCGTCAATACATGTAGCTCCAGAAGCTAGACCTCCGTAGGTGCAAGACGGTGAAATTCTGGCCATGCATAGATTTTGCATCACCTTGCATGTATTTGGGGTTATCCATTTGCTTGCCTCGCCGCATTGTCAGACGAATAAACGAAGTGGTGGAGCAGTACGAGAGCAACACAGATGACGATTGATCAAGACACCAATTTTAATAGAGTATCTATCTATAGCATGACTCTTCCGGCAATATTGAGCTCTCATACCTCTTCATTCACAGCGTCTAACGGACCATCTCAAACCCACTTACAGTATTCCCGTGCATCGACAACCAAATCCTATCAGAGTTTCTTTCAATCTCTCATTCTACAAAATGTCCTTGCAGGACGATAACATCGGCGGTCACTACAACTCCACCAAGAGGCAACCGGTGGACTTGGTCCATACCGCAATAGCACTAGCATACATTGGCAACATTGAGGGGCAGGAATTTCTCGACCTAGCCTGTGGCTCCGGCTATTATTCCCAGAAAGCCGTTGACCAGGGAGCACGACGGGTGGTCGGGCTAGATATATTGTCAGCCATGATTGAAGCAGCACGACGCGAGTTTGTGGCCGGCGACCGCTTTGAGTTCCATGTTGCAGACTGCTGCAAACCATTGGACTTGGGCAAACTTGATGTCGTATTGGCGATGTGGTTTCTCAATTATGCTGGCAGTGCCGAAGTACAATTGGCCATGTGGAACCCGGCGGCAGATGCATCGGAATCATCCCCAATTTTAGCCGGTTTGACGAAGAGGCTCCTGAAGGCCAGTTGGGAAGTATGAAGGTCATTGAGCATGTCTCTGATGGCGTAAAGTACCTGTATACACTGGATGTGGATCCCCCTATCTCGTTTGAGGGCTATCTGCTTCAAAGGGACGTTTACGAATCTTGCGCGCGAAAAGCAGGATTCGCTAGCCTGCAATGGCTAGACCCGATTGATCCGAAGGACCCTCGGCTCGATTTTGACGCTCTTCCGCGCAATAGGTTGTGCCAGCCCTTTGAAGCTCGACGTGCAACATGATCCAACTTGTGATAGTGTGGATTGCACCTCCGAGGGATTGGTCATGGATCAGGAGGATTGGAGATTGGTCGAGGTTTCGAATATGGGAAGTAAAAGTATCTCACTAGACATCTGGGAATTCGAACTACCTCGAAGAGACCAAACTTGAGCGAACACTACGTCCAACAGCGTATACCACTTCGGCTTGCTCCCGCTTCAACGGATTTCCCAATAACTCTACGGTGCTTCATCCTGAGTAGCTACTAGAGTAGGATTTTCTGTTTGTGCAGCTTCGTGTCCCTAAGTTTCATAGGACTGGGCCGTGGAGTTTTTCCTTGGAATCTTCGAGTCAGGTCGATCATATTCGAGTCAGCCTCCACTTGTTCTCCCCAAAAAAGTGCGCGGCATGATTTCGGTCAAAAATGGCATTCTTAGCAAAACATGCTGGGGTCTTTCTGGGTAAACCAGCAAACCGATTGAATCCTGAAAGATCCAGTAAAGGGGACTAAAAATCACGTCGATCGGGTCCCAAATCGCCATTTTAAGCGCCCAATATCCCGTCAACTAGCGTTAGGGTGTAATAATCCCATCACTAAATCCTTTCAAACTTAATCTTGCATCTTAGGAATGATAGCAGACCTTTCATCTGATCATGCAAACTATGTTGTCCATAAAATATATCATGTCTTGCCGATTGTTAAGTTGGCCACTCGCCTATGGTCAAAGCTTGGGCTTCACGGATTGCTCATCACCATGGGCATATACAGCGCCGTATCCCGTACTCCAGTCAACTCACAGCCACCCGCACCCGTGCTAAGTACACACTTCTGTTAAATCCGCTCTGGAGGAATAACAAAATACGAACGTATTCCAAGCCTGAGCGCGTCGTGGCACTCACGATGGGATAATATGCTTTTCCCATGCCTTAGCTGCTTGGTGGGAATTTTGTAATATTTGCCTCCTTGTACTCCATTATTACGACTGTGGAGACATGCGACGTAGATCGATTATTCAAGAGATGGGACGCATTCTCATCTCATTCTTTTATTTGTTCAGGGAATACCATGTTACATACTCCGTACTGTGGCGAGCTAAGCTAATATCCCGAGGTAATCCCATCTAGCCGCTCCACATTATGGCATGATTTGGCCTAGCGTGGTTGAGCTAACAACATACTAGCAACGATTCCGAGGTAGTATGGCAATTGATGTGGAACAAGAATAGTCGGCCGCTTATGCGGCCGTGTCAAGTCTTTTTTGGTAGCCTTCTCAGATGGTCTTTTTATATGTCTTTTTTGGTGGTCATTTTTGGTGGTCTTTCGGATTGTTCCCAGTTCATATTTTCAGATGTCTGTTTTCATAGATATTGTCTCCTTCTCAGTTTGCCAACCAGATGGCAGAAAAGGGCGGGGGAAAAGGCGACTTTTCTATATATAACCTTTGATAAACCAGTTTCTAGAAGTATCTACTACCTGGACAAGAATGAGTAAGATGACTTGATGCTGATCCCAATGTCGGCAAAATATATTCACACTTGTGCCATTTAGACGCCCTATTGACCCTGTACTGACAGAATTTCTAAGCTAGATTATTCTAGGGTACGAATATATTCATATCTTCATACAAGGACCTTGGTACCGTGTTCTTCACGAGTGAGCAAAAGAAGGAAAGCGGCTGACCATGTCCGAGCCATGAATCCACTCTTTGCAGCCACAAAGTAGGTAGGAACGAGCTGAGTTGTGGATTCTACATTCAGGGACTGCTCAGCTGACCCAACCATTTACTTGTGGACCTGGGCTTTGTGCAGGCCTGTGATCTTCTAGACGTTTCCACGAGATCCAAACCGATCCTAAGGTCCATGGAGAATGGCATTTATATTGCACAATAAACACGGCAGTTGATACAGCTTCAGTCAACCACGAATATGTAGCAGTTGATATATATATATGCCTTGCTAGTCATTTGCTGCCAAACCCGTGAAGATCGATTGGGTCTGTGCCTGGAGTGAACCAGGTCACACTCTGCATCAATACGGCTCATTCCGAGGAATTACTCCTTCCAGACCGAGTGGATAGGCCCGGAATGCCCTTTGTTGAGAGCGGATATAAGCACTCCGCACATAGTGGGCAGTACCTTTATAAACCAAATCGAGACCAGGTCAGTGGACTTGGGAAGCAGATCGACACGACCCAAAGGTTTACTAACCAGCTATCGAACTTTTTATTACAAACCATTTAAAATCCACTTCAGCTATGGTACTAAACCATGGTTGTTTAATATAGCTTTGAATTTTATGAACTAGCTTGTTATCCCCAAACACTGGAAGATAAAGATGACTATTGAGTTATTGCATCATTTCCTCCCAATTTGGTAGGTAACCCCTATAGTTGCAAGATATCCAATATTAAGACGGCAATAGATCGAACGGAAAAATCCATGAATCACGACATGGCATGGGCCCACGATAAGAAAAATTAAGATAGCGATAGTCCTCTTGGCTGCAATAGATTCCCAGTCTAGTCCGAGATAGTGTCAGCAGGGGATTTCCGAAGTCCCACCTGCTGATCGACAGAGCCTCTCGTGTTGACCCGAACGTGCAAGCAAATAGAACATTCGGTGCATCATGCAGGTGCCTGCTGTCAAAATTCTCCGGGTTATTTCCACTACTAGTACTTTAGCATATGTTCTGGATATATCCAACGGTCTAGCTTATATGCTAAAGTAACTAGGTCCAACAGTTATCCCCTATGACGAATATCTCGGGATGTGTTAACAATAGCCGGGTTCCCGGCAAACCCCAGTACCGAAAGAAAAAAATAAAAACAAATAAATAAATAAAAATAAAGATATTCCCCGGGGTGATGTAGGTGGCACCCAAGCTTTTGGCAACACGATCTTGGATCCCAAGTCCCGGTACTCCGTCGTGGCTGGCGGTACTCCGTACTCAGCCGGCACATATCCAGTCAAGGTAAGTTTGACCATCGTCTTTGTTCCAGTCAATGTTAGCGGTCTTAGCGGCCAATCGATTCCGATCAACCAATGGAAAATCGTCGAAACCCGTCTCTGCGGCCATTTTGATCGAAGGAACGTGGGCTGGAGACTTGGGAAAGGGGGTCCCTAGAAGTTTATACTGGGGCCGATAGATATAATCGACCAATAAGATATCTTGGATGGCGGTCAAGTGGAGACAGGTCGGTAATTATGGCGGCTGATTGGCAATATAGTTCTGAGCTATTGAATAAAAAAGCCAACACACGAGCTCTTTTAGGTAGTTTGATCCCCTTATATGGTACTCTGCAGATCATTCTTTGTTTCTCGAGTTCCCACACTAATTTCCATTAAAATGACATCAGAGCCAGAGTGAGAGCAAGAATAATAACTGGTATGGCAAATAATAATGGAGCTGGGGCGAAGACCCTGACACAGATGATTCCCTATTTAAAGTGGGGTTGGAATATCAGGGGAGTTTGACTGTCATGGAGGTACTCTGTAGATGCGCTGCATTTTATATATGTCCAACCGTAGATATCAATAAGCGGAACCAGATCTCATTTTCAAAACCTTCCAAAATAAAAACAAATTTTATGGTTAACTCACGGAGTTACTCGGGGGGTGGGGGGACCATGCCCAGGGCAAGCCCTGGAGTATAAGCTCACGCTAGCCCAATCTAAGAGCAAATAAACCTCGAGGCTCCATGCGCCCTAAACTTGGATGCAGATCTTAATTTGGACCTCTTATCCGGTAGACTCCGGATTGACATTTCGATTTCAACAATTCTATTTGGAATTGTCGATTTAATAATTTAATGAGTTGATATGTGAAAATTCTGTTTCTACAACATAGGGATGGGGGGGGTTTCAAGAAACTGTAATGTTATAATGTTACGGGTAAGCTTCAGCTACAAGTGCGGTTCAACGATGCAACCCATATCTTTAATATTTTTTGCTTCACAAGACCCTGACAATAGTCCCCATCAGGGAACCTTGGAAGGACCCTGTGCTGACTCTATTCTGGCTGATTCGATGCATTTCGGCATAATGGAGATGCTAGTCCCACTTAATACGTCTCGGAGATTCAATTATATCGATCCTATTGAAATCGCGCCAACTATGGAGCCGACCCGCCAGTCTAGGATACTGCTAGTACTTCCTTGATAAGCTGTGAAATCTCGGACAGGGGACAGGGGCAAGCAAGATCGTACCTGTAGATCACCTTCGGTTCGCAGCGTATAAATACAGTCTTTCTCTGCATTCCCACCAAAGTTTTCTTCTTCTCCCAAGCTTCTTACCACAGTCATTCTTTAAGCAAACTACAGTCACTCTTTTCAGTTTCTATATACCCGTTAATTTCACAATGAAGGCCTCTTTCATCGCTGCCGTCGCCGCTCTGGCTGGCTCTGCTTTCGCTGCTCCCACCCCCACTGGTCTTGACAGCCTCTTCAATGGCCTCAAGGTTGGCGACGTCACCAAGGAGCTCAACCTTAAGGAGCTCCCCGTTGTCTCTAAGCTCGGCGACTTGAGCAAGGTCCTGAACCTTCCCTCCCCCGCCTCCCCCTCCGCCAGCGGCGTCCCCGCTGTCCAGGACGGTCACGTCGTCCAGAACCTCGGTCCCCAGCTCGACAACATCCTGACCGTTGTCGGCCCTGACGCCACCACCCTGCTCATTGAGCTCTCCCCTGAGGTTTCTGCCCTCGTCACCGGCCTTGGTCTCGGTGCCCTCGGCGTTCCCCTCGGTTCCATCGTCGCCTCCGCCTCCAGCGTTGGTGGTCTTGTCACTGGCCTCGGCCCCGTCGTCGACGGTCTCGTCATTGTTGTCGGTGCTGACGTCGGTGCCCTCCTCATCAGCCTCTCCCCTGAGGTTGCTGGTCTCCTTTCCGGCCTTGGTCTCCCTACCGTCGGTATCCCCGTCGGTACCGTCGTTGCTACTCTCGGCAAGAACCTCAAGCGTGGCGAGATCGTCCAGGACCTTGCCCCTAAGGTCAAGACCACCCTCACCGTCACCGGAAAGAACGCCAAGAACCTCCTCGTCGAGCTCTCCCCCTCCGTCACCTCCCTCGTTGCTGGCCTCGGTCTGACCACCATCGCCGGCCCCATTGGCTCCATCGTCGCTGAGGCCTCTTCCGTCGGTGACCTCGTCGTTGACATCTCCGAGCCCGTTGAGAACCTCCTCCACATTGTCGGCAAGGACGGCAAGCACCTCCTCATCAAGCTGTCTCCTTCCGTTGTTGCTCTTGTCACTGGTCTCGGTCTCCCCACCGTTGCCACCCCTGTCGGTGCCATCCTCACCACCGTCGCTATGAACCTGTAAAATGTTTACAGGCAAAGGCATCACTCTGGTTGAATAAGCTTGCTTATATAAGGGGGCTCGGGAGCAATCCGCCGTCGGTTTGACTCTTGTTCCCGCCGGCACATAATCACAATTTATTATACATACGATTTTTAACTTATTTAATACCTAAAAGCGGCTAGATTTTCTTCTTGTGATCATTGATTTATGCAGGGTCTGGAATCAATGAAGTGATTGAAAGTCCGGAACAACTACCACATAAGTTAAAAAGTTTGACCAGAATCTGTCCATACGTAGCTTCTACCCTTAGTCAATATAGTTACTCCACGACTCGAATCTGAATTACAACGTGCCATAACAGAGAGAGCTTCAGATTGCACCCGTGGTGATGTCCCCGTACGCCGGGACTGAATAGTTGCCGAAACAACTCTCATCATACTTCGCCTTTACAATGTTTTCCTTCTGAATCTTGATGAACGTCTGCAGCTCGCACCATCCATCATCCCGCTCCCCACACTCAGAGATACTGCGCCCGAGAGGGATTGTCCTCTGATTCATTAACAAATGCACATAGGTTGTTTCACCTCCCTTGGACTCATATGCGGAGGCCTGAGGATCCTCCGAGCGCCTCGCAAGTACAGGCCGCGGCGCTTTAATCACCTCTATATTGAAGCGGCCTGCGAACGGAACAATATGACTGACAATCAGTTGGCGGTTCTTCGGCGGACCGGAAGTGGGCAGGAACTCCCCAAACTGTGTGAGGCCTAGCGCCGTCAACATCGAGAACATGGTGGTATCATGACTGAAGTCCAAATACAAGTTCTGGTTCAGAGGGAAGGTTGTAGGGTTGGTGTCCAATGTTTCATTGATGGCAGCAAACCCCTCGTCCGGTTGAGGGTAGCGGTGTTGCAGGCGGGCGATGAGCTCTTCAACGTAGCCCACGCCCACTGCCCGTCCGGTGGGAGACCCAAATCCATTTCCTCCATAGTAGCTTAGGCCAATGGCATACTCAAAGCCTAGCCACTCTTCCTTCGTAAAGAGGGAGCAAAAAGGGCTGTATCCCAAGCCGACGGTCTCATATGGACACATCGTCTGGGCATTATAAGTGTCCTCAATTGTCCAGTTTGGGTTGCCCGTCATCGACTGACGGAATCGGTCCGTTGCAGGCTTCAGATATTTCTCCTGCCATTGGGTGCTTGCCCAATCTCCGGCGGCGGACCGATTGTTGTTGTTATTGGGACATGCCTTATCTCCGGCCAGGGGATTTTTGAATCCAGTTTGTTCGATAAGGACTTCCAAAGTGACGTTCTTCGTCCAGTTAGGACCGAAGAAGCCGTTCAGGAAGTTCTCGGCTGACTGCAACATTCGTACTTGAGTGGGCGTACGGGCGATAAGTGGTGAAGACGGATCATAAAGTCGACCATAGTTGAACCAATTGAGTACGCCGCTGTCAAAGAGCTGTTGGCGCCCAAGCGCCGTCAGCTCTTCTTTTCCCAGTTGATATTCCCAACTGTTGAGGAACGCCAAATTGCCAGTGAAGCGAGTTCCATTGCTTAGCAGTTCCGTTATACGGTCTGGCAAAGTGGCCACAGAGGCGCTAGAAGTAGGATATCGAGATCCGTGTCGATGAATCATATGCATCTGTGTGATATTGGTGCCGGGGGGAAGTGGATATTCATTAACCCCGAATCCTGAGGGATTGGGCATGTAAGGTCTTGGTCCCATGGTTAGTCACTTGGAAACTGAGCCGGTGAGCTCTACCCATACGTACGAGAGATTGCCCATGTGTTTGAATATTTCAGCACCATCAGTCTTTCCGATGATAGGTACATCGGTCACCACCGGGGTATTGGGCACATAAGAATGTTTCCCAAACGGAGCTAGGTTTGTCTGGGCCAGAAAGGGTGCACTTCCAGCCTCAGTTGGACCTGTGTTTATATATATATGTCAACACTTGAGGGGCTCCTTGGTATTGGGAGTTGGAGGAATACATACCAGCAAACGGACCATAGCTGGTCTGGAAATAATCCGGAATTGTCGATGTTCCTCTTGGCTTCGCGACGCCAGCATTCACGGCTGTCGCACCAAGCAGTAGAAACTGAGAAGGGATATGCATGGCCGCACGAATAGGTCTGGGGTAAATATGATCAATGAAGCTCAGCAATCGTTGTCCTTATGATTTTCCCTTTTCCCCACCTCAGGGTCCTGTTCGACCTTTTTATAGAGGAACAATCCTGCACGCGTTGATTCTTTGGGATGCGGAGGTAAGTCCTTACACCAAGCAATACTGATATTCAGTGACGCCTTTATCGTTAGCCGATCCCTGTCGTTGATTTCCGGACAATAATTGGCGCCGGAGAAATAGTAAGTGGAGGCGATTTACCTAGTGTACATACTTTCAAGGTTACATCCCCGTAGGGCAGCCTATTACCGCCAGTACACCACTTCGGGGGTCTCCATAATAAATTTTGACCGCCTGGCTCACCGCTGGTCTTTTATTCTCCGTACAACACCATTGAATCGGCTCTTGAAGATCTAATTTCCACACTACTTTTACTATATAATGGCTCTATTTCTGTATAATAAAGTAAAAATTAAACGAGTGAGTCGTCATACGGATTAAATAAAGACGCAAACCTACTTTTCGTATAACATGTGATACTGCAGGCAGAATCTGAAGCACACTGACGGTAATACGAAGGTACCGAGGTTACATCCCCGTGGGGCCCCGCGTTTTTCTGTTTTTTTCAACGTTCAATACCTACCTAACTAGGTAGGTACACATGTAGGTACCCACACCTGCATGTCCCCCGTATTCCGGTTATCTCGGCTAGCTTCAAGCTTCTACCCGCATAAACCTACGGATAAGCCAAGAACTCGTCTATCTATTGGTTGGAACCTCGTTCTCGGAATCATGTTTCCCTCCCCGTCAAATGAACCAATTGGAACCGTCCTTTATACGAGACAATATGGGACGGCCTTTGAAGGCAATAGGAAGTAGCCATGAGTCAATATCAATCTTCTGTTGACAGTATTCCCTTTCGAAATTGGTTTCACATCACTGGTCAACCAATTCTTTCACATTTAACCAATTAGCTACTCGGAAAACTTGAGAGTAGCCGACAGTTCCTGTTTTCCCCGCATAAATAGTCGATCTCGACTCCACAAAAGAATGTCTCTATGTCCCAATAATTATTTCTCCACAGACGCCTGTGATTCAGTTATATGACTACATTTTCTCCTCTTGTTCATATCTAAAGCCTGGGATTTCAGCTCTGAAAAGAACAGTCATGGCCAAGGACGACGTTTTGTCCGCAGGGAATGCCATTGCGGATATCGAACGCCAGAATTCTGTGTCAATGGGCAAGGCAACCAACAATGCGAAATCAGCTGCTGAAGCGGAGCATAAGATGACCTTGCTACAAGGTATCAGAACTTATCCCAAGGCGATCGCGTGGAGTGTTCTCATCTCCACATGTATCGCGATGGAAGGTTATGATATCAGTCTGGTCAATAATTTCTATGCATTTCCGCAATTCACACAAAAGTACGGCGAATTGACGTCAGATGGCTCCTATCAAGTACCAGCTGCGGTACGTCGAGCCAGTGGTTACTACCTCTTTCTCTCCCCTGTTCTTTTATTTTTGAATTCTTTCAATGGCATTTCTTTCGGACATGCATGGGATGTGACTAAATCATTATCGCGTATAGTGGCAAGCTGGCCTCAGCAACGGCGCCTATTGTGGAGAAATCATTGGCCTCTTTATCAACGGATGGGCTTCGGAGCGATTCGGGTACCGCTATACAATTATGGCTTCCCTAGTCCTGATCACGGCATTCACGGCAATCTTTTTCACTGCGCCAAACATTCAAACCCTGCTTGCAGCGGAAATCCTCGCCGGAGTTCCATGGGGCATTTTTCAAACGCTCACAGTGACCTATGCTTCTGAAGTTTGCCCTGTCGTTCTAAGAGGATATCTCACGTCATACGTCAATTTCTGCTGGGGACTAGGGCAACTTGTGGGTATTGGAGTCATCAAAGCAATGCTAAATCGGGATGATCAATGGTCATACAAGATTCCATATGGATTGCAATGGATGTGGCCAGTTCCTCTCTTTATTGCAATTTATCTCGCCCCGGAATCACCATGGTGGTTGGTCAGAAAGAATAGGGACGAAGATGCGAAAAAGGCACTCCTACGCCTCACGAATCCTGACCGAAATGTGGATTTCAATGCGGACGAAACTATTGCCATGATACGTCATACTACAGATCTTGAAGCGAAGCTTTCGGAGGGAGCTTCATACCTTGATTGTTTCAAAGGGGCCAATTTACGGCGGACAGAGATCGTTTGTCTTGTGTGGGCTATTCAGAACCTCAGCGGCAATTCCTTTTCCAATTACTCCACATACTTCCTGGAACAGGCAGGATTATCAGCATCCAATTCCTATTCATTCGCGATGGGACAATATGGAATTAACATGGTTGGTGTACTTGGGGCATGGCTCCTCATGTCTTTTGGAATCGGTCGAAGAACGCTATATCTCTATGGCCTCTGCGGACTATGCACTATCCTGGTTTTGATTGGTTTCCTTGGCCTGGTTCCTAGTACACATAAGGATCAAGCATCACTCGCAACAGGCTCAATGATGCTCTGCTGGGCATTATTCTACCAGCTTTCGGTCGGAACTGTGGCCTATTCGCTCGTGGCAGAGATCTCCACTCGTCGACTGCAAATCAAGACTGTGGTGCTCGGTCGAATTCTATACAATGTTGTTGCTATCATCTGTGGTGTGTTGACTCCCTATATGTTGAACCCTGCCGCCTGGGATTGGAGTAATTATGCAGGGTTTTTCTGGGGAGGAATTTGCTTCCTTTGTGTTGTATACACGTTTTTCCGAGTTCCAGAAACAACTGGTCGCACCTTTGCTGAACTTGATATGCTGTTTGAAGAGAAAGTGTCGGCCAGAAAGTTTGCCAGCACCCAAGTTGAGGTATATGAAGAACAGGTGGAAGTGTGGGAGCACAATGTCAAAGAATGAGGGACTCATACGCTGTCAAGTCCGCTGTAATTGCCAGGACAAGGGATTTTTGTCAATAGTGCCGGGAAATGTGCTTTGTTTTATCTTCAGCTTGTAATTAGGGAGACCTTTTAAATCCATCTTCAATTAACAGTCTTAGTCTCAGTTTTCCAACATTTCAATTGATGACAAACAAGAATAGTCGGCCGCTTATGCGGCCTTGTTAAGTATTTTTTAGTAGTCTTCTTAGGTAGTCTTCTGAGGTGGTCTTTTTAGATGAGCCTAGGTATCTGCATATAAAAAGAGGGAGTCAAAGACTCGTCAACCTCTAGTGGCTTGACCCAGTGTGCTGAGATCTGCATATCCATTGTTCTTCACTTTTCAATTCACCTTAGGCTCTACGAATTGGTGTTATTGCTGTACCATCTATTGCCCTTCCAATGCAACAGCATTGTCGGAATGAAGCTAGCACCTATAATCAAAGCAGTGACAACGCCAGAGCTATTAGCAATCCCGACGCTCTCGAACATAGACGTGAACCTGAAATAACTATCAGCTGTTATAGCTTTCAAAAATTAGCAATCAGGTCCACTTACCAAAAAGGTCCAATGAATCCCCATGTCGAGCGTATAAAGTTGATGAATACCCCAACACTGCCTGCATCCTGGGGATACATATCCACTGCATAGGTAGTGAGCACAGTGGTGACAACCTGATTGCCGAAAGCAGCAACGCCAGTCCCAACCACTGGCCTGATATCCAATTTCCCAGCGGTAGCTTTCTCAGTGCATACCAAAAAAATAACCATGCCAGCGATGCTGAGCAGGAAACCAATATAGCTCAGCCAGAGTCGGAACTCTGGTGCAGGCTTGCGGCCAATCTTCCGCGCACGAGTATTCATCCACATATCTGACATGAACCCGCCTAACTGTTCGCCCAATAGGGAACCGATAATCAAGCCGAGGAACAGCAACCCGAGTTGCTGGGCATTGAGTTCGAACTTGCTTTGCAGCAGCTGGGGAACCTCGACCGAGTTCAGGACTGAGGCGAAGAGGAAGACCATGGAGTAGGCAATGGCGACAAGCATAACGGGGATGTTTGTAATCAGGGTCAGGGGGTGCCAGAACTCGGTCATCTTGAACGGGGTTGGGTCGATCCGTCGGAGGGACAGGTACTCTGTCTTGAACGCAGAGGACCGGGACTGCACGTCGGCACCGATGTAACGGGTCTCGGGTCCGAAAAAAACGTAGAGGATGAACTCGACAGCATTGGTCTGGATATACGATCAGTAATGGTATTTTAGCTTCCTTGGCTGAATACTCACAATGGCCAAGATCCAGTAGATCCAGCGGTATCCGACACGCTGAGTCACAAATCCAAAAATGAAAGGACCAACTGGCACACCCAAGGTCACCATGAGAGTCCAAACACCCATGTAACGCGCTCTCTCATGTTTGAAGAATGTCTCTGTGACAACAACGCTACCAATTGCCATAGCAGGCGAGATAAAGAATGAAACCAGAGCTCGGCATGCCGCCATGGAAGCGTAGTCTGTGCTCTTTGCACAGCCAATGTTGCAAACACAGCTTAGTATCAACGACAGGAGGAAAATTGGGCGTCTTCCAAAACGGTGTGAGAGCGGTTTCCAGAATAATGGGGCACCTCCCAGAATTGCGATCTGCAGAGAGGTCAAGTAGCTGACTCGTTGGATAGAAACTCCTAGATCTTTCGCAATATCTTCATAGGCACAGATAATGGCTGCCGCGGTAAAGGTACCCATGCAAGCATGAAACGCGACGAGGCCCAAGTTGGTTGATTTCTGTCATGTTTGTCAGCTTGAAATTCGGAAAACTGTGCCATTGCCACCGACCTTCCATGAGGGCCAGTTGTATGGATCCGCCGAATCCATACTAGGAATCGGATCAAGGTCCAGGGTACCATGTCGTTCAATCAAGTACGATTTGTGCGACTCTGAAAGAAGTGCAGCCGGGTCAGAGAGGTCGACACCGATCTCCTTCTCCATTGCGTAATCCGAATCGTGTTTCGGATGGGCAGCCCCAGAGGTAGCATGATCGGGTGAAGCCATAGTGCAGAATATCATACAAGATAGCAGGCCATGTTAGAATCATAGAAAAGGGGGGGAAAGTGTCAAACTAAATAGATCCATTTAACCCCGCAGCCTCAGGGGGATTCGTAATCGGTATTCCGGGGTATGGGGCCGTTGCTGGGGGAGCTGGGGTAGGAGTGGACTCTTAAAGTCGATAAGAGGTTTCAGTGGATCCATCTTGACGTCTGGTGGCCTTGTCGGTAGTTATAGAGATGATGTATTTGCCAAAAAAATACAGGAATTTTAGTGGTATTCGAGGGCATCCGTGTTACGGGAGTTGAGACATCTTACTACAGGGTATTGGCTAGTCTGGTAATGGGGATGAACCAAATACAACAGGCCGAGGTCGAGGATACAGTGCCAAGTGCCGAACTACTACTCCGTCTTCCTTAGTGTAAGTTTTTAACATACTTTGCCTGGCCAAGCCGGCTAAGCAGATCGCAGGGAATGGTAAATGTGCTTAATCCACCAGGCGCTAACCCCATTGCGGCTTTGATCACAATTATGGTTCCAAGGCTGTAGGAATAATACTCCCGGGATATGTTGGCCAAATGACACAATAGACAGCCACGAGACATGGAGATGACTTGTTTTGTGAGTGGGCGTCAGTTCATATGTGCTAGGGACTAGAAGTGTCTACAGTGTGTCCTAAGAGCTGACGGAATATGTGCTGTGTCTCACGACGCCTGACTCCGCGGGGCGGGGGAAGGGTTCGGATCAAGCTGGATAAGTAGAGGGCGAGTAAACTTGGGTTTATACGTTCTCGGTAGGATCTATAATAACTACTACTAGATAGATATGATGAATGATTTCTCTTAGGACTATTATGTAGGACCAAAGGTAGGAGAAAGAGAGTTGTGTTCGAAAGGAGACAAAGCCACCTACCTAGTTAACTGAGGGGTTGCTGCCTGAGGTACTAACTCCAACAACTTCACATCGACATATATCAGACCAGTCCAAACCACCTCAACGTCTCCTGCACTTGTGTCGGCACAACATGCCCCACTCCGTCTGCCAAGTACGACTCAAACTGGGTTCCATTTCCGTAAATAGACCGCGTATACCCATCCAACGGATCATTCTTCCGTTCCTCAGTTATCCCAACCCCAAAAACAGTCGTCCACTGCTTAATCTCCTCCTGCAAGTCCTGCAGATTAAGAACCTGATCCAAGCCCATCCATGGAAACATGGCATTCTGCATGGTTCTTTTCGCAAAGGGGCCTCAATATCCCGAAATGTCCTTCGTTTGTATCAGATTTTCCACCGTATAGCCGCCTAAACTGAACGTTCCACAGTCTATTTGCTGCCCAATCTTCCGATACAATGCCATCAATGCCTTCCTATCTTCTTCGTCGCAAGTTGGGCGCAGATATTCCGGGCCCAAATCGCCGATGCCGCCATGGAATCCCATATATCGGTCTTTCTTGAAGGCCGGCACAATATCCATTTCCCTTTCAAATGGCAACACAAATTTATCCCACTCCGGATTGATCCCAAATCTAAAGTGATGGAGATGCGGAAGGCTTTTCTCAATCGCGACGAAATAGTCATACCACCGATGTGGATAATGATGTTCAAGCTTCCAGTCCCCGTTGCGTTGCAGGCCGGATTTATCTTTGGGGCAGTGGGAGAGCTCCTGTTCGCTGTCATTCATTACGACATGAAACAGGATAGGGCAGTTGTTGAGATAAAGCTCCTGTAGTGTGGAGTGAGAGGTGATCCAGTCCAGCTGTTTGTCTTCGTAAAAAGAGAAATTGCCAAGAGTGAGCGACTTCAAATTAGGGAAGTGAATTCCGTCCAGTTTAACATGGGGATAAAAGCCCCAGTACATGCTAGAGTACAGAGAAAGTTTTTGGAGCGATCCCATTGCGGGCTTAAGCCAGTATGCTGACAGTGTGTATGTGAAAAACTGATGTGGCTCGTATTTCTGTCAAACGTATCGTCAAATCAGTACGCATAATCACGAGGAGGTTAGCATAAGCGGTAATAAGCGATGACGCACAGATATCTCAGTATCGGGAGAGGCATCATCTGTTTCATGTACCATATGGAGTCTTAGAGACGTCAGCGTGCTCAGCACTTTGTCCATCTGATCCAAAATATTTCCCGGGGGTGGAGCTATGTTCTGATGATTCTGGATCGCGAGTTCTTTCAACGGTCGCTGCAAAGACACTAATTCCGCAAAGAGCCATTTCAAAACAGTAGGCCGGTATAGCTCTGTCTGGGGCTTGTCGGCAAAACAGGGATCAACGGAACAGTGCTTGTCGAAGCGCAGAGCAACACTTTCCAGATTTGAAAGTTCTGATAACATCGGTAACAGCTCTCCCCATTGTCGGGGTGGGTCGGTTTCTCCTTCCAAGTCGGAATCCAATTGTGTCGCAGATCAGCCAGCTATTACAGAACCAAATACCGGCAAACATCGATTATTGATGCTTATCAAGCGGTCATATCTCACTCACATAGTCGCAATCCACGGTGTTGAGGTAGAGCTTGCGCACGTGTTCTTTCACCCGTGGGTGTGGTATGATGGGCTTAAATGCCTCGCAGCTTCCCTCCTCGTCGTACAATGAGATAATGCGGAATATATATCTTATTGCGAAGTCGCATAGCGTCCGGTTTGTTAGCCTCAAAGCCTTGAGGGCTTCTGAATCCACCAGAGATCCGATCATGGCAAGCAGTTTCAGAGGGAGAGAGAGTAGTGCTGCCATCTTCTGTACTAGGTTGTAATAGCCCACTGGATACAGAGTACGGAGGGGGAAAATGGGTTAATTGGTGCAAATGTTCCCGGCATTTTCCAGGTATCTGTAGGCAGAAGGGGGTTGAAAGACTCGGCGTTAGTGCTTGGGCCCGGGAGCGAGAAACGATTCTATAATATTCACCTATGAAATTGTATAGGGGAATGAAGATTGGCAAAAGTCTTTGGGTAAGCCCTGGACACGCGACATAGATATTTATTAAGAAGCAAGTATTCTAGAAGCATAAAAAGTTCTGACAGTTGGAGCACCAGTTCGCGCTAAGATATAAACCATTTAAGCAGCTTCCAAAAATAGAGTAGTGTAACCGCAGGGATGTATAATGTAGGGTAGACTTAGTAGACTTTATACCTCTATTACCTCTACTCCGTACCCCGTATTACCTCCTTAATATGTGGATATGTAGCAAATATAATGCAAATAAACCCTGTCTAGGTACAATCCCCGTCTCTTATCTCCAGCCTATCACCTGTAGAAATATTTTAAGTGGACCAAGTTCCTCCTGAATCAGGGTCTATCTCGTTCTAAAACACAATGATAATACATTGAATAATGAATATATGCTTATCTCGTGACGAAAATGGCTAATAACCTTTGGTCTGTACCTAGGTAGCCCCAAGATTGAGGCGCAAGCATCCTATCAGAAGTTCACCCGAGTCCGCGTTATCGGGGATTCCCCGAAGAGGCCCCGATTTTATTCTTTGGGTAGGCCAATGGTGATCAATCTATATCAACTAAACAAGGTTCATCTTTGACTTTCTCCGCCACCTCCTGCCGTTTCGCCTCGTATCTTCCTCGGCTTTAACATATATCCCCTTCCCCCAGGTTTTCCCATCCCCCGGAACTTTCTTTCGCTTCTTGTACATACATGTTCTTCTTCTCCTGGCCCTATTTCGGCCTCGCGATGTGTATTCCATAATTGCGCAATACCGCCGCTTCCACCAACAGCGATGTCCTCATGTCGCTTGCCGACATCCCCGGCAGCGTTGTCAGCCTCGCTGATCGCTCCGTCGGTGACAAATTCGCGGAGCGTACTATAGTCGCCTGCCTCATCGGCATTTCCTGGTATAATGCCTTGGAATTGATCGTTCTGTGCTTCACCACCTTCAAGAGATATAGCGGGTGCTATTTCTGGTCTCTTCTCATCGCCTCCTTCAGTATCATCCCTTTTAATCTCGGATATCTCCTCATCATCTTCAACATATACACCAACAGGTTCCCCTATGTGATGGAGCTAGTTGCTTGGGTCGGGATGGTAACAGGCCAGTCACTAGTCCTGTGGTCTCGATTGCATCTTGTCTGCCACAGCCGAGCCGTCCTCCGCGCCACTCTCGCCATGATAATCATCAACGCGATCATCCTACACATCCCTGGCTTCGTCCTCGAACTCGGCAGCCATTCGACCAACTCCGCCCTCTTCATCGACGGGTTCAACATCTTCGAGCGCATCCAATTGGTCGGATTCTCCATACAAGAAATCATACTCTCCATCATTTACTCCTGGGAAGCTGTGCGACTACTGAATCTCCGCCCAAGAGCCCAGTACCGAGGTACTCTGGTCCAACTCCTAATCGTGAACGTCGTCATGATTATCATGGACGCTGCCATTATCGGAGTACAGTACTCGGGCTTCTTCGATATCCATGTCACCCTCAAGGGAATGGTATATAGTATCAAGCTCAAGCTGGAATATGCGATCCTGGGCAAATTGGTGCACATCACCGAGGTGGGTGGCAGCAGCTCGGCTGACACCGACCTGTCGGATTTCCTGGATCTTACTTTACATAATGCCCGCACCGCGCAGCCGGATAGCGACATCTTCGCGGAGAATCCAGAGTACGTCCCGCACAATCGTCGTATGCGAGTGTCCTCCAAGGGCTCCTCCAAGGGCTCATCCACTGACCCGCTAAGAAGGAGTCTCTCCGCTGCCCAGAGTCCGAGTTCGGGTAGCCCAGACTACTCTTGATGATTTCACATGTAAATAATGATGTTTGTACGTAGCAACTACTCAATATATAATACACCACATACCCATACTCCGCCTGACCAGTCGAGTGTTAAATGTCTCACCTATAATGAGGGGAAAGTAGTGCCCCCTCACCCCTCATCTCGTATCGTCGGACACCGCCGCAAACTTGAACATATCAACCCGTCAAACCGATCACGATATAACAATCCACAATCCCCAATCCACTGAACCTACTCAGATATCCTCACCCACCTATCGACCCAACCTGAACCCAAATCCACAATACAAACCATACCTCGCAATGACCACTCCCAACGCAATCCCTCTAACGCCCCTAACCCAACCCCAACTCACCGCCGCATCCCACGCAGTCCTCCACCACCAAGCGCAAGCACAAGACCTCCACAAAAAGCGACCCTTCGCAGCAATCCTCCTAGCCCCAGACAACGAAACAATCCTCCTCTCCTCGAACTCCCTCTCGCACGTGCGACACGCGGAAAGCGAGCTCGCGCGCAACGCCGCAGACAACTACGACTGGGCGTACCTGGCGCGCTGCACGCTGGTGTCGACCTGGGAGCCGTGCGCGATGTGCGCGGGTACAATCTACTGGGCGCATATTGGGCGGCTGGTGTATCTGGCGTCGGAGAAGGCGTTGATGGAGGTCATTGGTATTGGGAATCTGGAGAATTTGACGCTGGATTTGCCTTGTCGCCGGGTTTTTGAGAAGGGGCAGAGTGTGGTAGAGGTTATTGGGCCATTGGTTGAGGAGGGGTGGGAAAGGAGGGTTGTGGAGGATAGTAGGCGGTATTGGGGGAGGGGGGATTAGATATTGGATATTAGTCTTGGTTGGGTATGTTTGGTGTGTGCTGCTCAAAGTGGTATTTGTCTACATCATACAACGACCTTGGTGTTGACACATGTATGGAATTGGATTGGTAGTGGGTCTTGGACTGGGTACTGTGGACCTTGGAGCTAGTTGGGGGTTAGTGGTATTTTCATGGGGCTCTCATGGTGTTGTGTTGTCGAGATATTGTATGCCTATCGCCTGGTGTTGGTGTTGGCGGATGGTAACGTGTTGATGAATCGTCTGTGAGCGCCACGTACTTCATAATTACACTGCCTTGGAAGCTTTTTGTAAAGTCAGTTTCCTCGAGAAACATGTCGAGTACATTGTTGCGGACGTAGGACGAATTGAATGGCCGAGAAAAGAGATCCAAGACTTTTCTTTCTAGCGTCGCGTAGAAGCGCTATTAGAGTGCCCCGAGAAAATACTAGCCGACGATCAGGTTCCAGGAGAGGGCCTCCACTGGGATATGATTTGGAATCATCGACTCTAGTTGTCTTTCATGTGATCGCCCGTGACTTGCATCTGGCAACGATCAATGCACATCAGTGAATCAAACTCGATCAAAGTCGATCAAAGTCAAGATAAAGACATCAAGTGTGTCCCCAGGTGGAAACAGAATGGAGACGCTATCCTCTATCTAGTAAAAGAGTGGGTGCACTGCCCCATAGAAGCCACACCCCTTTTTTGGAGGTGGCTGAAAGCTTGACCTTCTAGAACCGTGACTCGGATCTCCTATGTTAAGCACGTGAAAATCCAATGCGTACACACCGCTAAGAAGTCCACATGAATGCAATCGAGTGTCTCTCCTATGTCGTATTGAAGATCCGAAGTGTTGACGTCAAGTTGAGCAGAGTCTGATATCGCGGACCCACATGGGCCCATGGATGATGATGGAACGCGTGTGCCAAGACCTCGATCTTGTCGACCTTGGAAGTTTGTAGATCTTGTTTATGGGATTTTCTGGGATTTTACTTGGGAAGCCCTAAGGCTGCATCCCTCTAGCTCGGAAAAGTACTAACCTTGTGGAGATGAAGTGGATGACGTGGATCTGGAGCTGGAGTACGGAGTACCCAGGAGGTTAATATGACCTTACATATGACACAACTTATATAGCACCCACCTAGCAAATCAGATATAATTAATATAATTGAAATGTTCTATGCTAATTGTGACAAAAAAAAAAAAAAAAAAAGCCGTGAATAAGACTGGGAGGGAGCAAATGTCCGTGTTCGTGGCCAAAAGAGTGACACGACAGAATGACGTCAAGTGTCGATCATCAATAGCTATAGCACTACCTAGGCCAGAAGAGCTCTTCTTTAGGTAACAGAGAGAAGATTTTGTCGTGTGTTCCTTGTAGTAGGGATCATTGCCTGGTTCCTCTTCCCTCTGGGTCCCCCTGGTCATCATAATGGCGCTATGTCCCTTATTCTTTTATATTCCGTCATCCCTTCCCTCTTCCTGAATTTTCTTTTCATATTTTCCTTCATTCCAGTGATACCCCTTGTTTTGTGCCTACACATAGGTTCAATAAATATAGTTAATTCTCAGTGAGTGACCCTTGTTTGTTACCAATGCAAACAGAACCTCTAACCCTGTCCTTTAGTTCATACATAATACCTCTCTAGATATCTCATCCCCTCATCATTGGTCTTTGATACATACTTCATCATGTCTGTGAACGTTCCTACCAATCCCAAGCAGAAGGAGAAGGTATGTGTGACAATGCGACCCCATTGAAGCCACCACTGACAAGGAATCCCTCTAGGATATCAACCAGAAGCTCCAATTCTTTGGTATCTACCATGGTAAGTTAAGCTTCACATCGCCCCAATTGATCATTGCCATACTAACTATCTCTGCTGTAGCCTTCAAGAATAGCAAGCTCCCCTCGGTCCGTCTCAGTCCTCTTCTATCGCCACTGGCCTTGCCACACTTGCTAACTAGGTCTCTTCCTTCCACAGAACAAGCAATGCGACGTCGCTTTGAACAGTGCCCTGAACTCTAAGGCCCTCTCATCTCCACCCAAGGAACTCTCATCCGACGGAAAGACCCTTGTGGCAGATCTGCGCAATGTCATTGACGCAGCTAAGAAGATGCTCTTGGTCAAGAACGAGGGTGAACTCCTGCAGGACTTTGTCTGGCAAGCCCAGAAGATATCAGGCGAGGGTGCCAAGCGCCCTGGCCTCCCCATCGAGAAGGACGCCGGTCAGCAAGATGCTAGCAAGGTCATTGATGGCCTGAAGACTCTGGGCTCACTCATGATCACCAACGGAGAGTTTAGAAAACTACGTAAGTAAACTTCCGTCCGCGGATCACAGGCATTTCCTAACAACGCGCAGTGAACGATGCCATGACTCTTGGCAAAGACATTGCTGCCGATGCTTCTCAAAAGGCCGCCAACCAGGTCCGCCCCTCCGAAGAGGAGCTCTCGCAGATCGATCAAGCTGCAGAGGAAAACGTTTGGCACGAGAAGCCCAATGTCTCCAAGGATGACCTGAAGTCCAAATTCAAGAAGACCAAGGCCGTATGTATCCCTGATGCGCCCTCAATTTGCACATACTGACACTAGCTCAGCAGAAGGGAAGCGCTGCTGAGGCTTCCGCTGCGGTCGGCGAGGAAGAAGCTGGCGTGTCACCGCAGAACAAGAAGAAGGAACTTTCCGAAAAGACCAAGAACTACTTGTCCGAGAAGATTCCCAAGGAGCGTCGCGAGCAGACTGTCTGGCGCCTGAAGAAGATGATCATTGAGATTCAGGGTCATGCTGACTGTAAGTCAGCCATAATCTCTATCGATGGCGAAGATTACTAACAAATTACGCAGACCAGCAAGCCGTTGAGACCTTGTTGGGCCTGGCCGAGCAATACGCCGGACACACCAAGGAAGTCTCCAAGCAGGGCGGTAGCTCTGCCCGTAACGTCCTGAAGACCGACGATGTTAAGGCTGTTCAGTACAACTTGCGCACTCTTATCGAACGCTTTGCCAACCACACCTCTCTGGACAGCTTCTTCGAGTCGCTAAACACCATTTACCGCGATGCTGAGAAGGATCCCGAACTCCGAAATTGGTTCAAGAATGTCGACACCTTGATTCGGTATGTGAATTGGAACACTTTCCTAAGAATAAAAGCTGACCAGATATAGCAAATCTCTGCGCGAGCAGGGCTTCATCATGGAGGACGAATGCAACCGCCAGTGGAACGAGATTTACGATAAGGGCCGTTACCTCCTGCGCGAGCGTTACCGCGGTCACTCCGACCGTGTTGTCGACGAGGTCAAGTTCATGGCCGACCAATTCGAGCAGGACCCGCAAAACCAGGCCCTTGCTGAGTCGTTCCAGAAGCTGTTCAAGGATCTGGGCCACGATGGCAGTGGCAAGCCCACCTTCAAACCGGACCTTCTTCGGGATCTCCGCGATATCATCATTCCCCACATTTTCGAGAATGTCCGCTACGTTCCAATCCCCCGTATCGAGGTTTCGGATCCCATGATTGATGTTGTGGTCGAAAACCTGTGCATTGAGGGTGACAACCTGATGCCCAACATTGTGGAGTTCAGCAGCGACAACTACTTCCGCTGGGGTCGCAAGAAGATCACCAGCAAGCGTGATAATAAGATCATGATTTCCATGTCTGGCATCCAAGCTGATCTGCGCGATGTCAGCTACTACATCAAGAAGAAGGAGGGCTTCCCCGCCATCACCGATCGTGGTGTTATGGATATCCTCCTCGGTGGTGAAGGTATCAGCGTCAAGATCGCTGCTTCTACCGCCCAGCAGAACGACAAGGAGCACTTCTTCAAGCTCGACAATGTGCATGTGAGCATCAACAACATGAATATCAAGCTCAAGAAGTCCAACCACAAGCTGCTCTTCAAGACCTTCAAGCCCATGCTGTTCCGCGTTGTCCGGCCTGCTCTGCAGAAGGTGGTCGAGGGCCAGATCCGCGAGGCCTTCAGAAAGGGCGACCTCTTCGCCAAGGATATCCACACCGAGGCCAAACGTGCCCAGGAGGCCGCCCGCGAAGATCCCGCGAACGCGCCCTCAATCTTCTCTCGCTACGCCGATGCCTTCCGCGCTCGCGCCCAAGCCAAGGCCAAGCAGGTCGAGGGCGTTGTCCAGCGCGGCACCAAGGTCCAAACCGTCATGACCCTCCACGATTCCATCTTCCCTGACATCGAGCTCCCCGGTGCTGTATCCACCAAGGCCACCGAGTTCGCCGATATGGCTGCCAAGGGCGAGCGCTGGGAGTCCCCCATCTTCAGCGTCGGCAACGCATCCGAGTCCACCGGCATCCCGTCCGCTGGCCCCATCACCAACAAGCCCCACGGCGCCAGCACCCACGGTGCAGGTGCCGCCGGAGTTGCTTCCGCCGCGGGTGCCTCTGGCGCCACCACAGCCGCCGCTGCTAACACTGGCAACGCCACCAATGGCAGCAAGGCCTCCGGATACCCGGCCCGTGGCTTCTCCGATGAGGTTGACAAAGCTTTCGTCGATGGCAAGACCCAGAACTTGGGTGAGGGCATTAAGCATGGTGCTGATGGTACTAATGGCGCCAACGGAGTCACTAACCCAACTACCATCCACAATATTGGAACCACCGTCTAAACTGAATGTGGCCAAAATCGTTTTTGACATTCGTGTAACGTCATTTTCTTTCGTCTCTTGATATCTTTGTTTCTTTGCTATGATTTCCCCTTGTGCACTACAGATGTATTTTTTTTTTGTACTAGTATTAGTTAACGGTAGCCTAATAAATAATGCCACCGTTGTCTGCGTTGATCAGTATCATTCTGGATTGAACTCGAGTTTTGATCAGAGCTAAGAAATTTAAAGTACTCCAGATCCATGGAAGATAAATAAGCTTAAAAGTCATTCATTGTCGTCTATAAAAAGAAGTAAAACTGAACTTCACTATACAAAGAAGCCCAGCGAAGGTAAAATCCCCACATATTTCTCTTTTTCTTTTGGCGTCCACTTTCGTATAAAAATCTCGTATCAAATCACAAATCACAAATGTCTACATCCTTATCGTCTACATCTGATCAAAGTACTTCTGCCACCCCAACTCGCGCAACTTGGTACCCTTCAACTCCATGTTTTCAGCACGGGCAGCCTCGGCGTACGTCTCGACCTTGCGCTGGATAGCCGGGTCGAAAGAGCCAAGCACACGCGCGGCGAGGAGGGCAGCGTTGATGCTGTTGTTGATACCGACAGTGGCGACGGGGACGCCTATTACGAAATGTTAGATATAGATCAGGTAAATGGGTGTAAAAAGGGAATAAAGAAGTTGAGTAGATCGGGACAACAAACGTACCACGCGGCATCTGCACAATGCTGTACAGACTATCGACGCCGTCGAGCGAGCTCCCCTTAACCGGCACGCCGATAACAGGGAGGGCAGTGTGAGCGGCCGCCATACCGGGGAGGTGGGCAGCGCCACCGGCGGCAGCGATGATCACCTTGATACCGCGCGAAGCAGCCTGGCCCGCATACTCGGCCATGTAATCGGGCGTGCGGTGAGCAGAGGTGATCTCAACCTCAGGCTCGATACCGAAGTAGTCACGCAGCAACTTGAGGCCCGGGACGAGGGTCTTCAGGTCGCTGTCGGAGCCCATGATGACGGCGACGGAGGGGACGGGCTTAGAGGGACCGGAGGGGGCAGCCTTGGTTTTGATATCGGGACGCTGGGCGCGCATGGAGTCGACGACGTCGACGAGGGGCTGGATCATGGTCTCGGCTTCGTGCATAGTCGCGGCGGTGACGGTGACGTGGCCCATTTTGCGGCCAGGCTTTGCGTCGCCCTTGCTGTAGAGGTGGATGCTGGCGTTGGGGATGGAGAGGGCCGCTTGGGTGGCCTTGAGGTGGGAGTCGGGGGTTGCGCCGCCGATGATGTTGAGCATGATTGAGGGCTGGAGAAGCTCGAGGCTCTTGGGTGGGATGGGCAGGTCGAGGATCGCGCGGATGTGGCTGTCGAATTGGGACAGTGCGCAGCCTTCGATTGTCCAGTGGCCGGAGTTGTGGATTCGGCTTGCAAGCTCGCAGAGCATGAGGCTGTTGTCTTCTAGGAGGAACATCTCCACACCGAAAGCGCCTTTGCCTTCGAACGCGGAGACGGCTTTGCGGGCGAGAGCTTGCGCTTGCTGGTTGATGGCATCGGGGACGTTGCGGGCTGGCGCATACACCAGCTTGCATATTGAGTCCTCTTGGACAGTCTCAACGGTGGGGTAGGAGAGGACGTCGTCCTTGGTTTTGATAACCATGACGGCGAGTTCCTGTATACAAGTTGTATTAGAGACGTGTGTGGTGTGATGTTCAACTGCAGGTACAAACCATCTTGAAATAGGCCCATTTTTCGGAGTAGAGAGGGCGGTCCTTCAAAGCCTCGAGGGCCTCTGGAATATCTTCTTTGGAGTTGACACGGAAGTTGCCTTTCATACTGTCAACAGAACTGTATATCCTCTCGGCATCATCTATGACTCACCACGTCCGTCGTATGCCATAGTCTTCGACTTCAACATCATCGGGTAGCCCAACTGCTCTCCAATCTGAGCCAATTCCTCAGGCGTGTTGTTCACCAGTTCTCGGTGGTCGGCCATAGGGATTCCATATTTGCGGAGGTGTTCCTTCTGGTTGAACTTGTTCTGGATTGTCCGGATAGCCTGCCAGCTGGGTTCCACCCGTACCTTCGACGCAACCTCCTCAAGAGCGTAGGTGTCGACGTGCTCAATCTCGGCAGTGATGACATCGCAAGTCTCAGCCAATTTTCGCACGGCGTCAGGCTCCTTGAAGGAGCCGGTAACATGGCCATCGTGGGCACTGATCTGCTTGGCGGGAGAGTTGTCGGCGTCCAAGATATTGGCCTGAATGTTCAATCGGTTGGCGGACTCGACGAGCATGCGGCCCAGTTGGCCACCACCGAGGATTCCGACCTTAGGAGAGTTCCACATGATGTCGGATCGAAGGGTTAAATGAGTCAATTAATCGAGATATGTCAAATGAAAGATCGACGGTGCCCCTCAACTCCGAAAATTCGCGGAGAGTCACGTGGCGCTATCGATAAGCTTAGGCCAATCACACATGTCGACTGCCGCGCCCTCGTCGCAGCTTCGACTCTCTGTTTCTCCATGCACAGCTGACTAGACAATGTCTCTGGGTAGGTTTGCCATCACAGTCGCAGTCTCAGTCTGAGTTGCAATAGACCTTGCTGATATCAAAATTATAGACGAGGAAGCTCTCCAAACAGCCGCCAATGGCGGCCAGATGGATTTGTACGTGATACTGTCACGCCAAGATCCCTAAACGCTTCTGAGGCTAACGCGCTGATACAGAGAGAGATGGAACGGCATGGCTGGGCCACTGATTGAGCGACTGGAATACGTGCGCTATACTTCGATCCCCCTCGCCGACTTATCTAACCAGTAGCTCCAGATCGTGTACAATGTGTTCCCCATGCCTCAAGCGCGCCCCGACCCCATCGGCCAGCCTTTATTTCCCAACCATTCTTCTCAGGCAAATTCCATCCCACCCGAAAGCAGCAACAAGGAAAACACCTCCCCCGCCGATATCCAGACTTTACCCCAGGCAGCGCGAACTGGCTCTCCCCCGTCGAGTGAGCGAGTGCCAGAGTCGCAGCCCCAGCCATCTGGAGCGAGCACGGATGGCCAGCTTCCACCCCCGCTTGCATTTCTTTTGAGCGCCATCCGCTCATCGATTAAATCCTTCTTCGAGGATAAACCTCCACACACCATTCAGAGACTCGCAGAGCTGGTCCTCTACCCGACCAAGCACTATAGAACGCTACCCGCATACCTACGTGCTGTCGATCGCGTTGTCTCAGTGACAAGCTCCGCAGATGTTTTCCCATTCCAAACGCCGGCTGTCACGAATGCTCCAACAAACGGGCTAGTGCTTCCTGGCAATAGCAGCGGGGTATATACGGCCCCGGACTTTGCCCACGGTCTTGGGAGCGATGAATCTCTGGGCGGTGCGCTACTTACTCCGATCCCGTGGTTAACCAATGCCTCGTTCGAAGGCGAGGATACCAATGGAGATGCAGGCATACTAGTTAAGGGTACTTTTATCTATTATTACCGAGCCACTGCTTTCCTGTTCACTAACGTTTTCTCCCAGGCACTGAAGCTTTACCTACACAGCCCCAGGAGGAGCCGAGCACCACAACCCTAGTAACCACCGAAGCCGAAGAAAGTGCTACTACCGCCTCACCAGAGCCATCTGACGAGGTCCCTCACGCCCGTGGTCCAATCCTCCTCGGCGTGGAAGACATGGGTCTGCAAGACGGCAAAGGCGTCGAGATGCGTCTTTCCGGAGACGGTGCCGCCGATGTCCCGGCTGCTGCTGCTGCCACTGCTACCCAGGCAATGGAAGAACAAGAAAAGGCCGGATCAACTGGCGACAAGGACGGTGATATTGTGCTTGCAGACACCAAACCGAATGAAGAGGAAGAAGCCAAGAATGAAGGCCTTTCTACAGAGCCCCAAACAGGCAATGCAGAGTCTGAACCAACTGGTGATTCATCCCAAGCGCCGGACGCCGAGAAGAAAGCATGAGCGGTTTATTGGTTTTTCACGGTTTATTGGTTTTTCAATATTTTCTCCTCTTCTGATTTTCTCGGTTGGTTTTATCCTGAGTTCTAGCATCATGAGTAACGACCTACAAGATTATATCGATCATTTTCAATGAAAGGCTTTTGTAATGCCTCCATCTCTCTATAAACAGCTCAAGCTTGGTGGTTTAATGAGACGAAGCTCCCTGTTGTATTCCTTCCAACTATATGCTTTCGAGGTTAATGAGTGCCTAGTGCGTGCTCCCACTTCATTCAAATCCAAAACGGTCCTTTCAGGCCACCATGGGGATCATATCGCCGCTTGATCTCCTGTAGCTTCTCAAAGTTCCCGGCATATATCTCAATCCCGTTGTCAGCTTTCCAATCAATAGAAGAAAACAAGTTTGCTTACCTTTCTTGGATCATTGAACTTCTCAAGTGAATGAGTGAAGTAATCCAATTCACCTCGTTCATCGTGTCCACATATAAAGGACGGTGCCGCTCTGATCTCTCTGTAGGCCAACTCTCTGCTCTCTTTGAGATTGGATGGAGCACCAGTCCCAATCTGCAAAATAGACTGACCGAGCGTGCCCGGCCAGGCTCGCAGTATCGGATCTACCGAATGAAAAGCTGGCTAGAACCATGGAAACAGATCAGCAAATGCAGTTTCCTTGTTAAGAAGGTAATCTTAGATTGCATTACCTTCTGCATAAATTCAATCAAGAAAAAAGTCCCACCAAGAGAAAGAGATGGGTCCTTCAGGGTCAAACTCTCAATCCAGTGCCACGCCTTCGAAAGGAGTTGTTCATCAACGTTAGGAATGAGGATACAAGACTGGAAGCTTGCAGTTTTCCCTTTGGCAGCTTGGATACCATCTTAGTTTTGATGTCAGCTTATTCGTATCACATCGGCATTTTCATGGGCTTACCCCAAATTTGGTTACACTGTCGAATTGTCATGGAACTCGTTTCATCAATGGCGCCTTCAATATCCAAAGCCCAACCGAATCCCTCTGTACCTCTCCCGTGTGTTTCTCCATGTGCATCAAAGACCTGAAGACCAATACCCGGTTTTGGAGTGTCCCCCACATAGTGACCTAGGCTAAGGTCGAGGGCGAAGATGTGCATTGCCATCTTCGGATCCTTGCACTCCGAGGTAAATCTTGAAATGGCCTTTGCAACGACAGAAAATGCCTCCCTTGGATAGGATATTGTGCCAGAATAGATTTTGTTCGGGTAGGGGTAAACTCGCAGTTTGACCTCTACCAATACTGTATCTGGAAAGTAAGCAGACAGTTCATATCTATGCCAGTCTTGAACCTTGCCTGACCTCCAAAACTGCCACCGCCACCTCTCAATGCCCAAAGTAATTCCGGCTCAGTGGACGCCCACAAAATCCTGCCGTCAGTCAAGACGACCTTTGCGTCTAGCATATTGTGCGGGTCAGCAGCGAGACCTTTCTCAGAGGATAGCCAAGATATTCCGCCTGCGAGTATGGAGCCGCCAACGCCGACGAATGCGCAACGAGTGCCAACCACTGTGATTTTTATTTAGCCTTTGCACTATCTATAACAGAAAGACTGGATGTACCAGCATGGCCAGGGGCATTTTCCTCAACTTTTCGATCTACTTCTCCCCAGGTTTGCCCAGCACCAATAACCACCGTCTGGTCTTCTGCGTTGTATTCGAATTTATCGAAAGCAGACACCGAGATCAGCACATCGCTGGCAGATGAGGACCCCACCCCAGTACATCGGACCGCCCAATCCAGATTAGAATGTGTTAAGAAAGAAAGCAAAGCTGCCAGAGACGAAACCGTGCTGGGCCGAGCGATGATCTTGGGCTTCAAGTCTTTCTGGGCCGCCCAAGTGCAACTCTCTCTTTCGTAAAGCGGAGAAGCTGGAAAGATTATTTCCGAGGAAGAGAGCGGAAGTTCAGCAACGAAATTCTGGGACATTTTTTCCATAGAATAAAATCGAGGATTTATGAAGTGAAAAAGATGAAACTGATATAGACCCCAGTATATATTCATTGATGGCAAAGCGTTCCAGATACATTACGTCATAGACTCATAGACTGGTGTGTGGTTAGTACAACATGAATAGGCAAAGGAGCGACCGTTTTCCAGTCGATTCATTCACATTTAGATTCACATTCACATTCATAGCGATACCTCGATCTTTGAGCGACAAGACCTAGAAGGTGTTTGCAGTCTAAAAATCTATCTGAGAAGACTATCATAAAAGACTACTAACAAAGACTTGACAAGGCCGCATAAGCGGGCCTCATATACATAATTGTGACTAAGCACTCACCTACACCCTTTCCCGGTGTAGGTGAGCCCACACCTATTAACAAACCCATACCTGTTAACAAAAAAATCAACATTTCAATTTTAAACCTATTTTTTACCATCAAAACCATGCCGAATTCCTCCGAAAAAGAAGAGATTCTTCTCTCAAATGCCCTCGAATCCTATAAATCAGGCCAATTTACTAGTATTCAGGCCGCAGCCTCTCATTTTGGCGTCTCAAAGTGGAAGCTTCGAAACCGAAAGGACGGTAGAACAAATGGAAAAGGCCGTGCAGCTACCAAAAAGGCCCTAAATTCCTCACAAGAGGCCTCTCTTATTCGCTGGATTGAGCACCTTAATTCAGTATATACACCGCCAACTGCTATCGATATTGAGGGTGCTGCGAATCGTCTTTTACAACATTGTGGTTCCGACCGGCAGGTTGGCAAAATGTACGGCTATCAATTCATTCAACGCCTACCACCCCATATTACTCTACGCACACAAAAACCAATGGAAAAAGCAAGGATTGAAGCTGAATTACACAGTGATTTAGTTCATTGGTACCAGGTTTTTGGCCAGTTTCTTAAAAAGAATAAAATCCAGGCCCATGAACTATACAACTGGGATGAGACTGGCTTTCAGCTTGGTATTGGAACCAAGGAAAATGTTGCTTCCACCCGTAAATATGAGACTATTGCGACCGGTGGAATAGGCCAGAATATTACCGGCATTGAATGCATCTCTGCCGATGGCTGGGTTATGCATCCATGGTTTTTAATGCGTGGTTCCGAACAAATGGAAGATTGGTTCGATGGCGATGATGATCCTACCAACTATAGGGTTATTAAACCAACTGCTAAAGGCTGGACGGATGATAAAACTGCTATTCAATGGCTATTAGATTTCCATTATGCCACTAAAAAGCGAGTCGCTAAAGGCAGACCTAGGATTTTGGTTATGGATAATCATGGGTCTCATGGAACCCCGGAATTCGAACATATTTGCCAAAGCTTCAACATTATACCTTGGTGGTTTATACCAAAGTTAACACATCGATGCCAGCCTCTTGATGGCAAGCCATTCTCAGTTCTTAAACAAAAATTCCGAAAAAAGAACAATGAGATTGTACGATGGGGTGGAGATGTTGATGATAAACGACATTTTCTTCGAATGATCAAAACAGTTCGCAAAGACACCTTTAAGGCACAGACTATTAAATCATCATTTCGAGATACAGGTCTTTGGCCTTATGATTTACATATTGTTTGTGATCAAATTGATCCTGGCTGGGAAGATGAACCAGTCCTTGAGATATATGGTCATACGCCGTCACCAGACCGTGAATTTCCCAGTTCGGCAACGAATTCGCCGCCTAATTCAGATCAAAGATTCTCAAAGGTTGAGAATAAGGTTCAATTGATACTCGAGAACGATGAACCAGACCTTCCAAAGCTTCAAAAGCATATAGACCGTGCAATTCGTGGTGGTAAGCAGGCTATCCAAGACCTAGCACTTGCAAAACAAACGATAAAAAGGATGCAAAGCCACAAAATTCCTATCAAAAAATCTAAGCGCATGGTAAAAGGTGCTGCTAAGAGTCCATTATCATCAATTGCAGGCAATTCGAAGGTGTATCGGCGATGTACGAAGGAATCTAAATTGGATATTCGGCATGAGGCTGGGAACGCAAGGATTCGAGACTACTGGCATCGCGCGAATCAGGCTCTCAAAGAAAAAGAAGAGGCATCAGGGGATAGAGATTATCTTGATGTTAATAGTGAGCTATTTAGATATGTAGATCCAGATGGTATGGTGGCTGAAAAATAGGTTTAAAATTGAAATGTTGATTTTTTTGTTAACAGGTATGGGTTTGTTAATAGGTGTGGGCTCACCTACACCGGGAAAGGGTGTAGGTGAGTGCTTAGTCACAATTACATGGTGAAAGCTCCAAATGCAAACCAAACAAACGAAATAAGCACCAAACGTGGCGCGAGGCGGAAGCCCCAGCCACAACCTAAAGCCAGACCCAAAGAGGCCCAGAACTCCCCGCAAGGTCTGGGCCCTCCTGGACCTTCAAAGGAGTTTAAATATTTTAATATCAAATTGGAATTCGGTCTAGACCTCCTAGCTTAATTCTCCCCCTGCAGTTCGTCCGACCCGCGAAAATTGGAGAGGAATGCGGATACTTGTCCAGGTGGGATTAAGTGGGGATATTCCCGTTTCTTCAGGTCAATTCCACCTATAAAGTCTAGAAGTCGCTTGCTGGTTAGCGTCAGCTCTTGGGAAATGGCGTACGTACGAATCGTTCATACGTATGTTCCTCAATATATTCATATACCAACCCATACAAGACTACAAGACATGCTTCGGGTCGAGCCCCGGAACGACGATGGACATAATACGAAGTGCCCCTACGTGGACATAGGCACACAGAATGTGAGAGGGATAAAATAGTAGTAATATGTTTGTAAAATATGTACCTGACGAAACAATCTCTCCGGCGGTGAATGCATGAAACCACGGTGGATATAGCTGACGCATATAAAGTCGCACATAATTCGCCACCTATGTTAAATCAAACCCAACGCCAGAACCTGTAAAAGGTGGGAGACAACTGCGGCGATTCAAGACGTCCGCGAAGAGTAGCAAAATAGTAGCAAAATGTACGATTTGGAATTTCGAATTTCGAATTCGAACCTCGTTATAGACAAGTGGGAATCGTGAGTCAATGGACAGGCGGAAAGGTGAAGTATGAAAATAAAAGAGATAAATGGCCGGAAATTGATTTAGCCAGGTCGACCAGCTTGCACGGCAAGCATGGGTTGTTGAGGTTGAGAGTACATGCGCTGCCGTTTCGGCATGTTAGGGTTATCGGCGGCACCGCCCATATCGGAGATCTGACGGCGATGTGGGGGACGAATAGGAGCGCCCCCGGTTGGGACTCCTACTGGTGGTGCTGGGTACTGGACGCCATTCTGGTCAACAGTGTAGGCGGACGGTGGAGCTGTAACGTATGGCCCTTGAACTGCTGGCATATTCGATGGAACAGCCTGCATATTTTGGAATTGGCTGGGTGATTGCCAGTTCGTCATTGATCCAGCGGGCGACTGGCCTGGAGAGCTGTCTTCTTTTATCGACTGGTTTGCTGAACTTTGAGTCGCAGCTGCCATGGTCACGGCGGCTGCGGAAGGTCGTACTGGCTCCATTCCTGGGTTCTGCGGCGAAATCTTGAGATGATCCAGATGTCTCTCAAGCATATCGAGAAGACTCTTGCGGGTAAATGGTTTCGGAAGAACATCATCCATTCCTAAAATGGGTCAGTGGAAGATCTCGATTCAATTTCGATATTTGTCTTACCATGTTGGAAATAGAGCTGGATGTCGTCGCTTCGGATGTTCGAGGTCATGGCGATGATAGGGGTGCGATCAAATTGGCGAATGAGATGGCATGCCGATACACCGTCCAAATTCGGCATAATGATATCCATCAGAATTAAATCGTATTTTGAGCCACCCTGAATTTTGTTCACAGCCTCCAAGCCGTCAAACTATTGGAAATATTAGTAACCTTGTGCTGGTCAATGGGACAAGAATGATGACGTACCGCTGTATCAATAACACACGAGAAAGAGTACAGGAATTTGCCGCCAATCTGCCGACAAGTGGCATCGTCCTCAACCAAGAGAATCTGTGGGCTGCGCACCCACCCAGGGTCCACATTCGTGCTTTTCTTCCGGTTATCGGGAAACTGCCGACGAGCATCTGAGGTATCCATCTCCTGCTTGGCGGGCATTGGGTACGGAACATTGTTGATATGCTCGCTGTACATGGGATCGATGCCGTTTGTGGCACCCACGGGATACACCACTTGCTCCAAATCTCCGGCCATCTTGGGGTAAACGAGTGCCGGGTTTTGTGGTGCAGTTGTCGCGGGACGGAGCGAACCATTTCGCGCATTCGGATCCAAGGTAGGAGTTGAAACGACGCCCTTTTGAGGATCGTTCATCGAGTCGACACCGTTCATATTGAATTGTAGTTCGGCGTTCATGTCGTTCAGGAGCTTTGAGGCTTGCTGGAGGGGTGATGAGGGTTCATCATCCACTGGAACAACCTGGGAAGGGCTCATTGTCGTTCCAGGCGCTTGGAATGCCACAGCCTTGCTATCCCGTCGCTGGCGCGCATCTACCGAAAGCAAGTAGGTCATCACCTGGTGAATGACATTCTCGTGGTTTAAAACCGTTTTCTGCACTCGCATCACTTCCTGTAGCATGAGCTGATGATCCACCGTGAGCTGGGCATATCGGTCCGATAGATGTTGGATCTGCTGCTGTTGCGCCACAATCTGCTGGTTAAGAAGATCAATTTGTTGCGTGGGTACGGAGTCGTCGCTGGGTTGAGTTTGTTTTCGTGGTGCGGGTGCTTTTCGTCGAATGTTGTCGAGCGATTCTTTGCTGTTTGCGCGGAACTCTGGGTGCTTGAATTCCCATGCCTATGTGAGTTGTGTTAGACCCTCGATCCAATTACCCGTCGAATGGGGGGGGGGGGGGGGGGGGAGGTGCCTACATTCTGCCCGTATGGTGACTGGCCATTTTCTTCATTGTTTTGTCGAACCTTGTGGAAGTCGTATTTGTTCAGTTGGCGTACAAAACTGGCAAAGTTGCTGTGTTTAAAGTGCTTCGGTAGGATGGTCTTGGTGAATTTCTCGCACTGTCGGGATTCGAGTTAGCCAAGCACAAAGAGACCGAATCTGTTCGGCCACATAAAGCCACGGGCGCATTACCTCCAATACCACAAAGGAATCCCCTTCATCACCCCAGCGTACGATCGACGCGTAGGTTGGGTCCTCCAGCATTCTGGAAACATTAGATTAAAAGGCCAAGGGTAGCAGAAGTTTGAAAAGCAGGACTCACTTGTACAGCTTGCGTACCTATTCATATTGTTAGTAAAGATATTCAATATAGGGTCATATCGGGGTCACTAACAAAATCGCTGGAGTTCCCAGCGGGGGCGGGATTGGAAGAGGTCTGGCCACCGTCCATGCTGGGCTAGACGGGTCGCGACCGGTCGAACAAGCAGGTCTGGCTGGTTTCGTCCCAACACGGATAAACTCGATTGTAAATATAACGGGGATGTTCGATCACACTGGAAAAGAAAAGAAGAACAAGGGGAGAAAGCCAAACCTTTTCGGAGGGTGGGAAGAGAAGGGAAAAAATGAGATAATAACGGGGGTACGGTCAATTACTGCGTTTAGCGGTAGAGCCAAGTACCAAAGTTACTGTGGAGGTACTGTCTGGTACATGAGATGGACTTACAGTCTTCCAGAGTAACTTGGTTATTTCGTTATTTTTATTTCATATACCTAAATACATCCAGACAATGTATATATTCAATTCTTTTGATTCTATTAACATTTCTTAATGCAAGGAGGTCGATCTTGAATATCCCAGAACTCAGGGACCAACGAGGGGCAAAAATCCAGTATGTCACACACACATGAGGTACTAGCCAGGTATTGTATAGGTACAAGTTCTTAGAAAGACACCAAACAAAAAAAAACTTCATAATACCTAGATCTAATTCGCTATTAGAAAAGATGCAGGACATGATGGAGGGGATCGTGTCAGTGCGCACGAGATGGAGGGGTGGGAGAGCATGCATTCCCCCCCCAATGACCTGATGAAAAAATGGTGAGACATTGAATTAGCGTAGACCCAGTGGATTCAGGCAAGATATCAAAGAAAGGGTCAAGTCTTACAGTGAACAAAGTAACGGGAATAAGCAGTATATGCTCCACTGAAAATTAACGCTTTTAATATGTTTTATATGGATAACATTTAGTGATCAGCCCTGCCATTCTCCGTGTGTCTCACTTCTCCTATCATGTGTTCAGAGGTTTGGTTGAACAGGTTTGATTTCATGAACCTACCTAGGTATTAACCGGAAAGAACCACTTATCTAGCTTTACCGAGACCGGATATTAAGGTAAAAAAATAGTATATGGCGTCAAGATATCTTAGTATCCAAGAATTGCCCAAAGACCCATGTCTTCAAAAAAATTAACCCCATAACACTTCGCAACGTGATTCGCCATGGTCTAAAAGCTACCGAAAGTAGTCCAGATGATGACTAAAAAGCCCAACACGAGTTTCTACCGTAGCACATGGTCGTCATAGAAGCACACATTCACTAATATCACCTGAGCTCCGCCAGTCAAGTCCATTGTTCTCCAAACTGTGTTGGCGCCGAACTTCATGTTGAACTTGAAGATGACTGCATCCTTCAGCAGGGGGGTTGATGATCCACCGTGTGACGGAGCAAGGATCCATTGCGTCATGGAGGAATAGGATGTGACTTCATATCATCCGATTCGAAGGTGGCCGGTCCGCCGTGTTCTTAAAAGAGAGCGCGTATTATAGGTGACAGCTCATATGGGTCGCTTCGCGGTACCTGTGATATAGCCTCCGCAGGTCGCACTGGTATCCACATATCGAAGGCGAGTTTCTGTGCCAATCAACGATAATGTGCATCAAATAAGGACAATGTATGGGATAGATGAAAATAGACAAGTAAAAAGCAAAAAGCATCAACATAAAAAAGTAATTAGTGAGGTGCAAACAGACATCTGGAGTTCCTAAAAATAAAGCAATAGCACGAAACGGCCATGACGAAATCCCCCAAGCTCCCCTCGACATACCGCCCTTGCTCTCCCCGTTATTTCACAACTACAACATACACTTCTGACCACTCTCCTTCCTTTGACACAATTAACCCAATCCCATCATTAATCCAATTAAAACCACTACAATGTTTGCCGCCCGCCGTATCGCAACCAACATCCCCCGCGTTCGCGCGCAAGCATCCCTCTTCCACAGCACCGCGCCCGCGTTCGTGCAAAAGGGCGACGCCATCCCCAACCTGGACGTCCTGGTCGAGAACTCCCCCGGTAACAAGGTCAACTTGGCCAAGGAGATCAAGAACAAGGCTGTCATCATTGGCACCCCTGCTGCCTTCAGTATGTCAACTCACCCTACTTTGGTAGGATACAAAAACTCCTGTTCGGGACTGACATTCTTCAAGGCCCTGCGTGCTCAAGCACCCACGTTCCCGGCTTCATCAACCACCCCAAGCTCAAGGAGGCTGGTCAGGCTTTCGTCATCTCTGTCAATGACCCCTTCGTGTAAGCTATAAATGTCGAGTTGCAGCGCGGAAGCGTTGTTGGGCCCGGGAAACATTTGTTGACAAAGCTATCATGTAGGACCAAGGCTTGGGCTGATTCCCTCGATCCCTCCGGCAAGAGCGGTGTAAGTTTTCTTTTCTCTATTTTCTGTGTATTTTTATGCCCTCGACAGCTCTGATATTGTCTCTTTAACAGATTCGCTTCCTCGGTGACCCCTCCGGCGAGTTCACCAAGGCGCTCGACCTCAGCTTCGACAGCAGCGCCATCTTCGGCAACGACCGCAGCAAGCGCTACGTTCTTCTCGTCGAGGATGGGAAGGTCAAGGAGGCTTTCGTCGAGCCTGACAACACCGGCCTCAACGGTACGTCTCTCTTCCTGTGAAGTACATCGTTCTATGCTAACATCATTTGAAAGTTTCCGCTGCCGAGAAGGTGCTCGGTTAAAGTCATCTCTAGATAGAGCTGTAATATCCTTGCAAATAGTAGCAGAAAAATATACCATGCCCCAAGGCACAACATTTATTTCTGATCCCTACTGCAGGGTACTTCGTAGCGCAGGATCTTAATGTACAAATCTTCCATCCTTTCCAACCCGGCCAACGCCTGATAAATCGATGCCAGAATTAAATAGGCAAGCATGTAGTTGAATCAATCGAGCAATTAGAGATCAATGGCCGATTCTTCGTTCCTAAACCAAGTCTGAAGCCTTCAACCTTTGGTTTGGTCCAGTTTAATTTCTTCCCAATATCCCTCTGGGAAGAAGCCATGGTTCATCATATCTCCGCCTTTTGGAGAGATCAATTACTGCTGCAGAGCCTGCCACTGCTCGGGGGTATAGCACTTGGGTGTCCAAGCATGAATAGCAGCGATTTCGGCCTTGAGGGCGGAGTTGACGAGCCGGTGTCGCGCAAGCATAGTCTTGCTCTCGAATTGAGGGGAAACAATCACAGCCTGGAAAGCCTGTCCACATCCGCCTACATCAATACAAAAAGACAGAACGTCAGCGGGAGATCAACGGGTGTTAAAAAAAAAGAGAACGATTCGACGTCATAGCGCCATCCCCATCTTCAATTTCAGTTTCAATTTCAATTTCCATACCGGATAGATCCTCAACCTCCACATGCTGCGCCTGCAGCACTTCAGTCAACTTGTTCTTCAGCGAGTCCGCGGTGATTCCAGATGTGTCAGCCATAGCAGCGTTGATGGCAGCGTGTGAGCGCGCGGTGAGGGAAAATGAAGCTCGCTGGATGTTATTGTTCGGGCGGAGGAGATAGCGGCAGCTTCTGCTCAGGACGGTCAAGGAGGAGGTGCGGGAGAACATCAAGTATGATCGGAGAGGAGAGGGAGAGAAGACGAGAGAAGATAAAGTGCCAAACCCGAGGTTATCGCGAAGTATGGGGGTTACCCTCCCAGGGCTTATTACAAATTCAGAGCCTCCGGTCGGCTGTGGCTGATGAGTGCACGTGTGTGGCTCATTATCTTTTTCCGTGCCTTCCTCTTCTTTGGTCTTCATCGTGCTAAACTTCTCTCTATGAATTTTCTTCGCGCTGCTACACGTCGATACTCTGCAATGTCTACGCCGATCAAGTTTTCCGAATGCTCGCCATTCACCAATGTTGTGGTGAGCTCTATGAGAAAGCTGTAATTCACCCCCGCTTGATCCCAAAGCTCCCCGCATTGTATGGAGCTTCGTTTAACTTCTAATATGCAGATACCCGGAGGCATTGGCAGACAAGAGCTTCGATAATACAGGATGTAAGTTCTTTTATTTTCAAAATAACATTTGATTGGCTTTCGCAATGTACTGACCACGCTCAATTGTAGTGCTGCTCGAAGCTCCTTTCGACGGATCCCGGGCACAGAACAGCTCGGTCCTCCTCACTATTGACCTCACTACGGCCGTTGCCGATGAAGCCATCAAAAACCGCAACTCTGTTATCGTCGCATACCGTAAGTCGCATCCAAGGAGTGGGCATACTTGCAATTGGACGCTTCGTGAACCTCAACAAATATCTACAATTAGACCAACCAAAACCTAACACAACACAATCTATCTAGACCCAATCATCTTCCGCGGCCTGAAATCCCTCACCTTCGCCGACTCCCAACAACGATCCCTACTCCGCCTAGCACAACATGGAATCAGCGTCTACTCCCCGCATACAGCAGTCGATACCGTACCGGAGGGTATGGCCGACTGGCTCTGCGACGTAGTGACCGGAAACTTCAAACCCGTCCAACAAACGTCCAAAGCGACCGTTGAGCTCTGCAAGTCAAGCATGTATTCCGCCCCAACCTACCCCGAGGTACCCATCCCCGCCGTGCAAGCTTCCTCCTCGCAAGGACCAGCGCACACCAGGTCCACAATCCACCCATCCCCGCCAGCCTCAATCCCAGAAGGCTTCGAGTCAGCCGGTGCCGGCCGTCTGGTGACATTCGCCCAGGCACAAGCCCTCACTGCGCTGGTCGATCACATCGCTTGCGGAATCGGCTTGCCAGGCGGTATCCCCATCGCCATCCCGCAAGGCCAGTCTGTTGATGATATCTCCATCCGCACGGTGGGAATGTGTCCCGGATCGGGCTCGGGCGTCCTCATGAAAGGTGACGGCGAGCTCCCTGATCTCCTGTTGACTGGTGAAATGAGCCACCATGAGGCTTTGGCTGCCACGGAGCGTGGGTCTGTTGTCATTTCGCTTTCGCACACTAACTCAGAGCGTGGGTATCTGCGTTCGGTCATGCAGCCCAAGTTGCTGGCTGAGGTTAAAAAGCAGTGGGATGATGCTTTCCGAGAATCTACGGGCGCCATTGATGATCTTGATAAGTCTAATGGGCTTCCATCCCCGGCTGCGTTCCAGACTCGGGACCTTTACAAGAAGCAGGGCGATGTTAGGGTTTATGTTAGTGACGCTGATCGTGATCCCTATGGTATTATGATTTGGCGTGGTAACTAGGTGTGCTCTTGGCTTTGCCCTTAACATCTAACAATACCACAAGAAAAGCACAAATATAGTCACAATTAAAGACATCATAGGAGTCTTGTTGATCACAGACACCGAAGTATCTCAGCCGGCTAAGCCAGTACTCAATCAATTTGACTAGATTTGTAACCACCCTTGGACTATAACTATGCAGTATGAGGGAGTCCGATAAGATGTCAAGAAAGTAGTTTGAAATGAGAAGGATATCCTAATGGGCAGACAACGACAGAAACAAAAAGAAGTGCCTTGAGGCAGGAGAGAATACAAGACAAGACGAAGGACCCAGGTCAAACATCGAAGAAATGTAGGCTATCGAGGACATGAAGGAAAAGAATGCTTGATTTTTAGCCTTCCCTTCACGGCTTCAAGCAACCCACAATTCATGGATGTAGGAAGATTGTGGTGAGTATCGGGTAACGATAGGGAGAGAAATGAAGGAAACAAGAACAATGAGACCGGGTAAGAACCAGACGACCAAGCCCCGAATGACTGAACGAGAAACAGAAAGAAAAAAAAAGAGATAGATGGTATCCGCGTGAGTGGCCTTAGCGAAGTCAGGAATGAATCAATAAAGAAGAGCTCCACGAAACAGTGACTACAGGTCAATCAGGCTACCGCCGCCGCGCTGTTGCTGTTGCTGACCTGCCCAAGGGTTGCTGGCTGGTTGTTGCTGCTGCTGGACATAACCGGTCTGCTGCGGCATGCCTGTGAATTGTTGGCCGAAGAATGGGTTTCCAGTGGGAGCAGCGTGTAGGCGGTCCAAACCCTGACCGGCAGAATTGACAAATGTGCCAGGTGCTGTGTGCTGTGCGGGGATTCGGAGGTCTCCAACATTGCCGAAGGTATCCTGGCCTTCGCCTGACCCGAGAAGGGCGTTGAGACGAGCATGGTGAGGGTCCTGCGGCGGGGTACTCTTTGGTGGCTGTGGGGCCTGGAAGCCGGCGATCGGGTTGGGCTGTGTAGGTTGGGCGAAAAGCGAGCTTTGGCCATACTGCGCATTGTTCTGGGCAAACTGATTCGTTGCACGGTCCTCCGACAAGGAATTGAGTGTTGGCGGGCCTGTTTGTGCAGGGTTGTTGAACTGTGTTTGAGTACGCTGAGCGAAGGGGTTGTTCGATCCTGTCGGCATGGGCTTGAGGGCATCAGCGGGCTGCAGTTGCTGCTGAGGCTGGTTTCCGGCCCATGGGTTGTTGCTGCCTGCGGTCTGATAGTTCTCCTGGGGTTGTTGTTGCTGCTGCTGTTGCTGCTGCTGCGAGAAGACATCCCCTCCGTAAGGGTTATTGGGGTTGAATGCGGTGTGCTGGGGTTGAAGAGTAGCCTGCGGTTGCAAAAGGTTGTTCTGTTGCTGGCCGTAAGGGTTCTGATCAAAAGCCGAGGGCTGCGCCGGATAGCCGTTGGCGTAAGGGTTATTCATGCCGGTGGGCTGGTTCTGGAATCCTGTCGGTTGCGCGTACTGGTTGTTCAGGTAGCCAGTTGTCATAGGCTGCTGCGCATTGATCGGGTTGCCGAACCAGTCAACAGCACCTTGCTGTTGGTAACCCTGGTTGTAGCCGGTTGGCTGGACTTGAGCTGGGGTGTCGTCGAAGAGAGATTGGGCATTGCTCTCTTCCAATTCGCGCTTTCGGAGGTCCTCCTCTTCCCTGCTAAGCTTGAGGGCCTTGGCAAGATCCTCGTCGTCCTGAGTTGCCATTGTCTCCTTGGCCCGTCGCTTCCGCTCATCCTCAGCCTCGGCCTTGCTGGCTTCAATAGCTAAGCGGTATTCGGTGTCGGAGTCGTCCTCCCCGGTGCGCCGGCGTCGGTCTCTGCGCGGCGGTTCCACGGGAGAGTTTCCGTAGCCTTCATCGAGTCCGCTCACGCGGGTCTTCCAGAGCTTGCGATCCGATCGTTCACTGCGCAAACGATCTTCATCCAGTACCAATGCAGTCAATTCCTTTGCTGCCACGCGAACTACAGAACACCAACCTGTCAGTTTTGCGACCCCTCCAATTTCCAAAAGACAACTTACCGTTCTGGCCAACATCCCTTCCTTCCTCATCCACATATGTGAACTCGCGCAAAGTCTTGATAATATAGACATTTTTCCGGGCCCACGTTACCACCAACTCCGAGCCTTCGTGAAGACAGTAGTCCAAGACCTTCAGTGACTTCAGCACGTGGCGCCAGTTCTTGCCCTTATCGTTGAGTCGCTTGTCAAGCATGTCCATGATCTCGTAGAACTCGTTCGGACTATTATGCAAAAGGGCATTAGCGGCGCCCACACGGTTGGTCGTAGATCCAACTCACCTCCCGAAAGTCATGGCGGCAATCTCGGACATGTCGGTGCCCGTGGGGCCCCAGGGGTCATTACTAGTGGCTAAAAAAGTAAGTTAGCAACTTGGTCACAATGTATGCGGGGTGCATGGGCGCAATGCAGCAAGCAACCCCCGGGAAAAGACAGGGGCATCAAGCCGTGGCAACAGCAGTTCTGCATATGCAGCGGCAACTCGATGATCGCCCAGAAGTTCGATGTAGTGGAATCGGCTCATACCATTTCGGACCTTGACCTGCACTGAGGAATATCCTTTTGTGACGTTCTTCACGCTCCGCACGACTTTGGACATGGTGGCGGTGATGCGACGGTCGCAGTTTTAAGGTGGATGGAATGGATCGTAGTCGTCGGGTGGAAATCGATGCGAAGGATTATCGCAGAAGAGTATTAGACTGCCAAGTACACACAGCCCTCTTTATCCGTGTCGCGGCCCAAGATGGTTGTCAAGCGTGTCACTCCGGCTCTGAGAGGGACAAGTTGGAAGATTGTTCCAAAGGGGTTAGGGGATTGAGTTTTCAATTGCCTTTAGAGGAAATATTGGCAAACAATAGTCGACAGTCAACGGGTGAAAGGTTGAAAAGTGAAAGAGAGGAGAGGGGATGGCTCGAACGGGGGGGGAATGAGAGGGCTTGGCAGTGACGAAGCGGTTTGGACCAAACTTATACACCTGGCACGGTTCAAGATCTACACTTGGGACTTTTTACACTTGAAGATTTTTCAATTCATTTATCATTATCACAAGCCCTGGACCAGAAGTGAAATCTGCTCTAAGATCACTGAAATGGTCCATGTACAGTGCATGTCCAAGTACCGTTACGCCCTCGTGGCCGGAGGTCCGGTCTAATCACCGTGATCTTACTTTTCTCCTTTTCCCCCTATATATAGAACAGAACAAGCAATTCACTATTTGACTTCTATGTTGTATATATTGGTTTTATCTATTATTCCGTACATGCTAAATTAGAGCTTCCAATTCTTACAGGGTTCATCAGGAATAAAAAAACATCACATGTTTCCCGCCACATGTGGCGGTCTTGGGCCGCGTAAGAACCTTGGTCCTGGTCAGGCAACAGTCAATTACCTTATAGAAATTTATGTAGATGCAGCAGATACTAAATATGTACTATGCAGTATACCTAGGTATATTCTTCATACCATATTGAAATCAGTGATGGAAGAACCAGCCTACGTCATTCGCTCTTCTAGAATGCAACGACACTCTTGGCGCTCCGATCGTCGGTCCACTTTGGGATTGATATCGAAGTTTTATATCAACGGTTTTTCTTACTATTAACTTTGTTTATAACATATACAGCCCTTGGCAATAGTTCTATTACTGAAGTAGATGCTGATTGAGCCATTCTCAAGTACTTATATATGTGCAGATGACCAATGATCCATGAACTGCAGGAGACAGCACGTATCTATAGCAGGATTGGATACAAAGCGGAGTCCGACCCATCCATGGATTCAACCTGCATAGCTTACCAATGCACCCAATTCCTGGAGCTGGATATTATGGAAGGACGAGCTACCAGGCTTTCTACGCACTGAGAGAGATGGTGCTTCCTCCTGCTAGCATTGAGCATCAACTTGGATTGCAGGAGATCAAAGCGACTCATACCCTGGCCAGCACCAAGGCAAGCTTAGCACCAGAAACCTTGGTTTACACGTTCGATGGGCTATCCCATTGCCTCAACATGATACCGCCTAGCCTACAGCCTCCTCCTCCGATACTTCCACTCCATACCCAGGGACAGCTTGCGACTCTAGTGTAGACAATAAAACTCAAACCTACGCGTCTTCCACTGTAAATGTATTGACTCCCTAGGTAGGTGACTAGCTGTACAATGAAAGAGGACGTAATCAAACACCCCCCATGTATTCCGTGGGACTCGCCAAGTGACTATAGAACCCCAAAAGCCCAGTCACTTGCCAAAGACCTTCCACGAGAAAGCCCCGGTTTGATTTCGGCGCGGACCTGTTCCTGGGCATGGACATCAACAACGATGTTGATATCCATGTGGGTAGGCCAGGCACCATGTGCTACGGGACCCTCCCCCTACGCTGTCTCATGGGGGCTACGGAGAGATGGTGGTCGAGAGGGTTGGGGAGAGGAAGAAGAGAAGAGGAGGAAAGGTGGTAGGGGGCCTTTTATACCCCCAACAACACGTACCTTCCCAAAATGGACCTCCAAACGCACCTTCCCTGGTTGTCACAAATGTCACATGTATCGTGCCTTCCCAATTTGTATACGGATATTTGTTTACACGGGGGTTATATAGGAAGGAGCTCTGGAACCAGTGTCACATTTGCATGATTCGAGCACTTTGACTATGCTGGAACCATTATGATATCGATTTTTGTGGTGCAATTTCAAGTCCTAATATATTTTATTCAAAAATCTCAAGCAATGCCATCAGACAGACCACTAGCAATACTTTCAATAAACCCTTTATTCTGCATCCCGTTCACCCATTCACCAGGAATAGCGTCAAATCCATAGAATGAGCCGGCAAGACCTCCATAAACAGCCCCTGCAGTATCCGAGTCACCACCCAGATTGACGACTGCCAACGCCCCGTTCTCCCAAGTGTCATACTTGAAGAATGCCCACAGGGCACATTCAAGTGTATCAACAACCCATCCACTGCTCGTCATATCACTAGGCGCCTTGATCTTCCAGTCGCTGATTGTTCTGTATCTGTACCGTGACAAGCGCTCCTTCAGAGCAGGATGAGTAAATGGGAACACGGAGACAGTGTGGAAGAGCTCCTCCTTCGTTTGACCTGTAAACAGTGGCTGTCAGTAGGAGATTCTTGAAAGAAAACAGAATCAAAACACCAACCATTCATAACGCCACAAACCAACTCCGTATAAGCTTCACAGGCTTCCACACACGGGAGCGAGGGATGAGTGATCTTGCTGTGTCTTCTGGCGATTTCCCTCGCTAATCCAGAATCTCGCCAGTAAGCCAACCCAATCGGGACGATTCTCATCAAGCTGCCATTCCCGGAGAACTCTTCGTATTCCAATTTATCAATGACCATCGTCTGGGCAAGTTCGAAATCACCACTTTCCATGCCATACTTCACCCACAGCCGAAGGGAGGTCCGAGTGGAGCGTCCTACATCCCACGAGTGGTTGACAGTGCTGAAATGGCCTTTCGTCAGCCACTCGACGAAGTATTTGACTGACAGCTCATGATTGTATTGCATGTTGGACTTGTTGAAGGAGCATGCCAAGGCTAGTGTCATAGACCCGTCGTCGGAGTAGGATCTTGTTCATGTTAGTCACAGGTACTTCGCATATATGAATGTGAATAAAACTGACCCAGCTGGTTGCTCGAAGGGTGCGACAAATCTTAAGCATGTGATCGGCTCGAATGTTCCTGGGTCTTTAAATTGTACGGGGCCGCCGAGGGCATCGGCTACGCAGACGCCCCAGATGGCGCCTTGAGCACGAGATTTCAATGACGGAGACATGTTGCGATGATGTTTTTGTTTTCGTCTGGTTTGTTCTTGTTCCGAGGTGATTTCGTCTTATTTAAAGATGTCGTCGGATGTGACTCTGGGAAGAACCTTGGAAAGTCGGAAACCTTCAATTATTGAGTCACCAGGGCGCAGCGCATTAGCTGAGGAACTAAAAGAACCTCAATAATATCGAAAGTTAAATGTGACATGGCTAGCGCAAAGGCTGATACGAGCCTTGGGAGCCTTGGAGGCCTATGATTTGTATGGAGTACGGACTAAGCCTCACGCTAGGCACCCGTGGACCTGCCCAGGTGTGTGCACAGCGTCACCTCATGAAGCTGAGGCTGTGGCTAAATATGCTCCGCTAGGGCTGAAAGTGCACAAAGCTTCTGATATCTTTAGATGAATAAAGCAGCGTATATTCAGTGATAGCTTATGCCCAAAAGAAGTATTTGATGTCCTAACTATGTAAATAAACATCTATTTATGACGAGGCCAGACAACGTCTTTCATAGGCTGCCCATTAGTCTTCCTCGCCAAATCCTCTACGGTCTTCCACCTCCACAGCCGCTGACCGGGATTAATAAGCTCATTATCATCCCTAAGAAAAGCAGGAGTATGAGCAATACCCCCATCACCCATCAAGAACCACAGATAAGCAGCCGGTCTCCACGAGGGCTCAGCAGTAGTCTCCTTCTTATATTTATCATAGGGGAGACAGTCAATATCAATGTGTCCGGCACCAGCAGACTCCATAATCCCCGCAATCTCCGCAATCGAGCGCGAATCACCGCCAACATGAACAACATCAGGAATCTTCTCTGTCGGCATAGTTGCCAGCGAAGCAACTGTCTTACCGACGTCGCTAATTGAGGTAAAAGAAATCGGCGACCGGAACGACCCAACACTAGTATACTTCCCGTTCTGGGTATCGAGACCGAAGCACGGCCCGATACTGTCTTCTAGAAACAGGCCGCAGAATACCCTGCAGATCTTCATGTGCGGAACGACACGCTGCGCGTTCGCAAGGTGTTTCTTCTTCTCATGCCACTCCAAATGGGCGAAGTCGTGGCCGTAGTGGTCGACGCCGAATTCGGAGGGGAAGTAGACTCGGATGTTTGTTTGGGGGAGGGCGGCTGCAATCCTTGTTTTGAAGTCGTGGCCTGCGGGCCCGATTGTGTTTACGAGGATTTGTATACCTTGTAGGGCTTCTTCGAGGTTGGTCTCGTTGTAACGGCGTGTTGTGAGTTTCACGCCGGATTGGGAGGAGGAGGAAGGTTGGAAGAGACATGATTCGTTTCTTGAGAGGAGGATTATTTCGGAGAATTTGTCTTGGAAGGTCGAGGAGAGGAAGGCTGTTGTGACGTGCTTGCCTAGATGGCCGGTGGCTCCGGCGATGGCGACGACTGGTCGTGTTATGGATGCCATCTATGCGATTGAGCACATTCAAAGAAGAGATTGTCTGGAATGGAAGGATAAGGAGGGGAATTGGGGCGAGTCTCAAGTTTATGTCTACATACTCCTACTTAGCTATGTCGATTATTTTCTTTGCGTCATTGGCCAAACAACCATCCCGAGGTCCGAACCAAGCCCTGATTGGCTCACAATTGTATAGATCTTCTATGTTGTGCAACATAGAAGTGTTTACACAGCTCAGGCTTGATCCAGCTCCCATATATAGAGTGTGTTGGTTGTGCAACATAGGAAGATTGGCAATTCACATGTTGGGGAGTCGTGGTTGAAACCAGTATATATCAGAATGATATGGACGTAAATTGACTAGTGTTTCATGATATTCTAGCTATATCACATAAACGAAATCCAAATCCGATTAATGCCAACGTGAGAGAAGGCATGGCTCTCAGAATGCTGTTCATCTCCGCATCAAAACACCAGACCCAATTGTGTGACCCGAGGGGTCGACCCTTCTGCTAAAAAAACATAACCAATTTGCTTGTGCTTTTATCCCTGAATTTAAGTCCATTACTTTTCCATGCTTAGGTATTTCGCCTCGGCGCCCTTGATGCAGGCAATATTGGCGCCGAGCTTGTTGATCGTCTCAATGTACTCATCATAGGGGTCCGAGTCGAAGACAATACCACCACCAGCCTGGAGGTACGCCACGCCGTCCTTGACCATCATAGTGCGCAGCGCAATGCATGTGTCCATCGCACCGGGCATCTCGGCTGAGCCGTCTGTGTTGGCACTGTTATATCCAAAGTATCCGACAGCGCCAGCGTAGACGCCGCGCTTTTCACCCTCCAGCTCTGCGATGAGCTGCATGGCGCGCACCTTGGGTGCACCGGAAACTGTGCCGGCAGGGAAGATAGACCGGAATGCATCGAAGCGGGTCATGCCTGGCCGCAACTCTCCGGAGACCTGGGAAACCAGGTGCTGGACGTGTGAGAACTTCTCCACAACCATCAGACGGTCGACCTGTGTTGTGGTGGGGTCGCAAACTCGGTTCACGTCGTTGCGGGCAAGATCAACCAACATGACGTGCTCGGCGCGGTCTTTGAGACTGCTGCGGAGCTCCTCGGAGAGGGCGGCATCCTCCTCCGGGGTCTTGCCGCGCTTCACTGTGCCTGCGATGGGGTGGCTGATGATACGCCCCCGCTCTTCCTTTACCAGGAGCTCGGGACTGGCTCCGACAAGCTGGAAGTCTTGGCAGTCGATATAGAACAGATAAGGAGAAGGGTTGACGGTGCGAAGGTGGCGGAAGAGGTTGAATGGGTGGAGAGAGGTGGGTCTTGATAGCCGCTGTGATGGCACTGTCTGGAAAATGTCGCCCTTGGCGATGTGCTGCTTCAATCGGTTGACGTGGCCCTCATATCCCTCCTGTCCGATGTTGGATGTATACTCCTGGTTTGGAATGATCGGGCCCTGGGGCGGAAGCGGCGTGCGGTCCTGTAGTAGCGTATCGATCGTCTTCTGGATGACGGACTGGCCCTTGAGGTATGAGGCCTCGATATCGGCATCCGCCAAGGGAATTGGAACGTAGGTGATGACCTTGACGACTTGGAAGAAATGGTCGAATGCAACAATGGTGTCGAAAAGCATAAAGAACGATTCGGGCACTCCGAGGACGTCCTTCATCGGCCGCGCCGTCTTGGGCTCAAAGTATCTAACACAGTCGTATCCAACATATCCGATCGCTCCGGCGGTCAACGGCGGGAGGACCAATTCAGGTACTGTCGCGACGCGGAACTGAGAAAGCTCGTCCTCGAGGTATGGGAGGGGATCCGCTGCTGGGCCATGGCCCTCGCCGGTCTTGATGACTTTTCTGGGGTCTGTATGGGAGGAAGGTGTAAGCGATGGAATCGGGCCTAAGACTCCAGGTATCACCCACCTGCACCAATAAAACTGTATCGCCCAATGGTCTCTGTAGTAGCAGCACTTTCATACAAGAATGACAACCGCGAGCTATCCTGCCAGTCAGCGATCTTGTCCAGTATCCCATGCCCCCCGCCTTATCGCCAACGTTGAAAACAACCCAATGACTCACTGCTCCGCAATCTTCAAGTATGCCAATGTTGGGGTTAAGAGGTCGGCAGCGATCGTTGCTGTGACAGGAAGTAGGTTGGGGGGGAACTCGGAGTTCCTCGACTTTGAGATCACTTCTCGCGCCGTCTTGAGGGAAGGGATGGTGGCCACCTGAGTCATTGGTCAATGAGCGTAAACAAAAATCCTGGCAGGGACGTCGAAGAGTGGAGAAATGCAGTAGCAAGACAGACGCGTACTTACAGGAGTTGCCATTTTGTTATAAGTGGCTGATATCGACGTTGCTAGTAAAGAGAAAGGATTGAGTTGGCGGTGGGAAAATGATTCACTGTGGGGGGTGGATATCTATTGACGGCCGCGGGTCCAGGAATGCGCCTCAGTCTGCATGCGGCTATTTGATTTGAGGTGTGACAAGATAACACAATCGTGAGATCAATTTTAGGGCTTTTTATGTATGAATTTACTGAAAAACAAATCCCGAGCAACCTTGGAAAGCTTACACGTCTCACAGGTGTGCCCTCCAGAGGTGATTATATGCACCCAAAAGCGGACTAGCGCCGAGGGGTATATCGGTTATCGATAAAGGCCTAGCGACATCGGGACTATGGATGGACCTATATTGTACGGGACTTCGTTTGATAATTGGAGTATTTTCTTGATTATCAGACACTAAAAGTGAGTTTTAGAAATCACAGATCCCACCTGGAATGGGTGAGGGGAAAAAAGGCAAAAGAAAAAGTCCACCGTCGCCAATCCATGTCATTCGCCGGGTCCACCCAAACCTGTCCCAAGCAATGCATGCCATTATGCATTTTCTAAAGAAAAAAATGTATGTTCACAGAAGGCAAATAGTAAAAAAAAATCGGGGAAACCATGAAGGGTGATATGTCTTCGATGGAAAGAGACTGAGGAGGCTTTTCAAGCGGGATTGTCGGATTAGTTCAAGCAGGGCATGAGTCGTGAGTTTTATGTGGCTGTTTCAAACCCGCTCTGTCATCGTTGCAAGTTGATGATTGCCATCTTGGGAAATTGGACCGTCAGCATGGGGAGAATTGACAAAGGTAAATCAGACCAGGGAGCTTACCTGTTTGTCGAAGCCATAGGCAAGCCGTTTTCCATCTGAATCCCAGGAAAGGGCCCGATGGGGATCCGATTTTGAATGACCATTCTGTCCATGGTGTCCATTCTGTCCATTGGTCAAGCGGTCGGCTTCCTCTTTCTTCACCTCGGGGCTAGTTGCGGTCCAGGTAGACATGAGATTACCGCCAGGGTGTTCAGTGTTCCAGATAAAGAGTCCGTCCTTGCTAGCCGCACCGAGGGCGTACCCATCGGGGGAGAAAGATCCGGTAATAGCGGGGTTTGAGTCTAGGCTCAGCTGATGACAGTTCGTATAATCCTTTATATCGAGGTTGACCTGCCAAACCTTGACCTTACCATCCGCCGAGAAAGAGGCAAATTCAATACGATGGGGGTCAAATTGCGGGCTGATATCGATGCCGGTGATTCTGTCCTTGTGGGCGTTGGGGATAAGAATATCATGGGTGGGGATCCAAATCGAAGCGCTCAGTCCAGAAGCCGCGATAGCAACCGAGTGAGACTCAGTTTGGACACAGCGAATAAACTCCCAGGTCGCGTTATCTCTGGGAGAAGGAAATGTCTTAACTAAGCGGATGCTGTTGTCCACTTCGCATTGATAGACTGCACCGTCACCAGAAGCGAATGCCAGGTTGCGTCCACACCACGCGAGATCATAAATATGGTTCTCAATTATTTGAGGTGGAGGGAAAACATCTGGTCGGCGGCTGTCGTCCCAAAGCGCGAGTTCCGATACGTTATGACTCGAGGCTACAACGACCAGTTGCGAGCTACCAGCTGCCCAGTGCAAACCAGTGATGAGCCGGGGAACCTCGGGTAGTAAATCCACTGCGTCTCCATTGACGTTGTACATGGTGATAGTGCCCCTGTCATCAGTACAAGTCGCGACGGCCAATTTCTCACCAATGGCATCCCAGGCTACGGTCGAGACACTTGTGTCACCCTTCTTGAGCTCGATGATTTTCTTCTGCACGGGTTCCGATGACATTGACAACTTCCACAAGCTGCAAAAGAGGTCACCAGCTCCCACAACCACAGTGGGATCCCGAGGGCGCCATACAGTATGGGTCACGTGATGATCCGGATTCAGCAGGGCGGTGTCGGGGGTCAAATCGATGGGCTTGGCGGGGGCGATCTGTACGGAAGAGCTCTCGCCGTTTTCAAGGGTGGGCGGTGGTTCAGGGATCTCCTCGGCCATGCTGACATCACCATCCTCATCCATATGATCGGGAGTAGCTGGCTGACTTTCAGTTTGCGCCTTGTCCTCCATGGACTCATCGCTATCAGTTTCGTCTTTTCGGTCGTCCTTTCCGGGCTCGGCATGGCCGTTCACCGGGTGGTCGCGCGCAAGTTGACCCGGTGAATCTGGGTTTGTGCCAACAGCCTCATCGCGACTTTCCACTGGTCCAGTTTTGGTTCCAATTTCAAAGGGCTCAGGTCCGAAAAAAAAATCAGACGGTGAAATGCTTTTGTGATTGCCCTCCTGTGCATTACAATTAGTTTAGTTTTCAGTTGAGAAACTTAAAAAGAAAGTAGATTTTTTTTTTCCCTTGAGCGCGTGAGAACCGTTTAAAATGGAAACACATACCTTGTCCAGCGAGGATTCCATCTCGTGGTATTGGAGGCCCTTTTGGACCAACGACACCAGCGCATGGGTTTTAATGTAAGGCGCAAACGGAAGACTCTGTGGATCAGGGAACCACGCGCGCTGCAAAGTCACGGCGGCATCGCCATGACCTAGGTTGAGTTAGAGATCAAATGGGGGAAAGTCAAGGGGGCAACGTGACCAACCGGCTTCTTGGAGGTACCTAGAAAGATATTAGTTCTGCAGGGTATGCATGGGCTGTATTGCACTTACCTCCATATTAAATAGTTGACATGATGCGACGTGAGGTCAGGTTGTGCCATGATTACATGTGCGACCAGCTAAGGGCCGCGGACATGCCAGAGAGGGAAGAGCTGTTTTGCCGATGAAAACCAAAGTGGAGGCTTTGATGCGCGAGCTTCAGGAACACGGAACACGAGGCCGGAAGGGGATAGGAACTTCCGGATAAATAGAAAAGGGGGTGCTTGTATTTTCCGCAAAGAATCTAAGACTTCGAGACTTGAAGATCGAAAAGAAAGCCAAGCCAAGGGAGAAATTGGAGTTTTGAGGGGGAAATGAGAGTGAGAGAGTGGAGGGAAGAAGAGGTGAGATTGAGGAAGAACAATAGGAGCTATTCTGTAGTCTTAATAGAAATAGAAACCAAGTATTCAATGGATAGAGAGAAGAGAGAGGAGAGGGAGAGGAAAGTGAAGATCTGAGATTAAAGGATCCAGAATGTCTGGCAGAAGTCCATTTAGCACACACTAGCCACTGGATCCTCCCTGTGGCGTCGACCTCCACACTTTTGAGAACTTCTCTCCTCCAGTCATTCTGCTACTAATGAGGTATAATATAACATTGGAATATCTACTTGATATTTCTAAACTTGATTAAGCATTCCTGATACTCTATCCCTTGAGACACAATGACTTCTCAAACCAACTCTCCTCTTAAGCGCCTAAAAATGGGGTTCTCCACACATCGGGGGATTTCAGCACGAGCACCCTTGCACCTTTCAAAGTTCCAATTCCAAGTACCAGAGTGCTTATCCTGTGTCACAAAGTACACAACTTACACTTACAATGATATCTACTAGCAGGGATACTACCTTTCGGACATCATATACCAATGACCTGAACTGCATCCACCCGAACCTGCATGTCAATCGCAGATGGTGGATCGTGGCTAATGATGCCGCCACCAGTTACCGAGCTGACATTGGCGCATCCTTCAAGTACGGGGTACTTTTTACCTTTTTTCTTCTTTGCCTACAACCTACGGGCAACCTACGGGCTTGTCAAGTTCGATATACTTTGGTTGTCGGTCCCTTTCACCTACTGTTGCTAGCCATGTTACCTGATGGGGAACTGCTATTACGGAGTGTCTGACAGGTGGCTAGGTACTCCGTAGGATGTAGGATGTTTGATGTTATGACACTGTTTATTTCAAGGTTTCTAAATATGGATCATTAATAACCACCAATATGTGCTACTAGCCCTAGAGTCTTGTCACACCTTCAATAATAATCCTATATTCAAATCATATTCCATAGTAGAACTAGGAACAAAAAACCAAAAACCAAAAAAGTCAATATTATGCGATAGATAGTAAGAAAGACGAGATAATGACATGAAACATAAGTTCATAACTATAATCGAAAGCTACATGGATGTATGTATGATGTAGATTATTGTGGCTTTGAAGCATCTCGGGGCCAAACAAACATAGGTGATACCTCCGCCCTCCGCCCTCCGCCAAAGTCTCCCACCTCAACTTTCTCCATCTCTTTACGGCCTGTGGCGTCTTGCAGCTCCAAGCGAGCTCCAACATGTTGCTCCGAATCAACATTCCCCCTGCTACGCGAATCTGTCTCGTCAGCCTTCTCACCCTCTCCCTACTCTACAACATTGCCAGATGGCGACAAATTGACACCACCGGTGGAACCCCGACCACATCGCCTCTCGTCCCCTACTTGACCCTCGTCCCCTCATTCTTCTACTACTACCCTTGGACAATCGTCACGGCCACCTTCGTCGAACAGAATATATTTACCGTACTGTTAAACGCCGCCTCCATATTCTATGGCGGCAAGTACCTCGAGCGCGCGTGGGGTTCGCGCGAGTTTAGCAAGTTCATCGCGGTCGTCGCCGTGATCCCCTGCATCACCATCATCCCAATCTACCTGATCTGGGGAGCAGTCGGAGGCTCCTCAAGCAGAGCGTATGCATCGCCCCTCTCCATCCCCTTCCCCAATACCCGTGGACGAGCAAACCGATTACCCGCCCTATGCCAAACACTAACCATCTGCAAAACAGCCTCACCCAAATCTGCGGCGGCGTCTCCATCCAAGCCTCCTTTTTAGTCGCCTTCAAACAGCTCGTCCCAGAACACACCGTAACAGTCTTCAAAGGAATAATCAAGATGCGCGTAAAGCATTTCCCCGCCCTCTTCCTCCTCCTCAACAGCATCAGCGGCCTCGCCATCGGAACAGACACCGCCGCAATCCTCTCCTGGCTGGGAATCCTCACCAGCTGGACCTACCTCCGCTTCTACAAGCGACAGCCCGACCTAACCGGCACCTCGAGCGGCACAGGCATCAAAGGCGATGCCAGCGAGACCTTCGCTTTCGCCTGTCTATTCCCAGACGTGATGCAGCCGCCTATCGCATTCATCGCGGACCAGATCTACGCTCTGCTGGTCGCAGCTAAGCTCCTGACGCCGTTCTCACAGGACGATATCGCCTCCGGTAACGAACTGGTGCTGGCGAGAGGCGAGGCGGGCTTGCCAACGCTGTTGAATAACCATCGTGGTGGAGCCAGGGGAGCGGGTAAGCGCGAGGAGGCGGAGCGTAGACGGGCGGTCGCGCTCAAGGCTTTGGATCGCAGGTTGCAGTCTGCTACTGTTGGGCGTGTGCAGCCTCACGCGCCTGGTTTGGGAGAGCCTAGCTCGTCGATGCCGCGTCCTGCTGCGCCGACCTCGGCTCCGCCTGTTGGTCAGAGTATGCTAGGGGAAACGAGTTACAATCCTGATCATGCTTGAGTGTAGTCGGGTGCTTCTTTTTCTAACTGGCGTTTGTGACGCACCTTGGATTTGGCCCTTTGGACATATTCGCATTCGTGGCATGGCTGGTTTGTGGCTTGGTTTTTTTATACCGATAGTGTGTGCACTTCTGATGATGTACATGATTTGTTCGATCTCGTCTTGGGTTTTTGATTTCCCGCTCTAGTTATTAGGCTGATATCTTAGCGCCTGTGTGATTGCAGCGGCTTTTTGGTGAATTCGATTTGTTTTATACCATACAGAGCTTGTATGTCAATTACTATTTGAAAAACAACAATATCACTCTATTAATTTGTAACATTGGACATTTCTTAATGATGTATGTGCTTTATTTTAATTATCATGTTGATCCTAACCCAGCTATTCGCCTTCTGGGCCCATCTCCATCTCAGCCTCCTCTTCGTCTAGCAATGGCACAAACCGGAAATCTACAAAGCAGACAGGTCCATTGGGACCCTTTACGCCAGCACCAACCGGTCTGCCCACTGGCACATTATGATCATCAAGCTCAACCATGAACTGTAAGCTCAACACCCCCTGCCGATCCCCACGGATACTAACCTTATTAGCGACAGACATAGCCCTCGCAGCCTTGCGAATCAACGCAAAGCGATAGCTCTGTTGAATGCGCTCGCCCATGGAAGAAGGAGGAGAAACAAGGAAAGTTTCCGTGACCGTAGGCGCAAGCTTAGCTCTAGTTGCGCGAGCCCGGGAAGAGCCATCATCGAACAACACCTTGTGCATCTGAGATTGTGTGGAGCCCTGACCAGCACCACCGGCGATCTCGTTGTGCTGGTCAACCGAGAACTCCACAGTGGATTCACTGAACGGGCCGCCCGCGCCGGAAAGAGCAAAGTACGGTTCTCGCTTGGCGCAGGCGGACAGTTTCAGGATTGTGGGGGTGGAGGAGTCGAGTTCGGCGATGGCATTGTGTAGCCAGGCGGACCGCATGATGATTTTCATGATGATGGCGTCTCGCTGGAGAGGAATGTCTGCTTCGTCTTCGTCGGGCTCATAGGTTACTAGCTCGCAGGTTGTTTTTACGCCAGCTTCGGTGATGGTGATGCTAAGCGGGGCGCCGTGTTGGGCGTATTGTAGGGTGCAGGAGCGGTCCATTAGCAGGGCTGGGGCGTTAAATGCGCTTGACGAGGCGATGCCGGTTTGCGTGATGCTAGAGTCGCGGGGTCGATTGGATTCGGAGAGCTCGTTGATGCCGAAGATCTTTAGGGTTTCGAGGATGGCGGAGAGGGAAACGACAAAGTGAGGGTAGGCCCCATTTTGTGAGGATTCATTGTCGTCTTGGGGTGTTCCGTTCTGACTGTTATGTTGGGTGTCGGTCGATGGATTGAATGTGTAGCTGGTGAAGAGCGACTTGTCGAGAAAGGCTAGTCCTTGGATGACGCGGCCTTCCTCCACTGAGAATCGGAGGCCATCTGGGGTGATTTGGACGGTGGCCTTATGTGCGAAACCAATGCAGGAGAGCAGTGTGTAGAGATGGTGGGCGTTGTTGGAGACGCCAGAGAAAAGGGGCTCCATTTTGTGGCGTAGGCTGCTAGCTCGAACACTTTTTAGGCGCGATACTGGCACAGAGCAAAGATAATGAGTCCGAAGATGCGTGATGGCTTTGGATGTTCTAGCAGTACAGGCCCCTTTGAACCCAACGCTTATGGTACATTTGAGGGGACGCGCAATAGGAAATGTGGCCGGTTAGACGTAGACTCCAGCGGCGCAGATCATAAACACAGCTCCAAAGCTATCCAGAATATGCAATCAGTATATTGTACGTCGAAAATGAGATGCGGCGCATTACTAACCCAGATGCCAGTGCGGCCGGCACGCCCAAGGATACGATGCCGAGGAAAGACCGATCTGTTTGGTGAAATGTCAGAGTCCAATTCGATGAAATGTGAAGAGTATGTAACTTACTCAAGCCAAATAGAGTGGCCGTAACCAATGCTATCAATATCAGTCAGAGGTTGGTTATTTTCAAAGCTGTGGTAGACCAAGAAGCTTACCAAGGAGGAGCAAGTTGAAGCCGACGGAGAACTGGCTGTCCTTGGCAATGAGAGGGATGTATGGAGTTGCAGAGGCTGCCTCCCAGACTTCGTTCAGAGACATTAGGACAATAGAATTTGATAAATGTAACTGAGAGACGAATTGATGCAGGTCAAAGGTAATGCGAAAGTGATATAGATCGACTGTGTTGATCTGGCCCGACCGGTGATTAGTTGTTCCGACCGATACCCCATGTCATCGTCGGCGCAGGGTCAAGTTTGAAGATCAAGGACATCATGGCCGTTGATTCGCCAAAGAGTAAGTGAACTCTTATAATTTCATATTGTATTTTGTGAAACAATTTCTGACATGTCACTATGGTATCAGGTTTCAAGCGCAAAGCCTCTGAGGAGGCAGCTTCCCCGGAGTCTGGGCAGCAGATTATCAAGAAGGCGCGCACAGATTCGCCCGTGAAAGAGGTAAGAGGTTCTACTATGGTAAATTGCTTCGCGTTGTTCTGACGCGTACCTCGCACAGGAATATGGCCTCCTCAAAAAGCCTCCGCTCCGCATTGTTCCATTCCCAGAGAAGGTACCCTCCCATCCTACGCCACCGACTCTCATGTCTCTTCGTGAGCAATGGCTGATGATACCCAGGCCGCTGTTCTCGAGGAACGCAGAGGCGACATCGAGTTTCGTGTCGTCAACAATGATGGTTCCCACGATAGCTTTATCGTCCTTACGGGCTTGAAGTGTATTTTCCAGAAGCAACTTCCGAAGATGCCCAAAGACTACATCGCACGCCTTGTCTACGATCGATCCCATCTGTCTATGGCTATCGTCAAACACCCACTGGAGGTTGTTGGGTATGTCATAAGTGCCGAGTCTTCCCCAGATTTGTGGGATTAGAATACTGACCAACTACAGAGGAATCACGTATCGTCCGTTCAATGCTCGAAAGTTTGCTGAGATTGTCTTCTGCGCTATATCCTCGGATCAACAAGTGAAGGGATACGGCGCACACTTGATGTCTCATCTCAAGGTACGCATGCCTACAGGTCTGCGATTACTATGCATATATCTGACTATATTTGCCATATAGGACTACGTGAAAGCCACCTCTCCTATTATGCACTTCCTCACCTACGCCGATAACTATGCCATTGGATACTTCAAGAAACAGGGCTTCACCAAGGAGATCACACTCGATAAATCAATCTGGATGGGCTACATTAAGGATTACGAGGGTGGCACGCTCATGCAGTGTACCATGCTCCCTAAGATTCGTTATCTGGAGATGGGCCGCATGCTCACCAAGCAGAAGGAGTCTGTGCAAGCCAAGATCCGTGCCTTCAGTCGCTCGCATATCATTCATCCCCCTCCGAAGGAATGGAAGAACGGAGTGTACCCGATCGATCCTCTCAGCATTCCCGCAATCAAAGAGTCTGGATGGTCTCCAGATATGGATGAAATGGCTCGCCAACCACGCCATGGGCCCAACTATAACCAATTGCTGCACTTGTTGAACGATATGCAGAACCACAGTGCGGCCTGGCCATTTACTCAACCCGTGAACCGCGATGAGGTCCCAGACTACTACGAGGTTATCATGGAGCCCATGGATCTGTCGAGCATGGAAGAGAAGCACGAGAAGGACTTGTACCCGACCCCACAGGACTTCATCAAGGACGCCATGTTGATCTTCGACAATTGCCGACGCTACAATAATGAGACCACACCCTATGCCAAGAGCGCAAATAAGCTTGAGAAGTTCATGTGGCAGCAGATTCGGAATATTCCGGAGTGGTCGGTATGTATTTACGATGAAGGTATTTCTCACAAGACAAATGCTAACTCTGACATCTAGCACCTTGCCGATAATCATTGATTTCGGGACATACATTTATTGCAGCGAGTGTGTTTTTACGGAATGGCGTTAGGGGCATTGAGATTTGATAGGCAATACCCTGTTGATAGATTACCACAACATGCAATTTTCACTGGCTGATGAATTAATGCCAGTTTATGATTTTCTTTCCAAAAAACCGAGGTATAATTTTACGTCTAGCTCAATCCATGGATCATGGATAGACATGCTGATCGATCTTCACACCAATCACATCTATAGATGCTATGCTTGGTATTGTGGGGCCGGCATCTGTTTCAGGCTCAAGTCGATGTCGATGCCCATAGCATACTTAGGTAGAGCATAGAGCAAGGTCATAGCAGAAGATTATTATAGATGAATTGAATTGAGTAAACATATAAAAATGTTTATATGCATGATGATATGTGATGCAATAACCTAAAACCTCTTAACGTTAATTTCCCCCTGACTGATCTTAATCTCGGATTATCGTTGTTGCGGTGTTTCGAGAAGAATGCTGATGGCTGGAATAGCCTCAACTTCACCCTTACGTCTTTCGTTTCGTAGGATTTGTCTTTTTCAGGTTTTCTTGTTTTCTATTTTTCGCCGTTGCTGTTGCTGAGCCGACCTGATTGTGTTGTGACCTCAGGGCCTCTCCCGCTATCCACACACCATTCATTGTGTACCTCACAACGTGGAGCTCAATTCGTTTCAACCCCTCTCATTTCGCTCTCGATATTCTATCATTCGCTTCTAATCGCCTACATCTTACCTCCTCGCATCTTTCGGGGTGTGTTAAGTTCGTTTGCACGCTCGCCGACGCGACCTTAATCTCTCCCCCTTTTGCTCCCCCGCCTTCGCTCTGAAATTTCATTGCTGGTCATTCACCGATATGTCTCATCATGACTTTGTCGACGCGGAGTCGCGTAATCGCCTACCGACCCTCTTTGAAGTGCTCAGCCGCCGAACTCTCGCCCCGGTCGACCTCTTTTCATTCTACATTTACATGCGCGACCAGCAGCGTTCTGTAGACTATCTAGACTTCTGGTATGTGTAAGCTCACATTCGATACCCGTATATAAAGTTAACGGGTCCTCTAGGCTGGATGTATCACAGCACATGCTACTGTGCCGACACTATGTCCGTGAACTCCGCCGTTCCGTCCTCGTCGCAACCCCCGATATGGAAAGAGCCGATAGCAAACGATCCTCTGCCATGCTGGACAATCTGGAGAATCTAGGTGACATCCCGCTGACAGAGGCCGGGCCTTCTCGCCTACGACACGAATTCCAAGAAAACGAGAAGGACAGAGATGCCGACCAACGCCTGTCTGCATTCCTTCGCTCTGAAGGCCACACCACATCACCTTCCCGGCAAAACAGCCTGGGATCTTCCGGCGAATCAGCACACCAAATCTCTTCGTATGAGGATGGCCGCGACACCCCGGATTCCCGGCTTAACGACTCAACCTCCCCTGGGCACACTGTGGCCCGCAATGACATCCGCGCTAGCGCGGAGAAGATATTGTACACATATCTAATTCCCGGCTCCGAGCGAGAGATTATGCTACCAGAATCGATGGTTTCTACGATTATCAACCTGGTCGAAGATGACGGCCGAGACGACCCCGAAGTGTTCGACCCCGCCAAGGATTATGTGTTCCAGGCTATGGAGCGTGATGCATTCCCAGGATTCTTGCAAGCAAAGGCCCTTGGAAATATGGTTCCCCTGAGTATCATCCTGCGCCTCGCCTTTGCTCTGATTAGCTTCGGTGGAGGATTCTGGGGTGCCTTCTACGTTGTTCTGCGGAATAAGCCCCGGAGCATTCGTTGCTGGGTATGTTGATTGTTCTCTCTAAGCACTGATGAACCAGCCCGCTAACTTTAATCCAGATCATTCTTCCATTTGCTGTCGCTGCATACTTCATCATCTCCTACCAGTACAAGATCGACCCCATCATGGCGTTCCTGGGCTACAGTGAATATACTTTCATGAACTGGGCCCCGATTCGCGAGCCCTATGTTCGAAAGCTGCTGAACAAGCGCGCTGTCGTCACTACATTGATCGCCTTCATCACAGCGGCAGCTTTAAGTATCTTGTTCATTTTCGTTCCCGGTACCATGTTGTGAGCTTTTCGCCGAGTCCGGTTTCCATCTAATCCAAACTTCCAAAAACAATCGCCCCGTGAACTTCGTTGTCTGATCATCTGATCATTCCTACCCTGTCTACAATTGACTTGACTTGACCTGTTCAAGGCGTTCCCACCAGGTCCAAATACTGAGATTTTGCTTCCATGATGCATATTCTTGAAAAAGACTGTCTCAGATCTGCAGCCCATTTTCATCCTCGGAGCTATACAGAAGGGATTTTGGTATTCCCCATCCGCCCTATCCATCCGCTTATTAGCGGTCACATCTCCTTCCTATTTGTCATGTCCATATTTATTGCGCCTGTTGTTTTGCTGTGATTTTTTCTTCTATTCTACCAATACCCCTCTTGACTTTGAAAACTTTGTATTGTATCTATTTTCTCATTAATGAGCGTCGCCATTAGGGCCTTACGAATGCAATTTGCTCCTGTCCACGGGTTCCATATTCCACGAGATATCGTCCGTAAAAGATGAAACTAAACCATAATCAAGTCATTTCGTATCATAAATCCCGTTGGAGCCGCTATGATCTTCTGTGCCACATAACCATGAGCAAATGGGGAGTATAGTGTCATGTGAATGCATCCTCAACATCCACACTTCAAGACTTTCGCCCCAACACCCTCTTCGGCTGCCGGCTATTTCCCGCACGAGCACCAGGCGCCTCATCGATATCCATGCGTGAGCCATGCTCACCACCATCGTAAGTCTCAAAGAACCCATCATCCTCATCAATATCGTCGGCATCCCTCTTACTTCCCCCGAGGCCAGCGCCCAGGCGACCACCCCGCCGACCACCCTTCTTCCCCGCAATTTGGTTCCTCTTAACAGCCTTCTCAAGCTTCTCACTGTGCGCCTGGGCACGTGCAGCACGCTTCGCAGCGTCGCTCTTGACGCGCGCAATCTCCGCCTCCAGATCGGAGACGACCTCGCCGCAGCGAGATTCCCACTCGCTCAAGTTGGCAATCATCTTAGGGAGGGACTGAGGTTGGACGTCGCGGAGTGGGGCGACGGCTGTCACGTTCACGGATGGTGGGTTGGAGGCTGGTGAGAGGCGGGCTGTTATCAAGGAGGCGTAGATGGCTGTTGTTACGAGGGATTCGAGCTCGGATTTTGTGGGGGTGCTGAGGGCAGTCATCAGGGCGCTGTAGGTGAGGGGTTTGATTGTCGTTGAGAGGGTTAGGAGTGAGAGGAGGCGGAGTTTGAGGGTTTGTTCGGTATTCAGCTCGGGGAGGTTTGGGGTTGCTGGTGCGGGGTGTTGGTGGTTAGCTTTGATTCTGGTGGCTTGGGGGGTTTGCTTTCTGAGAAAGTTTCGTTTGGATGGTTTTGTGCTTGCTTCGGTTTCTGGGCTTTGGATACATGTAATCTTACTTTGATATTCTTGCCATGTCCCCCATGCGAAGATCTCTAGTAGCTTTAGATAGCCCTTAAACTCGGCTGGAGTGTCTGGTGACCGTAATGCTTGGATCGTTGGCAGCTCGAGCAGCTCTGCGAAGACGTAGGTTTGCGTGCTTGAGGTGGCATTTGTGATGAGATTGGCGATAAAGCGAGGTGAACCTGCGCTGTTGGAGCGGGCTAGGTGGATGAATGGTTGGAGAGCCTCTAGGGCTCGTGTGTGGGTCTGATCCATTGGGATGTGGTTGATAGAAGTGTAGGTTCAATGAGGATATTGGAGGGTAAACAAGGGAGAGAGCTGCAATATGAGAGGTACGGAGTAGCCGAGTTCAAGATAGATGGGAAGCATCAAATGTAGTCAAGGTGGAGATGCTTGTTTGCATGAAATGCAAACACACCTTATCTGATTCAAGTACTCCATTTAATTCCACCTGGGCAGGCTTGGAGGGATGCTATTCATTTATTTTTATATTTTATTATTTATTGACTGTGTTTTAGTTATTTATCCTATTGCTTATTGTATCTATTATATAATTAAATCAAGTGGTGATTACAGTGCAGGGCCCCCCATTCTGCAAGTATAGAAAAAGCGACAATAAGCCGATGCAATGTAACAGTACTAGGCAGGTTCATCTTTGTAGACATTTTGAAACGACCACATGTTTTCGTATTGCTTAGTCTGTTTCAGGCCTTCCAGGACCGATGATTAATTTGTGTTTACTAAAGTCCCTCGATGAATATTAATCTATCTTGTAATTAAAAATCCGACCATCTAATCAGCTGCGCACGCTTATATTGAATGGGCTTATACATTCCACAGCGTGGATGCGGTCCACATCGCCGAGTGGTCCACATCATCGAGTCCTACGTATCCCCGAACAAATCCACTTTCTTTTTTCTTTTCCCCTTGCGCCTTTGGCCTTATTTTTGATAAAATCCGATCGACGTGGCTTTCTGGGCAAACTATTTCTTTTTAACTTCTGCAGCTCCCTTTGTCTGCTCAACACGGGAATGATCTGTTAATCTTGCGCCATCCGAGACCATCCGTCCCTCTCAGCACGCTATCACCCTCCGCCATCGCGTCGGAGGCAATTTGTCACACATCCTCCATATGCTATAATCCCGTCGTTCCTCGCCGTGTTCGCCTCGCGCTTCACTGTCGAGATGTTACCCATGAATCCGCACGCCCGCGGGGCTAATCGACCCGTAATGGCCACCACAACTATCAAAATCGACGGAATGACTTGCGGAGCTTGCACATCAGCAGTAGAGGGCGCATTTCAAGGGATAGACGGTGCGCACGATGTTTCTGTCAGTCTCATCATGGGTAGGGCCGCTGTACAACATGATCCGTCAGTGTTACCGCCTACGAAAATCGCAGAGATGATTGAGGACTGCGGGTTCGATGCGGCAGTACTTTCGACCGAGGAACAAAGGAATCCCGACTCTGCTTCTTTTCCGGCTACGCGACTCTCCATAACCAACCTGGCGGTTGAGGGTATGACATGCGGGGCATGTACGTCTGCAGTGGAAAGCGGGTTGAACAATGTCAGCGGTGTGAACTCCGTAGACGTATCACTACTTTCTGAGCGCGCAGTTGTGGAACATGATGCAGGCATCATCACACCAGAGCAGATCGCAGAGCTCATTGAAGATCGAGGCTTTGGAGCGCGAGTGCTGGACACTTCCCTAGTGGGCTCCAAGGGACCATCTGCATCGGCTGACTCGGAAGATAAATCGGGGCTTCTGGTCACCACGGTCGCAATTGGAGGAATGACATGCGGCGCTTGCACATCTAGCGTCCAGGGTGCCTTGAGCAATGTGGATGGAGTAATCCAGTTCAACATCAGTCTTCTGGCTGAGCGAGCAGTGGTTGTACACGACCCAACCATACTCCCTGCCAGCAAAATTCCAGATCTTATTGAAGATGCCGGATTTGATGCGTCCATCGTGTCGTCAGAGGCGCAGGCGTCAATTTCCAAAAAGACACAGCAGATCAATTTGAGCTTGCATGGGCTGCGAGACGGCGTTTCTGCCACAGCATTGGAAGATAGTCTATTACAGCAACCGGGTGTTCTTTCGGCATCAATAAAAATGGCTACCTCCCGTATAGTCATTGCTATCGACCCATCTACAATCGGAATCCGGTCTGTTGTGGACGTGATCGAGGCTGCTGGTTACAACGCCTTGATTGTCGACTCAGATGATACCAATGCACAGCTACAGTCATTGTCCAAAACGAAGGAAATCCAAGAATGGAGAAGATCTTTCATCATCGCCGCCTCTTTTGCGGTCCCTGTCTTCCTCATCAGCATGATTCTTCCGATGTATTTCCCCGGAATTGACTTTGGCAGTGTTGCACTGATCCCGGGCCTATATCTTGGAGATCTGATCTGTCTCGCTCTTACCATTCCGGTGCAGTTCGGCATTGGCAGACGATTTTATATCACGAGCTTCAAGTCTCTCAAGCATCGATCCCCAACCATGGACGTTCTCGTAATGCTGGGCACGTCCGCTGCCTTCTTTTACAGCTGTTTCACCATGATCATGGCTCTTTGCAGCAAGGACCAACGGCGTCCTAGCACCGTGTTTGACACCAGTACGATGCTTATCACCTTTATCACTTTGGGACGATGGCTAGAGAACCGAGCCAAAGGCCAAACTTCCGCTGCTCTTTCTAGGCTCATGTGTCTGACTCCATCTATGACGACTATCTACGAAGATCCCATTGCGGCAGAGAAACTGGCTGAGCGCTGGACCTCCAAACCTACACCTGGCGCACCTGAGCAACCCACGTTGGCCGACGACATAACGGTAAATCAAAAGTGCATCCCCACCGAACTAATTCAAGTCGGTGATGTCGTCATCCTCCACCCCGGAGATAAGGTGCCTGCGGACGGTGTGGTCATCCGGGGCGAAAGCTATGTTGATGAGAGCATGATCAGTGGAGAAGCACTGCCTATTCACAAAAAGAAAGGCAGTCAAATCATTGCTGGGACTGTGAACGGCACAAACTCTATTGATTTCAAAGTCATTCGAGCCGGCAAGGATACCCAATTGAGCCAGATTGTAAAGTTGGTACAGGACGCGCAGACGAGCCGTGCTCCGATTCAGCGCATGGCTGATATCGTTGCTGGTTACTTTGTCCCCACCATCATCGGTCTTGGTTTGATCACATTCTTTGGTTGGATGTTCCTCAGCCATGTCCTGCCTCATCCGCCCACGATCTTTGAAATGGCAGGCAGCGGTGGCCGAGTCATGGTTTGCTTGAAGCTGTGCATCTCGGTCATTGTCTTTGCGTGTCCCTGTGCTTTAGGTCTGAGCACCCCAACCGCGGTCATGGTTGGTACCGGCGTCGGCGCTGAGCATGGCATCCTCGTTAAGGGAGGTGCCGTGCTAGAAGCTGCCACGAAGGTTACTCATGTTGTCTTCGATAAGACGGGCACCCTGACTACAGGTCGGATGAGCGTAGCTCACACCCGAATTGAACCTCAATGGACAATGAACGACTGGCGCCGTCAGCTCTGGTGGCTTATTGTCGGTCTCGCAGAGGCAGGCAGTGAACACCCAATCGGACGAGCGATCTTCTCTGCGGCCATAACCGAATCAGGTCATCCCGGAGAAGATGGGTTACCAGGGAGCACGGGTGACGTTGACAACTATGTTGGCAAGGGTGTTTCTGCCGTCGTCGAACCTACATCTAGCGGCCAACGTATCCGGCATCATGTCCTCCTTGGCAACGCCAACTTCCTCCGGTCCAAAGACGTCCCTGTACCCGCTGACGCAGATCCCGACTCCGCGGAACCTGTCGAAGACTCGGAAGCTGACATCCCCAATCCTGGTGCCACCGCTGCCGGCATTACACGCATCCACGTTGCAATCGACAACCGCTATGCCGGAACCATCTCCCTCCGAGACACAGTAAAAGAAACCGCCGTGGCGGCTGTAGCGGCCCCTGCATCGCATGGGCATCTCAACCTCCATGGTAACAGGCGACACGCTCTCAACAGCGATATCAATCGCCACAGCAGTCGGCATCCCAACTGATACAATCCACGCCTCCGTCTCCCCATCCGAGAAACGCTCAATCATCTCCGCCCTCCAAGCAGAAGGCGAGCGCGTCGCCATGGTCGGCGACGGCATCAACGACTCTCCCGCACTGGCCACGGCATCCGTCGGAATCGCCCTAGCATCCGGCACAGACGTAGCCGTCGAGGCTGCCGATATCGTCCTGATGCGTCCGGACGATTTACTGTCTGTACCAGCAAGTCTCTCCCTCTCGCGCTCGGTCTTCAAACGCATCAAGTTGAACTTAATTTGGGCTTGCATGTACAATGTTATCGGCCTTCCATTCGCCATGGGCCTTTTCCTCCCCTTCACGGGCTTCATGCTACCCCCCATGGCCGCCGGTGCTGCCATGGCTCTTTCCAGTGTCTCCGTCGTTGTTAGCAGTCTGCTGTTGAAGTTCTGGCGTCGCCCGTCTTGGATGGAGGTTGAGAGTCTTGAGAAGGAGCTTCGCTCGGGTGCGATCTCTCCGGCTGGTCTGGCACGTCGTGGTCATGCTCGTAAGGTCAGCTGGTGGGCTTCCACTACTATTTTGTCGGATAGCCCGCGTTCTCTGCGTCGTCGTGTTGGGAATGTTTTCTCTTCGCTTTGGTCTCTGGTCACTGGCAAAGGACCCATGCCGGCTGGTCGGGGTGATGACGGTTATGTTCCGTTGCAGACAGTTGAGCCGCCTGTTTGATTTCGTCTTGTCTAATTCGCCGTATAGAAACTTGTCCTGTATAAGGGCTTCCTTTGTTTTGATGCCTCATGTTCAATGTTGTTGGATCGGCATATCTCGGGCCTGGTTTTGGCGTTTCTTTTCGGTTTCTTTTTTAAGTTATTTGATACCTCCTCCATTAAGGTCATTTCTACATTTCCCACAAGAAGATCGTCACACGTAAAAGAAGCAAAGACCAAAAAGTAAGGGATAGGTCCACCCCGAGTACTGCCGACACGAGCCCCCTTTCAAATTCCTAACAAATTCCTAACCCAGTCTGATCTCGGTCTTCATCGGAGTTGGCTAGCCTAACTACATAGGTATAAGGTACCATTGGCATCCCCGATTTTCAGCTCCACCATGGCCCGATGGCTCCATTCTTGCCGAACATGGTACCTACACGGTAGCTGCTCAGCCGCACCAAGACCTAGTATGTAGATCGACCTGAAGAATTCCAATAAAAAGCTACTTTACCTATACTTTGTCTTAGATTAGCAGCAGTAGTGAATATCTGTTCTCGATTTTAAGGTTCACTACTCCGTATGTTGTACTACCTACATATGTAGGCACCTAGTTAACCCTTAGATGTCATCCTTTTGTGCATATATAGAGCCTTCTACAGCCCTCACTCCATTGCCAGTTGCAATACAATCCACTATCCATAGTCATCATTATGGCCCTCAAACATGCTCTTTTATGTGCCCTTTCCTTAGCCACAGCTACTCAGGCTGCTGTCAAATTCTACGGATCTAGCGGCACTGCTGGCGATATCCTCAAATGCGGCGGTGGTGCCAACAACACCGACGCAAGTCTTGCTTTCTTGTTTTCAACCATTTACCCTGGCCATGTCGCCCAAAATTCGACCACTTTCCGATTTGACAATCCCATTATTTGCGGAGACGAGGCATCGTTATCGATCGAGTTCAACTGCAATGACCTCGGGGCACACTCCATCTGTATCCCGAAGAACAGTACGGCTACAGCATCGCGTGTCCGCCGTGTCCGCCGCTCATCCCCATCCAATTCCAAGAGAGACGGGGGTGCCAAATGCGACTCGTACAGCGGCCAATGTCGGAACCAGTACCAAAGCTCGTCTGGTTACTGCTCTGATGGATACGAAAAGGAACATTTCGCGGTATCCGGCTATACTCAGGATACTTGGTGTGTCAAGCCGTGTACTGAGAAGGAAGCATCAGCCTGCCATACTTCCGTGTGCAATCGAGTCCGTCCCCAATGCGAGGGTAGATACACAAGCTCAGACACATGTATGGAGGCTCTTGTTGAATGCCGTGGAAATCCGGTCAAGGTGAAGCAGAAATGGTGCAAGCCAGAGTTCTTTGGGTTCTACGGTGGAAGTATTTTTGGGGGCACTTTTGACGATTTCTGTAAACAGCAGAAGTCGAACTGTCTGGAGTATGCCAATGGTGCTTGTCGCCTTGATAAACCCTCCTGGGATAATTACGTTGCCATGGCTAGGAATGCGCAGTCCGCTGCTGCTGATGCCTATGTTAGGGGGTCACGTTCATAGTCATCATTGCACTGAATGATGGATCCCCATCCCTAGGTAGTGATGTATCATCATTTGGAAAGCTATATGCATGTATGTATGTTAAGATAACCCTTGGGATCCTGCAAGGATGTGCCAGACTCAGATAGAAGCGAGCGGAATACAACGCTTAAAGCCTGGTAAGGTAGCCCTCCTGTCCTACTTTCATATTGCGTGAGGATTTGAGTGATCTGGTAGATATACTCACACGTAAAAGAACCAAAGACCAAACTTTAAGGATAGGTACATCAGGCTTGGTTGCCAATCTGTGTAAACGAGGAATAGTTCTCCGGTATAAAACCAGTCTTCAAGAAAGGGCTCATCAACAATCGTTCGACCCAGGACATTACTGTAACTATGTTTAAAAAATATCGAAACTTTCAGCGACTGGAGACTGGTATGAAATTGCTTTACCGGAGTTACCGGAGTTCACACAGGATAGTACAACACAGGAAGCTGACATCTGTCAGCATTCAAAATCACAACTAAATACCGGTCATATATCTTAAAGCCGATCATGATGACAATGACAACCAAAATTGCCCCTCCGAAAATCTCGAGGTTTCACGGCCTCTGTCGGAGGCCAATTTGGACTACGTCAGGCAAAAGTATATATATTAGGTCACATCGATCGCGACAATGTAAAAATAAAATAAGAAGCTCCCAACATTACTTCCATTCATTACACTCTTCAACTTTCCCGCTTCCATTGTACCAATCTCTCTTTCATCCAAAATACCTCATCAAAAATATGAGTATGGAGTCAAAGTACGCCAAAGTTCACCAATCGCCAAATGGCCCTGGCGATGCGCGTCCCACCGCCCTCCAAATTGTCAAAGATGCAGGCCGTGAAGATACTTTGGTCGGCAAAGCTATTATGATCACAGGTTGCTCATCCGGCCTGGGTATCGAGACCGCACGCGCACTCTTTCATACCGGAGCGACATTATACCTTACTGCTCGCGATCTGGAGAAGGCGAAGTCTACGTTGGGTGACATAGTGGGAAGCCCACGAGTCCACCTTTTGCACCTTGACTTGAATTCCCTGAAATCTGTGCGTGCATGCGCTGAGGAATTTTTGACGAGGTTTAATACGCTCAACATCCTGATTGCGAATGCCGGTGTGATGGCGTGCCCTGAAGGCCGAACAGCCGATGGACTTGAAACCCAGTTTGGGACAAACCATGTAGCCCACTTTTTGCTGTTTGATCTTCTTAAACCTCGCCTTCTCTCCTCATCAACTCCGGCTTTCAATTCTCGAGTTGTCATTGTTGCGTCTAGTGCCCACCGTGTCTCCTCCGTCCATTTCGACAATCTTACTCTGGAAGGCGAATATGAGCCTTGGAAGGCCTATGGCCAGAGTAAAACCGCCAATATCTGGACAGCGAACGAAATCGAAAGACGATACGGTGCTCATGGCCTCCATGCTTTCAGTTTGCATCCTGGTGCCATACAAACAGACCTTCTTCGCCATGTATCAAACGAACAGAAAGCCGACTGGGACAAAGATGAATTCTTGATGAGCTATTGGAAGAGCCCTGAACAAGGTGCCGCGACAAGCGTTTGGGGAGCGGTTTCAAGGGAATTGGAAGGGACCGGAGGGAAATACTTGGATGACTGTCAAATTGCACTACCTGCCGACCCTTCGCAGCAACAGGGCCCCGGTTATGCGGCATGGGCTTACAGTCCAGAAATGGAAGCAAAGCTGTGGGCCAGAACCTTGGATATGCTTAATGAACAATGAATAGCCTCGTTCCTCGCACGATTTCTTGTATAGAGGGGCGCCGTCTGGCTAAATGGGCATATCCTAATGTTACATATTATAGAGGGGTGGGATGAAAGCTCGGGACTCAGGGGAGCGACGTCGGGAGTAGAAGAAGGTTCATACTAGCGAGACTTAGTACCCACTTAACCTTCTCCAAGTTCCATAGTACATATCCATAGATCAACATGTCCATCTGCCGTTGGATTGTCTGGACATCGGCCTGGATCTGGATTAATGGATTGTCCGTCTCGCGTTTGATTCTCTGCATCTGCTTGTCCAACTCTCTCTTTCTTTCTAGCTGCCTTGGTTTCCGGCGCTAGGCCGGCTGCTTCGGACCATGGTCCATCTCCATAGGCTGTGGGGAATAAAAGCGCAGAGCAAAAAAACATATCAACTCGAATTATCGTAGCGAGATGTACGACATCTTCCGGTTTTCCAATGTTTATACCGGCGCTGAGTCAGCGCTCCAAAGTACCGGAAAGGTAACGCTCCGGACGATGTTGTCCGGAGCAAGGATTATAGGCGAGGCAGCAAGGATCACAATATTCCAGCTAATCATTATGCTCTATTTTTCGGAAACCAGAATGGCGTGCGTCCGACCTGGTATGACCTGGTATGCACCTGTCTGAGAACGTAAATGACTCTGGCTATCTTAGCATCCTCACTTCTTGAATGGTAGAGAGGTATTTACGATCATACCGAAAAAACTGCGGGACTCACTATGGATATATGGGAACTTAGTGCATCAGGGGCCATGATGCCCATGTCTTCAACTCAAGTCTGCTCACGCGCGGCTATTGCTGCGCCTGAGCTCCCAGGGGCGGAGATCCTGGAAATGACCGTAGCGCAAGTTCGCGATTACTCCGCCTCGACTGGCGAAGTTTGGGACACAGCTCCTCTGGATATCGCGGGCCTCGACGTCTGTAACTTGACCGTTACCTACACCCATCCTGGATGGAACGATACGATCCACGTCGAGACCTGGCTCCCGCTGTCTGGATGGAATGGGAGGTTTCAAGCCGCCGGTGGCGGAGGATGGGTGACTGGCTCTACTCAGGGACTTGCCATTCGGGCCTTCCAGGGGTATGCCGTCAGTATAACCGACGGTGGCCATGCTGCCGATAGTCGTCCTGACGAGTGGGCGTTGAACGTAGATGGGTCGGTGAACCTCCATTTGCTGGAGGATTTCGCATCCCTCGCCCTGCACGAACTGGCCGTTATTGGTAAATCCATCACGACTTCGTTTTACGGTATACCACCTGCGTACTCATACTGGAACGGCTGCTCAACTGGCGGCAGACAGGGCCTCATGCTCGCGCAACAATTCCCAGATGACTTCGATGGAATCGTGGCGGCAGCCCCGGCCATCAACTGGCCAGAGTTCATCACCGCTGCATTCTGGCCGCAGCTCTTGATGAATCAGATGAATGTCTATCCGGAACTCTGCGAGTTTAATGCCCTCCGAGATGCAGCTATCCAAGCCTGCGATGGCCTTGACGGTGTCAGGGATCGGGTGCTGTCCGCCCCGGGCGTATGCGATTTCGATCCGCTCTCGGTAGTTGGACAGCCATATGACTGCAATGGTGTCCTGCACACGATCACAAAGGAGGCCGCCATTCTAGCGTATCAGGTCTGGAAGGGCCCTATTGGGCCTGATCAATCCCAGAGATGGTACGGGCTGAACTATGACGCGACCTTCAAGAGTCACTCACAGGTAGAATGTAACACTCACGAGGGCGTGAAGCGCTGCAGCGGCCGCCCCTTTAAGATCCCCGAGGAATGGCTGCGTCTCTTCGTGCTCAACGACCGCGAATTCGACCTTACCACGCTCTCCTTTGAACAGTACGATGCCCTCTTTAACAAATCCAAAATCAAGTACGACCACATCATCGGGACCGCAAATCCAGACCTGTCTGGATTCCGCGCCGCCGGTGGCAAAATGATCACATGGCATGGATTGGCCGATGGAGCCATCTTCCCCAACGGAACGTCGCACTATTACCAGGAGGTGCTGGAGAGGGATCCTGCAGCCGCCGAGTTTTATCGCTATTTCGAGATTCCCGGGGCAGCACACTGCCAGGCGTCAACTTCTGGTGGCCCATACCCGCAAGACGTTCTGGAGAGCTTGATTGCGTGGGTGGAAGAGGGAAAGGCACCGGAGACGCTGAGGGGGGAGTGGAAGGATCCAGCTACACAGTCTACGTTGATGAGGAGAGAGCTTTGTCAGTGGCCGCTGGTGGCTCGATATGTTGGGGGTGATATCACTCAGGCGACATCGTATACGTGTGATGCCCATTTTTGGTAGATGGACTTATGGCTGTACCTAGCCGGCGCCTACTAGAATGCATTTGAAGATGGGTTGTACGTGGATCAATGCATTGAACGTGGTATTCCAACAAGGTGAATAAAACCACACACTTCCAAGGTTAGGTATGTTGTCAAACTTCTTAGTTTAGCTTCTCGGCTTCTTCAACTACTCAGTCATCTTCTCACATTCCACTATGCACTAGTAGACGTCGTATATGCAATACACCACGCTAGCAATTAGCGTAGTCTTGGCGAAGCCACATTGACAGAATTGTTGCCAGGTAGACCTCTCTCCTGATATACGTACTCGCGACACTTTAGCTAATATCGAGCATTTCTCATCGACTTTTTACCATCTAAATAAATAGCACTTGTTGTATTAAATTCATCTTAGCAGCAGTCCTCGCGGGCGAGCATATCAAACCCATGCCAGGATGGTATACTCGGCGTGCACTGGGCCAGAAAGCTTGGCGATGGATGGGAGCGCAAAAGACGTCTGGCTGTGCGCGGATCGCTTCAGGGGTCTCGAAATGAAAATTCTCCGCGCGTATAAGGCTTATACGCCCAGAGGCTCGTGCGTTCGTAGGGTGGGGGCAGCACGGTTCTCTGATGTTGGAGAGCGGTGATGAACGTAGAAATAGACATCTTGATTCTTGGTATGGTATGTCTGCCTGCAGTCTAACAAAGAACTCAAAGCAATAGCTGCATGCCGCATAGCAGGTTCCTCCTCGGCGACCGTGTGAATGAGTCGCTGCCAGAAGTCATCGACTATAAACCCTGCGCATTTGCTAGAAGTACGCGTCTTGGATAAATCAGGGTCGTGTGAAAGACCCACTTGGCTTGGATCTAGTACCCGTCGTGCAAGGAAGTAGGGGGCCGTGACGGGGGCCGCGACGGGGGCTGGATCGGGGGCTGGATCGGGGGCTGGATCGGGGGCCGATTTGGGGGCCGATTTGGGGGCTCTATGTCTCGCATGGCACGTTTACGCCGGTCCGGAGTCTCTACGTATGATGTGTTTCTCTAAACATGCTTCCCCGAGCCTCCCCTGATATAGAGAGCCTGTGATTCTGCAGAGTTGAATACGAAGTCCCTGGAAGATGTCGTCCACTGTCCTCCACTGTGGGGTGCTTTAAGCGACATTGGAGACCCAGCGTAAAAACAATGTTGTAGATCCTTTGCAATCTTCGGTCAACCCGATTCTATGGCTATATGTCGGAGCGGAGGTTCACAACGATCCGGGTTCCTCCAAGGCCTTGATATGAAACTACACCCCCCCACAGAGCAATCGTAGTCCAGAACATCAATTCTTCAACCCTACTATGCTTCTTACTCGATTTTGGCACAGCCTTCTCTTCACGAGTTGTGCAGCTGCATCAATTCATGAAGTCTACAAACAAACTGGCTACGAGTCTACAGAAGGCGCCCTCTCTGGAGATCATGGAGTACCTCATACACAAGCCTCACGCAGCGCAGAGCAAATGTGCAGCACAGCCGGGATTCCGTCCATGAAAATCCAGGGCCTTGAGATTCTCACCTTGACCGCTACGTACATCCAGAACTATACCTTTCCTGCAATTCCCGTTTTGGGCTTTGACGGGAGCAGCTATGCCAACATGAACTTTTGTAATGTTACTGTCGCCTACACGCACCCAGGATGGAACGATCAGATCCACGTCATGGTCTATCTTCCCAGCGAGGGCTGGAATGGCAGATTTCAAGCCACCGGTGGAGGGGGCTTCATCGCCGGCGGGGGGTTACTGTCTTCATTTTACATGGCTCCAGCTCTATTAGACGGTTTCGCAGTTGCAACAAGCGATGGAGGACACTCAGTCGACATGGCAACTGCCGCGGTGGATGTCAGTGACTGGGCCTTATCCAGCCCGGGAAACGTTAATTGGCACCTCTTGGTCGACTTTGCTTCTGTTACGCTTCACGACATGGCCGAAATTGGAAAGGCAGTTACAACGGCATACTATGGAACTCCTCCGCATCACTCGTACTTCTATGGCGCGTCTACTGGTGGGAGACAGGGTCTCATGATTGCGCAGAGGTACCCTAACGACTTTGACGGGATCGTTGCCCTGTGCCCGGCAATCAACTGGGCTCAAGTCGTGGTCGCAAGCCAGTGGCCCCAGCTCGTCATGAATCAGCTGAACGTTTATCCGCCTGGCTGTGAGCTGAAGGCAATCACCAATGAGGCTATTTCTGCCTGCGATGGCCTGGATGGCGTTGAAGATGGCATTATATCCCTACCAGGCCTCTGCGACTTCGACCCTCATACCGTGGTTGGAAAGACCTTTGATTGCGATGGGAATTCCTCTGTTATCACCAGTGCCGCGGCCACCGTAGCGAAAGCAGCTTGGTCCGGTCCTCGAAGTGCAACCGGTGAGTGGCAGTGGTTCGGTATCGGAAAAGACGCCGACCTTGGAACCAAAGGGATGGGAGTCGCCTCCACCATCTGTGACGAAGACCAGAATTGCAAAGGCTTGCCATTTCCCATCACGACTTCTTGGATCAAATACTTTGTGAAGCGGGGCTCCGAGTTCGATATAAGCACCATCACCCACGAAGAATGGGACTCTATATTCCACGCCTCAGTCAACGAGTATGAGTCTGTGATTGGGACTGCCGACCCTGATCTCTCCGAGCTCCGCAAGACCGGGGCCAAGATGCTCTCTTTGCATGGCCTTCAGGATGCTGTTATCCCCGTCAATGGGAGTGTCCAGTACTATGACCGTGTTCTTGACAGGGATCCAACGGCACAGGACTTCTTCCGTTTATTCCTGGTGCCGGGCGCGTCACACAGTTTGGACGATGGCCCGGTCCCGAAGAAGATGGTGGATGCTATTGTAAAGTGGGTTGAGGAGGATATTGCGCCCGACACCTTGCGCGGAATTGGCAAAGACGGCTATGGTACGACAGTGGATAGGGATCTCTGTATGTACCCACGAGTTCAGGTTTACCGTTCCGGGGATCCGACGATAGCTTCTTCATTTGAATGTACTGAGTGAGGGGTGGAACTGAGTTGACATGTTTATAACTGATGGAACGCTACCGGTTACCTACTGGTTACATATTCAACCATGTATTCAACTCAGTTTTCGACAGTAGAGAATAGAAAAAGGATGACATTCCCTAACTAACGGTAGAGGCTAACTAAGTAACGCGGTGAGAGGGTTGTCAGGCGACAATCCCGTAACAGAGGTCTAGGCCTAGCCATCTATGTATCTTTGCATATCTTCACTTCTGGCACCGATATTAGCGGCGCAGTCGTTTCAAACGATTCTGTTATCTCTGACTCCTGATAAATAAGGAAACCTAGGAAACTATGATGTAGCCAAGCGTTCGTGCAATATAAGTGTCGAAAGCTATCGAATTAAAAATTTGATTCTTACCCATGTTGATGTAATTAAGCATTGACGGTGTTCTTTGAGTTCCCTTTCACTCCACTCTTGATTCTCTAACCTTAATTCTCCAACCTTATTTGACATGGTTATCTGTCGCGTGCAAAGCCCAGGTCGAACTTCCTGTCAGCAAAAACCTATCCATAAGAGGCTTCAGTCCCTCATCCAATCAAAATATTATTCATCTATGTTTTAGAAACAAGATGTTTGGTGTATTGAGAATCATGATGATGTGTACGTTCTAGAACAGACCTGATTGAACAAAAGGGTTTGTATTACCCTAAACGGCCTTATTTCTAAGTACATGTGATACCCGTGGGCGCATCTTCTGGATGAGTTGCTATAATACTTTTGTCGGGATCCTCGCATCACTCCAACAGCGCCATGGTTCAAATAAACATACCCGCGTACCTGTTCTTAGGGTTGACCTGGAAAGCTAACGCCATTATCCTAACATCCCGAACCTTACACCTCCCCTCCGAGGCGAACATAATGTTCTAGACTTTCATATTTCCAAAGTTCTAGCCGATACAAATAATCGCCCATACAAGTACACTCCGTCATTTAACCATTTGATACTGTTCAGGTAAGCTTTCCACGGCATGGCTGTTCTGCATCCTTTTGGCACATATTAATATTAGGGCTTATGAAACAATATACCTGTCTTGAAGGGCGACACTTGTGTCGGGACCAATTGTACAAGTTCCCTCCTAGTAGGAACAACGTGATCTCGTAGTATTCTAGTCTTAAAGAGCAGAGGGCCAGATACCACCATGACTGTGATAGCTGCGTTGAACCCCAGTTTCAGTCAAGACTGTTTCGAAAGGAAACATGCATTGTATAACAATATACGGTTACAACCAAGGGACAGATATGTGAAGGGGTCATCCGGATTATGACGTGGCCTTCGCCTGAATTCAGCTCTTTACTTGCGACTGATAGGAGGTCGTGGCCGGAGTAGGGGAAGATCAGGTGAAGTAAGGGCCAATTCCCCGGGAGCAAAATTCCTGTAACCCGTCCTATAAAAGCTGGGCTGTTTTCGTGGGAGTAACCTAGACAATGACCCAATTCTCAGACCACATTTCATTGATTCTTGTCTTTGTAACCACTCTTGCTCTCAATTAGTGCTAGTCATCATGGGATCCAAAAAATACGACATCACAGTGTTGGGTAGAGATTGCATCGACCTGGTTATGCTCGAAAACGGAAAAAAAGGCAACCTTCAAGGCCTTGAGGCAGGCTCGAGGCTTTTGTGCAAATTCCTAAAAGATAAGGGCCGAAACTGCCAGATCATGGTCACCAGCGACACCCCAACGATTGAGTTTTTGGCTATTGATAGCAACGCGGTCCACAGTCAACACTCTATTGATACAATCAATGCTCCACCCACTATTAATATCGATATTTCGCCAATCAAATCGGAAGACGAAGTTCCGGCAAACGCTAAAGTATCGAACTCGGTGCTAGTTATTGACGACCCCGGAGGAGACTTGCTATCTGGAAAGCCAGAAGCGACGCTGCCATGCCTGGGAGAATTCACTCCCCCCGTTATCTTCTACCAAACAAAGTCCCTAAAAAACGTATTCGAGGAAGAAAGTGCAAAGCCTACTCTCATCAAGAGCATCGACAATGATTATTTGCAAAAATTCGTCGTTATTATCGACGTTGACGTCCTACGGGATATTGGGACACCAATCAACAGACATTTATCCTGGGAGAAAGCGGCTGCTGATACAGTGAAGAAATTCAAGCCGAATGAAATAATCCACACTCAGAAGTCGGCGAAAATTGTGTGGGTCATTCGTTTCGGCTGTGTGGGTGCGATTGTCTTGCAGACGAATTCAGATCAATCAAAAAATCAGTCAGAAAATCATCTCTACTTCAACACAAAGAACGGAGAACGCGATTTGGGTCGGATGCACTATGCCCCTTCGGCAGCACTCGAAGCAGCATTCTTGAGTGGATTGGTATCCAAAGCCATGATTCAAGTCGACAAGGATCTGCCTCCGGAATGGAAGCCTGCGATCGAAGAAGGGTTTCGTACTGCTCGTTATCTTGCTTGTCAAAACGGTCCCGTTCCAACCGAAAATGGCTCCCTTCGATACCCGCTTTTAAAGGGTGGGAAGGAGATTAAACTTCAGGATGCCACCATCCCTAACACCCAGCTCGATAATTGGTCCATTTTGACCTGGACCGTTGAAACGGATGGGACAGCTGAACAGAAAAATGAAGCAGACATGTTCGCTGTGGGTACAAAGATTGTCAAAGAAGGAATTGAAACGGCACTATCAACTGTCCCGATAGCCAAGTTCGGCAATCTAATCACAGTCGATAGAAGGGAGATTGAAGAATTTCAGAAAGTCTCATACGGAATGGAAGAATATCTCAAAGCTAAGCAGGACAAACCACTTTCCATTGGTGTCTTTGGTGCACCAGGGTCTGGAAAGTCCTTTGTGATTGAGCAGATCATCAAAGGAATCACTCAAGGGATGACCGAAAACGAATCCGGCCGATTTCCAGTCTTAAACTACAATCTTTCACAGTTCCTAGACTACTCTAATCTCCTGGTTGCCCTCCAGACCGTACGGGATAAGACTGTATCGGGTCAGATTCCTATTGTTTGTTTCGATGAGTTTGACACGATTTTGAATGGAGAACTTGGATGGGTCAAGTTCTTTCTGGCCCCTATGCAAGACGGTAAATTCTTCGACCATGGCTATAAGCGACCAATTGGCCAAGCCATTTTCATTTTTATCGGGGGTACTGCGCCCACGTTCGAGGAATTTCAGAATGACAAAATTCAACTTATTTCGGCCGCAACAACCATTCCTAAAAGTCCATTGCCTGGAGCTTCAACTCCGCTTCCTATCAGCCTTGGTGGCCTCCCGCAAGACCCTTATTCGCGGAGAAACAGTATCCTGGAGGTGGAAGACGCTAAGGCTGCAAAGGCTGCTAGAGCTGTCAAAAAGCCGGATTTTGTGAGCAGGTTGCAGCTGCATCTTGATATCCAGGGATACGACAAGCCTCCCGAGAATCAAGATAAGCCTTTCCAGGATCACCACACATATATGATTCGAAGAGCGATTTTCCTCCGTTCGAAGCTGGAAGAAAGGGCTTCAAAGCTGAAAGAAAGTGTTCCTGTTGTTGATAAGTCTGTGCTCAATGGTCTTCTCAAGATTGAGAAGTATAAGCATGGAGCTCGTTCGATCGATAATATCATCAACCGAAGCACAATCACAGAAGGTCAGCTTAATCGCAGCGCACTTCCTCCTGATGAGGAGTTGGATTTACATTTGGATATGACGGAATACAAAGGTCTAGTTGACGGAGAAACCAAGTCTCTAATTGACGGAGTAACCAAGTCTCTAGTTGACGGAGAAACCAAGTCTAATAATATATTGTTGCCTGAGATCGCCGTAAGAATTCAGAGGAAGCCGGAAATGTGACGATCTGCCATTGGCCTTTGGCCTTTCTTTGTGCTCAAGGAATTTGTGTGGAAGTGATTTTTTGTTAGCCATATTCAGACTGAAAACCTCCTTTTTAAAGAAAATGTTTTTCTCTGCTTTCTCCAAATCTGTAAACCTTCTCTTACACCAGATAGCTAGTATACAGGTTAATCAAGACCTAATATCTTGACAAACTGTTGATGTGCCTTCTTAAGTGGCTTTGTGAATCCATCTGTCGAAATGGGATATGGCCTCCCTAGGCCCTAAACAGGAATCATGGTTTTTGTTGTGGTCTAGTGGTAAAACAGGCTGTATTATTTCCCACATGAGGTACTATTTCTGTAGGAAGATTCCATGCGAATTAGACCCAGCATTCATTTCAGCAATCAAGGTAGAAAATTACGAGAACGTTTTACAGGAAGTGACAGAGATGTGTGTATATGTTGGACCACTATATACTCCTGGCAAATTTTAGATACCGGGTGCCGTTCATCTTCATGCAATCATGCTGCGAACGGATCCTAATCTCACTAGTAGCTACTCATCCATTTTGAAAACCCTTCTGATCCACGATTTCTTTGCAGCAATCGAGGTCGCCGCTACTTCAGCTTGGCGACTCCCGGATATACCAGGCATCTCCATCTCGAAATCATGAAATGCCCCCTTCCAAACGTGAAGCTCGGTAGAGACACCACACTTCCGCAGCATACGCAACGGCCTCATCCCGGAACACCTCCGCCTCCCCCGCATCAAGAAACGTCGGCGGTAGCCCCGTCAGGTCCGTCGCACGCACAGGTGCAACCAGGTAGTCAACATGTGCCGGTCTGTCCCGCCCAAGGACACAATCCCACGCCATCTGGTTAGTGTTTCCACACCACGGGCCGACATGCTCAAACTGCTTCGCTGACAGCGTCTGGCCCCGGTCATCCAGCATTGGCGTAAGTATCATTTGTGCAAGAAGCTTTAGCGTTGGGTGCTAGTTCTGCCGCGCAAGCAGGGAGCATCCTGCTGCGATGGGGCCGCCGAAGCCGCCCAGAATCATGATTTTCGCCGGATTGATCCCAAGCTCGGCTGCATGATCCGCTACCCAAACTAACCCGGCGTAGCTGTCGTTCAAAGCCGCTGGGGCCGGGTGCTCTGGGGCTAGACGGTATTCAACAGATATTGCGACGATATCAATACCTTCGAATAAGCGGATTACGCTGTCTAGTGCGCTGGATCGGTTGCCAGCTACTTGGCCGCCGCCGTGGATAATGTACACCGCTGGTCGGGAGCGGTTTGTAGATGACATGCTGGTGAACACGGAGAGGGTGACTGGGCCATCTAGAGGATCGGCCACATATTCTGTGCGTTCCATGTGTGGAACCCCGGCGAGGACGGTTTCGGCGGAAAGTGTAGAGGAGACGGCTCGGATCTTGTCGATGCTGTCGAAGAAGGAGAGATCGAGAGGGTCGAGTTTGGATTGAAGCGCCGAGTCATACGGGGGCCGGGACATCATAGGGGATGTGACAGTAGACATGTCTCAATGGATATTAAATGCTGGAGGATAGTTCAAGAGAGGTAGAAATATTCCTTGGTATACTGATATCGGCCCAGATACATGGCTCTGGAATTGCGTGAAATCACCTGCATCCATCCAACTTGAACCAATCATTGTCTTTTTGATGTGGACGACATAGTCCACCTCCACTCCTTGTACCCGGTACCTCCACGTCCGGTCTCGCGGGTTGCACCGTTGATGCCTAGACTTAATGTGTAGGTATCGGGCCAGAGGAGATTGCGAGGCATACCCATACGGATTAAGGATATACAGATAGCTCAAGAATCCGACCCGGGAAGACCAAGTGGATTGCGTCCGGTGTCGACTAGTCGAAAACCCTCTGTATAAACTCACAAGAGCTGATTTAAGACTGGTGCGATTACTCATCCCAAGGCATCTTTAACCTCATATCCATGAGCAGTCTCACTAGTCTTAAATACAGATAGCCTTACAGAATGGAAGACAGGAACTAATCTTGACAAAGATTCGGTCTATGGTACGATCAGATTAGTACTAGGATTGGTCGAGGGTGTAGAATTAAGTGGAAAGGCATATAAACTGTGCTATTTATTCGAATAACGCGTCCCAAAAGTAGGAGCCATCATCAACACAGTCATCATAATCCGCCATTATCTCGCGTACTTGACAAAACGTTGTCGTTCGAAGATTTTCAAATGCTTCGTCGCTCAACTCTTGCTGCACCTCCCCTATTCGATTTATGACCATCTCCATCGTCCCTAAGAGCACCAACAGCGAAGGCATGGAACTTGCAATCCAACCTCTATCGGCTCGTTCATCGTAACCCCCTAGGTCATAGTGAGTGATACTACCATCCTCGGCATTCACCATTGCCATGGCATTGCCGCCAATACAGCCGAAGTTATAACAGAAGTTGACTGGCGGAGAATCGTCATCCGCCCACCGACGGCCAAATATTTCATCGGCATCGTATTCGTATAGCTCAACACCGGCATCTACACTCGTCTTCAATCCGTTCGACTCCCAATCAATACCAGTACACTGGACTAATGGAAACCCAACGGTTGTGAGAAATTTTCGCGTGTCTGGATCTGTGAGCCTGACAGGGAGCTCCGATTCAGTGGGCCTCCAGAGAGAGCCGGCCCCAAAGTGGACTTCAAGCCAATTGGCGTCAGGGCTTTTGGGAAGAGGTAATTTGTCCTGGCAAAGTAAGCGAGATCTCGTGTACACATACTTCAGAACTTACACCTATCACAATTGATTCTAATATCTTTGCCTGATACCTTTGGTGGTTGAATAGCTTGTTTAAATCTTTGCAACATTGAGACAGGTGAAGCGCGTCTCTGAGACTATCGAAGCTCTCGAAAACCCACAGAATAACCTCGGTGGGTAGTCCTAATAAATGATGCATGAAGAATAGGTAGTTGAGCCTGGATTAATTTAGCGCTTGATAAGCACATCTTTCCGACACCTCTACGTGACAGAATACCAGATGTGTACTCACAATGTAAAAATGTAACCTGTCCGTACAAACCAAGTCTAGCTTTTCCTCTGGGCGGCTGTTCTCAACATTTAGATGTTCTTGGGGCACAAAGATGAGTCTGAACTAAGTCCGGAAATGTGAATATATAAAGCAAACTACCAGCCTCCTGCGGCCCGCCTTCTCGTACAAACAACCAATGGCGGGGCAAGCTCTTACTAGTTTTAAAAATTAATGGCCCAATACTTCGTATTCGGGATCTTTTTTTCCCTTTCTCCTATCTTAGCCTTAAGGGTATAAGTTTTAAGATAGTGATCATCCCCGAGTATGAGCATGCAGTGGACATTCTCCTCGTATGTTGTACTGACTCGAGGCTGCCGATCGTTGCTTATATTTAAACCGCAATTCCCCCTTCTTGGAAGAACAGGGCAGGAAGGCTAGGAGATGAAAGCTAGGTCCGAAGAGGAGTGAAGAGGAAAGAGCAGTAAATTTAGCACAAAGCTGCCAACACGAAGCCTAAGAGCAGAATGTTAAACAGCACAGCAGAAGAAGCAGCGATTAAGGCGCTACATGTAGCCGCATATGTACAAAGTGATATGTATAAACAGTATCTGTGTCGGCCCGGCCTGTATGAGACTGCACTATTGTACTCCATACAATATGTAGTATTACCAATGCATGCATATAAATGAATCAGACCGGTTATTGATTGAAAGTACATTCATTCGTTGAACAGATTCTAGTGACTGAGTGATCTATATGGTCTAGACTAAACCTATTTGGGCCTTGTCTGCCTCAGGCAACACATTTGATACTGGAGCAAACGATGCAAACAAGTGGGCGGGATGACTCCGAGGCTTTTTTGTGCTCTTCTTTGATAACAAGATCGTCGCGTTTCTTTGGTGCTATTTCTGGAGACTGTATCTAAGGACCTCTCCTGGCATCTCTCAGTTTACTTTCGCCAACCTTGGGTTCAACGGGTTGTTGACACATTTAAGGTAAAACAGCCCTGCCGCCTTCCCACCGGCTCTTCACGAGAACTAGTTCTTGCGATTGATTCTCTAGAGCGATAAAGAATTCATTGTTAACACTCCTTGCAGAATATGGCTCCCAAGCAGAAACCTGGGCAAAAGCCGAAGCCCAACGCGGCGGAGGAAGTGGAAGAGACATTCCAAGCTGTGGTATGTCTAGCAGTTGGCGGATGGTTGCGTGCCTGCTATCACCGAAGTCCGCTCCATGTGTCATATATGTTTTACTGACTTGTGGATTTGCTTAGGTGCTCGCCGATACCTTCGAGACGAGATTCGAGCCGTTCACGCGCGACACACCTCGTGTATGTGCCTACAACATTCAAATCCCGAGAACTCGCAATTAACAAACTAAATTATTAGTGCCTCTTGCCGCTCGCAAATACGCCGATTATCGAATACACCCTCGAATTTCTAGCCAATGCAGGCGTGGAGGAAGTCTTCCTCTACGGAGGAGCGCACTCGGATCAGCTGGAGAAATACATCAAGTATGCTTGCTCGAAGGACTTCCTCTGACACGGATGGCAGCTGACCTATATTGCTAGTGCATCGAAATGGAGGGCCTTGTCTTCTCCATTCAAGCAATTGACATTCCTTAAGTCGACTTCTACCTCTGTCGGTGACGTTATGCGCGACCTGGACGGCAAGCACCTCATTACTGGAGACTTCATTGTCGTGAGCGGCGATGTGATCAGCAACCTGCCCATCGAGGAAGCATTATCTCAGCACCGGGCCCGTCGCGCACTTGACAAGAACGCGATCATGACTATGGTTTTAAGGGAGGCTGGCCTGCAGCACAGGACCAAGTCCACATCAGTTTCGCCGATTTTCGTCATTGACCCTACCAAGGACCGCTGTCTCCACTACGAGGAAATCGATCGGCACCCAGACGACGAGCAATTGTCTCGTCTGAATATTGACGCCGAAATTATTCTCAAACACCCCGAACTGGATATCCGCCAAGACTTGATCGACTGCAGCATCGATATCTGCACCCCGGACGTACTGAGCTTATGGTCGGATAGTTTCGATTACCAATCGCCGCGCAAACACTACTTGTTCGGTGTTTTGAAGGACTATGAGCTGAACGGCAAGACTCTGCACACATATATCATCAAGGACCACTACGCTGCTCGCGTGCGCAACCTGAAGGCCTACGATGCGATTAGCAAGGATATTCTCTCGCGCTGGACATACCCCTTGTGCCCGGATACGAATTTGCTCCCTGGTCACACATACACACTTCGTAAGGGCAGCATGTACCAAGAAACCGGGGTGACCCTGGCACGCTCTTGCGTCATTGGGCGTCGCACAGTCATCGGAAAAGGCACTAGCATTGGAGACCGCGCAGAAGTCCACAACTCCGTGCTCGGTCGAAACTGTAAAATTGGCCGCAATGTCAAGCTGGATGGTGCCTATATTTGGGATAATGTCGTGATCGGCGATAACACAGACGTCCGTGGGGCAATTATTGCTGATGGCGTGGTTCTCGGCAAGAATTGTGCCGTTGCAGCGGGATCGCTTCTCTCATATGGCGTGAAAATCGCAGATAACATCTGGGTGGAGAGTGGGAAGCGTATCACGAAAACTCGAAACGACGGCGGTGTGGGCAAGAACGATCCCGCAGTTGTTGGCGAAGGAGGCGAGGGCTATGAGTTCATTCACGGCGAGGAAGAAGAAGATGAAGATGACGACGTGAGCGTAGCCTCATCGGGACTTGGTATGTTGTTTCCTAGTGTGTCTCTTCGGGTCCGGATTGCTAACATTATGCCATCTAAAGTGTACCGCATGCCCAATCTCTCACTTTCTTCCGCCTCTATCTCAACACTGTCATCTGAGGTCTCGAATACTTCTTGGGCACGATCTGAGCGGAGCAGTTTCTCTGCCGACGAAGATGCAGACAACTTCCACCACGACGCATCAGTCAGCTTGTTCGACAGTCTACGTGAAGGCGTGGCAGCAGATGTGGTGCAGCTTGAGCTGGTCACGCTGCGCATGAGCGCAAACGCCTCGGACAACCAGGTCCGTCGCGCCATCGTGACATCGTTCATGAAGCACATCCAGCAGCTCATGGAGGGCGGTAAGGGTGCCGGCCCAGCAGTCAATGAGGTTTTCACCGCATACAAGGAGGTTGTTGAGCGCACTCTATTCGATCGCAGCAAGGAACAGAAGAACGACCAGGTTGATCTACTGCTCGCACTCCAGCAGGATCTTATTCATCGTAACAAGGGTGATATGGTCCTTCTCTTTACTGCCAAGTCTCTATATGAACTTGACCTTATCGAGGAGGAGGCTTACGACCAGTGGTGGAATGATGAGCGCTCTAGTAACTCCGAGGAAATGCGGACTGTCCGCAGCCAGACCCAGCAATTTGTTGATTGGCTCGCCGAGGCAGAGGAGGAGAGTAGCGAGGAAGAATCCGAGGAGGAGAGTGATGATGAGTAGATACCACATGTTTTCATTAAAATTCCAATATGACTTTCAATTTCCTTCCATGGCTATATGTACACAACATTGTAGTGTGCATTTATCTACGGAGTATGTCGATCACACTTCGGAGCTCTGCAACATTTCAGCCCTGGAGAATATTATAATTTTTGCCATCGAAGCCAGATATAGGCATCTGCTTTGAAAGCATGATCCACGGAAGCCTGCAGCGACAAACGAGGCTAGGCCACCAATGAAGCTAACAAGTGCCCAGGTGGAATGATTCATATCTGAGTCAATGGGCTGAAAGAGGCTACGAAGAAACATCAGCTGACCAACCTTGGAATGTTTTTTTGTCCATGAACTTTTGTTTTAGTTTCAAATTCCAAGTACTTCGTATAGATTTGTAGAGATTTGTAGAGATTCAAAATATCTCGAAAATCGTAATTCCTTCGAACACCGGTTCGAGCCGGCTTCGGGGCCAACAGCCCGGAGATCTTACGCTTCCCCACTCCCCTCTATCCGTGCCCGTCACAAGTTTTACCCAGTGACGTCTGGCCCGATCTCCCACTTATAACATCCCTTGTCGGCATCTTTGCCGTTACGTTCACCACGCCTCCCATAACGCGAAAGAGAAAGGCGGCTGAGGCGATTGCGGACGAGGCACTGCCAAAAGCCGCCCACGGCTCCCGGAAACCCACTTCTGCGTCCGACCGGCGCTCCCACAGAAGCGAGTCAACAGCGACCGCAACAGAAACTACAGAGAGAGAAAGTCCCGTCAGTTCCGGCCCAAAAGAGAGGCCCTCCGCGACGTCCACCACCGCCAGCATGGACTCTGACGATGAGTTCATGAGCGACGTCTCAAGCCAAGATGATTTCTTGGGAACCCAGGGCTCTGAAGATGAGAGCTTGGGTGAAGGTACGTGTGCCTCTGATATTTGCATTGTTACTTTTGTGTGTACTTTGTCTTGAGTATGGTGACTAACAAGCTGTGTCTTGGGAAGCAGACTTCGATGATCTCGACGCCGGGTTTTCGGACGATAAAGACCTCATAAAACATAAAAAGAAGCCATACGAAGTCGAGTACAAGGTTCTCGACCCTCCAGATATCGATCATGAACAGCTTGGCCAGGTCAACGAGGTTTGCGCCATCCTTGGACTACCGCCTGAGTCGGTGGCGATCTTGTTACGGTTCGACCGATGGAACAAAGAAAAGTTGATCGAATCATATATGGATCATCCGGAGCAGACGCTGGAGGAGGCTGGTCTTGGGCAGAACTTCGAGGGGACCGCAAAGACCGAACGCGTCCCGGGCTTCATGTGTGACATCTGCTGCGAGGATGGGGATGACCTCGAGACGTATGCTATGCGCTGTGGTCACCGATATTGTGTCGACTGCTATCGGCACTACCTGGGGCAGAAAATTAAGGAGGAAGGAGAGGCTGGCCGAATCCAGTGTCCCGGCGATGGCTGTAATCGCATCGTGGACTCCAAGTCGCTGGATCTGCTCGTGACAAAGGAGCTTCAGGGAAGGTGCGTGTTTTTTTCTGCACGTTTCTTTAGGCGGATTTTTGCTAACACATGTTTCACTACAGATATCGCGAACTCCTAACTCGGACCTACGTTGACGATAAAGAAAACCTAAAATGGTGTCCAGCACCAAACTGCCAATATGCCATCGACTGCGGGGTGAAGAACCGTGATCTCCGTCGCATAGTTCCAACCGTGCGATGTTTTTGTAAGCACGAGTTCTGCTTCGGATGTTCCCTCAGCGACCACCAGCCCGCTCCATGCACGTTGGTCAAGATGTGGCTACAGAAATGTGAAGACGACTCCGAGACGGCCAACTGGATCTCGGCAAACACCAAAGAGTGTACCAAGTGTAACTCAACGATCGAGAAGAACGGCGGCTGTAACCACATGACCTGCCGCAAGTGCAAGTACGAGTTCTGCTGGATGTGTATGGGCCTCTGGTCCGAGCATGGCACGAGCTGGTATAACTGCAACCGGTACGAAGAAAAGTCAGGCGCAGACGCTCGCACTGCTCAAGCCAAATCGCGTTCCTCGTTGGAGCGCTACCTGCATTACTATAATCGGTATGCGAACCACGAGCAGTCTGCCAAGCTCGACAAGGATTTGTACCTGAAGACCGAGAAGAAGATGACTAGCCTTCAGTCGCAGTCTGGTCTGTCTTGGATTGAGGTGCAGTTCCTGGACACCGCGTCGCAGGCCCTGCAGCAGTGTCGCCAGACCTTGAAGTGGACTTATGCGTTTGCATTTTACCTTGCTCGCAACAATCTGACTGAGATATTTGAGGATAACCAGAAGGATCTGGAGATGGCCGTTGAGAGTCTCAGTGAGATGTTCGAGAAGCCAGTTGCCGATTTGGCAGAACTCAAAGTCGATATCCTGGACAAGACTGCTTATTGCAACAAGCGCCGGGTGATTCTATTGAGTGACACTGCTGAGAACTTGAAGAATGGTAAGTGGGAATCTCAGCTGTTGTTTTACCTACACTTGCTAACACGTGTTTTCTAGGAGAGTGGTCGTTTAACATTGAGTGGTAGATCACAATCCACCCTAACCCTCCACTTGCCGTAGACTACGGACGAGATCTTGACGACGTGAACGACATCTATTTCCTTACAAGAAGTTTCAGCATACCTTTTTCCTTTTACTCCACCATCCTTGTCCCTTAAAGGCATTGAGATCATCGCCCTTGCACTGGCTTCGCAGCAGCAACGGTCATATCCATCCATATCGAGTGCTAAAATGGGCCTAGTTTTGTTTTCCCTCTTCCTCGAATTTCCTGCATGTATCCTCATTTGATGAGGGCTTTTCTTTTGGTGTGTTTTCATCACAGGTTCCGTCTTATTTTCCTCATTGCCTTGAGTTTAGGCGCAGCGGTTTTTTTTTACAGAATTGATTATTCTCAGAGATTTTATAACGGCAGATAGCAGTGAAATTCTCCCATTCAAAGCACCCTTCCCTTCAAGGATACCACACGTAGTGAGTGGAAGAAGAACAGGGACTCTGCCCATGTATGCTCCTATATCATATAGAGTGACTCTATGGCAGCCAAAATTGATATACACCGCGTTTGATCTATCCCTTGGCTATGGAGTGTAAGATTTTCCCACGAGAAACAGGGGGTCCTCAGCAGACACCAAGCCAATATATGCAGACCAGATGAGTTTAGTTCGCGGCTTACAGTTCCACCGGGCCTCGGCGTGCCCCAGTCAAAGACCGCGTGTTCTGCTTTCTGCTTTCTGCTTCGCCACCCAAGTTGGTTGGAACGAGAGCCAAAGTTAATAATGGAAGTAAGATATAATATAAACAATATACACCTATGTACGGAGTATAAAGGAGACGGCTATAAGTATTTCTAATAGAAAACAAAATCCTTCTCGAAGACCAGGAAGAAGCCAAAGCTCCACTCAGTATGAGTTAGGCGAAATGTGGTCAAGGGCGAACGATGGCTTATTGGGGGGGGAGTCTTATCTGATTGATAAAAATCTGGTACCAAGTGTGTACCTGTACCATGGTTACCTCACTGTGAAGGTACTGGTATGGTACTTCCAAGGTTTACATAAAAAAAATAAGGTGTTGGGACCAGGGTCCCCCTAAACTCCGTCATCGGAAGTCTCGGAGATAGTTTACCTACTTGTATGTATTGGTACTTACTTGTACCGTGTTTAACCTTATAGGCATGTGTCATTATTGTACCTCTGTACTCCGGACGGAGTCCACCGGTAGCTGTCTAAGTTATGTAGTTCGGCCGTTCATATTATGTTCAAGTTCCGAGGCATCGGCGGCCCTGAGGTCTGGCCGCCGATTCTGAATAAGCATGCACACATTCTCCAGGGCTACGGAGTACTTCTAAAGGGATTGAAATAAGGAGAATAAGCAAGATAGAATGAGAGTAAGTAGAAAATAGTCTCTAATAGACCAAAGAAAAGAAATAATAAGAGTTTATCGAAGTAGAATCCATAATAATAGCCAACCTGGGCAAGTCCGTGAATAATTTCCCTAGCGCCGTTTCTTGGTTTTTGCGTCCAAAACACCCAAGTTTCCAATATTTCCTCTGTCTATTCCGATAAAAGGAAAAAGAAAGAAGAACGTTCTTCTAATTCTTCTACTTCTTTATTTGCTCATTTCTTACCCCATTTTGTTGGATTTCTGTTCTTTCACTCTCTTGTTGGCATTGTCTCTGTGTTCCTCGGGATCTCCAACCCAATCCCCGTTTATCTCATCTTCACTTTTCCATTCCTCCACATCCGCCACAAAGTCAACCACCTCCCTTCCTCTCCGCCCGAAACTCTCCATCTGCTACAGCTGCGCCTTGAGCTAGCGGAAGCTCCATGGCGGCTTCCGATCAGATTCCCGGACAGGAATTCGAGTATGTCGCTCTCCGATGGATTTTTTCTCCCCCAGGCAATCGGGCACCGGGATCGCTGGAATGAACACGGGGACAAACACATTCTATTTTCTGGTGATACGATGTGCTCCAGCTATTGCTTGATTGTCCCTGTTGAACACCCTGACTTTCTTGTTCGCCCTGTTGTCGCTCTGCGGGATCCAATTGTGTGACCTAAGCTAATGCGATACACTCTGTTCTAGCTATGAAGCCCTTCCTTCCAACTATGGCCTTAGCCGGAATATGCTAGCTGGTGCTTTCGCGGGGATAGCGGTATGTTTACATGGTTGTTTGGGGGTGTTTGAGGATTTTTGGCTGATCAGATAAAAGGAACACTCGGTGATGTACCCTGTTGACTTGCTCAAGGTAAGCTTGATTTCTGGTTGAAAGCGTCGGGACTAGGAAAAGGATTGAGCGCTGACTATTTGGACATCGCTAGACTCGCATGCAAATCTTGACCCCTTCAACTGGCGGTCTCTACACCGGATTGACCAACGCGGTCTCTACAATCTATCGAGTTGAGGGCTGGCGGACACTATGGAAGGGAGTCTCGAGTGTGATTGTCGGCGCAGGTGTGTATATCGTGGAAACTCCTGAGTTAAAAGACTCAATTCTGATTCGCGACGATAGGTCCCGCACACGCTGTTTACTTCGGTACATATGAGATCGTGAAGGATATGGCTGGTGGTAATGTCGACGATGGACATCACCCGTTGGCTGCCGGTAAGATTTTCGGAACTGTTGAATTGGCATCTTTTGTGCAACAACTGACGTTATTATCGTGCAGCTATGAGTGGAGCGGCCGCTACCATTGCCAGCGATGCGCTGATGAACCCATTCGATGGTAAGTGTCCCGTGTGAGGCAATAAATCACGCCCAGCTAACTCGTTCTCCAGTTATGAAGCAACGTATGCAGGTCCACGGCTCAGTTCACAAGACCCTGGCGCAATGCGCCAAGACCCTCTACCGCACCGAAGGTCTCCAGGCCTTCTACGTCTCCTACCCTACCACACTTTGCATGACCGTGCCCTTCACGGCCACTCAATTCGTTGCCTACGAGTCGATCTCGAAGGTCATGAACCCCAAGGGTGATTACGACCCATTCACCCACTGCATCGCAGGTGGTCTGGCCGGTGCCTTCGCAGCTGGTCTTACCACTCCCCTTGACGTTGTAAAGACCCTCCTCCAGACCCGCGGCCTCGCAGAGAGCGAGGAGGTACGGACTGCAAAGGGTCTGTTCAACGCTGCTGCCATCATCAAGCGCCGATTTGGCTGGTCTGGCTTCCTGCGTGGCATGCGTCCTCGCATTATTTCCACTATGCCTAGCACTGCAATTTGCTGGTACGTCCCATTCTGAGACTTGGTTTCTCTCAATATTTGATTGGACGTTTACTAACTTCTTTTCCAGGACATCCTATGAGATGGCTAAGGCATACTTCAAGAAGCACCTCGACTAAAAGAACCCCGACTTGATCCTCTCGCACGGCCACTCGCCATGGGTCCTATCCACCATTCCCGATGGACCTGCTACTTGTTCGATATACCACGTTTGTGTGGGCACCATATAATCTTTCTTTGATCTCTTCGGGCGATATGGGTCTGTTCTTTTACAATATGTTCTGGATTTGGGTGATTGGGCGGAGCCCAGCAACCCTCATTGTGGCTCATCTCGGGCCAACATAGCCCGGGTTTCGATCTTCTTGCATGTTTAGGGCTTTTTATGAAAAGCGTTTCGGCAATGTATAGTTTTGGGAAAAAGCGGGACACGGCCACTTTCGACTTCAGAGATTAAACCTGGTGCTTATTTTTTTCTTTTATTTTTGGATTCTTCGATGCTCTCTTCCATTCGATGTGTCCTATACTGTGACCGGCGTTGGAAAAACCTCTGGTTCTTTATTTTTGGTTTCTTGAGAGGGCTGGGTTCTCTGTGGCATCACTATAACTTATGTTTTTTTTATCTTGCATGTACCGATAGACGTGAGGAATTTAGAGATGATGTCTGAGTTTACCATTTTAATTGATTTGTATATAAAAATGCTACTATATAGTTCGCTGGACCGCATGCAGTACATAACCCCGAATCGACGACGTCACGCGAAAAATCCTCCCCCTCCAATTGCGGGAGATCATCGCTTTCACCAACTCCACCAACTTGTCGTGAAATGGGTACAGGCGGGCCTGTATATTCCAAATGATGCGTCCACGGCCTGCGTCTTCCTTGCAGAAGACGTACGACGAGTGCTATCTCGCGTGCTCCACCGCGGTTTATTTTGAGGGCCAGGTAAGTCCACTAGTTCGACACCAGTTTCCCGAGGCTCACCATATTAGAACAACGAAGAGGAAGCATTGCGGTCCTGGAGATCCGCCCTTGAGACTATCTACCATCACAATGCCCGTCGTGTACCGTCGAGCTATACCCCGAAATCCGAAACAGAGAAAGCCCTGCAGGACTCCATCCGGGAGCTAGAGGTTCAATGCCGAGAACGGGTCGATCTACTAGGCGCGCTCCAAGCAAGCAGGAAAGAATCCGCAGAGGCAAATGGAAGCAAGGCAATTGGCAGTAAAGTGAGCGCTACCCTCGTCAAGGGCAAGTTTATTCCCAGCATATCGCCATCGTCTTCCAACACTCCTGGCTGGATCGGAGATGGAACAATCCCTGCCGTGGGATACACCGACCTTTCCAAACCAGCCGCCATACCCGGTCGCCATGTGCTGCCGACGAAACAAAGTTATGAGTCGCCGCCGGTTTACGACGACGCTGGTTCAGCGTCCCTATCAGCGGTTGGAACGCCTGCACTGCGTGTGAGCTCGAACTCTTCGGGCAAAACGAAGTCGCGTGGCTCCAGTCCCGAGCGCCGGAAACCCATGATGACAACTATGCGCAGCAGCGACGGCAAGAAGAATGGCAAGAAAGTCAAGGTTGTATCAAAGAAGAAGGATTCTAGGCCTGTTGCCTCCACGGCTGCAGGCCTCGCATGGGGTAGCATTTATCGCCCTGCATCGGGTGAAAAGCCTGTGAGCGATGCGGCTCTGGTCTCATCCCGGCAAAGCGCCGCCCACGATCCCAGTTTCCGCCGAGAGTCTGAACCAAGATCTAGTTCTGGGGATGAGCCTCCGCGGCCGAAAATTCGCATTTCCCGAGACCACCTATCCGCGGACCGAATTCCTGCTGCCAATTGGCGAGAGCCTCCTCGTTCGTCTCCGAAGAAATCCTCGCCGAAACCGTCTACTCAGTCGCCTAGTCAGCTTCCGCCGCGTGGGCCTCGACCTCCACCTGAAAGCCCTAAACTACAACCTCCTCCTCATTCAATGTCCATGCCGAACCCGGCTGACTTTGCGACACCACCTAGACCATCCATCAAACCCAAGCCTATGGCCTTGCGCTCTTCCCAACCCACAAGCCATCCAATACAGGCTACCAAGTCCGAGAATTCTTCTCGGAATCTGACGCCTCGGCTTGACCGTGAAGTAAATTCTCCCAACGATAAGCCGCGAACAAAATCTGCGCCTAGACCTCCCAAAATTGTCGAAACAGCCAGCGTTTCTCCATCATCCGCTAGCGGTGATGATTTCCATCGCGGAGTCGACCGACTGGCCATCTCCCAAGGTAATAGCGATAGTGCAATACGACGCAAAGCCCCACCAGTCAAACGGCAAGATACACCACTGTCAAGCGACCAAGAGTCTTCAGGTCAGCGGACCACAGCAAGTGACGCAGAAGACGAAGACGAGGAAGAAGACAGTGAAATCTTGAAAATCATGGAAAAATTGCCTAGGGGCGTGGATCCCCAGTCAGCAAAGCAAATTCTGAACGACATCGTAGTGCGCGGTGACGAAGTACACTGGTCTGACATATCAGGCTTAGAAGGAGCCAAAAAAGCCCTCAAAGAAGCAGTCGTCTACCCATTCCTCCGTCCGGACCTCTTTTCTGGCCTCCGCGAACCAGCTCGCGGAATGCTCCTCTTTGGCCCGCCAGGCACAGGCAAAACGATGCTCGCACGAGCAGTAGCCACAGAATCAAAATCAACCTTCTTCTCCATCTCCGCCTCAAGTCTAACATCCAAATGGCACGGCGAAAGCGAGAAACTCGTGCGCGCCCTCTTCGGACTCGCCAAAGCCCTCGCCCCATCCATCATCTTCGTCGACGAGATCGACTCCCTTCTCTCTGCCCGATCATCCGGCTCAGAGCACGAAGCCTCCCGCCGCTCCAAGACTGAATTCCTGGTCCAATGGTCCGACCTCCAGCGCGCAGCTGCAGGCCGCGAACAAACAAGCCGCGAGAAGAAGGAAGGCGATGCTAGTCGTGTACTCGTCTTAGCGGCTACCAACATGCCCTGGGATATCGACGAGGCTGCACGTCGTCGCTTCGTCCGTCGCCAGTACATTCCCTTGCCCGAACACCATGTCCGTGAGCAGCAGATACGGAATCTTATCAGTCACCAGCACCACGAGATGAGTGACGCGGATATCCAGGTCCTGGTACAGGTGACAGAAGGTATGTTGTTTCCTCCATTGTATTCCATTTTTTGGTTCGTATATCTAATTGATATTCCCAGGCTTCTCCGGCTCAGACATAACAGCCCTCGCTAAAGATGCGGCCATGGGTCCCCTGCGAAATCTGGGTGAGGCCCTCCTACACACGCCCATGGACCAAATCCGTGCCATTATATTCCAGGACTTCGAGGCAAGTTTGTATTCCATTCGGCCTAGTGTGTCCCACGACGGACTCCGGAGATATGAAGATTGGGCGAGAGAATTTGGTGAGCGAGGCGGATAGAGTAGATTTGGATTTACTCATCTTGGGCTTTTTTGGTTCTGCTCTCTTGTCTCTATCCTCCTCTGTGGGGACTTTGTATGTTTGATACGATTATAGGAATGCAATAGCGATTCTTGTTTATTGTCTCTTTGGCATAGGTTTCATACTATTCTTACATACTTTAGTAACTTGGTAAAAGATGGACACAACATTGTAATTATGGCTCAGCGGCCTTAACCTTGAAATCCAGGATTTAAGACCAAAACCAGAAAACGGGAGTCAGATGACTGTCTGCGTTCTGATTGGGTTTCGCTGTTTAGGGCCAGCTACTAGGTTCTTCTTACATGCTAAATATAGACACAAATTATGGCTCAGCATCTGCGAGGACTATTGAATCGAAACCAGAAAGCGGGTCAGACGCCTGTCTGTGTCCTAATAGGGCAGTGCCGGATATCACAGCCCAGCACCGCCTGACAGGGAACATTAACAACGGAATGTCTTTGTGCTCCATTTCTTTCGCTTCATCTTGATCATAAGATTCGCTCATTGTTACTCTAGAGCTCTCCGGTAGGACACCTCGATAAAACAACTTTTTCACAATGCCTCACTGGTCATGCGAATGGGATAGTTGTGGGAAACCAGCCGCGCAGAGAGCAGGAGATTGCTTGCTATGCGATAGACACTTCTGTCGCACGCACCGCCAAGAGCCGTGGCACAAATGCCCAAAGCCAGAGGTCTGTGATATACCTGCTTAAATACCAGCCATAATAGCAATTCTAATACTTATCTATTAGGAAGACTGGGAATCCTACTCTGCTCAATACGTAGCTACAGAGGCTCGTCATATAGACGAGCTATGCCTTCGAATAGATCGCTCTAAGTTATGTTCCCGTGCATCGATGCTTAGAGAGGGCATCTCGTGTACCGTTGATTTGTCTCGTAAGAGCTTGTCTGCCATGATGGGAAACCAGAACTGCCACGCCGAGATCACCTTCGATGACAATGTTAAATGGCTCGCACGTTTTCGTCTTACAAGAACCTCATCGCCACCGCGGGAAGTCCGTGATTGGATACTTCGAAGCGAAGCTGCCACTATGACTTACCTCCAACGGTACACTTGCATTCCGACGCCTAAAGTTTTCGATTGGGCATGCGAATCCGATCTAGGAAACACACTTGGAGTTGACTATATTTTAATGGAAAAGCTGGATGGAAAGTCTCTGGATTGGCAAGCGGCGACCCCTCAGCAGAAAGAGAAGGTTATGCAGCAGTTGGTTGACATTTCCCTCGAGATTGAGAGGCATCCTTTTAAGGTAATGGGATCACTTATCTCCTCGGCGGGAGATGTCATAAAAGTTCGAGGTCTCGCACATCAATCAACGTTCCGGGTAGGAAAGGGGCCACTTGGTCCATTCTCTTCCTCGATCGAGGGCTACCAGGCTATCCTCGAGTCCTACCTCGCAATGATAGCTAGCGGCGAGATTGACCCCTACTATCCGGTAGACACCTACCTCGTCCATCGTTTCCGCCAGGATATTATTAGTACTCTCTTCAAAGACGTCCCACCAGGCGACAAGTTCTTTCTCAAGCACCCGGACGATAAGGGTGACCATATTCTAGTCAATGAATGTTTTGATATTGTGGGAGTTATAGACTGGGAATGGACGCAAACTGTCTCTAGGGCGGAGGCATTCTGTTCCCCGTGTATGATGTGGCCGGTGGCTGAGTTCTATAATGGCTTTAATAAGCTGGCCGCGGATGAATTGCGGCTAGCTGATATCTATCGCGAAAAGGGCCGTGAAGATCTTGCCATGTGTGTCGTCGAGGGTAGAAAGGCTCAAAGGTTTTTCTTCGCTCTTGGGTCTGAGAGCTCTTTTCTAGATAGGCAGACACTTCTACATATCTTCGCAGGACTCCGGCGGGCCTTCAACTTTGAAGATGAGGAGTGGGAGACATGGAAGAGCAAAGCTCTCAAGAAATGGAAAGGTGATGACTTACTCCTTGGCTTGTTGGAACTAGAATAAAATGAAGGGGAGCTCCGGGGGGAGGGGGTTGGTTGAGAGGGCGCTTTAAACTGAATTGATTGTGCAAATCCCATTTAGTATCGCACCTGAAGCAGTGAGATCGAGTTGGGGAAGCAACCTTCACTGAGTATTTAACTACATTACTGTTCTGATATTTGCGAGCCCAGCACCTCTAGCGCGAAGCGAAAAGCGCCCAAAAAATGGAGTTGCGGGGTTGTGTACTTGGCTTTTTTCTCATTGTACATTTGTGAATTAAGCAGAACCTTTGGAACTGCACAAGGAATATATAGATCAACTCAACAACACTCGGATCTCCCCTGTCGTTCGAGGGAACAACGACCTCAAACTCCATTGTTCGTCCTCGCCCTCTTCGGCCTCTTCGCCATCCTTCTGGCTTGCTTCTGTCTTGCCATCGGATTTACCACTCTGGCCACTGACGCTGGTCCCGGTTCCAATGGTCACATTCACAGTTCCTCGCGCCTCGTCGGCGGCAATGATCATGCCTTCGACGAACTCGAAATCACGGCAGAATGCCTCAACCGCATCCTCGGTGACACTCTGAATAAGGGAGAGGCTTTGGACACGCTTCAGATTATCGGTTGCATCCATAAGTGCAGATGGGAGGAAGTCGTCGAGCTGTTGGCTGGATGTAATCAAGGACTCTGGTTGGAAAGCTGAGAGACTGGCCAGATCGGCTAGGTGGGGTTTCTGCCGGTCTGGCTTCTCGGTCTTGTCTTCGGCGGTATTTGAGAAAGGCTCCAGGGCCCCTAAGAGCGTTTGGAGACCAGAGGCCTCGAGGAGGAATTGGTGTTGGGTGTCAAGAAGATCGCTGCGTAGGGTTGATAGGGCTGCAGAAATGGGAGGGACGTGTGTGGAACTAGCGAAGGGGAATGGTGACACAGCTGCGCGGGCTGCGAGGAGAATATTGGTGCGGTAAATGGACTGCGCTGTGGTGGTTTGGAGTTCATCGGATGACGACCGGGCCAGTGTCAAGAATGGATCGAAGGCGGCTCGGAGGACAGAAGTGAACGGGTTTTCGTTGTTCGTGTCTGGAGATAAATCATCTGGTCCGACGGAGGACTCATAGGTCTTCATCAGCAGTTCTAGGCCTTCCAATGCATCTAACAAGAACTGTGGGGGTGACAAGTCGTCTGGTGGAGTCAGGGCAACATTGTCGCCCGCCAAGGCGCTGATCTGGTCGCGCATCAAGGTCTCAAAGTGGCCAAGAGTGAACTTTTCCAAGTTCTGGATCAAGTCCACTAAGTGCGATTGTGCGCCCACTAGTTTGGTGAAGGTCGTGCGGTAGAAAGACAGCAAGTTAACCACCTTATAGCAAGTAACAGGGTCCTCATGGCTTTGGATGACAAGCTCTATTCTCTGTCGCAGTGATCGAGACACTCCAGTAAGGTCGCGATTGACCAGGTCACTAAGTGCCTTTTTGCCATCATAGGCAACTTCCTGGTCCTCATCGATACGCGACCAGGGCTCACTATTCAGGCCTGCCTGAATTCCCCGAGCGAGTTCGTCCCCATCATCTACAAACAACGACTCGAGAGCCTCTCGTTCTGATACAGTCGTCGAGTGCACCCACGCAAGCATATCACCAATGTACCGAAGTGGGTCATGCGCTGAGAACTCGATCGGTTTGACAGTGTGATCACCGGCGCCGGGCCCATTAGCCCCGGAAACAGCATCAGTCAGTGCATAGTGGAAAGCATCGGATAGCACATAGTCCCGTGCCTCCGCAAAGAAATCCAGACAGCTGTGGAATAAACTCGGGCGTTCTGCCAGCACCCGCAGAGCGCGGCGGATCGTACTACTGATGCGGGGGTCCTCTAGATTCAGGGACCTGAATTCTTTCTGGACCCATCGGTAGAGTTTCTGATATGCCGAATTGAGATTCCGGGTGCTCAATTCCATCACCTCCAAGCCTAGTCGCTGATTCTCGCCGCCGAGCAAGACTTCGCAATCATGGTGCACTTGCTTGACACGAGCTAGCACATCAAAGAACCGCTCGTCAACGGGCTCCTCAGCCGATGTCAAGACCAATAGATCCTCATCCGGAACTAAGAAATGTTTCGAAAAGGCTTCCAGCAGCTGTTGTTTGGTCTCGGTCTCTTTCTTTTGTGTTATCAGGGTGCTGGCCTCCTCGAGTACCGGGGTGGTATCCTGCTTCGCGAGGTTGATTCGTTTGCGCATATCGTCACATGTCTGATTAAGTGTTGAGACTACCGTTCCGATCCGTCTCAATTGCTGTTATTGTCATTCAGGAATTAGACTTCCGGATCTCAATCTGTAAAGGAGCAATAGGAGTCTCACCTCTGCCACTTTCCCAAAGTCCTTGACAATCTCCGCATTGCAATCGACAACTTCCTTTTGCACGTCTAGTCGTAGTTGCCGACGTGTTTCTGCAGTGTTGTGAATGCCTCTCAAGCTCAAAGTCTCGAGGGAATCCCGAATGTCCGAGTCCGCATACGATGCCGACAGAACCGTTGTCAATCGATTGGTGAGGGCGGTCGGGCGCTGCGTTGGCGGGGACAATGGAGACGATGGGGTCGGCGTATTGGCGTCATTACTGCCGCTGCCACTTGGTGGAAAGTAACTTGTCATTGTTGTTCGAGCAATTCAGCGGAGAGTCGGCGAGGGGAAGTAGAGGACAGCCTCGCACTTGGCGCATCGACCGCCTTCGCCGTATCTTATCGTCAACACATTACTCTAGGTTATTTATTTCCCCCTCCTGATTTGTCCTAATTCATTCATTTCTGGAATTATTGCTACCTGGTCCCATGGATAGTCCCCTCGTTTCGCCGGCTAAGGCCCGCCAGGCCGCTATCCAAGCTAAAGATTGGGCGTACGTGAACTCCTGGCTCAATCGACAATACGCGCCCAAACCGGTCCCCAAGTTCGAGCGCAATGAAGATACCCTTCGCGTCCTCCTGACCCTAGCTGCAGCCAATGATGCTGCAGATGAAGAAGCCACTCTACAACATTGCGCGCGCGAAGAGGCTGTTGAGGCATACAAATTACAGGAGGAGTTCGAACGCAAAGACCCCCACGAACAACAGAAGAACCAACTCCTGGATGAAGTCGAGATGTGTTTGGATGATAATGGAAGACGCGATTTAGAGGACCTCGCCGACTCCGCCGCAGCTCTGGGCAATACCTTTAATCCGACCCCCGGGGATCTGGGGCAGTCGATTGTGGAGCTCACAGTGGAGGAGTTCGAGGCCCAGCAGCAAATTGCAAAGGTCGACACATTGCATCAGTACCTTCAGCGAGAGCTGGCCCGGCTACAGACAGAGCTTGAGGAATTGAAGACCGATGTGGCGTATGAGACACCTTCCGATACACAAAGCTTGACGTCGGAGTGGACACGCGGCACGAAGACACTTGCGATCAAGGTTGGGGAGTACCAAGATCGTATTGCATCACTTGAAAAGGTCCAGCCCCGGGGGCCGACTATTGAGGAGCTGATGGCGGAAGAGGAAAACGTTATCAGGATGCGGGAGACGGTCAAGGCCCTGCAAGGCCGCGTGAGGGCATTCCATGAGCTTCCCAAAGATACCCCAGGGGCACGGGCAAAGTATAAAGAACTAGAGCGCGAGCTTAGACAGCTTAAGCGACAACGAGATTCAATGGCAGTGTAGGCGAGCGGTACTAAAGCCAGCTCTTTACATCCTTTGGCCTTCCTTCTACAACGTTTGGTCTACATAATGAAACTTCTTCCACTTGAAAATCAGATTCAAAGAGTATATCCTCTGGCTAATAAAAAACGCAAATGGTATCGTGAACTCATGATGAGTGTTGAGCGCAGGGCTGCCCGCGAAGTCATGGAATGACCATGATAATGATCACTCATCTAAGGGAGACCATCTTAGTACCATCTTAGTTACTACCGAGGCCGATTGTATTCTTGATCTTGTCACCACTGGAGATATGGTTAGAATATGACTCTTTGTTTCCCAGAACAGAGTAACTTACATGGATTCGGTGGTACCGCCATGGACCTGGTGGTCCTTTTCACGCCGGGTCTTATCGAAGACCTCCTGGCCAACACCCTTGCTATCATCGGTCTGCAAGCCACCGCTAGCGCGGTCAGTAGTGTCGGTGACAGTCTCCTTGAGCTTGTCCTGGGTGGACTTGGTGGAGTCAGGTGTGAACTCCTCCTTGGCCTCTGTAGGAAGAAGTGGTTAGTAACGATGTCTTAACAACTTGACGAGGCAGATAAGAGAGTGTCACATACTGGTGGAGAAATCCTTGCGACCGGTGTCAGACATGATGATATTGATTATTGATTGGTTGAAAGTAGAAGTAAACTGTGTAGTTTGGTTGAAGTAGAAGATGTTGATGAAGGAAGAACAGCTGAAGAGGCAAAGAGGGTGGTTTATATAGATTTGTTAGGCCTCATTGAGAGCTCATAAAGAATGATGACATCACGTTAGTTCTTTGCTATCGTGATCGACTTTATCCACAATAGGCACCAGATGCCAGCTAGGCAATGTGTATACAGATCTATTGGGCCGGGACCCCGGACTAACCACAACTTCCAATATTAAATGACCGTTCCTCCAATCAATGTGGTTCCTAAGGCTGGCTGCAGATGACCTTTCACGATTTACAGGCTGTAGCACGTAATAGTGCTCGATCTGCACGATTCGCACGATTTCCGGAGATGACATCATGAAGATATCCCTGCTCAGCTGGAGCTGAGAACGGGAAGTTGAGGTTGCCAAGACTTTAAGGTTTAATATCACGTGATATAACACAGACCTTACACCAGGGGCAACTAAGCCTAATTGGGAATAACCATAACAGGCGGTCAGCTATACTTGGCAGAACCTCTCACCGCCTCCGTCACCTGCTCGGGCATCAACTGTAGTCGTCCGTCCGATCAACTTGTTTGCTTTCATTCCTCATCCTTTCGTTCTGACTCACTATGTGATCCGTTCTTCTTCATGCATCATCGTCTCCTCCTCCGAGACTATCTACCCGATTGTTACATATCTTGGTGACAACACTTTGAATTTATCGTTATTTCATTTGCTACCATCCAAACCCCAACACACGAACCTGTTGCACACCCGTTACATCTGTCTCCTCTAGCTGTCAATGACTGCGTCGGATCCCCCTGTCCCTTCAAATTGGGACTTCGCTCCAGTGCATGACCTACTGCGGTCGCCCATCGAGGGCTGCACTGCGAGAACTAGTCGCCACAATGAATCTACAATCCCCTCACTTGATGAACAACAAGCCAAGGATGATCCCTGTTACACCACTAATGGCATGCTCATGGATCTTATTTCTCAGCGGAGTAACCCGAAGCTTGGCGACTTTGGTTCTCTTTGGGAGCTTTTCAATGGGGCCCCTGCTCCTGCGAGCGTCACACCAACTTTAGGGACCACAAAGACCACCAAGTCTGACATAGAGAAGGCTCAGCCGTCGCTTGAAGAACTGCTTTCGAGCTCAGCAGAAAGACCCGCCAAAAAGGTCTCATTCACTGGCGTCTTTGGCATTGAAACATCCGTTCCCATTTCATCCAACACCTCTCGCACTATCAATGAGCCAAATCCTCGCGTCCTCAAGGACACCGCCACTGGCTATACCCTCCATTCTTCTTTTCGTCCCAAAGCACACACGACAAGTATCCCTACCGATTTTGAGGGTCAATCATTCACTATCTTGAGGCGGGCTTCTGTTCATGAGCCTTCTAAATCGAGCGCCAATGTGAAATTTGGTATTCCACGAACTCCCCCGGAGACGATCGCTAGAGCCAGAGTTGGTGATCCAAGTGATACTCCAACGACGAAACCCAAGTCTCGGTCTCGTGGAAAAGATTTCCGAGAGAACACGCGCAATAACCCAGTCACTTCTGAAGAAAGTACTGGACTAGAGTCGGACACAAGCATTGTGTTTGATCATCCCGTTTCTGAGAAACCTGTGGCCATTGCATTTGTCCCGTCTCAAGTCGGCATATCTGGAGCGAAGACTCACCGTTATGATACCCCACCGTCGTCATTTGATGATAGTGACTGGATACTGAATGACGATACTATCCAAGAGCTTGCTTCTGGAGATACCCATGTGCGGTCTACCCTGCATCTATCGGCCGCGGAGCGAAGAGTCACCTTGATGAGTAGACTCCTCGTCCATTTTCCTGATTACGCCAAAGTCGTGTCTCAAGTGGGACTGACTTTAGACCATCGTCCCAGTGAGGGTATTGGCCCACGTCCTATTCATGTCTTTGTTGACGTGTCGAATGTGTGTTTTGGTCCCCTCTCTAACCAACTTTTCTCAAGCTAATTTACTTCAGATCATGGTCGGATTTCATGATTCGGTGAAAGCCTCGCGAAATATCCCTCTCTCGGCTCGAATTCGGCGTGTCCACATGTCCTTCGCTAACCTTGCACTGATCATGGAACGCGGCCGTCAGACCGCCAAGAGAGTCTTGGTCGGCTCGGATCGTCTTCCCTCTGTCGATGAAGCCGAGAGACTCGGCTACGAAGCGAGTATCCTCGAACGTGTGCACAAGGTGAAGGCTATTGCACCCCGTCGTAACATCAAGTCGCGAAAGAATACTGTCTCCAGTTCCCAGGGTGGATATAGCGGTCCTGAAACGGTCGCCACCTCTGGAGAGCGATGGGTTGAGCAGGGTGTGGACGAAATTCTACACCTGAAGATCCTGGAGAGCATTTTGGATACGAAACACCCGGCCACGATTGTTCTGGCGACGGGGGATGCGGCAGTAGCCGAGTTCTCCGGCGGTTTCATGAAAATGGTCGAGCGCGGACTACAGCGCGGTTGGAATGTCGAGCTTGTCAGCTTTTCACAGGGAACTAGCTACGCATACCGGAAGAAGGAGTTCCGGATTCGGTGGGGAGACCAGTTCAAGCTGGTCGAGCTGGACCGGTACCTGGAGGAGCTCTTTGAGTAAATGGTGACGCCTGACTCCTCTCAAATGACATTCACTTTGCCATTTGAATTTAAATGAACCCCCAAGACACATCTTTGTTAGCTATAATGAGTCAAATCCCTTAAATCTGTGAGTCAAAAGTCGCTTAATGTAGCTTGTAGTTGTATATTGAGTCAACACCCCGCCAAATCGCCAAACTGCCAAACGTCATTGGGCGGAAAACACCCGCCCGCACTTGGTGCCTCATGCACGTCCTGCTCGTCTACCTAAACGGATTCTCCATTTTGGAACTATATAGTCTCTGTTAATCTGTGCTCCTCTCCAGTATTGCTTGTCTTCTTTTGTATTGTCAAACTTCAAGCAAAAAAACGGACCGGCGAAAAAATCCGCAATTTATCTTGAAGAATTTGGATTTGCTCTTGCACAACCAGCAGAACATCCTTTCGAAAAGAAAGAGAAAGAAAAGAAAAAAGATCAAAATCCTCCCTCTTACAATCAAGACATACGAAATCCACCATGTCTCAATTCACAGAGCAAGACTTCTTCGGCGGAGCCATTCGAGGCGTCGTGCCACAAGGCTGGATTGATTCGAGGTTAGTATACAACCCTCCCATGCATCAACTTCCCATTTTATTCCTTCAATCCATTCGCAGTCCCATCCCAGAACATCCCAATCAAAAAAGAACCCCAAGCTAACACCCAATCCCAGCACCCTCCGCGAGGTCCCCGACCACCAAGAGCTATGGCTCTCGCCAACCACGCTGTCCAACCTAATCATCGAAATCAACCAGCGTGTCCCGCAAGCCGAAGCTCTAAACACCTTCACCGCGCTCAACCACCAGCAACCCACCGCCGCCCCAGGCAGCGGTAGCGCAGCTTCCGCAACGGCAGAAACAATCGACCAAGCCGCCGCCCTGTATCATCTGCACGATCTCTGCGACGAAGGCGACACCATGCAGGTGATTAAGTCGCCCACGCGCGTCGAAGTCCAGCTTGCTTCTTCCTCGCCTTCCCCCGCTTCCGCTATCAAGGCGTATCGCGGCGTTGTCTCCTTCACGGCGCCGGTGCGCGGCGGAGGTGGACGCGTCCCTGCCTCTGCTGAGGGGTCTGCTGCTGGTTTTGCGGATGCGGGGGTGTTGGGTGCGCAGACGAATGGGGATTCCAATGGTTTGCCGCAGGTTTCGATGTTGACGTGCCATTTCTTGCTTGTTAGGCTGGAGGCGCAGGACACGGATTTGTTGGTCTTCTTTAATGTGCCTCATGAGGAGTTTGATAAGAGTGGGGATCCTAGGGGTTTGTCGCTTGAAGAGGTTGTTGCGGAGGAGACTATTAGGGCTTTGATTGGGAGATTGGAGATTTGTGATTGGGGTCTCTTTGTTTAGGTGTTTTTTTTATATGGATTTTGATGGAAGATGTGCATTGGGATTGGGGTTTTATTGGGAGGATATGGCTGTAAAAGCTGGGGGCTTGGGATATGGAATAAGTGCCATTTGCGCTTTGGGACGAGCAGATAGAAATAAAACAGTTGACTTACCATATCTCGTTTCTCGTTTGTTTAAAGTATTACATCAGTAGGGATGGTTGATCTATACATACATATGTAAATCAAAAGTTGTATTGTGGTATAGTGCTATGTAGTAAGTTTCTATAGATCTAGTCATTTTATAGTCGGCGACTCTCATATATCCATCATTGGCATTGCAGTCCATTCTGTTGATTCGTCTGCGGACTCTTCAGAAACACATCGTTCACACTGACACACAAAACGGAACGATTTTCGAAGATGCTCGCGACGCGAAGTAAGATCCGTATATTGTGTCAGGTCAAAGTACGAGATGCAGCATTCCTCACCCGGAAAAATATCGCGGGAGGCGGTAAAGACCATGCGGCCTTTGTCATCGGCTTTGTGGATGATCTTGTGTTGAATTAGCATTACTTTCACAAATTTACACCCCGGAGAAGATGACCACTTACATTTGGCAGGCATGAATGATTAGCTATTGCCGCAGTGGGATAAACAGCAGCAGCGAACTGCTCGCCTCTGTCGACAGGAGGGGTTGGCAGGGGAAAATGGCCTGTTTCTCGTGGGTAAAGACCAAATGAGTTTGCCTCTTCCTGACAAATGAGATGAAGAACACGATTTGCACTCATCTCATGGGGAAGAGCAGAACTACTCCTCAGATACTTCTTTACAAGAGCAGACCAAGATCGGACCATGTCATGAGGCCAAGTATCCTCAGAACCACAGAGCGACTCAATACCACTCCATCCATGCTTCCAATGACTCGTCAACTCGACAACACCAACCGCTGTCCCATCGTGCAATTGGCAATGTCTCGCAGCAAGCAGCCGAAGAATCACCCACAACATGCCAAAATCATATTCACTCCATTTAGACCGAATAGTCCCCGCATACCGTTTGAGCCAAGCGCATTCAAACTCATGTCGAAGACTATCGGCGTCACGACATATGCTGCCGCACCATGTCACATCCGGGATACAGGCATTTGGACATGGAGTCCGGACTTGGCGAGGCGCCGGCCTATTACAAGCAGGATTGCTGCAGATGAGACTGTCGTTGTGGGCGGGTTCGTCGACGACGGGAATGACTGCGTAGGGGGAATCGACGAGGAGACAGGCGCCTTTGGGGATGGGACCGGAAACGCGAAATTGGCGGCCTTTGATCGCGTCGGTGCTTTCGATTAGCTGCGGGTGGATCCAATCGGGCTGCGTTTGGGTGATTCCTTTTACGTGAATCCGGTCTGAGGGTTCGGTGGTGATATATACGACTTCCGACATGGTGGGTTGGTGCTTTGGGTATGTCTATGTTTGTTTTGGGGGGGGTTTTCACGTCGGTTTCGACGGCAAATTCTTTTGTTGATCCATTATGGCGCAAGTTTGGTTCGTAGCTTGTGGGTCGTTTTTATTCGCCTCCCGGATGTAAGGGCAGTGAGGTTATCCAAGCGACTGCGAGTGATTGGGGTCCCACACACGAGTATAGATTCGTCGGTTTTATTGGCTGTTTTGGATTTTTAGCGGAGTAGTCTAATCGATCCACTTTGGATATCGTGGACTTCATGTTTCACTTGGCCAGGGCGGGAGTAGTAGTATGTTATATGAGCTATATATGTTGCTTCGTTTTGGAATTATCCGGTTCTCCAATGGTGCAGGGGCTTCATTCAGTTGTTTTCTTGCCATCTAAATCCAAATATCAGAAAAGTCGATGAAGAGGGCGTCTGGGCATTTGGATACCTGTGTCTGCATTTTGTGCAACAGTAAAATAGAGTACTTCTTTCGTCGGCGCTTCGAAGTTGCGCCTCGGTCCAGGTAGCTTTGGGATTCGAGCATTGGGACAATTCCATATCCGTTATAGGACCGTCACCAAGATCCTTTTGTGAGACAACCTGGGTGTTGGAAAGAAGTTTGGTCCGAAGCCTCGAAGGGAAATTGGTAGATGAAGACACCTGGACGTCAGTGAGCAGTGAGCATTGTATCTGAAGTTCAAACAGTGTCAGTGAAAAGAAAAATCAGAAAATCTTCCAAGGTTGATCGTATCACTCATTTTTCGTGGATTTTCCGCAAAGCTCACACGAAATCTGTTCTGCTGGTGACACTGGAAGAAGATGACCGCAGTTCTCGCAGAATTGGACCATGTCGGAAAGATGTATAGATAGATATTCGTTATAGACAGACTCCAGGTAGTTTATGGGAAACATTCAACTTTCCAACAGACAACCCTCAGCCCCTCATAATCAATCCCTGCAGAGTCGCGGCGGTGTAGTCCTATGTGTATCCCCTGGACTTCGACGTATTATCTGTCTCGTATTTCATTGCTTGACTTTCAAATCCATATTTTCCATCTCTTTAGTGCACCATCTCAAATGCGCAAAGATCCTCCAATATACATCCTTGGCCGCATGTTTTCCCACAATAGGATCAAGGTGCCCATACCCCTCGACTAGAAATCTGCGATAAAGTCTCTCGCCAAATTGTCGTCGCAACAATTCATAGTCCTTGAGGGTAGACTCGGGATTAAATACTTGGTTATCCGTACCCGAGACAAAGAGAATCGGTAACCCTTGCAGCCGTTGCAAATTCTCAGCTGTCAGAAGAGGACATGAATCATTACCCATGCAGATTCCCCGAGTCCCCATGCGAACTACTTGCTTCATAAGCTTTGTATGGGTCCCCGCGAAAAATTGGTGAACGTTGTCATGAAGACCCATATCAAGGTTCTCGTGATTCCATAGCAACCCAAAAGCGAAAGATGTCCGGCGGCATGCTGTAGACGTGCAGAGGTCTTGTGCGTGCCCAACAGGATAGAAACGAAGGAGAGTGTCGAGTAATCGTTGGAAAATAACACTCTTAGCATTGCTGAAAATCGGGAAGTAATTCCCAGCCAATAATTCGTAAAGCTGGATGAGAAGAGTCGTTCTTCCTTTGAGGGAGTTCCAATACCCAAAGACCTGGTTCATGAAGACTGCGTTGGCAGTAATGCCGAGAAGTTGACTACTCCGGATAGTTCCATCCAGTAGTCCCATGCAGAGAGCCACTGAGCCTTGGCAATGGGCTATCACATAGGGCTTCTGTCGCTCTTTGTCGCGAATGTATGCTATTGCAGCAGCAACATCAAGGCGGCAGTCAAAGACAGTGCTTTTTTGGGCAACGGCGGGATCATTGCCCCAACGAGGAGTGAGTGCGTAGCATCGGTGTCCACGCTGAGTGAAATATTCAACCATGTTGCAGCGCAAGAATGGCAGTGAATACACATTGTGCATCGCGCCGATCCCGGTGACTCCGGGTAAAAGCAGGACTGGTGAAATGTTGGAGTTGGAGTTGGGTCCTGGCTCGTCTGTCTTTTGTACAGGAATTGGGTCATATATATCAAGGTGTACCTGTGCGCCATCGCTTGCGATGATGTTGTACGAGGTGGAAGGTGGTTGATTTGAATCGGTGGTTTTGGTTGAGATCCGAGGGAAGCGCATGGGGACGAATGGTCGAAAGAAGAAGAGACTGATATAGTACACAAATGAAAACAAAAACCCCATCAAGGTCAAGATAAGACTGAACTGGAAGACTTTTGTCGTCTGAAATGTTCTCATTTGCTTTTTGAAGTCTAGCAATGAGATATGAAGGGCCCCTGCTCCAATATTTGTCCCGTCCAGTCGAGTGATATTGACGTTCACCGTAGTTGTCGCTTCCCACGTCTTTCTGGCGGAGAATGCTATGTTTGAGCTGATGAGCTTGTGACCCTCTAGGCGGTACTGTATACCCTCTACCGAGAGGAGCTTCAGGTGGTATGAAATAGCTAATGATTCGGCGTTCTCTTCTATTGGCGTGAAAAATTCCAACGTCCCATCGACAATCTTGAGCGTGGCTCTAGATAATGCGTAGCAAGAAACCGTCCCAGTGCATGTTCCTTGGTATTGTAAATCTGTACATGTGAGCATTCTACATATGCTAGAGAATTTTCTCAATTTCTTACCTCCTCGTCGGCAGAGTTCGATCGTGAGAAACATCCGCATCGCGCAAGATGAGCCTTTTCCTACCCTCTCGGAAAGTGCAAAACTTCCGATCTCCGATCCCATGCTAATGTGCCCATGCATAATCTCTGTAAATTGCCATCCTATGGACTGGGGTGCTTTCTTGGTACTGTCTTGGTGGCCTTGGCAATCCCATGATACTCTAGGCTTACTGTAGGCGTTCAAAGGCTGATTTTCAGTCTCGAGATCAATTGACAATCCAGATCTCTCAGTGATCAAATTGACGGACCGCTCGGAAATGGCAGATATTGTGGCCAGCGGATTCACACCTGTCATAATCAGCATATAAAGCCATAGAGTATTTCCTTTCAGCATACCTAGGGCTGTCGGGATGATAGATGCATCACAGCACACGAGGCCTTTGTATACTTCACTATTAGAGCCACTGAAGACCTCTCCTAGATGATTTGTTACACCCCCATGCCCTGTTCCATCATTGCTCATGTTGGCTCCTCCAAGGAGATGGACAGTAGCCTCCTCCTGGTGTCGACCTTTGGCTATGTTCAGCGTAGCTTTGTGGTGGCTTTTATTGACCCTTACCGTAATGATATGAAAACCCCATACTTGCTCCTGTGCGAGCAAAAAGCTCCATGAATATCTTTTTTATCCATTTGAAATGCTCAGATCGTCCTTCTGCCGGCCCCCGCAGGCACAATTGATCATCCTTTAAGGTCAACGTTATCTCATTGCTATCATGAGACATCACAAGATATGTTGAAGTCCGCTGAAGCGCTCCATCGTATGCATATGGGCCGAATAGGAGAGACTTGAGAGATGCAAGGGTCTTCCTGGCTTCTTGACGAGGGTTCCAAAGACAACACAGCGCCTGGATTTTCATGGTCTGCAGGGTGAGCATGATTTGGATTACTGGTTTGAACATCTCAGGAATGCAACCATCTTGGATAACATATCCAGACAGTGGATTGTTCAAAGGATCAATGACTCGGTTATCAATAACAGCAGTGACGGTTGTTCCAGGGGGAGCATGCGAAGATTCACGAGCGATCCCGTTGATATTAGCACCTCCATTGTAACCTTGAATATGTAAACCAAATGTGCTCGGATTTATCTTCTGGGGGAGGACGTACCAAATATCAAAAGGTCACCATTCCCAGTGAGATTTCTTCCAACGAGCGGTGACATATGGAGGCCGTGTTGCTTTGACCGAAGCAACACTTCAGTGGTTCCTAAAGCACCAGCCCCAAGGAAACAGAATTCCTTCTGTGATTGAAGCAAACAGTGAGTTGAGGTGTCCACTTCTGAAGGGTGCATTCGATACTTACTGCTTTGACCCAAAAGAGTTGTTCCATGAAATGATCCGCAAACACCGACCTCCCACTTCCATGCCAGGCGAAGTGTATAGTGTAGCCTCCTCCGTCCGTCTTTTCTACAAATTGAACTTCACATCCGCAGAATATCTCAGCTCCCCAATTCCAGGCATCTGCAAGATATGTTGTCGCCACTGAGTTCTTTGAACCGTCGTTAAGACCAGTGCACTCATGGCCCGATTGTCTATTTGCCTGCATTGGGACACCAGCACTGTTGCGGCCATTGTGGAAAAATATGGTCAACGGTACTCGGTAGAAATTATTCTCCTTTCCAAGCCATCTTGACTCTTCTCGAAGATGCTCAAATTTGTTTGGGCTTGAATTATCCGGATACGTGGAAGGTTGTAGCATTGTTTCGGCGCGTGCGTAGTCTGCATTGGTTATAGGTTATGAAATGTCCTCCGCCGTATGCATTATATAACTCACATTTGTCGAGCGTAGATGGCTCGTCTCTGATCTCTGACGGCCATGGACTCATCTGCAGTGTTCTTTCATCCGCTTTCAGGAAAACTCCGGCATTTATCAAGGAAGATCCTCCAAGTCCTATGATTCCAATCAAACAAAGCTGTTGGTTTTTCCTATTCATGAACTCGGGGGAAATGTTGAGTTTCACCTACCATGAGCAGCAAACGAATGCTGTCCATCACCCAAAAATACTTGAAAAAGCCGCGTGGGGTCTGTAGACGACAGGCACTTTGAGATGAAGGAGCTCTTTACAGTACTCCCCGAGATGCTCGTGTCCCTCAGACATTGAGAGAACGTATGTGGAAATGAACCGGCTATGGAAATGTCAGCGATGGTGTTTTACTTGAAACCGCTCAATTTGTACATCTTCTTTCCCAACCAAGCTCTAGCACTGCGACGCTCTTTCCTGCTCGAGCCATTCGACTTGCCGCTACTCCAGCTCCATAGCCAGATCCTATAACCACGACATCATACTCTGGTCTCATTGAGCCGAATGGACGACTCAGGTTCGGATAATTGTCCGTTCTGTCTGTGAAATTTGACATTGTTTCTCGCTTTGAGCACTAGCTGAATATTTAGAGGGGCACACAGAAAGTAAGATAAAAGACATCTAAGTTCTCGTGAGAATACTTAACTCAATATAAGCCCATAAGCACTAGGGTCTTCCGAAGAAGCAAGGGTTGACACGTATTTCTGCAGAGTTAAGCGGGCTGTAAGTAGAAATTGGTGGGACTTATCTTCTCCGCACCGTATAGTCACATCCGAACTCGGCATGGATGAACCCTAAGCTGAATAATTTCTGTCTCTGCATTGGTAGATAGCAGAAACCTTTCAGGGCTAATCCCGGCATTGATACGAAGCATACCCGGCAATGCGTGCTTCATTGAATTGAGGTCCACTATTCGCGCATAAAAATTGCTTATTGGACTGTATTCTATCAGCTGGCTATATTGAGAGGTGGAGCCTGCATTCTTTATTTTTCGATGCCGTCAAGTGGTTCTTAGTTCCGACCAAGAGAATCAACGCGATTGGTGTAATCGGGGGGTTGACACCCGAAGCAGTGGTGTTATCGTCAACATTATTTCCGACTTCGAAAGAGGTAACCTTAATTCTAGATGCGGGCAAGCGCTTATTCGAATACGCCGAGTACGTCGCTGTATGTACGAGATTTTAGGCCGTCGCGATTTTCTCTGGGTGGGTGCCGCCGCTTTATGAGGCTCACTCCAGGGCTGGTTGTTAGCAGGCATTACCAAATTATCTATTTTCTTGCTATCTCTGCTTTATCTACCTGATTATAGGTGAAACGCGACATGCTGGTATCCCTAGGTTTATTTGACATGAACCTCCTAGCCGTGGCCTTGGGGCACCAGCAGCGACACGATGATATTACTAAGCTGAACGGTGACCCGTGGACCGGGGCCAATAACGGGACCTCGGAATTGCTCTGCGAGAGTCTGAATTGATCATGGATGAACAAACTTGTATCTTCAATTTCAGCGTACCTGTAGCCCAACACCCCGACCAATGCCCGCTGATCGATCAAAACCAGTGACATTACGCAGATCATGCCAATCCTGCATTAAAGGCAAGCGGCGATGTGACCAAGGCTGGCCCCGGTGCAGCAGGTGTCTGGGCAAAGACATCAACTGTGAATATGTGAATGCACCTCTTACAGTACAATCTACTCGGAGGCCATCTGCCGGCCGATATGTGGGGCCTAAACGCCCAATTGCCAACATGACTCCCACGCCACAAATACATGCACCCCTGCGACTGGAGATCGCCAAAGAATATGATCTAAATATCATTCGATTTCTCGTTGCCGGGTTGCGAGATTTACCAGTCAAATTTGCAGAAAACAGGAAAACGCTTTTCATTCACCCTGATCTTTATACGAATGGTCTGCCAACCCCTGTTCGTGAGATCCACAATATTTGCAGACTTAATATGCAAACTGGGCAAACGGGTCGTATGAGCTTTGCTCTGTTACCAATGCTTCGGCAAAACTCAGCAGACCTCTGTCGCCGACTAAGCCACGCTGCGACATTCGAAGAGTTACTGGCATGCAGTCAAGCTTTGGTGTTGATCCAATGTATGTTGATTCTTAATGAAAACGGCAATGCATGTCCATATTCAGAGGTAATCAGTGTTATGCTGGCGGGAGTTGCTGGGAAACTGTGGCAACAAGCGCCTATTCAACTTCCGCGAACCCTCAGTCCTCGATATGCTTGGCTTCTTGCTGAGAGCGTTCGGCGGACGATTATTGTCTGTTTCATGTTACGCAGTGCTTACTCGTTGAACACGAGGAACTATTCAGTTCGAACACCGTTTATAGACTCTTTGCCGTTTGATTTACGGACGAATTTGTGGGATGAGAATTCTGAGATAGCGTGGGAAGATGCACTCTCCGACTCTAACGATTCCATGGTTTCATTGCATGAGTGGTCGGATGGATTGGCTGCGGGTCGTGTTCATGATGTTTCTTGTTTCAGTGGGTTGATACTGGCGGCCTGTAAAGGGAAAGCTGTTTCCTCGATTCCGTCTCCGCCTGTAAACTCTTATATCGACAGCTGAGAATGGAGATGCCATAACATGAGTCCCATATTTATAACATGTAACCTTTATATGCATCTAAAATCTAAAATCTCAAAGTTCCAACCCTACCTCAAAAACTGCTTCAACAACCCAGAAAGCAACTCCGTCATATCCCGATACAACTCCTGCCTCTTAACTTCGAATGCATTGTAAATATCCCTCGCAGACCCGACAGGAATTTGATTCTCGCCCTCTGAAATCCGATCCCAAACCTCATCAACAAATTCCTGCAACGGCATCCCAATCAAATGTCCATCCTTCAAATCAGGTTGGTGTTTAGCATCATGAAGCTCAGTCTGCACAGCCGGAGGATAAATCTCCAAAACTTTCACATCCCCAGGACCATCCTGCAGCTGAGTGCGGAGGGCAAGGATGAAATGGTGCAGAGCAGCCTTGGAAGCGCCGTAATTCGGACATCGCATCATGGGCACGAGTGCCATTTGCGACGTCGTGAATGCGATGGCTGTTGCGGTCTTCTGGCTCTGCAAGTGTGGGAGGAATGCTTTGGCAATGCGGACCGCGGATGTATAGTTCGTGATCAGTTCTTGGTCGAAGATGTCCAGATCGACGGTTTCCGGCTTGGAGAAATCGAAGGGTCGTTGGATACCCGAGTTGACGAATATGCAGTCCAGATCGGGGTTCTCGGAGATGATCTCTGAGGCAAATTGCGGGATCTTTGTTTTCATTGGATGTTAGATGGGGATATATCTCGCTTGGCGTGGGTGACCTTACCTGCTCGAGCTGCATGACGTCAAATGCCGTTGCGGAGACCTTGTCGCTGCCATATCGCTGGACGATCTCATCGAGATTCTCCTTTCTGCGACCGGCAACAATTAGGTTTGATCCATTTTGGACGACTTTGTCGGCGAGTGTTTTGCCAATCCCGGAGGTGGCGCCGATGATCAGGACTTTCTTGTATCCAAAAGGCATTATGGGGACTTCGATGTGTGAGAATTTGACAAAGAAGATCGAGGAGAGACAATCTTGAGTGTCTCTATGATTCTTCCCGAGCAGAAACACTCCCATTTATACTATAGCCTTCAAAATTCCGACTCGCCATCGCATCCAATATCTTCCAGGTTGATAACTATATCATGGAAGCTTTGCGGAGACTAAACCTAAAGAGGATAAACCTGACTCAATATGATTGGTCGACACTGTAAACTTCATGCCACCGGTGGAAGTTAAACCAAATGCGGTAACGACCGTTGTGAAGAATTTATGATTGTTCATCGTTGAAATTTTTCAAGTTCGATCTGTTTCTACCGTAGCGTATATGAATACAAGACGAATTATACATTGTCGCAATTGATTTGAAATCAGTATAGACTAGCGGGACGAACAATTCCAAGTTGTTTCAATGTCGTTGATTTCTATGTGCGAGTGGTTATATTGCCACGTTGTCTCGGCTACTTTCATGACAAGAAGCGCCTACTTGGATCTACTATCCCAGAAAAGCCAATTGGCATAGGCAGACATTCATGTGTTCATTATATTGGTCTCGTTGACAACCCCACTGGTCATACTCAAATATTTACAAGCATCACCAGTCCATTAGATATCAAGGATCAATGACCACAATCTCCCTCTGCTCACCTGCAACCATCGCCTTGACAACAGGCATCCTCGACACGACAGCCCTTGGCACCACAGCCCTTGGCACCGGCTTAATCTGCTCAAGGCCGCCCTTGCAACGGCCGCAGAACTGACGCTTTGGGTCAACACTTTTCGAGTGTCGCCCGACCTTGAAATCACAGTACTGGGCCTTGCAGGCCCATACGTATTTGTGGTTGATCTCATAGGTATGTTTAGTCGTGACCTCGACCCGGCCCCCGTAGATAGGGTGGCCTTCTAGTGCGCTGACACATCGGTCGCCCCATTGCTTGAAGCTGGCACCGTGCTGCGCCGTACCCTTGGCCCTGTTTTCAGTGACCATGATATCAAGGAGATGGCAGTACTCGTGTGTCATAGTGCAGAGAATCTTGTCCTCAGTGTCCAAGACTTTCTCGGAGAGCTCAATGGTGGCATAGTAACGCCGTTTCCCGGGTTCTTCAACGCCGGCTTCTCCTTTGAGGAATCTTTCTGAGCGTACGGTTGCCCGGCCGGCGGTGTTCCTGAAATTCTTTGTCCAGATGATTTTGATACCGCCGGTTTCCTCGGTCATGCGACCAATCTGGCCATCGAAGGCATTATCAAGGTGCTGGAGGAACTCTTCGGCAAAGCCGATCTTCCTTCGATTGAATTCGGCCAATTGGGCTCGAATATCGCGTTTCCGAGCCGCCTCGGCCCTTTTCTTGGCCTTTAGAGTGAGGGGAATAGCCATGCCCGGCGAGCTATCGACTGGTGTGATTGAGTGGTAATTGAGAGAAAAGTGAGGTTTCGCGCGCGACGGTGTCACTGGTGATAGGTTTGTGTGGCTTGGGTAAAGTTTCGATGGTAGTTCATCCTCTGATTCTGTGCTGTGAGAGGTAGTTAGTACGAATGATTGCTGTGATACTAGGAGTGCACATGAATGCCCACTGGAAAACTTACTTGGACTGTTCTGGCTGTGCTTGCAATATGGAGTCATTGTCGCTATCTAGGTCAAGATCCTCAAGGTGTTTGATGAGGTCGTTGGAGTTGTGGAGGCCGAAAGGAAGAGGATAGCTTGAATCAACCTGTGGCTTGGGTATCTCTACCCTACGGATAGGGGATATAGATTTGTAACTGGTTGCAGGGTCTTGTGTGCAGTCTTCAGGTGCTGGGGTGACAGCCTTTGATTTCTCAGTTGATCGGTCCAGCTCTGTCACCAACTTGGTCGCTTCCATTGATGGCTCTTCATCTGCAGTAGTGTTTGATTCTGCTTCTGATATTGGTCTTCTTCCGCGCAGGAGTCTTTTTCTTGGTGACCTGACAGGCGACGGAGCCGGGCTAGGCTCGGCTTCCGGGTCGGCTGTCTCAGAATCTGATGTCTCAAAGGAGCTAGGCTCATCATTGTCACTGACAATGAACCCGTCTAGTGAGTCAGAGCTATCTTCTTCTTCTTCAAAGCTGATTTCTGGCTCCTCTTGTTCTTCTTGCCGGTCAATCATTGGCTGTGTCGTGGGGATATAATCCATCCTGCTTCTTGTGGGAGCCTGTGAGGCATTCGGCCTTGTTGGTGTTAAATCTGGAGTGCGATATCCATCTGCGGCATATTCTGGCACGTCGTTCTCCTTGTCATAATCTTCAGTCTCCCTTCGGATGGCTGGGCGTGGTCTCCGCTTTGCTGGTAGGAGTAACGAGTTCACACGTGCGAGTCCCAGTGTTCTTTGCTTTTGCTGCTTTCCGGTAGACCTGTGCTGTCCGAATTCACCTTCTGATGCCGAATCGCTGTCGGGAAATATATCAAATGATCCACTTGACCCATTTCCTTGCCGTTGCGACTGGCTTTGCGGCTTGACGGGCATATTGTGCTTGGCTGTGTTCCTGAAATTGGAACATGACTCTCTCGACAGTGGGCTGTTGTGGGATGTCCCTGGAGTACGTGCGACCGTCTCTTTGTGGGGCGTGTTTTTGACCAGCGGGTTGGCCGTGTTGATCCTTGCCATGGTCGCGATGTTGTCTAAACAATCCCGTGGTTTTTAATCGGTCAATGAGACCCTATGGGCGCTGGTGGTGATGATGACGATCTCCCTAGATTAGATGAAACACTATTTTTGCGCTGACCAGGTCGGTGCTGAAGGCCCCGGGGGTTTTCGTTGTTCTTTTAAGGTTGGTCCCATGTTGCTCTGGCTGTTGAGCTGTCAACGGATGCGTTGGCACGGCAACGTGAGCAACCCACAACTACATGTGCCACCTCAATCACACGTCAATATCTAGGCATGGAGGTTGTTACCCGGGCTGTTATTGTGAAAGATTCACTGTTTGTTGTATTCTGAGCCAGCACTGGATATGAGAAAATAAACCTCATCATAGCAGCCCTGCCCGTGAACATCCCGATGTCGGGACTTCCCGAGGGTTCCAAGATTGACAGACCTTAGGGACTGCCCAGGCAAGGTCCAGGTTAGCACCATTTGGGGATTACACTATCCAGCAGTGCGGTATGCCTACCGTACGTTCATTAATATGGTGTTGATTATTATACTTGTCCTACCGTATTTCCGTGTCATCGACAACACGCTCCAACACCCTTAGTAAGTTCAAATCCTGTTTTCAACTGGATATTAACCTTAACATGCTAAAATACATCTGTGCAACTGCTTTTTGTTGAAAAAATTTTATTGCCACGGGAAAAGAAAGAAAAATCTGGTTTGTTAAGCTGTGGTTATATATCGGGTGCAAGTGTAAACCAAGCCGACTGCAGCTCTATGACGTCCTATCATAACCAGCACAAAGAACACTCAAAGACCAGAGACTGTCCAATGCGAGGATAGCGCATAGACCTGCGGAGGTCTCAGGCACCGTTAGGCTGGACCTCCTTGCTGCAGGTAATGTTCCTGGCGACGTAGCCGTACAAGTCCACTCGGAATGGATGAACTTTCGAAGCATGCTGATCCCAAACAGAGAATCTACATTATACCGCGTGGCTTGCAGCGGAAGTCGGACATCTGGGCCTTGAATCAACACTTGGCAGAGGGACGTTAATCAGGGCCATTATTCCATCGTTATGCCGATAAAGATCGGCGTCCCCTTGCCTCCCAGCAAATAGTGGAGACTACCTGCCTCACTCGTTGTACAAATCTGGAATCTGATCTGGGTGCGTGGACTGGAGACCCGGATATAATCTGCGATTGGGCGAGAGGTTGTGTCAATCGTCCCTGCATCTGTAGATGGTGAACATCCCCCGCTCGATCTGGATATACAGTAATTGGTTACTCATTTTAATTATTTAGGTGCGGTATAGATTCGATAAAAGCCGAGCGCAAAGGATGTAGCCTTAATATTCCAAATGGGAGAATAAATGATCTATAGAGAGAGAGCCATTCATGCGAAAGGTGACTATCTGGAGTCCTTGGGTGGATTTGTTCTGCTAGTCCTGACGAACATATCGTAAAACAGCACAATGAAAGAGAGCACCCTAAAAGGAAGAGATGAAGTGATATATGCTGTACTGGCACAGGTTGTTCGAGTGCCACTCTGTAGGCCCATATCATGCGATTGCCAGCGAGAACGTCAAAAGGGAAACAAAAGTTACCACTGAAACAGCACACTGAGATAAGGCAATATATATCTGAGCAACAATTACTTAAAGCGTTTGCTGAACATCTTTCACCATTAGGGATGTAGCATATAGTGACTTTAGCTAATTCTTAGTATAAGTGTTATGGTTGGTACATATATATGTCGTGAGATTGCTATTATTGCTACACAACCATAATCTGAGGACTGGCGGAGCTTTACATGAACCATGTCATAAATATATACATTGCACTACATATGCAATATGTGACAGAGGGAAAAAAAATATGTCGTATGTGTTATTTTCTTGTTACTAGGAACTGCTCATGTGAAATATGGCGGGAAATCCGGGGCCTTCGATTGGCTACGATACTACGTACATACTGATTCAACTACTCCGTATGCTGTACATAGACGATGTACAAATCATATGTGGTGCGGCAAGCCTTTTCAAACAGAAAATCTTATAATAATATCGGCATATCACCACTCGGGCCCTTTCAGTGCCCTGTATATGGACACAACGACCTCAAAAATAGGTGTTGTGATTGGCTCCCGATGGTGACGCAGATAGACGGTGGAGGGGGCCCGGGGGTCACAGCCCCCTAATTATTATGTTGTAATTTGAATCAGAGCTCAAGGTCTCGCGATCAGCTCCTATGCATATGATAATTAGTACGGAGTACGGAGTAGACGCACCTTAATAATCAATGGTGGGCTACTCCTTAGAGATTCAAATCCTTCCGCGGGGAGCCGGTGCCAACGTTGTATCGAAAACGCCCTATTCAGGGGCTAGAGCCAAAAATAATCATGGAAGAGCTAGTATGGGGTTCTAGAAACACCAATGCCCGCCATCGACGCCACTGGCTCCCCTGGATGAAAGTAAGCCATTTTTTAATAAATAGAAGGGGATATGCAATAATTATGACCGTTTGCTTAATATCTAGCCACATTTCACGGCTGTTGTGCTAGTGTACGGAGTAGTGTACAAAGTATTAAAAGGTGGCGGGTCAATACGTAACAATCAGTACAATAAATGTGCGACACTAGGGCACGCCTGCCGGCTAGTGATCGCTGACTAGGCCCTTTAAGGCCGATTTCTCTGTCGACAGGTTATTTTTGGTGCATTGCATTACATAGTAATCCGTACTCCGTACAATATACCAACGATCGCTATCGGCCTCTTAAGGTGCCAGTGTGTAACTAATGACAGTGTCCATAAAGGCCCCAGTAAGGTGGGTAGACAGTGAAAATCCGCACGGGAAAACGAAGATCAGATGTCGAAGATCGGTTTCCCTTATGCAGCTGATGTGTCGTTCCTGCGCAATCCTGCATCCGCCGGTATGAGGATGTACAAGGTACAAGTACTCTGTTGCAAACTAATAATGCTGCAGTCCGCGATGCAAGTATACATATGTATATTTTAACCGCTACATGGTGCCACGGCATACCCGATAAGCACTGTCTTGATTGTGCTGCAGTGGCTTCGCTATTGCGTACAATATTGTACGCAGGCCTCTTCTTGGTCGAGGCTCTCTGAAAGAATAATTAAGAGAAAAGCAATCGGTGATCCACTTAGTGTGTGGACAAGATGAATGCGTCTAACGGTGGAGATCCTTTTCGAATACAGCGTTACTAGCTCTGTATATGTATATACAGTATCAGCTGGTATATTCAGATACATTCGTACACAGCTTAAGTTGTCTTGAATTTTTAATTTGGGGTCAGAGTTGATACGAATGAATGATGTCTATGAAATTTATGACTGTGAGAAGCTAAGGTCCGAATAACCACCATTAGATATAGGCCCAGAGATAAAAAGATAAATATAGAAAATGACGATTGAGTTTTCAAACGTTATTTAGCGAGTTCGGCCTGTGGCTGTGGAAGGCCAAACAAGCTTAGAAAGGACCGTTCTTCCAGGTTTTCTCGTGGTACGGTGTCCACTGTGCGATACAATCCACTAGTACGGTGTACTCCGTACTCCGTACAATATACATGTGTGGAGGACTAGCCACAGTGAGAAAGTCAAATGTAATACACATGGAACTGATCGACTACATTTGAGACACTTGTATTGCGGTGGCGAATCATCCGCTAAAACACTAAAACACTAAAACAGAGTAAAAAAGTCTGTGATCGATTGAGGACTACGATGAAAGGAGCAATAAGAATTGAAGATCGTGGAGATTAAAGAAGAATATAATAATATATCCATGGATACATGCAAATAAATAAAGAGCAAGAGTGTGGAAAGTAAAGACGTGGTTCTTGTCGCTTGGGAGCCATGGAACAGGAGCTGAAAACACGTCGATTACCAACCATCCACGGGTCAGAGCTCAAGTTGATATTAATTTTATTTGAGCGTCGAATCAGATTTAAGAACATTTAAAGATAATAGGTACCTGAGTACAGAATGTAAACTATCATTTGGTTCAAATTATAATGGTTTCTCATGAGTTGACACTGGTCACATATTCCAAATTAGAGACACTGACTCGCCACATAAGATAGATAAGTGTACGTACCATAGTACGAAACCTCGAATTATGAGAGCCAAGTCTACAAATGTATACATAGTAACGAGGAATGAAAAATCAGTGCCGGTGCAACGCCATCCCTACATACCAGGTGGTCGCCATAACAAGGCGAATCAACAGCCATTTTTGGAACAGCAGTTCCATAGCCTGGCATCTCTGAAAATAGCCGGCTATATTATTTGTTACCTGATTACATGCTGGCTGGTTACAGTGGGGCAAGTTTCAGGGGCCGTCGAGACTCCCTTGGATTCCGAGTTTCCATGGGAGACTATCATTGGATGGGGAAGTGGGAGAGATTAGAGAAGTTGAAAGTGACTGGGGGAAACACAAGCGTAAATACAGTTGGACAATAACGGTAATTGAAAAATGGACGATCAGGGAGAGACAGACATATGAGAGGCGTTGGAAGAATACAAGGCTGGGAGAGTCAATGGGCTAAACTTAATGCGCCACGTATGGTAAACAAAGGGGTGGTAATCAGTACCTGGGAAAGATAGGGGCTAACCATACTGGGAAAAGGTATTCAGTACCTGGAAGTCTGACACGTACTCTTTATAGGTGTAAGATGACGGTAAATTACTCTGGAGACAACAGAGCGAGAGCCCCCCCGAATCCCAAAAATAACAAGCATTTTCTGGTCTTCCCTCTCCAACCCCCTTCCATTCGCTTTTTGTCTCCATCTTTCCTTCTATTTGCTACCTTTCGTGTTCTTTCTTTTTTTGACGAAAGAAGGATAGGAGGAAGGTTGTTTTTGCTCTTAAAATATTCCCATTGCACCTTCCTTTTCGTGAGACCCTCACTTGCCATTCGTTACAGAGTCTGAGACTCGTTCGACACCTTCACTTGGGTTCTCAAGATAACGCATTTCTTTCCTGCGCATCTTACTTTCATCTTGCTACGTCCATGCTGCATTAATTCGACATCTCGAACAAAAATAATACTTTGAATGGTTACAGTTGAGGTGAGATTGGCTGAAGGCTATTTGCATCGCTGAGCCTAGGGCATCCAGAGCTAATCCCACCTGCAGAGCTCCAAGCACTAAATCGATCACGGCTCGCTCGTCATGTCGGGCTACGCAGGCGGAGGCCACTATGACGATGGCTATGCCCAGCAGGGGCAGGGACATGGTCAAGCTCATGGTGACTCTTACTATCAGGACGAACATGCCCAGGGTTATTACGACAACCAAGGATATGGTGATGGCTATTACGACCAAGGGTATGACCACACCTGGCGAGAGAGAGAGAGTTGAGGAATGGAAGGGCTGACACGAAGAATAGTAATGGCTACTACGGAGCAGACGGTGGTCACGGCGCCGACGCAGCCCATGCGGATGGTGCACACCACGCAGATGCAGGCCACGGATACGCCGACGGAGGATATTACGAGGCCGGACACCAAGACCAGTACTACGGCGGCGCCGGCGGCGCCGGCGGCGATCAATACTACGACCAGGGACAAGGGCAACCCCGAGGCCGCCGTGGCCATGATTCCGAGGAGGATTCCGAGACCTTCAGCGATTTTACAATGAGGTCCGAGACTGCTCGTGCTGCGGACATGGACTACTATGGCCGTGGAGACGAACGATACAATAGCTACTCTGACAGCCAGTACGGCGGCGGTGGTGGCTATCGTCCTCCTTCCTCCCAAATCTCCTACGGAGCCAACCGATCATCTGGTGCTTCGACTCCTGTCTACGGAATGGACTACGGCAACGCCCTTCCCGCCGGCCAGCGCTCGCGTGAGCCCTACCCTGCGTGGACATCTGACGCCCAGATCCCTCTCTCAAAGGAGGAGCTCGAGGATATCTTCCTGGATTTGGTCAACAAGTTTGGCTTCCAGCGAGACAGCATGCGAAACATGTATGACCACATGATGACTATGTTGGACTCTCGTGCCTCGCGTATGACGCCGAACCAAGCACTTCTCTCCATCCATGCCGACTACATCGGTGGCCACAACGCGAATTACCGCCGGTGGTATTTCGCCGCTCATCTCGATCTCGATGATGCGGTTGGTTTCGCCAACATGAAGCTCGGTAAGGGGGATCGCAAGACGCGGAAAGCCCGCAGGGCTGCAGCCAAGGCCGCCAAAAAGAACCCCGAGAACGAAGAGGAAACGCTCGAGGCTTTGGAAGGTGACAACAGTTTGGAAGCCGCGGAATACCGGTGGAAATCTCGCATGAACCGCATGTCCCAGCACGATCGGGCCCGTCAAATTGCCCTGTATCTTTTGATCTGGGGTGAAGCCAACCAGGTCCGATTCCTGCCGGAGTGCATCTGTTTCATCTTCAAGTGTGCCGACGATTACTATACTTCGCCAGAATGTCAGGCTCGCGTTGAACCGGTGGAGGAATTCACCTACCTGAATGAGATCATCACTCCTCTCTACCATTACTGTCGCGACCAGGGGTATGAAATCGTGGACGGCAAGTATGTTCGTCGTGAGAATGATCACAACAAAATCATTGGTTATGATGATATGAACCAGCTGTTCTGGTACCCGGAGGGTATTGAGCGCATCGGGTTCGAGGATAAGACTCGTCTGGTCGATGTTCCCATCGCTGAGAGATGGCCCAAGCTGAAGGACGTAGTCTGGAAGAAGGCCTTCTTCAAGACTTACAAGGAAACTCGCTCCTGGTTCCACATGATCACGAACTTTAACCGTATCTGGGTTATCCACCTGGGTTCCTTCTGGTTCTTCACTGCTTACAACGCTCCCACCCTGTATACCATCAACTATCAACAGCAGCTTGACAACAAGCCAGCCACACCCAAATATCTCGCCGCCGTCGGTTTCGGTGGTGCTCTTGTCTCCTTCATCCAGATTTTAGCCACCATTTGTGAATGGATGTACGTTCCCCGACGCTGGGCTGGAGCGCAGCACCTCCGCAAGCGCTTTATGTTCCTCCTCCTCATGTTCATTATCAACCTGGCTCCTGGCATCGTGATCTTCAGCATCTTGCCATCGCTGGAAAAGTCAATGTCAAAGAGTACCGTAGACGGCATCGGCCTTGCTCTCGGTATTGTCCACTTTGTTATCGCTATCTTGACAGCAGTTTTCTTTGCAATCCAGCCGTTGGGTGCGCTGTTCGGCAACTACATGAAGAAAGGTGGAAGGCAATACGTTGCCAGTCAGACCTTCACAGCTAGTTTCCCTCGCCTTTCAGGTAACGACATGTGGATGTCATATGGCCTATGGGTTTGTGTGTTTGGTGCCAAGTTGGCAGAATCCTACTTCTTCCTGACCTTGTCTTTCAAGGATCCCATCCGCATCCTGTCTCCAATGCAGATCCACCAGTGTACTGGTGCGAAATACATTGGCAACACGCTTTGCCACCGACAGCCACAGATCCTGCTGGGCCTGATGGCCTTTATGGACTTGACACTCTTCTTCCTGGATAGTTACCTCTGGTACATTATTTGCAACACAATCTTCTCTGTGGCGCGATCATTCTACTTGGGTGTCTCAATTTGGTCACCGTGGAGGAACATCTTCTCCCGACTTCCGAAGCGTATCTACTCTAAGGTGCTCGCCACTACTGACATGGAGATCAAATACAAGCCCAAGGTCCTGATTTCACAGGTCTGGAACGCTATCATCATCTCCATGTACCGTGAGCACCTTCTGGCCATCGACCACGTGCAGAAGCTGTTGTACCACCAGGTTCCCTCCGAGCAGGAAGGAAAGCGCACCCTCCGCGCCCCCACCTTCTTCGTGTCACAGGAAGATCAATCTTTCAAGACTGAATTCTTCCCCCAGGGAAGTGAGGCAGAGCGCCGTATCTCGTTCTTCGCGCAGTCGCTATCTACACCCATGCCCGAGCCTCTCCCCGTTGACAACATGCCCACCTTCACCGTTCTGATCCCTCACTACAGTGAAAAGATCCTCCTCTCGCTCCGTGAGATTATCCGTGAAGATGAGCCTTACTCCCGTGTGACTCTGCTAGAATACCTCAAACAGCTGCACCCCCACGAGTGGGATTGCTTCGTCAAGGACACCAAGATTTTAGCCGACGAGACTTCGCAATTCAACGGTGATTATGAAAAGCCCGAGAAAGACGCTGCCAAGAGCAAGGTTGATGATCTTCCTTTCTACTGCATCGGTTTCAAGTCCGCCGCTCCCGAATATACCCTCCGAACAAGAATCTGGGCTTCGCTCCGATCTCAGACTTTGTACAGAACTGTGTCCGGTTTCATGAACTACAGTCGTGCTATCAAGCTGCTTTACCGCGTCGAGAACCCCGAGGTTGTCCAGATGTTTGGTGGTAACTCCGAGAAGCTTGAGCGCGAGCTCGAGCGCATGGCTCGCCGCAAGTTCCGCATCTGTGTCTCCATGCAGCGCTACGCCAAGTTCAGCAAGGACGAACGTGAGAACACCGAATTCTTGCTCCGCGCTTACCCCGATCTGCAGATTGCATACCTGGATGAGGAGCCACCTGTCAACGAGGGCGAAGAACCCCGTCTGTACTCGGCCTTGATCGATGGTCACTGTGAACTTCTCGAGAACAACTTGCGCAAGCCCAAGTTCAGAATTCAGCTCTCCGGAAACCCCATTCTGGGAGACGGAAAGTCTGACAACCAGAACCACGCAATCATCTTCTACCGTGGTGAATACATCCAGCTCATTGACGCCAACCAAGACAACTACCTTGAAGAATGTTTGAAGATTCGCAGTGTCCTGGCCGAGTTCGAGGAATTGACCACCGACAATGTTTCTCCGTACACCCCTGGAATTGCCTCGCCTGAGGAGAACCCCGTTGCCATTCTGGGAGCCCGTGAATACATTTTCTCCGAGAGCGTTGGTGTCCTGGGTGATGTTGCCGCCTCCAAGGAACAAACGTTCGGTACACTCTTCGCCCGTACACTTGCTCAAATCGGTGGTAAGCTGCATTATGGTCACCCTGATTTCTTGAACGCCACTTTCATGACCACCCGTGGTGGTGTTTCCAAAGCCCAGAAAGGATTGCACCTGAACGAGGATATTTACGCTGGTATGAATGCTGTGCTCCGTGGAGGTCGCATTAAGCATTGTGAATATTATCAGTGCGGTAAGGGTCGTGATCTCGGTTTCGGATCCATTCTCAACTTCACCACGAAGATTGGTACTGGTATGGGTGAACAGATGCTGTCCCGAGAGTACTACTATCTCGGTACCCAGCTGCCTCTCGATCGCTTCCTTTCATTCTACTATGCTCACCCTGGTTTCCATCTGAACAACATGTTCATTATGCTTTCTGTCCAAATGTTCATGTTTGTCCTGATCAATCTCGGCGCCCTGAAGCATGAGACCATCATGTGCCGTTACAACTCCGACTTGCCTATTACCGATCCTCTTGTGCCCACTCTCTGCGCCAACCTGATCCCAATTCTTAACTGGGTGAACCGCTGTGTTATCTCTATTTTCATCGTGTTCTTCATCTCGTTAGTTCCTCTTGCTGTCCAAGAGTTGACAGAGAGAGGAGTGTGGCGCATGGCTACTCGTTTGGCCAAGCACTTCGGTTCGTTCTCGTTCATGTTCGAGGTGTTCGTCTGTCAGATCTACGCCAACGCGGTGCACCAGAACTTGTCTTTCGGAGGTGCGCGATACATTGGTACCGGCCGTGGTTTCGCAACGGCTCGTATTCCATTCGGTGTCCTCTACTCACGATTCGCTGGTCCCTCAATTTACTTGGGTGCTCGCCTCCTGCTGATGCTGTTGTTCAGTACCACAACGGTCTGGACCCCCGCTCTTATCTGGTTCTGGGTTTCGCTACTCGCTCTGTGCATCTCGCCTTTCCTGTTCAACCCACACCAGTTTGCCTGGAACGACTTCTTTATCGATTACCGCGACTATATCCGCTGGCTTTCGCGCGGTAACTCCCGATCCCATGCTTCCTCTTGGATTGGTTTCTGTCGCCTTTCGCGTACTCGCATCACTGGTTACAAGCGGAAACTTCTTGGTATTCCATCGGAGAAAGGCTCCGGTGATATCCCCAGAGCGCGCATTACCAACATCTTCTTCAGCGAAATCATTTCGCCTCTGCTCGGAGTTGGTGCTACATTGGTTCCGTATCTCTACATCAACTCCCGCACAATGTACTCCGATGATGTCAAGTGGGCTGCGAATCCCATCCTGCGCGTTGCGATTGTCGCTTTCGCTCCCGTAGGTATCAATGCCGGTGTCGCGGGCATGTTCTTCGGCATGGCTTGCTGTATGGGCCCACTGTTTGGCATGTGCTGCAAGAAGTTCGGTGCTGTTCTCGCCGCTATTGCCCATGCCATCGCCGTGATTGTATTCCTGCTCGTATTCCTGGCCATGTTCTTCCTTGAATCCCTCAACTGGGCCCGAACCATCTCTGGAATGATCGCTGCGATGGCTCTCCAGCGCTTCATTTACAAGGTGATCATTTCCCTCGCATTGACTCGTGAGTTCAAGAACGATCAATCCAATATCGCATGGTGGACCGGAAAATGGTACAACATGGGATGGCACTCCCTTTCTCAGCCCGGACGTGAATTCCTGTGCAAAATCACCGAGCTCGGTTATTTCGCCAACGATTTCTTCCTCGGCCACATTCTCCTGTTTGCCATGCTTCCGGCCCTCGCCATTCCCTATGTCGACACCTTCCATTCGGTCATTCTGTTTTGGCTGCGCCCAAGGTACGTATCTTTTCGCCTCGACATCAAAATAACTTGGTACTAACTAGCCCTACTTCTAGTTCTCAAATCCGCCCTCCCATCTATTCTCTCAAGCAGTCCAAGCTTCGCAAGAGACGCGTTGTTCGCTTCGCCATCCTCTACTTTGTCATGCTCCTCATCTTTGTTATCATTGTCGCTGCGCCTGTCGTCATGCGGAACACAGGGCAATTGGATAGCATCCTGTCGCATAGCCTCTGGGATAGCCTCGGTGTTTCCAAGACAGACGCAGTTGGTCTCTTGCAGCCACTTGATCACGGACTCAATGACACTGTCTCCTGGTACACCGGCTCTAACATTCCCAAGGGCTACACCTCAGGCAGCATCCCGGCAGCCTCAGAGGGCACCGGAAAGTGGTCTATCTAATCGCTTCGGCGAAACGACATGGAAATGCTTTGTACAAAGTTATGCGTTTATTAAAATTCGCTGCATTTTTCTGAACTCACCGGCGCACAATTTGATCTTAATGAATGGTTGCTTCCAAATATTGTTTGTGGAATGACGCTTGTATGAAGGGGTCTTCCTAGTCATCCTCGGGGGTTTACCTTCGTTTTTCCAGCTTTCTTTGCTTGTTTTATTTTACACTTCTACCGGAATTAAATTGCATTGCTTTCGAGAAATTATCTTTGATATAACTCAAGTCGTAGTCCCTAATTTAAAATTAGATTGTGCTCCGTATAGGTCAACAGACAGGTCACGTGGCACGGAGGTTCCCAGGACTCCGAGCCTCCCGTTTCATCTTCCCTCAATCCTCTACGAGCAAGCACCTGTCTTTCGCGTCTTTTTAACCTATTGCATTTCGGGTATCTCACTGGCCTGGCGCACCACATTACTCGCGCCATTTTCAACCCTCTGCCATGGATCTCCAGGAGACCCAGCGAATCCTTTCCGAATATCTGCACCAACTCGCGGATCTATTTCACCGTGTGCCTGGCTCCGCCATCTTCCTCCGCTACGTGAAATCAAGCTATCAGGATGACCCAATTCGCTCTGCCGTCGAACTTTTCCTCTTCCTTTTTGCCGTGCGATATCTGCTAGCGCCCAAATATTCGACCAAACCGGGCGTGGTACCACTCACAGAAGATGAGATTGATGACCTCGTGGATGAATGGACCCCGGAACCCCTCGTCGGCAGTCCGACAGCTTTGGAAGAGATGGAAGTTGAAAAGCGAGCTGTGATTGTTGGGTATCGTACCCCCTCGTTCCCATTGCTTCTGCCTGGCGTACTCCGCGGACATTTTACTGACGAATGAAATTGGGATCTGCAGCCCCGTAGGCCCGAAATCGAAACTGGCCAACGGCCGCACTGTTACGAACCTTGGCTCCTTCAATTTTTACAACTTCAATACGAATGAGTCCCTCAAGGAACAGGCAATCCAGACACTCCGCGCTTATGGAGTTGGTCCCTGCGGACCCCGTGGATTCTACGGCACACAGGATGTTCACCTGAAGACTGAAGATGACGTGGCGTCGTTCCTGGGGACCGCAGCTTGCATTATCTACTCCCAGGCCTTCTCCACCATTTCTAGTGTTATCCCTTCCTTCTCGAAGCGTGGAGACATCATCGTCGCGGATAAGGGGGTTAGCTTTGCCATTCGCAAGGGCATTCAGATCTCTCGAAGCACTGTCCGGTGGTATGAGCATAATGACATGGAGGACCTGGAACGGGTGCTCGCGAAGGTCACCAAGGAGCAAGCACGGAAGCCCTTGACCCGTAGATTCATTATCACAGAGGGTCTGTTTGAGTCTTATGGCGACATGGCGGACTTGCCCAAGATCGTATGTGACCCCACTAACCTAAATTTTGAATTGGCCGTGCTTACAACTCTCGCAGATCGAACTCAGACTCAAGTACAAGTTCCGTCTCATCCTTGATGAAACCTGGTCTTTCGGTGTTTTGGGACGCACTGGCCGTGGTATCACGGAGCACCAGAACGTTGATGCTGCCGAGGTTGATATGATTGTGGGGTCACTGGCTGGTCCCCTCGTTGCTGGTGGTGGCTTCTGTGCTGGCTCAGAGGAGATTGTTCACCACCAGCGTATTTCGGCCGCTGCCTATACCTTCTCCGCTGCGCTTCCCGCTCTGCTCTCGACTACCGCCAGTGCCACTATCAACATCCTTCAGAACAACCCTGACACAGTGTCACAACTTCGGGAACTCACCAAGGCCATGAGGGCTCAGTTGGATCCCCGGAGTGACTGGGTTTACTGCACCAGCTCGCCTGAGAACCCTATTTTGATCCTAGTCATCAAGCCGGAGGTTGTGGCTGCTAAGCGGCTTACACCAGACGACCAGCAGTTCTTGCTTCAAGATGCTGTCGATGAGGTATGTATTACACTTTCTTCCATTCTAACCCTCTTTAAGTCCATTTCTAATTTTCTCGCAGTCTCTCGCCAACGGCGTTCTAATCACGCGGCTGAAGACCCTCGAGGACAACTTTGAGCCCAAGCAGGTTGTCCCGCCAGCCCTGAAGGTGTGCGTCACTACCGGTCTCACCAAGAAAGAGATTGAAAAGGCTGGAACAATTATTCGACATGCCATTACCAAGGTGATGAGCAAGAGAAAGTAATGCCTTCCCTTGCCTCTTAGCTTCTGGCCCTGACCAGACATCCGATGACTGCTCACGCCCATATGAATTCGGCATCTTCAATTTCCCGTTCTCCTCAGTCGACCTACGCCCTAATGTCCCTTCAATACTTGTATTGTTACCTTGTCGATGTACATTCTTATTGCATACCTTGCACAGGCCCGCCCTTTTCTCTCTTCGCTGGCGGTATGATTCTCTACCTGTGCATGGTTTTAAGTTGTTTAATACTATCCTTCTACCCTTGGCTATTTGCTTCAAGGATGTGTCTATTTTTTGCATATATTATTCAGACCCGAAACCCCTTTTGTCCCATGGAATGGACGGTATTGCTTCGTGTCCCAATTCTTGCTATAGTAGTATCCATAGCCACAAGCTTGAAGTGTCCGCCAGTCAGATGGTAACTAAGTCGAGGGTCGAAATATCCCTTCGCCGTTTAATTGATGGTCCTGGACCTCACTAGCAGACTAGAAGCCTAATATCTCCGGGCCAGACTCCAACCCTAGAACTGCCCCTTCCTCTGGCCCCCTTCCAATGTCTCTCAATAATATCAGATAATTTCTCGCCAGCATTCTGCCGCCCATTCACCGAATTCCTCTGTGTGTCCAAGCGAACCCTGAGAATGGGCCCCGCATTCCATCTACTCCATCATTAGGAGCATTCTAGGTCAATCGCCGATTTCGAGATCTTGTATGATGCGCGAAAACCAAGATCTCTTCGCCAAGTAAATCAGATTCCAAAGGTGCCTCCACCAAGCCAAGGGGCATGTTTGAATCCTGAAAGCTCCCTGATTCCATTCCACATGTCTTCTCCAGATCGGGGCGCTATGCTTGGCTATCCTTGTTTACACGCTCTGCTAATAGAAGTCCACGTAGCTTCAATTCCGCGCTCGAGCCCGTTAGCATGGTTATAATGGGTCCGATCGGCACCATAGGCATGGGTTTCCTTTTCTAGATGGTTGGAAAGTCACTCGTGTTATGATCGCCACCGACTAAGTTCAGATCTCTTCACTCGAGGGTTTACAGATCAGCTTCCCCAGGGAGAACTCAGCTACAAAATGAAGCGCCTTACTCAGGTGCTTATCGGCCTGCTATTTGCATGTGGTGTTTGCGCCGAAGCTGGGGGTAAGAACATGGTTGTTCAAATAGTCTCATGCTTATATGGGATTTTGCTGATTGGCGATAGTCGAGAAACAATCCAGCGGAGATCTCGCTAAACCACCCTTTACCAAAGAGGTAGTCGCCTGGGTCAATGAAAAGGGAGAGACCATCAGCACAGAAACACACTACGTTCAGGCCTTGGGCTCTGCACTACAAGAGAAAGTTAGTAGATAGAACTGTTCCTGGTGAAGAGAAGAGATGTTGGTTCCTCATCAAAAAGCCAGCCCTAACTCTCCCTCAAAGCAACCCCCAATATCAATCCCAGACAAGGATGGCTCAACTATAGCACCGCCACATGTACTACCCAAGAACAACGATGACATGAACGACCGCCCCATCCCAGCCAAAGGCAAACCCAAGGAGCTACAACACCCACACGCCCACTCCAAACTGCCTGTTCCTGATCCCCATCCACACCTGCACCCGCACGCCCACTTCGGCATCTCCTACTCCCCCTACAAAGCAGACCGCACCTGCAAGAACCAAGAAGAAGTAAACCAAGACCTAGACCGAGTCTCCGAATACTCCTTCATCCGCATCTACGGCACAGACTGTGACCAAACAAAAACAGTAACGAACGCCGCACGGCGCCACAACATGCGCGTTTTCGCCGGCATCTACGACCTAACCGATTTCCCAGGAAGCCTCAGTGCCTTCGGCGACTCCGTAACAGGCGAAGACGGCCAAAAAGACTGGTCAATCTTCCACACGATCGCCATCGGCAACGAGCTCGTAAACGGCGGCACCAATTCCGCCAGCGACGTCGTGACAGCCGTGCAAAAAGCACGCTCCGTGCTCCGCGCACAGGGCTACACAGGTCCCGTCGTCACAGTCGATACCTTCTCCGTCCTACTCGACCACCCGGAACTGTGCCATGTCTCTGACTACTGCGCTGCGAACTGCCACGCTTTCTTCGATGCTACGCAACGTCCTGCTGGGGCCGGTGCGTATGCGCTCGAGCAGGCGCGTAGTATCTCCGAGAGAGCGGGCGGGAAGCGGACTATGATTACGGAGTCTGGGTGGCCGCATGATGGGGATGCGAATGGGGGTGCTGTTCCTTCAGTGGATAATCAGCAGGCGGCTATTGCGAGTTTGAGGAAGAGTTTTAATCATCGGAGGGAGGATTTGGTGCTTTTTACTGCTTTTGATGATCTTTGGAAGGATGATAATATGTATACCTTCAATGCAGAAAAGTTTTGGGGGATTCATGGGGGTTTGTAGAGCGAGAGCTCTAGTGGTGGTTCTTTTCTTCCTTTTGCCCCAGTCATGTTAGGGCTTCGGCTGACCTTTGCTCTTTTGGGGTTCGATACAATTGTTCGTGTACATACATTACTCTTACAATAGCGTGGCAGCCGAATGACGAAGAACGATGCATTAACATGAAGCTTGATATGGTTTCGCTGATGATACTTATACATGATAGTCCAGACACTGTACATTAAAAGCAACCTGCCCAAAAGAACAGAAGAGCTCAGCGGTGGAAAGTCCGAGTAGCCTGAAGTTGCTTCGCCTCTTCCTCTGAACGCGCCTCGATCTGATCCATCCAGCCATCCTTACGAGTAAGCTCATCGAATGCCTCCTTGTTAGACGGCAAATCCCAGAAGAAATCCTTCCCATCCGGGGATTTCCGATGAGCCTCCAAGTCCCGGGCATGGCGAATGATAAGTCCGGTCAACATACCGCGGGATTTGCTACTCGGGTTGATGCCCAGCTGGTTCATCTCGCGCAGGATCGATATCACAGCGGGAAGATCCTTGCACACTCGCCAGTGGTAGTGGATCAATTCATCGTACAAGCCCGATGAAGCACCGAGGAAAGTAGAGACACGGCCGTACTCTTTGATCGTTGAGCGGAATTGGGGGATGAGGGGGGATTCGCGGAAGTGGGTGTTCAGCAGGCGGAAGGCGATCAGAAGGGTCTTAGGGTAAAGAGCTACTACGACGGGGGCGACTGGAACGACGGCTGGGACTCGGAGGGGTCCTGATGGTTGGGTGGGTGGTTCGGGCTGGTCTGTTGTGCTCAGACGGTCCGGGTCTGAAGCCTCCACGAGAGATTTCTCGTCCAGGTGGCGAAGCATAGAGAAGATGCGCTCTTTGCATACCTCCCACACACCCATGTCGCCCTTGCCATCCTCGATGGCTTGGAAAAGTGCGAATTCGATGTGCTCTGATTCCGCTTTGACGACGATCTCAATTGCCCTCCGCAGGCTGACGGTTACTTCGGCAGCGCTCGCTGTGGCGGGCTCGGTATAGCCCAGATCACGGAGATTGATTCGCTTTGGACCTTGGTTCTCCGTTGAGACTTGTTCTTCCGTTTCTGACTTATCTGGTCTTCGATAAGAAGAATAGTCATCCTTCGCTTGCTGCTTAGCTTTCAAAGCCGCCTTCTTTGCCCTTGGGTCTTTTAGCAGATTGTCAAACACCGACACGAGCTCGGCCATTTCCGCCTTCTTCTCCTCGCTCAGTGGTTTCAATGAGCTCGACTCGGTAGTTTCCCCATCGTGCTTGAATCCAAGCTGCTCTAGGAGTCCTCCAAATACCAATTTCTCCTGGGTTGTGATCTTCGGTGCTATCTTCGTTGTCTTCTTCACCACAGATGGTCTGAGGCTAGGCCTTTCAGTGACAGATGCTGCTCGTTTCTGCAGATAGCTTCGTCGCGGTTTCGGGGCTGCCTCACTCGTTGAGCTGGAGGTAATTGACTGTTCAGAAGTATTCTGACTTGTGTTATTCTCCGCTAATGATTTGTTCTCCGTCGCATCATTGGCCTCGGTATTGTTCTGGGTAGAAAAAGAGCGCGGAAAGCGGCGATTGAATTGTTTTCGGGCCGCGGATGAGAGTGGCGTAAGTGTTCTAGTGTGATATAGGAAAGGAGCTGTAGAATTGCTTCTTGAGAGGAAGCATAGCCGGTTGATATTTGTCGCCATTGCTGAGTCGTTAGGTCTGCACTTGCGCAGCCTTGTTCGTGCACTTCTCAGAGTAAATCCAACCTGGAGTAAATCTTACTTCTTCTCTTCCACCTTTTCAAACTTTGCAACTTCAATCCAAAAAAAAAAAAAACAACAAGAAGATTACGTTCTCTTTTTTTTTACAGCACGGACTAATCGGCGATCAACTTTCCGCAAAGTCACATGATGTCGTGTATCGGGTCCACGCGTTTCGCCGAGGACGTGCCTCGCACCCCCGAGGCGCAAACTGCATACGAACCAAGTACACCCGAGAACCCCGAAACCAACATGAAAAGTGAACTGTCGGACTTTGAACAGCAGCGTTTGGCAAACATTGCCGAGCGCGATGCGCTGTTGAAGAAACTTACCCTCGAGTCGCAATCCTCGGGACTGTTCGCAAGCCCTAAGACTCCCGGCAGCAATGGCACGAAACCGAAAAAGCGCCCGGCTCCTAAAGTGAAGACCGAGGAAGATACCACGCCCCGGCGTACATCCTCGCGGCTCAAGGGAATTGCGGCCGAAAGTGAAGTAGCGAAGCGCAAGGCCGACGACGAGTATGAGGCGATGCGCGAAGCGGATAGAATCAAGAGGATGCGCCGGACAGACTCGTTCAGTCAAGCGGATATGTTTGTTTCGGGCCAAAAGCTTAGTGCGGATAGCCTGATCGCCGTGGATGTTATCACCAAGGGTGTTGCGAAGCCCTATGAGAGGACCTTTGGGGACGATGAAATTGAGAAGACGACGGACAAAGACCTAAAGGCCCTTCGGGAGGAGATGAATGGGCTTCAATTGTGGGAATCTTGGGACCCTCAGCGTAATAACTATACTCTCCATATCGACAAGCTACCATTCTAACGGATTTTGATCATTACAGGGATCAAGATTACCCCAGAGCGTGTGTACAGTATGGCTTTTCACCCGTCCGAATCCAAACCTCTTATATTCGCAGGCGACAAACTGGGCCATCTGGGCATGTTGGACGCTTCGCAGGAAAAGCCCCTGGCAGGCGAGGACGATGACGAAGATGAGGACGACCCAGATCCAGTACTCACCACATTGAAGCCACATACCCGGACCATTAGTGCAATGATGGTCAACCCCTCAAAGCCGACGCATTTGTACACTGCAAGTTACGACAGTTCGATTAGATCACTGGACTTGGAGAAAATGGTCTCTTCAGAGACCTATGCTCCCGAGTCCACTAACATTGACGAGGCGCTTTCCGGAGTAGACATGTCCCCAGATGACCCTAACACCTTGTACTGGACTACACTCCAAGGTGGATTCGGACGATATGACACGCGAACGCCGCGGAAAGACAGCAATGTGTCGAACTGGGATCTTTCTGAGAAGAAGATCGGGGGCTTCACACTGTGTCCCTCCCAGCCGCACTACTTCGCCACGGCAAGTCTGGATCGATTCCTGAGATTGTGGGATCTGCGCAAGCTCTCGCCTAAAAGTCCTACCCCTGTTGCTGAGCATGAAAGCCGGCTCTCGGTTTCTCACGCAGCTTTCAATGCTGCTGGGCAGATTGCTACTTCGTCCTACGATGACACATTGAAGATATACGATGTGGGCGCGAAGGGCTTCTCTTCGTGGAAGCAGGGCCATAAGCTTTCAGAAAAGGAGTTTACCCCGGACACTGTTGTCCGACACAACTGCCAGACTGGCCGCTGGGTTACTATGTATGATTGTTCCTTTCTGTGTCCCTTTTGGTTTTGCCAAAGTACCAAGCCCTAACTTTGTTCTTATAGTCTCCGCCCCCAATGGCAAGTGAACCCACAATCTCCCATCCAGCGCTTCTGTGTCGGCAACATGAACCGCTTCGTCGACATTTACAGCAGCAGTGGGGATCAGCTCGCCCAGCTGGGTGGTGATGGTATCACCGCTGTTCCTGCTGTGGCTGTGTTCCATCGTAGCAAGAACTGGGTTGCTGGTGGCACCGCTAGTGGGAAGCTCTGCTTATGGAAGTGATATGTATTCTTCGCTCATCTCTTTATGTTGTTTCTTCGAGCATGTGGCTGTACAGCTACTTTCCTAATTGTTTTGAGATGTGTTTTGATCTTCCTTCGAAGACTCGGTGTTGTAGGAGGGGTGTTGCCTGGGGTTCTGTTTATCCCTTGCTGTCTTGTCATGACCAAAGGCTACATATTTGATATTTGTTCCGATCTGATGTACAGAGGTATTCAACGAACAGCATTTATGTTGATATTTCTATCTAATAACAGAGTCACCAGCATGGCAAAAACGAAAACATCAATCCATTCCATCTATTGGAAGAATATAAAAAGAGTAAAAGGTATTTACACGATGGCCACCATCTCCAAAGGAAATCCAAACACACAAGAGAAAGACCCAAATGATTCCTCAGAACGACCAAAAAGAGAAAAGCACAAGAGCCCCAGCCAAGTTCAAAAATCAGATCGTGTTCTTTTTTTCCTTCCCAAAAATCCAGATCCTTACTTTTTTCCAGCTCTCTTTGGTTTTATCTTAGAGCTGGGCTGGGGGGAGATGTGTATAAGGGAGGGCGGGACCATGAAACACACAATCAAAAGAAGGAATGGGTATCAACACCATGACACATGCTTTAGAGGAGAACATAGACATATAGATGATCAAGCAGAACGGAACTCGAGGAGGCAAGATGGAAAAGGGGAGTAGAGAGAGAGAAGGAGAGAAAAGAGGAACGTTGAAATCATGAGCACATGGGAAAGAGATAGGGCGAGGAAGAACAAAGTCAAAAACTTGTAAGAAGGAAAGGAGATTGCATGGGCAGACATTGGTGCATTAAGATTCATTGCGTAGATCCTCGTGAGAGTGGTTTTGAGCCTGGTCACGTTCCTTGGCCTTGCGTCGGGAGGGAGCAGGAACAAAGTCGAAGAAGCGGTACTTGCTCGAAGAGGACTCTTTCGTGACGCTGGCCCTGCGTGCCTTGGAGGACTCGGAGAACTCGAGCGAGTAGGTCGAGGAGTTCTTCGAGCTTCCGGTGCTGTCGCGTGGGTCAGACCAACGTGGGATGGAAAATGGAATGCGGCTTTGGTCCCAGGTCGCCGATGACGAGCTTGGAGGCGTGTCATCCTCGGCATCGGGGACGTGGTCAGTGGACCGGCGGGGAATTGCAGGACGCGTAGCAAAGTGGCCAGTCGAATTGCGATGGCTGCCTGGGGCCGATGCAGTACCAGTTGACGTTTCTGGCGCCGGGGTGCTGGGTTTGCTTGAGCTTTCGTCGTAGAAGGTTACGGGTCGCTCCATCGAATCCACCAGTGCTTCCCATTTGATCTCAAGGTTTCCACTTGGCCGCTCTGCTTGCTCGGCTCGTTTGAGACACTCCTCAGTGCGTGCCCGCAGGCGAAGGGCTTCTTTCTGGAACTTAGAAAGGTTGACGTCCAGCTCGGTCAATTCGTTGAGTCGTTCCGGGGAGACATCAAGCCAGACACGTATCAAGTTCGCGAAGGAGCGGGCATAGTCGATGAGGAATGGAAGGCTAGGGAATCCCTCACGCGATGTGGGAGGCAACCGCCCAAGTATTTGGATAGGTGTGGTGTAGGAGGGTGTGACAATAGGGACTGGTCGATCGGCGGGAATCGCACAAACCGAATCAACAAAGTCTTTGAATTCCGAGCGATGACCGACGAGGAATTTGTTCATCGGTTCCATCCAAGGTTCTTTATTGCCGAATGTTGTCATATTGGCCAGACCCTGCAAAGCTTTGGCAATGAGGGTCAAAGTGCGCTGTGCACGAGGACGAGGGTGATCTGGAGGTGGTTAGCAAAAAGAAAAACAACGGTACGGGCGTAGTTCCATACCTTTCAAGAGCCCGAAAAGCTTCGGATTCAGAATAGCCGGGCAGAAGAAGCGCAGGAACAGGAAACCAGAGACACTACTGTACGTCACAGACCGGAGGAAGTCACCATAGCGATCGTCTGCACACGCCCTGACATGCCGGAAGATGCGTCGCAGTTCTGGGGGACACCTCGATGCAGATCCCGCAATGGATTTCCACACGCTTGTGGTGAGAGCTGTAAGGTTTCGCCAGTTGCGATCAAGATCCTCGTGGCGTGAAACTCGAGACGGATCGACTTCGCATTCGGGATCACTCTCATCAATATCACGTAGTCGTTCCGCGATAGTATCCTCCAAGTACTGCTTGCCCAGACGACGCATGTGAAGATCGAGGGCCTTGGTTAGAAGGGAGTTTCCACGGAACAAGAGATTAGCCTCCACAGTGGCCGTCCTTCCCATGTCTCTGACAAGGACCTCGCGCTCTTGGCTAGTCTCCTGTGAGTTATTTGAATGAATCCTTGTTGTATACCTCAGCCGGTTGGTGGTGGATTCTTTGTGAACCCCATCGATTTCATCTTCAACCAAGGCTGAGATCCATTCCACCGTTGACCCCGAAACCTGGTAAATATTCAGAAGCATCTCGGCCAGGTGATTTAGTTCCGATGACATTAGTTGTGCCATGTTGATAGTGAGGCCATTGGTGAAGGAGTGGAGAAGTTCCGACATCGCCGAGTACTCGTCGGACATCAAGACGACGGTTTCCTCCATCCGGGCTCTCATGAACATCTCGCCAATTGCCTGGTCTTGGTTATCCAGGATAGGCCACCACTTTTCGATATCCACGCCAGCATCCAGTTCTTCAAGTCGCAGGTCTACCCGTCCGAAGATGATATCATTTGCAGAAATTTCGATCTCATCCAGCATGTTCACAGCACTCACGTCTTGGTTGGGTGCGTATGTTCCATGGGCGATAAGTGTCCAGTCCCTCTGTGTCGGGTTGAGAGTTTTGACAAGGATAGAGGCTTGAGATAGCACCGGCGGCAGATCAGTGAAGAGGAAATCTTCTCGCCAGAAAGGATTCATGGTGCGATACTTGACAGCAGTCTTGCCACGAATCTCCCCATCTAGGAGCACCTCTGTGTAATAGTCGCTGGCCTTCGAGGTTGGAACAGGCTGGCCATGTGATCTTGATGCCTTTCGGCTTCGGGGAGTGTCCTCCTCTTTGGTGCGAAACAGCTTCGCCTCCACAATTTTCAAGCTTAAGAATCGTTCAATCCGGAACATGTCTTTTGTCACGGGTGGTTCGGTGGCCTCGGCTTCTGGTGTTTTATTGGGATCCTCTCCCTGAGACACAGGACCATAAAGCTCTGGGATTGTGAATGCGCGGAGAAGCACAAACCAGACCTCAAAGAGAACACGGCTTTCAAGAGCGAGGTATATAGGCCGCACATTGGAATCGGGTACTGGGTGTGCCGTATATTGAGGGTAGATGGCAATGCAAAACTCATCATCCAACACCGAGGGGTTCAGCTGCTGAATAGCGCAGCGCGATAATTGAGACAACTGCACACATGCTAGGAGACCCACGTCGGACTCTGTGAAGAGCTTGAAAAAGCCGTTTTCTTGTAGTGTGCAGCTCACCTTCTGCCATGAGGAAGAAAGAGCCCTTGACTGTCTGTACGTGGACACGCGGCGTCCGGACACCGGCATTGCACCGGAAGCAGACGGCTTATCCCATAGAAGCATCTTGCCAACTTTGATGATAGTTGCATCCTTTTGTGCTGCGCTTTCCGAGTTGCGTCGACGTTCGGGGATCCGTCGGTCTCCAATCACAACCTCTTGAGGCTTTGTCATCTTGTTCTGAACACCCTTGGGCCGAATTGGTTGCCAACAAAGTAGAGCTGCAAGCCAGGAATCGAAGGTTTCGTTCACGTGAGGTCGTAGTTGTATCCCAAGCCCAGACGTAAATGTGTGAACGCTCAGATAGGTGCATTGGAGCTCAGGGTCCCACAATGTCCGAACTCGACAACCACGTAGATCGGGGATCAATGTTTTGGCCAATGCCGGCTCTCCCTTGGCTTGGTAAATGAGACTTCCAGTCGCGACGTTGATAGCGCAGTATCCGGATGTCCAGGAAGTAGTCGAGGCCGTTCGAAAAGATAGGATTCCATGCATCCTACCACAGGTAGTCTTCATCAACTGGAGGATCTTTGTGGCTTCCGCACCCGAGAGGGGGAGGCAAACGAATCTTGATTTTGCGCTCCACCGGCGACCAGACCGGCAGCTTTGCTCATTCGAAGGCGAGGGATGGTCTGGCTGCTGTACTTTGGAGACTCGATCGACGGAAAACCGATGGAAGATGACGGATCTTCAGGCAATTTCGGTTGAGACGGACTGGCCGTATTAATTGACCCAACCCGCGTTCGACTTTTGAAGGTGTTCGGGGTGATGTCGTTGCGTTGCTCCTCAGCCGCCGTTGTCCGCGATCGCGCCCGTTGACTCCTTGCTTCCACCTGAGGATCGTCTTCGCCTGCTCCAGATGAGTTTTTGTTGAAATCCCGACGACGGTCGGGTTCGGTGGGCCGTGATCGCACGGTATTTCGAGGTGAAGACAGAGCGCCACCTGTGAGGGGCTCCGGTTCGGATAAGGGGGAATGGTTGGCGGGGGAGTGCGACTCTGGCGTCACAGTTCGAATGGTAGTTTCTCGGAAACTGTCGGGATAGACCATACCATGCCGATCCCTAGATGAAGACTTCTTGCTTGCACGCCGTTCCACTGGACGACTGTATAACGCTTGGTGCATCGAGCTCCGCTTGAACGCGTTCGGATTCTCGGGCTCCATCTCGTTTGGTTATAGACAGCCCCTTCGACAGGCGATTGTACACAAAACGAAAATGAAACCCGTCAATGTGCGAGGAAAGGAGAGACAGGTTCACTCCTTAATCGCGCCCAACACAACCTCCCTCAAAACAATCGGTGAAAGAAGACCTTGTTGGCACCCAACGTATGCGGCACGGCTGCGCTTGTATAACTGGGGGTCGCTTTTGTCCAGGAAATTGTTATGAGACCACATGGAGTCCGGTGAGAGGTTGGGTATTGGGGTCGCACATTCGGTCGAGGCGCCGGAAGAGGGGAAGCAATGGGAGACCAGGACAAAGGAGGCGCGGGTCACCGTCGTTTGTCTGAGAGATGCAGGAGAGCCTAGCGAATACGGTGAGCGTCCAATCCTCCGGCCAGTCGATAGCGATAGTGTCGCTGTTAGTGTCAGTGATGGGTCTGAAGAAGCGACCTGGGGGAAATTGGTAGTTGGGAAGGGCGTGATATCATTATTATTGGAGGAGGGGAGGGGTATGTGGGCTAGGGTATAGGGAATAAAGAAATGCGCACATACCTTCATCAGTCCCTTTTGAAATTGGGAGGTTTCGATTATGCTCTCTATGAGAGGTGTTTGTGTGTGGGTATATGTGTTTTCGCGGATTCCAGCAAATGTAGGCCGCTTTGGGATGGGGGCAGAATGAGGGGGAAGGGCTTCAAAGAAAATTATTTCCCAGAAATGAAGAATCAAGTTGAAATTGCAACGGGAAAATCCGGTGAAGATCGCCAAAAGACAGAGGAAGAGAGAGAGATGAGAGAGAGAGAGAGGGGAGGGGGGAGGGGAGAGAAAGAAGTGGATAGCGGAGCTGAGTTTGTATAGGGGAAAAATAACGAAATAATGAGGAATCGCAACACTTTCTACGGAGTAGTCCTTTTTCACCTGTCTTGGTCTCTTGAGCTTTCTTTGAGTTCTACAAATGGCTATATCTCTTCACTTTATACTCCCTTCATGCTTTAGGCTACCTCGATGACAGCGCAACATAGACGGGATCACCACGTTCTATACACGACATACATCCTAATCATCCCCAGAGCAAGTGAGATTAGACTATTTACCTAGATACTCCGTATGTGTAGATCCAAATCCAAGCATTTTAGCTTTCAGCCTTTAACCGAAGATACCGAGTCTATATAGTACAATCGCCGGGGCAAGGGAAGAGGTAGATAGCGGGTTTAAGCTGGACTTGGGCTGGACTTGAGACCTAAGATCAATAGCTTTCCCCGACTCACTAGCGTGCATGTTTCCACTTCCATCCGGATTCCCGATTGTCCTAAACTGCCGAGAGATTTTCTAGAAGTCGAGATAAGTGCATGGCGTCTTTTTCCTGACTTGCACTGGCTAACAGACTACCGGGCTAATGGAAATGGGGCCACTAACTTGAGTCATGAGCATTATGCTTGCCCACCTAAGATATCAATCCCTTTTTGGCTGTGCATTGTAGTCGTATATTATATGTATTCCTCCAGGGCCCCTGACGATTTCCACCTACATTGCAGTTACTTACATCCATACAGAATTGTTTCCATATGGCCTGCTCTCTGCAATATGCAAAAATCCCAACGTGGTGTCCGGGGCGCAGATCCATCCTAGTCCTGACTAGAAGTGGGTACAGAGTACAGGATGCACCTGGGCAAACACTGACGGGAGTACTCCGTAGGTGCCTATGATTTACTCTATACGATGTAATAGTCGAGAAGTCTCTCACTAAAACAGGTTGAGGGAAATCCCCGAAAGTGGAGCCACTTGTCTGTACAAAATTGTAGCGTTTAGGAAATGGGATCTTCAGCCGGGATTACTAAAGTCACACAGGATGCAGTTCAGATTAATAGATTAAGCCATGGAGGGATGATGGGTATGAACATGTACGCACACTTGATTTGAAGAAACACAAAATAAGAAAGGATCAATATAATACAGCAAGGTAGCAATAATAACAGCACGAAGTCGCAATTTCAAACTGCACTCACGTCTACTCCATACGGGTACGTACCCATATTCCAACCTTGGGAGGTCCACTGGTTGCCACACAGATTGTAACAGGTCACATGACAGTATAAGTGCTTAGTCAACGTTTTGGCCTGCCAGCCCTGGAGTCTCCCTGTTTTATGAGTGAACCTGCTCAGCTGGGTCAATGGGTGAGAAGAAATGAAGAACATATAGGTAGTAATACTCTCGTTATACCCGTGGACGCATTTATAGCCACCCTAAATGGGGGGGCCATCCTTATCAGCTGGAGATAAGATAAGGTCGATCAGAACTTAGTCACGTGACACATGTGGGCTGCCATCATGCACATGACTTTCAGTTACCTGCCTGAGGCGCCAAGTCTGTTTCCCCCCTTCTTTATGTCATCATAGCTATCGGGAGGTCTGGGGATCACAGCTCCTGGTGACTGTTATCACGAGGACTAGGTCAGATGCATACTTCTTTATAAGCTGGTACCATCACCTTAATCAGGGCACATACCCATTTTCAGCCCGATAACATTCAGCCTGCTGTATTGATACTGATCCCCATTTCTCCGCATTATCAAGCGCCGCTGGATGGCATTTTATCACCACCATCACTGGCTTCTGAAGCTGTTGCCATGAATGGTCTGACTATAGCCTTTAGTCTGATCCAGAATGATGTCCTCTAACATATTATCACGGTTCCTACCCCCAACGGGCTCACCATCGGTCTACGAGACCATTCGCCAACATGACGCCGGGTCTGAATACTCCGATCTCGAAGAACGTGCAGGCTTGGTCATAGAAGACCAGCAGGAACAATTTAGTGACCGGGAACTGGAGGATGCACTAGCGGATGCGCAGGACAGTGAAATAATCAGCCCCATACTCGAAGCACGGTCGGGCAAGGCACCTGAAGAGCGAGCTTCTCCATCTGGCACCCGCCGTCGCAAGTCGTCCCGGCCTCGATGGATGGCACAAGAATCACCACTCGGCTATGAGCTCGATGATCATGATGAAGATGTCCCTCAATCTCTGCTGGTAGAAGGCCATCACGAAGATCTGAAATCACGGTTACCTCCTCCTCCCCGGTCTCATGATCGTTCGGATCGTCGAAGAACCCCCAGTCCTGGACCATCCTCACAACCTACCGTAACCCGCTGGAATGAACGAGGAGCCCATCAACCACCACCCAGTGAAAGCGGTCATCCAATAGGGAGATGGTTCACTGGCCAACACCCTGGTCTTGCCAATGTTGACCCCAAGAAGAAAGCAATGTGGCGGTGGGCAAACGTCGAGGATCTGGATAACTTCTTAAAGGATGTCTACATATACTTCTTAGGGAACGGAATTTGGTCTATCCTGCTGACCCGGGTGCTGAACCTCTTGTAAGTTCATGATAATACCCTTTCCAAACAATCGTAGGAGAAGCTGACAGTACACATAGAACATTTGCATTCGTTGTTGGTTTCTCTACGTTTTTAACCAACTGCATTGATTACTCTAAGGTCCGGCGGAGCAAGACTCTGAATGATATCCTCGTACCCCAATGCACAGCGAATATGTCCGGGTCATCCACATTTCTGTTGTGGCTTTTCAGCTTCTTCTGGATTGGGAAGCTTTTTCAGTACCTGCTAGACATTCGCAGGCTCAAACACCTGCATGACTTCTATCTCTACCTGCTCGGCGTTTCAGATACCGAGGTCCAGACGATTTCCTGGCAAGAAGTGGTCAGCCGACTGATGGCGTTGAGAGACTCGAATCCATCTACCGCGGCGGCGGTTTCTGCCAAGCATCGAAGATTCCTGGGCAGCCAGTCAAAGCAGCGAATGGACGCTCACGACATTGCCAACCGTCTAATGCGCAAGGAGAACTACATGATCGCATTGGTAAACAAGGATATTTTGGACCTCACTCTTCCTATTCCATTCCTCAAAAATCGACAGCTCTTCTCCCGAACCATGGAATGGAATCTCAATCTTTGTGTCATGGACTATGTCTTTAATGAGCAAGGCCAACTGCGAACCCTGTTCCTCAAGGACACGCATCGAAGAGCGCTGAGTGATGGCTTACGTCGGCGCTTTATTTTCGCTGGCGTCATGAATATTTTCGTAGCGCCCTTTATTGTGGTCTATTTTATGATGCACTACTTCTTCCGGTACTTCAACGAGTTCAAGAAGAATCCGGGCCAAATCGGTTCCCGCCAATATACACCTATGGCAGAATGGAAATTCCGCGAGTTCAATGAGCTTTGGCATCTCTTTGAGCGTCGGATCAACATGTCTTATCCATTCGCCAGTCGCTATGTTGACCAATTTCCCAAGGACAAGACCGTTCAAGTGGCACGTTTCGTTGCTTTTATCTCTGGGGCTCTTGCCTCAGTGTTGGCTCTTGCCTCAGTGATAGATCCAGAACTCTTCCTTGGGTTTGAAATTACCCCTGACCGGACTGTGCTATTCTATCTTGGTATTTTTGGTACAGTCTGGGCTTTTGCGCGAGGGCTGGCACCCGAAGAGACCGATGTTTTCGACCCCGAGTATGCACTCCTCGAGCTGATCGATTTTACTCATTACTTCCCGTCCGGATGGAAGGGCCGTTTGCATAGCGACGACGTGCGGAAAGAATTCGCAATCCTCTATCAAATGAAAATTGTGATATTCTTAGAAGAGATCTTGAGCATGATTTTCACTCCTTTCGTCCTGTGGTTCAGCTTGCCCAAGTGCAGTGACCGCCTCATTGACTTCTTCCGGGAGTTCACCGTGCACGTTGACGGTGTAGGCTATCTCTGCTCTTTTGCCGTCTTCGACTTCAAGAAGGGCACAAATGTGCTCTCCCAAGCCGGACCCGCGCGCCGGGACCCTGGCAAACAGGATCTGCGCACTGATTATTTCTCAACTAAAGACGGCAAGATGCTAGCTTCCTACTATGGCTTCTTGGACAACTACGGTACCACCAATCAACCTACCAGCCGGCGACCATTCCACCCACCGCCAACCTTGCCAACCCTCGGCTCGCCCGCTGCAGCCGAGTTCGGTGCTTTTCCTGATCGCCCTGACCATCTCCAGACACGCACCGGGCCGGCCTCCGGTGTGCCATTCGGTCCTCAATCAATTATGGGCGCTTCTAAACTTAGGCAAATGGGAGGATTCGATCACCGCTCTCCTGCCCCCTCCATCCTCCTCGACCCGCACCACCAACCCTCGACCACTGGGTTCCGCGCCGCAGCCCGAACCACCCCCCATCAGCACCAGCGCTCCCGGCTCGGACGCTCCCAGCACCCGTCTACGGATACCATCGACGACGAGGAAGAACCACTATCCCAAGATGGCCATGATTCGGCAACACGGCAGTCGGGTGCTCGTACTGGTACTTCCAGTGCAGGTGCAGGCACTAACGACAGCAACCTCGGCGATTCTTGGCGCATGAACCCACTCAGCAAGGATGAGGATAATCCCGATGAGGGCGATGAAGGCGAAAATATCGACGCCATCGCTAGCGGGGGTGGTGTTTTGGGCTTAATTCAGCAATTCCAGAAAGCTAACACCCAAGGCAGACGGACAAATGTGGGGATCTAGATATCCGTTCTCCTATGCAAGTTCTAGGATGTTGGTAGGCTCAGGAAGATCGTAGCTTATATGTTTCAGACACGATATATGACCATTTGATGCGGTGCTCAGTCTCTTCTAGCGAACATTTTCATATTGCTTTATCATGCCGTTGTCTGTTATGATGTAAGGGCCGGTTATGTTGGTGGTTCTCGATAAATATAGAAATACCTACAGGATGGCCGCATGTACCCATGCACATCAGGCGCTAATATTCATCACCCATATACCTTGGGCACCTATGCGAACGCTCCTGTATATTAACTTACCTCTGTGCCCCTCCTTCCCTCCTTCCCTCCTTTCACACTATCACTATTGACGTGCCTCGTGCCTTCCTCTTCGACTTTGCCCACCGATAAACCCCGTTCATATCCACAGAAACACATATTAGCAGCTACTCTGAAACAAGATGTTCGACTTCATATACAGCTGTATCTCAGAGAGACCGGCGAAAAAGCCACATCCTCCCACCGACCCCAGATCCCCGGAGTCCATTGCCTCCGCTATTGTCACTAAGATCCTCAATGCCGACGAACCCTACTTGCTCGAAAAACAACTGAAGGAGGAATTTTCCACCGATGGTTGGACTGACGCCATAGCACAGGCCATCCTCCGCGGCTTAGAGAATGCAATCAAATCCGGTGCGGACATGGCGCGAGCTGCGTCTGATGCTGCGACCCAAAGCAGAAATGCCGCTGTCGGCTTTGCAACGGACCATCCTGTATATGCTACGCTAATTGCATTGGGGATTCTGGCCTTGTTGACGCCGTGGGCTCTGGAAATCCTTGGGTTTGCGGAGTTGGGTCCGATTGAGGGCTCGTTTGCAGCTGCATGGCAAAGAACATATGCTGGATATGTGCCTAAGAAAGCTTTGTTTGGGTATTTCCAGAGGCTGGGGATGAAATGGCATTGGATTTAGTGGTGTATCTGAATATGGTATGGTATTGCTGACGGAAGTTGGCTTTTTGTTTGTGAGTCCATGTATTGGCGGCTGGAAGTTCAAGGTTCATTCGAGCGAGGAGTCGTTTCGGACTTCCATGAAACAATCAATCTCTAGCCTAGCCTTAGTGATAAACTCCTTCTAAATGCTGTTCTTATTGAATATGTCCCGAACATACAGCTAAGACAATGTGAACATAGCCAGATACTCAAAGAAATTCATATTCGAAGTAGGTGGTTCAAAATGCACACAAATCACAAAGTACCGATCTATGCAATTGGGTTTAGCTGTCAGACCTGGACTGTTTGCAACCAGATAGACGACATAAGGGTCGGATTGGGCAAGTTCCTACAGGATGGCGGATGTATTCTATGGGATTTGGGTGAAAACCAAGCTTTAGGCGGCTTATATATACAGTCAAAGTTGGTGGGCTTTTGGATCTGATCGTCTATTCTAATATTAGCTATGTCTGTCCGTGAATTTGGTCTTCTAACCCCTTATATAGAACTTATCGATTCGTAATGCTGTATCAAGATACTTATACTTGAGAATTGTGTAACTATAAGGTATCTTTTCCGGCAAAACCGGTGTATATTAATGCTCCACTTCATACAATTGTAATACGGAGTTTTCAACGGAGTGTTATGTATCCCCGTCGGCTGCAGGCTGCAGGGGTTACTAGCATGTGGAACACACGGAGACAGGACTTTGAGATGAGCTAGTGGAAGAGTCGATTGATGATAGGCCAATTTGAAGACCCTTGCGGGTTTGCGGGTTTCATACATTTAATCCAGTCACAGTCCGGAATCCGGGGCCAATGATCGGCGTTGAAACAGCCGTGTTAATTCCCCCCTAAAAAAGATAGTGTCTGGGCTGAAATCCCCACTATGTCTTGACACCCGAGAACCGCGGTTTTTCCAGGGCATTGAGGGAATGTTGAGATCATTGAAATCATTGAAAGTGATCTCTTTATTTTTTAGACTATAGAGGTAGAGAATGGTGGATAAACACAAAGGAAGACATAGAATGAAAAGAAGCTGAAGATGTCAAAGAATCGAAAGACCAAAATAGAACGGGGAGGCTCTCGCATGTGGATCTTTTTATTTACTTGTGGAGTCTCGTGATTTCATCTGGACTTGGCTAAATCTCCTTGGTGTTTTTCTTCCTTTCTCCTTCCTTTCTTTTTTTCTCTCTCGAAGTATACAACCTGAAGGGTGACAGCTCGCGATGTTTCGAGCTCGCCGATACCGAGTTCTGGTTATATTTGCGGCGGCTGTCGTCTTTACATTCTTCCACTTTGCGAGGTCACGCGATTGGAGCTATACAGTGATTGAAAAGTCTACTGGCGTTCACTCACCCGATCCTGCCCATCCGAATCAACCCGCCACACCTAAGCCTGAAAACCCGGCCGCTGCTGCCGCCGTCGAGGAGAGTAGAAACCGTGTGCTTCCCGATTCCTACCGCGGCTCCACCTCCCCTCCACAGCCAGAGAAGATAATCTCGCCCGTGGGTCCCAATAGCGGCTCAAAGGACAGCGGCCGGTTTAAAGATGCTTCCTCCGACACTCCCCCGGTGAAAACGCCCATCAAGGGTGACCCGAAGGACTCCGCAAAGGGCTCCACGAAGGAGCCCGCGAAGGTGGGGAGCACCGACAGCTTGCCACCACCTACAACCGAGAACACCAACAGTGCAAACGGGGAGGAGATTGATCATGGAGGGGCGGGCAGAAGGGCAGCAGAGCGCCCTGAACCTGGCGTTCCAACGAGCAAGTGGAGGAAGTTCCCGGAACGGTTCCCCGTCCCTGCGGAGGAGGTGATCAAGCTGCCAAAGGAACAGTCGAAAACCATCCCTAAGCTGCAAGCGAAGTTCAAGGATGAGTCGAGCTCCGACAAGCAAGAGCGTCTACAACGGCTTAGCGCTATCAAGGCCGAGTTCACGCATGCCTGGCAAGGTTATAAAAAGATCGCGATGGGTCATGACGAAGTCAAGCCTCTGTCGAAGGAGTTTGAAGATCCATTCAATGGTTGGGGAGCGACATTGGTCGATTCCATCGATACTCTCTGGATTATGCAATTGAAGGATGAATTCTCCGAGGCTTTGGATGCGATCAAAAACATCGATTTCAAAACATCACTGAGAGCAGATATTCCAATGTTTGAGACAACCATCCGCTATCTTGGAGGTCTTTTGGGTGCCTATGACATTTCTGGTCATCGATACCCGGTGCTTTTGGAGAAAGCAGAGGAGCTTGCTGAGGTTCTCATTGGTGCCTTTGACACACCCAACCGCATGCCACACCTTTACTATCGCTGGGCACCGTAAGTCTTGCCACATATCTCTGATAATCCGTGGGTGACAACTAATGAATTTTTCTCAGAGAGTTTGCTGCGAAAGCGCATCGGGCGTCTTCCCGAGCTGGCCTGGCTGAAATTGGGTCGCTTTCCTTGGAATTTACCCGTTTGGCTCAATTGACCAAGCGGGACAAATATTATGATGCGATTGCACGGATTACCAACGAATTGGAGAAAATCCAAGATTCAACTAGCATCCCTGGACTGTGGCCTCTACGGGTCAATGCACAGGGATGTTCCAAGTACTACTCCAAGAACACACCTCCGCGTGATAGCAGCCCTACGCGCGAGCAGAACCCTGCTAGTACGACCAAGAGCACTACTACTACGACCCGCAAGACCTATGCAGCACCGACAGACCTTGAGAGTTATTTGAAGCTGATCCCACGGGACATAAACGCTGACATTGAAGGACATGCCCAACCTGCCAATGATACGCGAGCTGCGAGTGAACCTGGCATTCAGGCACGCGAGCAAAATATACTCTCAGCAGATCAATGCAATGGCGGTTTGAGACTTCCCAATTCACCCCGCGATAACGGGTACACCCTGGGGGGAATGGCTGACTCGACCTACGAATACCTGCCCAAGGAATACCTGCTACTGGGTGGCCTGAACGAGCAATACCTGAATATGTATAAAAAGGCAGCCACTGCAGCCCGCAAGAATCTTCTCTTCCAGCCCATGGTGAAAGGTGGACGTGATATCCGGTTCATGGCCTCAACTACTCCAATGACACCTGGAAAGATCGCAGAGCTCACTCCCACCGATCTTGAATACGAAGGCACTCACTTGACATGTTTCGTCGGCGGCATGTTCGCCATAGGCGCCAAGGCATTTGGCATCGATGGTGATCTGGAACTTGCGGCCAAACTGACCGACGGTTGTGTTTGGGCTTACGAGTCGACACAGACAGGAGTGATGCCTGAACGCTTCCGCCTTTTGCCCTGTGAGAAAGGCTCGGCCTGCGAGTGGGATCAAGCCCGCTTTGAGGCTGGCGTTGCACGCTACTCGCGCGTAGACCCCGGGGCAGGACATTCGTTCCGCAATGGAGAGAGCAGCTACGAACAGCGCGTGAACTTGATTGCGCACGATCCGCCGCAAGGATCCGCGAGTGGGTCGGTTCCCATCCCCATGCCGGGCTCATTAAACCCCCATGATAGCGATGTTTTGATCAAGCGCGATGAACTCGCATTAGGAAATCGCGCTGAAGCATCGTCTGTTGCTTCAATACCGACTCCTACTCCCAGTGGGACTGAGCTGCAGAACCGAGATGCACCTCGCTCATCTTCATCGCCCACTTCGCCTCACCTCGCCGAAGTCGGCAAAGACCACCTCCCAGCAGGCATGATTAGTATCCCGTCGCCGAACTATTATCTTCGGCCCGAGGCGATCGAGTCTGTATTTATCATGTACCGTCTCACTGGCGACGAATCCTGGCGTCGCAAGGGGTGGCAGATGTTCGAGGCCATCTCGAAGTATACCCGAACGGAGCTGGCCAACTCGGCCATCCACGATGTCACAGCCCAGAAACCCATCCATAAGGATACGATGGAGTCTTTCTGGCTATCTGAGACATTGAAGTATTTCTACCTTTTGTTCAGCGACCCTACTGTCGTGGACTTGGATAAATACGTTCTGTAAGTGATTGACGTAGCCCTGTAAACAACACTGGACCAATAACTAACTTTCACAGGAATACCGAAGCGCATCCATTCCTGCGCCCCGTTGCATAATTGTGTTTTGCATTTTGATACCAATGAAAGTTCTTTCTTCTATAACACGTACATAATTCCTATGAACCTCGCAGTAATGTAGTGTGTACCTTAGGGTTGACCCGCAGTGGGACTCTCGAATTCCCCCCAATCCCCCGCCCTTCAACTCTCTCCAACTCTTCAAACCGGCACATAAACCGGCATGAGCTGTCTGACGGGAAATGGAGTCTGAGGTCTCGGAGACTGAGTTCTGGACGGGTACGTTGTTCTCCGATTTTTTTTTTCTCCATTCAAGATAATGCGACATAACAATTGACCGGTTCTCGCAGAACTTCAAACGATCGTCTCCAAGCCCTGTGACTCCGAAGACCAGATCGACGACGCCCTCCGATCTTATCTCAGTCTAACAACTCAACACAAAGGTAAACGGCACCTCGAACTCCGAGAATCGATGTCTCTACCCCGACACACACTCCCACGAGCAGCGCCACGTGCGCCCCCAACTTTGCCTCCACTGCGACTAACACACCCTTCCCTAGATGAATACCTCCGATCGGAAACCGATATCTCGCGTTGTTCCTACAAGCTATTCACGTCGAGTATCTTCGCCACACATGCAGACTACGTGCGACGACAAATTCTGTACGGTCTTTTGCAGGACGATGACCCGAATACCCTCCACTTCATTGCGTCATTCATACTCTTTGACGGACGACAAAATGAAGTTGTGCTTCAGATGCTGAATGAGGAGGGCGCATTTGCGCGTCTCCTCGAGCTTATACAGGCGATGCGGAGGGCGGATCTGGACGGCGACGCGGGTCTTCATCGCTTGTTGATGGACCTTGTGTATGAGATGTCGAGGATACAAAGGGTCAAAATTGAAGACTTGGGTGCGTTTTGGATACACATGTGCTGCTGCTGGTAGCTGATTATGGGGCTTGTGTGCAGTTCTCGTGGATGACGATTTCATTCGCTGTCTCTTTGATATCATCGAAGATCTCTCTTACGATGTTACCGATCCGTATCATTACCCCGTGATTCGGGTGCTGGTGAGTACTCACTTCAGACTCATTTCGGTTGGAATGGGATTGACAATCTCCACAGCTGGTTCTGAACGAGCAGTTCATGATCTCGGCTCACGATCCGGTAGACGGCCGGCCCTCTGGTCACTTGACCAACAAGGTTATCAAGGTCCTATCCGTGTATGGTGGGATGTATAAGACATTCGGGGAGAACATCATTCTTCTTATCAACCGTGAAGGTAATGGATGATCCTCCTGTTCAATAAAATAGATGACTGACAACATGCAGCCGAGACGTCCCTTCAGTTGCTCACATTGAAGCTTCTCTACCTCATATTTACCACCCCTAGCACATATGAGTATTTCTTCACGAACGATCTGCATGTTCTAGTCGATATATTGATCCGGAATTTGCTGGATCTACCCGAGGAGGCCTCCGCGCTGCGGCATACTTACCTGCGCGTTCTTTACCCTCTTCTAGCTCATACTCAGCTACGAAACCCGCCGCACTACAAGCGTGATGGACTTCGAAGGCTACTCAGCGTTCTTGTTCGGGGGCAAGTCTCATATGGGAGCGACCCAGAACACGAGAAAATCCTACATTTCGAAGAGGTCGATGAAACGACACGTCGACTTGTCGCTCGGTGCGCGACAGTGGATTGGCTGCGAAATGCCGAACAGCCCGACGCAGCAGAAACGCAAGACACTCCCATTCAAGTGACAGTAACTACGATTGAGACTGTCCTGGATCAAGCCGAGCAGCATGCGTCACCCGTAGATATCGGCGAACCACTCGACGTCACTCGCACACTCTCGCGAGCAAGCACAATCGCGAGCTCGCCTGATACAACATCACCAACACGAATGGACTCGTATAGTTCATCTAACACACCAGGGAGTCGGAAACACAGCTTATTCCACCGGCTCGGCATGAACCTAGAGCCCGCATCCGCATCTTCACTGAGCGTTCAGGCCGTTGCAGCACAGCACGAAAAACCAGGCATAATAACTCCCAGCCGAAAGGATGGAGTCCCTGTCGCGGCTCTCAGTGACGAGACGCCAATAATCCGACCACCAAAAGTGAAACCAGAACCACCGAAATCTCGCCGCTGGCGCGGGCGCCGTCTGGCCGTGGACGAAGAAGAGCACCACTCTGCAGGCACAAGCAGCGACGGCAACACCATCCCCGAAGGCATCGAAGTCAGTCCTACCACCGTTTTCACCCCCAGCACACCACCGTCACAGGAACATTCCAGTGATCGCCGCGACTCCGGGTCAGGTTCCACTCTTGTACCCCCAGGTCCACGGCCGCGGCGGGCCGTATCAACTCCACCCCCTGCCCTCCCGCCACCGCGCCGTTCCAGCCATAACACACCTTCCTCAAGTCACCACCGGCCCCTAGTTCCAGCAACCGGAGCAGGCCGACATGGACAGGCTCCACTTCCGCCAAAAGCACGCCGTTGGGGACGTGGTAAGCCCCAGCACGGACAGAGTGACTCGATGGAGAGCGGGGCCAGCAGTGTTAGTCCATCGAAGGAGCCTGAGGCTTCTGAAAACACCCCCGTGTCTGCTCAGCAGGACCAGTCACCCGAGGGCAATACTGTTTCAGATCCGTTCTCGCCGAAGTCCCCCACAATGTTGATGTCGCCGTCTGAGATTACTGCAGACAAGGCAGATGTCCCAGCCGATGGTGCTGGCGATGACCATGCGCCTCTCAGTGTAGAGGAGGCTGTGCAGAATGTCTCTCTGCATTGAGCGTCGCTTCTCGCTCTGTTTAATTCCCTTTCTTTTCTTGATTAGATATACTCTTTGATCGTGGCTCATTTTCAGGGGTTTTTTTTGGCATCAAGCGTGGCTGTTCGGGTGAACAGGTTGGGACATGATAGGTTATGTCTCTAGTTATTTTGCATGACATGAATATTTGTGAGGACACCAGGACTGGATCCTAGAATAACAAAATAGAGTATTTTCGTTGACAAGAATGGAGTAGTTTACAATAATAAAACAGTTTAGAATAAAAGTACAAATCCATCTACCACCGAGCAAAGCCTGCTTCATTTAACTTCCCTCGACGACCTCGACCGAGTATAGGCTGGGCATTGATACCAAAAATGAAAGAGGCTCATTCAAAAATCACCTCAAATCTTCAATCCCCAGCTTCGCCCAAGCCCAATAGCAGTATTCCACCCAAACCCAGCACATTGTCCAATGCCAGTAAGTTTATCAGCAAGCATTTTCCGATCCTCAAACCGGCGCTCCACGAACGCAGCCGTCTCCACAAGATCCGGCGTCGGGTCACGGGTCATGACAACCTCAGCACTGGCATAGATAGCCGACACCGCGAGACGGCGTGTGTACCAAGTCGCATCAACAGCGTCATCACCAGAAAGAGTAAGGATATCTGAGGCGAGAGCATGTAGTTCCGTAAGAGAGATGGGGATATTAGCAAGAAGCGACATTTGCGCGAGAGCCTAGTAAGACATAGATTAGCATTGGAATTGCTCAACACAATCATGTCCTCTAAAGAAAAGAAAAAAACTCACATCCTGCCAAACATCCTTAACCTCCACATTCATCCTCAACCTCTCCAAAATCAATCCCTTAACCCTCTCCTCAACATCAAGCTCATGAACATCCTTCCCCTTCTCCGCCGCAATGCGCCGGAACAACCCGCCCTCCTCGACCTTACCACGCAGCAGACCCCGTCGACTAGCAAGCCAGAAGAGGATGAGGTCGAATTCACCGCGCGGGAGTAGCTGCACCGAGACGTCGAGGAAGCCGGCGTCCCGCGCGCCGAGCGTTAGGGCTGTGGCGGAGAAGCCGTGCGCGGGGACGTGGGCGAGCGCCGAGGTTAGGATTGCTGTTTGGGAGTTTGTGTACGAGTGGTCTGGGAGCCTGGGGTGCAGGGCTGAGTGGTATGTTCGGTGGGGGAGCGAGTGTGTGGGTTTATTTGTTCGGGTTGTGGGTTGGGTTATGTGGGTGACTAGTGTGGATTGGAGGGTTGTTGTGCTTAGTGCGCTGGTTTGGCGGATGGATTGAGATAGGGACGGGGTGAGGACCCTCTTTGGGAGAGTTCGGGCGAGGTAGGCCATGGTTTTGGTGTGGTTGGGGTAATCAATGGAGATGAAGATGGGATTCTTGGAGATGGATTGTGGTGTTGGTCCGTGCGTTCAGTGTAGTATAAGAGCCAGATGGATCTGGTGTATTGCAGAATCTATATATGTATGGTATTATGCATGATTCGCGTCTATTTGATTGCAATGTATATATATAGACTAGATATGTACATAGACATCTATACTTGATTTGTATTGAGCTCATAATAAGCTTGTCTACAAGAAATCTCACTTTTGTGGTTATGTACCTTTTGTATGGGAAACATATACAAATATATAAGTTGGAGCTTCCCAAAGTTTCTCTCAACCACACTATTGTATAGATAACATCAATATAGAGTGAGATCATATAATTCTAATAGTACACATACTTATAATAGTAATGAGTCCAACCCTACAGGTAAGTGTACAATATACAGAGTTTAGAGCAGCGGTGAAAGACTGGAAGTCGAATGATGCATATTTGTTTAGTCAAACTGCCGAGGACTGCGCAGGTGAGAGAGAGAGGAGACAAAGGGTGTGCCACCTCTTTATAAATTAACGGAATTCATAACAAACTTGGTATAAAACCCGAGCAATTTCCACCTGGGCAGATTACTTCTTCTATTCCAAGGCGATAACGCAAGATAAGATACGATACAGTACGATAAGACACGATAAAGCGAGATAAAGTGAGATAACGCGAGATAATGCAAGATAGGATTACATGTGTAACGTCAAAATAAAAGAAAGGCGAGGACCATGGACACGATCTAAACCGTTAGACCAACGCCCCGCCCCCTATGCAGGATACCAACATACGAATTTCTGAATGATAAGGGAACTACAAGGCCTACAAAACAATGCACTGGAAGAAAAAGTTCATTCCATTTTGGAAGCATTTGATCAGCCCAAAGGGGCACTCGAAACCCATTTTGCAAGGACGCATCCTCGAAAGAACTGAAATGGGAATAAGGGAATCATTGAATCAAGAAATTGCGAAAAAAAGCCAGACACCCCCCTGTCAAAGAATGCGACTAGGTAAAACAAGGACGAAGGCGCTTTACATGATCTGGTCCTGGGTCAGACCGACGGTCGACTCTTGGCCTTCCATCATCTCTTCGGGACCCGGGGCAGCGTTCATGTACTTCACGAAGGTGATGCCGAGAGGACGACCACCGTACTGGTAACCGGAGAACTTGGCTGTTGGGGAAGAATATTAGTATGTAGATATTGGAAGTTGCGTTACAAATGGAACGTACCAATTGCGGTTTCCGCAGTATCGGGAGTATCAAATTGAACCACACCAGTACCGCGGGAGCGGCCGTTGGGTTCGTACTGGATTTCAGCACGATCAACCTTGCCGATGGTGGAGAACAGATCGATCAGGTCCTCATTGCAAGTAGACCAGGGCAACTGGGTCTAAGTTAGCATTCTATATGGCTGCCCATCGCACATCCCAAAACTTACGTTGCGAACATAGATGACAGCGCTCTTCTCGCCGTTGGAGGTGGCATAATCAGTGAAAGGGTTGGGGGGTCCGGAGGGAACAGGAGGAGCACCGCCGTGTTCAAATCCACCGGCACCGGGGAAACCACCGTGGCCACCAGGGGGACCACCGAAGCCGCCACGTCCAGGGAATCCGCCGCCAAAGCCGCCGCGACCAGCAAAGCCTCCACGGCCCATGGGACCGCCGAAGCCGCCACGACCGGCAAAGCCACCACCAAAGCCACCACGACCACCGAAGCCGGGACCACCACCAGCGAAACGGTCTTCACGAACTTCAAGGGGACGACCCTGCCAATCATATCCGTTAAACTGCGCAATGGCGTTGCGCGCATCATCGGGAGACTCGAAAGCAACGATGCCAGAGCCCTTGGGGCGTCCGGTAGGGTCGGTGTGCACATCGGCACGGATGACGGCACCCTGCTGGGCTGTAATACGGAATCCGGGTCAATTTACCTCACAATAGACAGAAAAGTAGGAACCCAAGTCCAAGGGGATCTTTGATCTGCACTTACCAGCCGAGCGGAACAAGTCCTTCAAGTCTTGCCAGCCAACGTTGAAAGGAAGCTACCGAACGGTCAACAAGGCCTGCCAGAACTTAGCGTAACGGGGGGTAAAAAGAGGGGACAAACGTTTGAGACATAAATCTGGCGGCCACCACCTCCAGCACCACCTGGGGGGCCTCCGAAACCACCACCACCGAATCCACCTCGGGCACCGGGGCCGAAATCACCGCGTGGGGGACCACCAACGAAACGGGGCTCGGATTCACGGTCCTGGGGACAGAAGTCAGTTCACGTAGTCGCAATACCATAAATTACAGGTAAACATACCTCACGAACGTAAACAAGGCGACCCATCAGGCTCTGGTTGCTGAGAGTATTCACGGCGTTCTGTGCTTGGTCCCTGGTTGCATATTCCACAATCCTGGTAGACATGTCAGTGAGAGCGCTCAATTTGAAGAAAGACAGGAAAAGTACTCACCCGCATCCCTACAATATCAGGACAGCCAATGTCCACCCGTCAACCCTTTACACTTAACCACGAAAATCGGGGGAAATAGAAGGAACTAGCCCCTCTACATATAAGCGCCCACCTTCGACATTCCATTAGGAAGAAGCAAAACATCGGCAAAGAGAACTTCTCCAGCTGTAAAACATGAAATCACAACCCTGGTTAGCTTCAAGCGTTCAAACAAATCACCATTCCAAATGCGCCACCCTGCTCACCCTGTCTCATAAAATCTTTAAGGTGATGCCACTTGACATCATACGAAAGGTTGCCCACATAGACCCGGCGGTCTTGCTGGGACGAATCGCGAACGGTCTGCATCATATTCTCCTTGGCGACGGTGCGGTCCTCAAATCGAGCGGGGGGGTATCCACTGCGTCCACCGAAAGGAGAGCCTGAGCCTGGGGGTCCAGCAGCTGCTCCGGAAGCACTCAAAGGGGATCGGGAACGACGTTCGGGACGTTCGGGACGGCGGTATTCGTCACGCTCACCACGGCTGCGGGAGCGACTGCGAGGGGAGTACGAGCGACGGGTGCGTCGGGGAGGACTGCGAGAAGAACGGCGACGGGGCGAGCGAGACCTCTCACGCTGGATGTGGTCAGACATGAACAAAAAGTAGAAAGGGAAGGCGGTCGCGAAAGCGGTGCAATGCTATTGTTATGATTTTGATGAAATAGAGATGGGAAGGAGCAAAAGACGTGTTCAGAGGAGAGTCGCTACCGTGGAAGGCACAACTCCGAGGGGGTTCCGGCGTAGGTCAGGTGACCACCAGCTTTGAGGGGGGTGTTTGTCTCAGATGCACTGAGGACCTCCGGGGTAGGAGCTTGGGGCCACTGGCAAACGTTGTTTGCGCACACATCGCATTTATTTTTTGGAATCAAACAATGCGATGGTAAAAGTGTTTCCCTCTTCAGGCCCATGGAGCTCCAGATCTGGAAGATATCCGATCAAACAGACATGGCGGTTTCCACCCCCGCACTGACCACACTCTTGCGATCATTGATATAGACCTGAGAGCCATGCGCAACATTGGAATAGAGGTATAATCGGCGGGAAATAGGATGATATAAAAAAAAAGGGAAACGGGGGTTCTCGGTAAACTTACTTGGTATGGTCGATAGACGTCGGCTGGGCGGATGAGGCTGTCAGCGGAGAATCTCAAGAAACCAAAAGATAGGAAGAAATAGGGAAAAGAGAGGAAGCGGGGGAAGATGAAAGGATCAGGCGTCAAGGTTCAACCTTTGGGGGGGAGACAAGAGACGGTGATTGGGTGAAGGCCTGAAATGACCGGGGACCTTCGAGTGTACCAGGCGGATGAGAGTAACAAACGAGTAATACAAAGATACGAAAAAGAAAAGTGTAATAATCGAGGACACGAAGAACCTACCCATGATTCGGGGCTCGATCGAGCGTGGAGGTAAGAACTCGAATGTGGTACAAAGAGTAAGGTGTGGGGGGGGAAGAGGAGTAAAGGAGAGGAATAGACAGAAAGAGGTGCTGGTTCTTTGGATTCCGGATCCTATAAAGAACTCTTGGGGAAATATGGAGAGAAGAAAATACAGAATTCTGATATGTACTTGAACACCCTCGGGCAAAACCCGTCACCGCCTCGGCATATAGCTAAGACCTTAATTTTATATACATCTATGTAGCTATAACGGTAGAGATTGAAGATATTCGAGAATAATATAGATATATATTCCCTCCTTCCATCCCCAAAGAAAGACAACAATCCAAACTCTGATTTATGTACTCCGTACTGCATCTACATATGTGCATTTATGTAGGTCCTGACCATACAGACTAGCCTTATCGCTCTTATCGTGCATCTCAACAACACTGCGCACCAACAGGCATTGGACATCTGCACTCATGACTGGCTGCATAGCGTATTTCAGTTACTAAATTGCCACGGCCTGTATCCTTTCGGAAGACTACAGCAAATTCAACTGGACCATGTTCATTTGCATCTTTTAAAAAGAAAAAGTTCCCCAGACTTCAATAAAAACCTCAAACGGCAAGTCCCACCAGGAAACGAAAGAAATGAGTGCTTAGTGCCCAGCACTGGGAATCAAGAATAAAATCGACAAAACAAGAAACAAGAAAGAAAGCCATCCATTGCGCCACACCCTGCCGGTAAAACGAACGCCGATGCAGCATGACTTTTATGCTGTGGGAGAGACGGAACCTGTGTGGAAACTGTCCCAACGAGAGGATCAAAACGCCTTGAATGGAAAAGGACGAGTTGTAAAAGGGGCAAGGAGTGGTACATGTACAGACAAAGAGAATATCGAAGAAAATAAAAAAGATGGGATAAGAAATATGAAGAGACAAATGTGGAGGTGAAGATAGAGAGGGTGAGGGACTTATGCTGCCACATTGGTACGAGGATAACGGCCTGGAATCTTCATATCCAGGGCAACAGAGTTGTCTGTATCGGAACGCAGCAAAGCAGGTGGAATCTTGACCGCGCTGCCTGACTCGGGGCCTTGCTTGGTAGAACCATTCTCAAGGCCAAGGGTCTGGATCTTAGGGAGCTCGAGCTCCTGATAATCTACCGAGGTAGGATTGGTATTGTTTGTAAACTCAGTCGCGTTGGTGTTGGTAGGCGCCGTAGATCCACTCTCCCGACGATCAATCTGGGCAGGGGCCGAGTGATCGCGACGATCAGCGACACCGACACCCGAGATGGCAGCAAGGGATGCCTGGTCTCCATCAGATCGGATCTCGCGATCATCCGGGGTCGATTTTTCCAGCTGCTGGCTCTGCCTTTGTTTAGCCACTATCACGGACGGTCCGATCCAGTCGCCGTAGTAGCTAACGTGTTGGGTAGCTTTGGGACGGGAGCTTTCATTGGTCCCTTCGTTGGACCGGTAGCTTTGGTAGGAATTGTCGCCTTCGCGGCTACCTACTGGTCGAGAGCTGTCATCAAGTGCACTGGACCCATCGCGGAAGGACCCGGCAGCTCCTAGCATGTCTTTGCCAGCGGAGCTGTCCCCGCTGGAAGGTGACAAGGGCGCCTGGAGGTTTCGGTCAATTTGGACGTCGCTGGGAAACGCACCCCCAGCTTGGCGGGAGGATGTGGGTCGGTCTTGAGTCATGACCGCAGAGCCCGCGGAGTATGGAGTGCGATCGGCTTCATCATCCTCCATTACCTCGTTGTTCATCGACCTGCCACTCAAGCTGCGGACGTGCTGGCGGACGAAGGCGTTTCGTGCCTCCCCTGTCATGTTGCTCAAGCCTTCGATATCTCCATACCAGGACATCATGGTCTCGTGAGATTCTGCGCGGAAGACCCATGAGTGGCCTCGGTGCATTGCACCAGTCTGTCGACCCTTCAGCATGAACTTGTGGGAGCTTGAATCTTCCTGTGAGTGGGAGCCGAGCTTCTGCTCTGGCAGATAAAGAGACATGACGGGCGTCTGCCATGCCACACGATCCGCTGACTTGAACTCGTGGAGATGCGTCGGTGACAAAACATACCTAAAGTTGATTAGACAATGACTAAAAGCATGGAAAAAAGGGTACTCACCAGCCAGGAGTATAACTCTTGAGATATTTGCTCTTGCGCTCCAACATCCCAGCCCTGACTTCGGCAGCTGCTGGATGATCCTTGCCAGGGTAGGTGATGCTCTCCACATTCCGGAGAGGAATCCGAGGATCGACGAGCTCTTCTGAGTCGGTGACAAACTGGTTCCACTCGTGATCCTGGGGCATGGAGATCGGACCCGTCTGGAGCTTCTCAACGGTGTCAAGAGCTTCATTGGCTTCGCGTCGGAGGATACTAGCGTAGGCATTGTATGCTTTCTGGATTTCGCTCACTACAATCCCCTCCAGTTCACGACCAGAGTTCTCCAGGTTCAAGATTGCCTATAAAAGGAACATTAGACAAGCAACTAGTAGAGGAAAAGTCATCACAAACCCGGTGCAAATAGTTCTCCTCCTCGATCTGCTTCTCGACCTGCTTCTCCACGTTCAAGCGCAGGATAAATGGATCACCTTTGCCTGACGTCGCAGAGGCATCGGTATCGACAAGCCCAAGAGCCTCATGCAAGTTCCGTACAGATTTGCGCGTGCCGTCGATCTCCTTCTCAACGGTATTCTTGAAGTCACCCGAAAGACTCTTGATCTCCTTGGTCTTCTTCTGGAGGTCGCTGCGGAGACCAGTCAATTGGCTGATCACCTCGACCTCCACCTCGACAGCTTTATTGGCCTCGGTATAACCCTGTCGGTGGAAGTTTTGGAGGATTTCCGTCGCATCGGCCAGACCACCCGGCTGAAGCAAACCCGGCGGAAGGGTCTGGTTATTAACGACACTCGAGGCGGACAGGAACAGCTTCGCTCTAGTTTCGTACGATTTCTGCACCTCTTTGAAAAAGAGAATCAAGTCCTTCAGGAGCTTGCGCCAAGCTATAAATGCCAGTTAGCAAAATCTCCATAATCCGCGTATTGACTGTGTAAGAGCCTACCTCCAAACCGATTCGCCAGCACCTCGGTCGGGTTACCGTTGGTGGGGATCGGACTCTTGAAAGCACTATTGAGATCGTCCGAACCATCGGTGTGATACTTTTCGCGATCACCCAAGCTCAGACTCCTCACACTTCCCGCGCGCATGCTTCTCCGACTCCCATTGCGCCGCAGGCTCCCCTTCTTGCTCAGCGAGGCCTTCTTCCGCAAGGTGCTTGAACGGGACGGGGTCGTGGATCGCACGTGCGACATGGTGGAGGCAGACCGCTGCACTCCAGCAGGGCTGTCAAACACCGAGCTGCGTTGGCTGGCGGCGTCGAGGTCCTCCTTGAACCGGGTGTTGTGGGGAACCTGCGACGACTCGAGGGCGCCGGAGCTGTAGTGGTATGCTGATGTGCCGGCGAAGGAATTCGGTCGCGACGTAGAGCGCGGGCCGTACCCGCGACTCAAAGCCCCCGGATCGTTGGGGTGCGGGACCATGTATGCATCCTGCGAGGGCGTCTGTGGCCGCGCGGCCATCGCCATATCTGCGGGAACGTGGGATTTTATGGTTTATGCAGGTTTCGGAGGATACGTATTGAGGCAGAAGATCGAAATTCAATCGAAGTTTGAAAGTAGAAAATTTAAAGGGAAAAGGAAAAAAAAAACCGAGAATCAAGGATAATAGCTCCAAGCGTTCACAGGCCTAAAGTGGCGTCTTTTTGGTTACCTGGCGAACGGAGCAATTGTATGCGGGGGAGGTACTGAAGCATAAGATTTGCCCCACTCAGTTTGGAAAAAAAGGAGAAGATCAGAAGAGATTGGGCTGCCGATAGGGCAGAGCTGGGGAATTAAAGGGAAGAGGATTTCTGACGATGACGTCTACGAGATGCGAGATGGTGACGACCTTGGAAGAAACTGGGCTTTCGGGACCTCCGGGAGAAAAGAGAGGGGGAAAAGCCATTTGACTTCTATTTCTCTATAACTTGATGGTTGACGTACTGGATCGGAATTTAAAGCCGTCTATAGAGTATTCCATTCATTCTGGTCCATACTGTAAATAGTAACAGGCTTCTACTACACGAAGTACATCATTTATATGGTTGCCTGTAAGAAAAGTGGCTGAGGGACTCCGCTCCTGAAAGGAGAAAAACCATTGGAATAAGATTATTATTGCGATCTTCTGATGAACATGATCCACTCGATCTGTGGCTTACTTTTGTAGTATAGGAGAAAAAACAAAGGGGGAAATGATAGGTACGCTCCCCCCTGATCATCTAGTGATGAACAGTGCATGACGTCGGGATCTGGGGAGATCAAAAGGCACTTGGAACTTCGTCCCTCTTCTACAAAGAACCTACATGTTTCTCCTCGGCTCATTCGGAATACTACCTCTGGTTCCGCTCATTCGAACCATATTTCTTCTGGGCTTCTTATCAGAGCGCTGTTGTTGTAAGTTGAAGTTCTGTCGGAGGTCCCGAGGTCCAGGGGAGTGGGCTGTTCGCCATCACGTGATATCAGGTCTACCAGAGGCACCAAACAACAAGTCCATTTCACAAATTAAGCCTTTTTCCGCCTTTTTTTGCCATCTACTCAACAAGCTAAGAAGGGGAAGAAAATATCTATAAAAACTGATATCTGAGAAGAATATCTGAGAAGACGTATAAAAAGACTACCCGGGGAGACTACCAAAAAAGACCACTAAAAAGACATCTGAAAAGACATCTAAAAAGACATCTAAAAAGACATCTAAAAAGACTACCAAAAAAACTTGACAAAGCCGCATAAGCGGCCGTCTATTCATGTTCATCATGATTTTATCCTAACCTGGGAAGCATCTCGAAGTCTTCCACTCGTTTGATATACATGCGCTGTCATTGGCTCCCGGGTGGTCCGGGGATATCCCCTCATTTTGAAGTATTGTTGAACACCACACTGATACATGTCTTCTTTAAGATTGAACTTTGTTGAGTTCCATGCGAATTATTCTACGGATCTTGTAGTCTATATTTGATTGAGTGGCCTGGACTAGGTATTCACAACCCAGTATACCTGGGACTGCACAATGGTTGGTCCAAATTTGAAATGTGTATTGTTTTGAATTTCCTGGAGACTAAAGAAAACCAAATCGGATGGGCGTGTCCATGCGATAGGTAGCGTGATATGGGGGGATAATTTACACAAAGCAACGGGAAAAGGCGGACTGAGAAGAATATAGGCTTATGATGCAGGAGCTGGGGATGTGGGAACCTCAATGCCGTAATTCGCCTTGAGACGCTCCCGGCGTCTCTCTTCGTAACCAGGGGCGTAGATACCTAGTGAAATTAGTACTGGTAGACAATATCGCTACCCGGATAAGAAGCACATACCACGTCCTTCACCCAATTCCGAGACGGTCTGCTCTCCGGGAGTCTGGAATGCCTTGCGCAATGCTGTCCGGCGATCAAACTCGTCCACCGATGTGTCCTTCTGGTATCCGAACAGGGACCCACCGGTGTACTCAAAGGCGGTCATGGCGGTCGACAGGGCGATACCATATCCAAGCACAGCGGGGAGTGTGCGGACTGAGGTAAACGCGACTATTAGCTCCAAATACATAACCATAGACTCAATTTAATTCAGAACTAACCTCGGAGACCGAGAATGGCACCTGAGAAGAAGCCACCCAGAGCGACGTTGTAGTGGTCCTCCTTTTCGCGCAGGTTGGCGGAAGCGCTCTTGATGAACTCATAGGTACCACCCATGGCCGCTTTAACATGTCTAATTTAGCAATTGATCCATCATGTTATATGTAAAGAATCCCATACCAAAGGTAGTAATGACACCACCGCCACGGACGAAGACGCCCAGAGTTCCAACGTTCTGTTTGGTGAGCGTGTTCTGCACAGCGGCTGCGAAGAGACCGACGCTTCCGGTCAGCGCGGTGGCCTTCATGGCTGCCGAAATGGTATCCTTGGGGTGATAGCTGTGGTCTTCGTCGTGGTGCGCCATGATGTGTGTGTGATAGCAGGGATGGACTGCTTGCGGTATGAGATGTGGTTGGCGATAGGATTTTGGAAGTCAGCTTTCTGCCATACCTGACCGCCACCACCCACCGTTCCAACGGAGCTCTACATGATTATGTTGATGCTTCTTTCACATCGAACCCTTTGATTCGTTTGCTCTCATCCAGAATCCTCTTAGATACTGCTTGCTGTTTTCTAAGAGTGGATCTTGATCTCAAAACTGTCCATTTTGTGGAGGAGAGAGTTCCAAAGCTTGCCATTGCTTGCTGCCAAGTGCAGTGGGCTCCCCGCTGTCTCTCCGCATACAGTGGCGATTTCATCATTTCACAATCTTGCCATCACAGCTGAGCTGTTACATTGTGCGTTTTTGTGAGCTTCGATGAGAATCAACCCTTTAGGAGAAACGACTCTCCCATAGCATCAAGACGAAGATCCGAACTGTGTGAGGCATCCAGGCCCGAACACCGTACTTCATGGCGTCTGTACAGAAAGCTGGTAAGGCAATAGCTAGATCAGCAAATCTGGATTATAATTTGAGCAAATGCTTACAACATTTTCTATCAATCATATAGGAAAGACCGTGCCGCGTCTCATCCATGATGTCCAGCTGTATGATCCAGCACACGACCCAGACACAGGCCGTAATCTCCTCTCAGAAACTCCGCCCGTTTACCCAGAAGGCTACAATGGCCCACCTGGATTCATATCACCGGAAGCATGTCGACACGAATATGTCTTGAAAGAAGACCAAACCTTCATGTCAGAGCCAGAGCACCGGAGAAGGCCAGGCACATCGTCCAAGGTCTCAGCCATATGCACAAAGTGCCGTTATCATCTTCAAGTGGTGGTTAACTACACCAACTTCGTGAGCACATTTGGTCAGAACCAGGGGAAACACTTGCATCATTTGGTCTACAAATCAGGACGGCAGAAGAATGGCCTTACGTTGCCTGAAGAAACCCTCAAAGGGCAGGTTGCGGAGACGTACCACTACCAATGTTCCTACCCCTCATGCTCGGCTATGGTATCTTTGCGGATTCTTTCACCGATTCTGAGCCCGGAATTCATCCACTTGATGACCGATAAAGAGCTGCTGCGGAAACGAGCTGAAGAGGCCACTGCAGCGTATGCTGAGTCCATGGAAGGCATGGGTGATCCACAGCCGATCAATGTATTGGATAATCTGCGCCTGTACATTACCAACGCCCTACGGAATCCACAACGCAGCAAGCCCATCTCCTCCGTCAATAAGAGGTTCATGCACTCGTTCGGCGTGGAAGGTGCTGCTTGTAAAGAATTACTTGAATTTCTAGAGTTCATGTACAATACGGTTCGTAATAATGATATTGTTTTCCAATCGTCCACTGGTCTCGTTTTGTCTTGTGTCGCTGACGAATCGACTCAGGATACTGGGGCATGGCACCCGCCTAAACCGACATCTGACGCCGAAAAACCTTACCAAGACACGATGCGTCTCTTTCTCGACGACTTGCTGCATGAATTACTAGTCCTGATACATCTCAGATCAGCTTCAGAAAGAAGAGGATCCCAGATTCCTGATCTTCCTTCCTCCGCCATCCCCGTTATTTCCTGCGCTCTAGAAGCGCAAGACTGTTCGTACATTGTGACACTTAGCCCTAGGGAATTCCAACTAATTTCTGCTCCAGATCCAACAGCCATGCGTTATAAGGAATTTGAGATGGCTTATGCTCCGTTTGTACACCCTATCTTCGAATAGATAGAACTGGATCTGACACATGTTTCTTTAGTTTCTATGAAGACTTGGGGGTGATGGAGGATATGTCCTCATCGGCTGTGGTGGAAGCATACAATCGACAGGTCTCAGTCGATCCTGGCAGGACCTCGATGTACTTGTCTGCTCTCAAGGCTATCGGGTTTCTGCGTGGCGGCCAAGACAAGGAAGTCATTGACATAGCCGTCCAGGCAGCTTACGATCAAGGGAAGTACGATGTTGAGGACGTTGTCAGCGCGTATCAATACTTTAACCTCCACTTCGATGATCCAAACCTCACCGAGGACAGCATCATTGGCAAATTCTATGCCTTCCTCAGCTCTACAACCCAAGATACCGAAGCGCGTCTGCAGTTGTGGCGGATTGGCGACTCCAGGGGAAGCGCGCGCATCAAAGCGGCATCAGAAGACCGTGTGTTGATCCAGTCATGTTGTCTCCAACCTCGAATGCGTGCTAATTTTGACAATAGGTGTTTCTACTGTTGAACAAGCGAATGTCTTCTTGGGGGTCGAGGATCAGACCCCGGATGATTTTGTCATGACTATGTACACCGCAAAGGTGTGTTTCCCGATTGGTTCATTTATGGGTTGAACGCGAGCTAACATTGTTATTAATTAGGTCAATGACAGTCCACTTACCAAAGAACTGGCGAAACGCGCCGTGGCACTCATTGCCGAGTCCCGCAAATCGGTCGCATTGAAACATTTCATCAATACCGGAGAGATGATTGCTGGTGAAATGGACATTGGTGATGCTTATCGTCTACTCCAAATCCCTGATCGAACTGCCGACGATGGGGCAATCATAGCCGCATATACAATCTGCATCGATGAAAACCCAGGGGATGCCGAGAGATACAACCAGGCTCTGACAATTATTGCCAAGCAACTGGACAGCTCTACGTTGAGGAATATGGCAGGTATCTCCAACGAGCCTGATCGAAGCATGCAAGATTGGCCAGTCGGACTACAAAACATCGGCAATACATGCTATCTCAACAGCCTGTTGCAGTTCTATTTCTCCGTCCGTCCTTTCCGTGAGTTGATCTTGGATTTTGAACGCTTCCAAATGGATCTGAATGACGAGGAAACCCTCGCAAAGAAACAAGTGGGCTCGCGAAAGGTGACGAAGAAGGAGGTCGAGCGATCTCAGCGATGTGAGTTACTTTGTCGATGCCGATGGCTATATCTCTTAAACTGACCCTTTTCTTTGTAGTCCTCACCGAACTCCGGACTTTGTTCCGCAGCATGATCACCTCATCCCAAATCTCGGTTACTCCCGGCCAGGAACTTGCTCGGTTGACCCTAATTAGCCCAAGCAACGAGGCGGCAATACGTCGTCGGTCGACGATCACTGCTACTAGATCTGAGATGCTTGGTGACATCAACGGTGCTCCAATTCTGGGACCTCTTGGGCCTCCACAGACCCTTCTCGGGGGTCGGATGGAGCCGGTTTCATCTTCTGGCCAAGCTGATGCCGTCCCTATTCGAAACTCGGCCGCCAGCGATAACAGCAGCGATACAACACTGGTCTCTGATAATAGCATGAACGATGCACCTGGACTCTTTATTGAGGACAAGGAGAACAATCCCCCAGACTTGGACCAACTGTCGGATCAAGCAGAGCCAGGTTCTCCCCAGGACATGAGTATCGACCCAGATGATAGTGTACCGTCCAACCTACCACCGCCCGTCCCTCCTCGCAACGTCCCGCAAGTTGATCGGGAAAAGCAATTGAAGGAGGAGGTAGAAATTGGTGCCCAGCAAGATGTGACAGAAGTCATCAACAATGTTCTGTTCCAGAGCCAGTGCGCCATCAAGCCTCGAGGCATTGGCAGTGACGGTGAACAGCTTGATCAGATCAAAGAGTAAGTTTTGAACAATCTTCCATGATAAGTATCTGTGTTAACCCTCTCATCAGCTTGTTCTACGGCCAAACCCGCTCGTACATCTCCACCGAGAAAGGAACACGCTCGAAGGACGAACGGTGGTGTGACATCAAGGTTGATGTTGCCCATGGATCTCGAAACATCTACGATGCCATCGATGGGGCATTTGATATCCAAAAGATTAGTGTGGAAAACTCTGTGGCTGAGCAATTCGCTTCCATCAGCCAGCTCCCGCCTGTTCTCCAGATCCAGGTGCAACGGGTTCAGTTTGATCCTGTGAAGAAATGCTCGTTCAAATCTACAAACCACCTTGGGTTGCTTGAAACTATCTACATGGATCGATACATGGACACCAAGAATCCGGATGTTGTGGATCGACGAAATCAATGTTGGGAGTGGAAGGCGTCTCTGAAGAGGCTCGAGGCTCGCCGAGAAGAGCTTCTCAGGACAAAGGTATTGAGTATTCTTGGTCAATGTACCCCAGGTCTATATAGCTAACCTTTTTCTTTTCTGCAGGAGGGTTCCGGCGTTGACATGGCAACATTGTTCCGTAAAGTCAAAACCGCACTACAAGATGTGGACTCTATTGAAAACGACACTGAGACCGGAGCCGGCGCTGAAGTCGAATCTGATTCCATGAATGCTGTGGCTGGTACGGAGTTTCTGGACGAACTCGAGTCCCTTGCCCATAAGGCAGAGACCGACTTGCAAGGTAAGAGTTCTACCGCCACGGGTTCACTTAAAACAGGCATATTGACTCTTTTTATAGCTGTCGACCAAGAAATCAAGGATACGCAGACCATGATTTCTAGCCAATTTGCTGATTTCCACAACCTCCCGTATCGACTGTACGCCGTTTTTGTGCATCACGGGTCGGTCTCATTCGGCCATTACTACATCTACATCTTCGACTTTGACAAGAAGATATGGCGCAAATACAATGACGAGTACGTGACCGAGGTCCAGAATGTGGATGAGATCTTCAAGAACGACTCGACCAGCAACCCTCCGACCCCGTATTTCCTTGTTTATGTCAACGATAGCATGAAAGACCGCCTGGCAAACCCGGTTTGCCGTGAGGTATCCGACAACATTTCCGACCTTCCTGATCTGGAACTAGCTACCACCATGGAGGGTGTTGAGCCCACTAGCCCCGCGCCGGACGTGAATATGGAACCCCCATCCTATGAGGAAGCGTCGGCCATCAATGGAACTCCAGGTACGGGAAACACAGAATCCGACGCGAAGACCACAGCATGGCCCCGTCCTCGTCCTGCGACTGACTCGGAGCAGTATTGGTAGATTCCAATGTCACGCCCGTCGATGCGGAAGCTGTCAACCCTCTAAAACGCAAGAGTGCTGATGAAATGAAACCAACCCGTCCGACTTAATTTCTTACACTGTGTGGTGCCCACCTGGACAGCATGATAACATGATTGCATGATTTCTCGATTCTCTTATGTCTGCACGTGGATATTACTGCATTGCGAGGTGTGAACTGTTTTTGTTATCCAGCATGTACATACGCTGAAGATACCATGGAATACTTGTAGAGTCGCAATTGATCTTCTCTTTATGTTTAACCTTCTAAGCTTACTATGTAAATTACTTTGTTAATTACTTTGTTACTGTTACCCCGGATAAACATATCAGGTGACTATGGATGTATAGGAAGATGACTCAGCACTTCCGATTTCCCATCTGGGCCAGCCGCGGGAATCGGATACGGATCGGCTGTGGATTTCGGCAGCGGCAAGAAGAGAAGTCATTCTGCCTAGGGGAATTCTGAAGGTAATGAGTAGCAAAAAAAAAGAAGGGATGTATATAGAATTTGATAGTACTTGGTCTGGGATATTTCTAATAGTTAGTAACCAAGTTTAAGGGTTCCGGGGCTAAAAGTATTGAAATCAAGGCGGTTGATAGTAGGCGGGAGAGAGCCGGGAATCCACATTTCCGGGGAAATGAATATCACTCGGGAATGATTCCGCTCTCACTGCCGTGCGGGAATATAAGAAGTGGTTATTGCCGCTTCCACGGGTGTTTGTTTGATCTTTTTATACCTTTGCTGTGGACTTGGGATTTTCTAACATAACATCCAATCTCTCATTTGGAAGTCATTCGCCATGCCTTCTCAAGTGGCAACATGTCTTCGCCTCGCGCGTCAGTTCTCGGCCAATCCTGCCCAGGTAAGTGATTTGCCCATGGCTCATATCGCCCATATCGCCTTTTGAGTCGCGGAGACTGACATGTCTTGCCTTTTACCAGCACCAACGTTTCATGGCCCGCGCATTCTCCAGCAGTGTCCGCCGAAGTGAGATCAACAAGGTGTACCCTTCCGCCGAAGTAGCAGTCAAGGACATGAAGTCTAACTCGACTCTGCTCGCCGGTGGATTCGGATTGTCTGGTGTACCCGACACGCTGATCAACGCCGTCCTGGAAAACCCCTCCATCACTGGCCTGACCGTGGCCAGTAACAACGCCGGTGTGGACGGAGCTGGTCTCGGTCTGCTCCTCAAGTCCAAGCAGATCAAAAAGATGATTGCTTCTTACGTCGGCGAGAACAAGACCTTCGAGCGCATGTACCTCACTGGTGAGATCGACTTGGAGCTCACTCCCCAGGGAACTCTCGCTGAGCGGTGCCGTTCCGGCGGTGCGGGTATCCCCGCGTTCTACACACCCGCCGCCTTCGGTACCGTGGTGCAGACCGGTGCGGTGCCCCTGCGACACAACGCCGACGGCACAGTCGCGAAGTTCAGCGAGCCGCGCGACACCAAGGTGTTCGACGGCAAGAGCTACGTTATGGAGGAGGCGATCAAGGGTGACTACGCTTTCGTCAAGGCCTGGAAGGCCGACAAGCTTGGTAACTGCCAGTTCCGCTACGCGGCCGCCAACTTCAACGGCGCCATGGGCCGTAACGCCAAGATGACCATCGTCGAGGCTGAGCACATCGTCGAGCCCGGCGAGATCGATCCCGCTGCCGTCCACCTGCCCGGTATCTACGTCAAGCGTGTCATCCAGAGCACCGCCCCTAAGCAGATCGAGAAGTTCACCTTCGCCAAGGAGGAAGGCGCTGACACTTCTGCTCTCGGAAAGGGCGAGACCGCCAACAAGCGCGAGCGTATCGTCCGCCGTGCTGCTAAGGAGTTCAAGAATGGCATGTACGCCAACCTCGGTATCGGTATGCCCATGCTTGCTCCCAGCTTCGTCGACCCCTCCGTCGAGGTGACCCTGCAGTCTGAGAACGGTATTCTCGGTCTCGGCCCTTACCCCAAGAAGGGCGAGGAGGACGCCGATCTCATCAACGCCGGCAAAGAGACTGTCACTCTCAAGCCCGGTGCCAGCTGCTTCGGCAGCGACGAGTCCTTTGGCATGATCCGCTCCGGCCGTATCGACCTGACCATTCTTGGTGCCATGCAGGTCAGCGCCAAGGGTGACTTGGCCAACTGTACGTTTTCCCACGCTTCCTCCGTTTATACATATAACTAACATTTTCTCGCAGGGATGCTTCCCGGTAAGATCAAGGGCTTCGGCGGTGCCATGGACTTGGTCTCCAACCCCTCCGCCACCAAGGTCGTCGTGACCATGGAACACACCGACAAGAAGGGTAACCCCAAGATTGTTAAGAACTGCGAATTCCCTCTGACCGGCCCTGCCTGCGTCAGCCGTATCATCACCGACCTCTGCGTCTTCGACGTTGACTTCTCCCACGGCCTGACTCTTATTGAGATCGCCGACGGTGTCACCGTCGAGGAGGTCCAGGCTAAGACCGAGGCCCCCTTCAAGGTCGCCGATGACCTGAAGCCCATGCTGTAATTTTGCATGCAGACTGTATGATTCTTCAAGCGTTTTGTATATAGCAATTAGGAGTTAGTTTTTTTCAAATTTCATTCCCATGGATATATCCTGGATATGCATCAAGAAGAACATTGCTCTGAATAATCTCGTACATTTGAGTAGAAAAGATAGTAGGTATACAATGAAAAAAAAAAAAAAGAAAAGGTATTGGTACATGTCATGCAATCCATCAAATAAAAACCCCATAATGCTCATCCAAAAACAGCGAGACAATGATATATCAAGTTTCCCAAGTTTTGCAACGTCAAAAACAAAAGTCTATACATACAGCAAGAACAGAAGCATCACGTCAAGCGGATAATACCGGCCAACCTCTTTTTTAACCGGCCAAGCCAATCGCGGTTCGGCGCCTCCGCAAACTCACGTACGACATTGTCATAGTGGTCTGGGTTACTGGCCGGCCGGCGCAGCTTCTCCGGCATGGGATATTTGCGCGCGTAGCGGTTGTTCAACAGCGATTCAAGTGCATTTACGGAGGACTCGGAGATTGCTGGACTGGACTTGTCTGCTGGCTGGAGACGGGATTCGATATAGGATTGGACGGAGACTGAGGCTGGGCGGACTGCGTCTGAGGGCCAGTGCTTGAGGAGGTGTGTGAGGCGGCTTTGGAGGGATCGCGGGTTAAGGGTCTGGATGATTTGTTAGGAGATTATTCGGGATTGAACCTTGGGGGCCTTGTCGATGGTATTGTTTAGGATAATTCCGGAGTTGGGTTAGATACTCACGGGTACTTTAGCCATGACGGACAAGGGATATCACAAGATAATTGTGGTATAGGGGAAGGATCTTCCTTTGAAAGTTGAGGCGAAGACGGGAACGTCGATTTTGGCCTGGCGCATCAGGCATCATCAGCCACATCCATTCCTGTTGCCTTCTCATCAACCCCGTCATTTTCTCATCCCCTTGTACTCTTATAATATCATTTTTGCTTTCCAACCTAAGTCATTTCTGTCTCATTTTTCTTTCTGATTCTATTCAGGGTCGCTTCCCGCTCAGCTCGCCATGAGCTCGCAGCGTTATTCACGGGTACGCAAGCCCCCGCTGATCCCCTATCAGATCAAACCCCCCCCCGGATGGGATCCCTCCGCAAGATACTGACCACTACATATATAGGTGAATGCCCAGGATGAAGAGGAAGGACCACATTCCTATCCGCTGAACGCGCGACCCGAACACAACACCTCTTCGCCTTCTTCTTTCCGTTCCGGATCCCGCTCGTCGTCACCATCGTCGAGGCGGCTATTACACAACGACCCACAACACGACGATGACGACCAGACACTGGCCGATGCCTTCGGCGACGAAGACGAGTCCGACGATGATAATGAACCGGATGACAGGCAACGCTTGATGCGAGCCGACCCCGACTTCCGGGCTCCCCCGGATAACGGCCCTACCCCCACGGCGTCCTCATCGGACTCGAGGATCGATGTACAGGATCAGACTCAATCAGGGCTTCTCAGGCGGCCGACGATGTTACCATCTTTCACGACTCCGGCTTCTGGAGGGAGTCGGCAGATCGCCTCATCAAATGATGGAGTCTTTGCCAATCTTGCCGCCAAGCCAGAACGAGGCGAGAAGAATGATGATCTTCCTCCTGTAAGTTGATATTTGGTATTCCTTGATGTATCTGAAAGATTTGTGTACTGATATATTATTTAGTCATACGAAGAAGCCGCCGCCGATGCGACACCGCCATACTGGGAGACCACTATCGTGGCTCCTGGTATCTCTTCTGACGAGGTCTATGTCGATGGACTGCCTGTTGGATCTGTTTTCTCATTTGTCTGGAACGCCATGATCTCAATGTCATTCCAGCTTGTTGGCTTCTTGCTGACCTATCTCCTTCATACCACCCATGCTGCAAAGAACGGCAGCCGAGCGGGTCTCGGTCTTACTCTTGTTCAATACGGCTTCTACATGAAAGGCGGCAGCGACAGTTCTAGCTCCGACCCTGGAAGCTCAGAATATGTTCCTCCACCCGACCCTAACAGCCACAACTTCGACCCTAACTCAGTGGGTGAGGGCGGGGGCAGTGGAGGGAATGGCGCCATATCTGGCATCACCACCAGTGAATGGATCTCGTATATTCTCATGATTGTTGGTTGGTTCATTTTGATCCGTGCGGTCAGTGACTTCCTGCGGGCACGACGTCATGAACAGCTTGTGTTGCAGAGCCCGGATCGTGGCCTGGGTGTACCAGTCATTGCGGAAGGTGAACGGTCCGAGACAGTTGTTTAATATCGGTATACATGGGATTTTCACTTGGTTGATTTTTTTTTGGGACGTGGACATGGACATGGAAATGTCTGGCGTTGCAGCATGGAGTTTCTTTTTGTATCGACACCCCCCAGGAGTACTGCCTCCGGATTGCATTCCTTCTATTTTTCTTTTCCTTTTTCATCAGACCGTTCTACTTTTATTTCTGGCTGTGTAGCTATTTTGAAGATACCAAATATATGAACAATGAACAACAATACCAGATGTTATATCTATGTAGTAAGGACCTCAATACTCTAAATCGAGTCTTCTTCCAGAATAGCGCTAACCACATCAGCAGCTTCTGTAACCACCGCCTGAGTTTCCTCGTCCAAGCTTCCCTCTATACTTAAAGCCCGCAGCCTCTCTCCCCACAATACCCACCGCTCCCGCGTCAGCCCATACTCTCTCGGCCACAGCTCCGTCTTATCATTTAATGCCGCCGCCCAATGCCGCCGCAGTTCCTCATAGTCTGCCTCCCACAGTGCCCGGCCCCCATCTCGCATCCAGGTCGCTGCTACCCGGACATCCAGCGCCCACAGCTGCTCCGGCGGCATCCTATGCGCTCTTGGTAGGCAGGACCGGGGTCCCTCACACTCTAGCACGTTGCGACACGTATAGAAAACCCATATAGGATGCAGCTGGCCCTTACCATTAGTCACTTTCAATAGCGCGGCCGAGAAGGCGCAAAACCGGAGAAAGTACTCGTCGCCTCTAATACTTAGCGTACTAGAGTTGTCCGCACCCGAATCACGCACACCGTCCCAGCCGCGCCAGGCCTCGAGGATATCATGCACATCGCGCCACTGCGCGCTGAACCGCGGCAGTGTCTGCCAGTGTAGCTTTCCGTCGGCCTCGGTGTAGCTGCGGACATTGGATCCTACGCGTACGGTAAGCTGCGTTGGCGGGTGCGCGTGGAGGGCATCGAGGAGGGCGAGATGAGGGTCGTGTGAAGTTGAAGACGTGGCGACGGCTGTAAAAAAGGCGTCCCAGAGCTCCCAGAGCGCGTGGGCCGGATCTGAAGATGTAGTCACGGTGTTGACAAGATAGGCCGCCGTCTGATCTGGCGTTGGCGCCGGGGAATGGTTGCTAGGGGTGAGAAGGGCTTGGATTGGCGCGGAGAAGGGATTTGGGGGATTGCTGCCTGGGATATCCAATAGAGTTGTCATTTTAGATGAGGTCAAAGTTGGTGGAAAGCGTATTGGTTTTTGGTGAATTTCGCTCAGTCATAGGCGTCTTTTGGCGTTTGGCGGCCATTTCTGGCCCCAACAGCGGTTATTTTCGGCGTCAATTGCACTGGTGACCTCAGATTCTACCAACAATATTGTAGATAGTTGTAGGGAGTAGATCCCAACGTAATCGAGGCCCAAGGGTTGCCCGCGCGTACTGCGCCACGATAGGCAGCATTATATCTTTGTACTTTGCCCTTGCGTCCCTTTGTTTCTCGCCTTGTGCAACTTCACCCCCACTGATGAACAGAAAACAGAACAGAGAACAGAAGGGAGAACAGAAATAGACCAAGTGCCCCCCTTCCCCCCGGCGGAAGGACCAACTCCGCCCACTGCCGAGAGACCCATTGTTTATTTGCCAACCTCAACTTCAACATAACCTCTGTCTTTCTATTTTTTACCTGCGTTTCTTGTCGGGGTGGACCGCGGCCTTGTCCGCAATGTCTACCGTCCCTCAGGGCCCCGTCGAGGCACGATCACTGTCGTCGGTCACCACTATCGCATCGAATCCCCCCGCCTACCCACGCAATCCCACTCACGAGAAACACGAACCACTATCTCTGTACATTGTGCGTGTACCAGGAAGCAAAGGTATGAATTCAATTCCACTATCTTGACACTCTGCTCTCTGTCTTTGGTCTTGAAACTCCCATAGTTGCGCCTTGTCGTGCTTTAACAACTAAATGAAGATACACCATAACTAACTGCTGCTTATATATGCAGACATTTTCCTCTCACCTCTCAAACCCCCGACCAAATCCAGTGTCTCCGCTGAGGCGATCAACGCCTCTCTTTACTATCTCCATGTCGCGACTCCTGACGATGATACCCTGCTTCAGGAAGTGGAGGAAGAGCGCGAGGAGGAGGCCCAATTGCGCAAGGAGCGGCTCGAGAAAGCGGGCGCCGACGACCCAACACAACGTGAGTTCGCGCGGCTGAACAATGTGCGCCGGAAACCAGTTGGTGGAGGAGGGGACCCCAACCCCGAGCCTTTACTGGCACCGCCTCAACAGGATGCCACTGCTCCTCCCGCCTTGCCGTCACGCCCAATCCCTGTGCTGCAGGATGACACTGCTTCTCCAACCTTGCCACCACGTCCGATCCCTATGCCGCAGGATGCTACTGCTTCTCCAGCATTGCCACCACGGCCAATCCCTATGCCGCAGGTTACTGCGGAGAATGTATCTTTCTCTGGAACTCCAGTCGCCAACATACAACCTCCTTTGAGTAATAATATGTCTGGAGGGGTATCGGGAGAATCGGGTGGTAAGAGCGGTGTCCCGCGGCGACCTCTACCTCCCTTGCCGCCTGGTGAAGAGTCATGGACCAATTCTGCAGCAGGTGAGGACTCGTCTAAGAGGACATCCCGGTGGAGCGCGTTTGCCGAACAATTGCAAAATCGGGGAGAGAATTGGAAGGAAAAGTATGAGGCAAAGTACGAGGCGCTGTCGGCTGGCCGTCATAGCCTTGACTCTACTAGACCGCAATTCCGGCCTCGTTCTTCGCATAACCGTACCGGATCACCATTAGGAAGCCCCGGGCAATCTCCTAACAGGCATAGAAACGCACGTGGCAACGCTCCTAGCAATGCTGGCTTTCATATCACGCTCATTCGACGTGATCCCACCTCCGGTACACAATGGAATGTGGCAACTATATCAACCCCACGAATGGACCGCAATACCGTCGATATCGAAATTTCCACGCCGGGATATAACAGGTTTGCAGGCTCCAACGAGATGCCTTCATTATCCAGCATAGCAGCCAATCTTCCAACGGGAATCGGACGCCTTCCCAACTCTGCCATTGCCCAATCCTTAGCCACGGAGCAACCAAAGGAGCAGCCAACCGGCCCACGCAAATTTCACCGCCAACTCTGCGTATCAAAGCCATTTGACGACTCCGCTGCCACAGATAACAACAACGGTCACAACCCAGATGGCCCGTCCTCCAAGCTAAAAAGCGGCTACTACGTCTTCACTTCTCCCTGGAATGGCACATGTACCTTCACAAACAGCGTGAACGGCCGAAGCCTCAAATGCAAACACATGATCCCAACACCAGGCGGCTTCATCCCTCCCAATGGTGAAACAGAAGCACCCCCGCCGTAACCGTCGCCGAGCTCCGCTTCAACACCCCCTTCCAAGCAGCAAACCTCCACTCCCACGCCCACCATGCAATCCACAAACCCCACCCAAACCACCTCTCCCCCTTCACGCAAAGTCAAATCCAAACCCAGTCCCTCCCCCGCCTAAACGACAACCCGAACGACAACAATTCCAGCTCCGACGGAGGACCCCTCCACCCATCCTCCTCCAACAACAGCTACGCATCAGCAAAGCGCAACTCCCTCTCCCAACTCCTAAACCCAAACACCTACGCCCGGCCCCGCGCGCACACAGGCCCAGGCTCAAACCCCCCACCTCTCCCCGCCTCAAACCCCGCAGACCTACGCGCAAACCTCAACCCCTCAACTCTCCTCCGCAGAACCTCTATGCGCGCGCAACGCTTCGCGCGCCAGAGCCAATTCCACCCCGCTTCTCAGCCCCACTCGCACCGCAGTACGAGTAATAGCAGTGGTGGGGATTTGGATCATGATTCCGATGAGGATCGCTTGGATTTCTCGCTTGCAAGGGAACCCGCTGGTGGTGGGTTAAGGGGGAAGAGTGCGAAACTGGGGAAGTTGGTTATTGAAGATGAGGGGATTAAAATGCTTGATCTGGTTGTTGCGGCTTCTATGGCTGTTTGGTGGAGGGGGTATTATTATTGAGATATAATGATTTTACCTAGTCTTAGTCCTGGTCTTGGTATCAAAAATCCTGGCTTGGTTTATGAGGCTCGTATGCTGGATATAGTCAGTTGGTTTTATGATGACATCGTACATGAATGCATGAATTTCATTTCGTCTGATTTACTCCTTTGTCTATACCTTTTATCTGATCTAGTTATCCCTTTGTCTTTCTTATATTTCCAGCGCTTGCAATGTATTGCTCCTGATCGCTTGCACTGGACGGAGTACCACTGAATCAACCACCTGTGTCAGATACTTCTATGCGTCACACCAACACCGGCAAATGTATCCCTCCAAGCTAGTTATAGGATGGCCTCCTATATGTAGCTTGGCCTTGGAAAGTGCTGGTAATTAGTTATGGCAAGGCTGAACATGAACATCTCTCCAGTTTTGTTTTTAGTTCGATCGTGATCTTCAGAAATAGTAGTTAACGGTGTAAAATTCAATGCAAGCCTCTGCTGAGATGACTGTAGGACGCAGGTTCCAGTGTTGGGAAATAGTAGTGAGCACGTATGTTGTATGTACAGCCCTAAATTGTAGATCCGATCCAAGTAAATAAAAAAGTGGATTCGCCGACAACGTCATTCGAAACTCAACCGTTAGACGTTGGACCGAGGCACGTGACTTCCCAAAATCGTAGGACCAATCATATTTCATCAAATAGACCCACATCTGTATACCCTCAATATCGGATCTCGAAAGGAAAAAAAATAGGTGCTTCTCTTTGATTATGCGTGTCATCCTTAGTGCAGAGGCCATGCTAATCTTCTCTGTATATTTTCAGTTGACCATATGCCCCGAAGGGCGAAATATCTATGCGTTCAATTCATTATAACCTCAACTTTTCGGCATAAAGTTACCGCCCAGGTACCTTCCTGTTTTGGTGGCAGTCAGGCAGCAGGCACGTGGCTGGGCACGTGGACCTCGCCGAGCCTAACTAGGTAGGTACGCCTCGCGGGGCTATGGGTATGTAGAACTACATCTGCCTCCTAGGTAGCAATTAAAAACTTTGGGGTAATTCAATTACGATGGCAGAGTTAGAGATGGAGGGGAAGACTTGATTGACATTCTATCTAATGATGAACCTACTTGAAAGAGATGCAATGCACAGAGTAATGACCCAAGTATCATATCCAACCAGGAACCACAACCAATAGCACCCTAAACTTTAAAAGCAGTGAAAGGATTCGGACATAAACACAAAAGTCACATCAAAAGGAAATAGGACACGAAGACACAGTCCAAGCTATGAAATCGGGCGTGAACGCAGACCGCAGAACAACAGATAGAGATGAGAAAGCCGAGTTCAAAATTGGAGTTAAGATGGAAATGGAAAAATGAAAATAAAACCCCATGTAAATCATCCCGGTCTTTTTTTGTTTCTCTGAAGGTATCTCTTGGCTAAATTAGATCAACATGCAGGGCGCGATGGAAGACACGATCGGATTCAACACGCCGAACAACCAACAAGTCGAGAAAAACGGCAGAAAGAAGAAAGAAAAGGTATCAACGGTGATGCACGTCCATGCCGCGCTGCAGCGAGGATTCCAAGTCATTAGGGTTGTAACCACCGCCAGCGGTAGCCTCCTGAGGTCTAGGATCCTCGGTCTTCCAAGGACCCTGTTGATTATCCGGAATGGGGATGTTAGTCTGCTGAGCGACCTGCTGCTGCTGGGCGGCATGGGCCTGCGATTGCTGGCGGACGGTAGCGCGGAAGCGGATGACCTCGTCGAGGATCATCTTGCGCATGTCCGGGACTTCTTCGACGACCTCGAAGTGGAAGTCGAAGGTCGTGGGGCAGTTCGGCTCGTCCGAGGCGTCGTGCCAGATGTGCAGGTAGGGGTGCTCGAGGGCCTCCTCGACAGAGATACGTGACGACGGATCGAATGCCAACATGCGGTCCAACAGGTCCAACGCATCGGGGTTGGCTTGAGGGAACAGCTGCTTGAAGGCCACCTTCGGCATGAAGGGCAGGTTGCGCACGTATTCCTGGGCGCGGGGCGATCCAATGCGCGCCAGGGTCTCTTCATTGGGTGTACCCAGGTAGTGCAGGATCTGATTCAGCTGGTCGACATAGTCACGGCCCTTGAAGAAGGGTCGGCCGCCGAGGAGCTCAGCGAGAATGCAGCCCACGGACCAGACGTCAACTGCACAGGTGGGGTTAGCGGGGATTCGGTGGCAAATTACGCATGCGGGTGTTACGTACTCGCTTTGGTATAGCTCTGGAAGCTCAACATGATCTCCGGTGCGCGGTACCATCTCGTCGCGACATATTCGGTCATGTATCCCGCGTTCTCCTCCGGGTCGATTGAGAATCCACGAGCCAGGCCGAAATCGCAGATCTTAAGCTCGCAGTCCGCATTGACCAGCAGATTACCGGGTTTGAGATCACGGTGCAGGACGTTGGCCGAGTGGATGTACTTGAGACCACAGAGGATCTGGTAGATGAAGGATTGGAAGTGGGCATCGGTCAAAGGCTGGCCAGAACGGATGATAGCAGCCAGATCACATTCCATCAATTCTGCAATATTGTCAGCCCAGCTCCATTCGACGCAAAGGCAGTAGATCGCCTACCCTCATAGAGATATGTTTCGTTAAAGTTGTCCGGTCGGGGAATATCCATATCGTACAGGCATGTGATCTGAAGGGCTGAGTTAGCGGGTACAGGTATTGATAAGGATGATCTGCGGCCTACATTGCGATGACCACGGAAATGCTGGAGCAGCTTGATCTCTCGCAAAGCCCGCTTGGCTAGGATCTTCTTGCTGAAGACATTGGTGACCTTCTTGACGGCGACGCCCTCGCCGGTCTGGACGTTGGTTGCGGCGCTTAGTACTATCAGCACATGTGTATCTCCAGTGTCCTCCAGTGTTTTCCACATTTGTCTGGAATACCTACCACACGATACCGTAGGCTCCCTGGCCAAGCTCCTTTGTCACATTGTATTGCTCGCTCACGATAAAGTCCTGGTTGAAAACCTTGAAGACCTTGCGACCTTGTAAATCAGCCATGGCGAGTTGTCGCGTCGTAGAGTCGTAGAGTGTTAGAGGGAAGGCAAAGCGACGGAAAGAAATGGAATTAACGAGGGTCCAGGGTCTTAAAAGCAAAAAGAGAGAGAAGTTGAAGGGGAAAAAAAGGGTGAAGGGTCGAGAGAAGTGTGATGGGATCCAGCCCCGCAGTCCCCGCGGGTGATCCGCCACGCAAAAAGTGCTAAGTCCACTATTTTGCGTTGAATGAATTTGATCTTCCAAAGAACTTCGAAATTTGGAATTAGAACTGAAAGACCTACTGTAGAAGACTTGGAATTCTTGAAATTCCAAAGATTGATTAATTTCGCTATGAAAGGGTGAAATAGAGGGTATTTCTTTGTATACTACTCCATACAGACTAGTTACATACTATATGCACATATCTAAGTATCTAGGTACTTACATATACCTAACTAGTATCAAAGTATCTACATATAGCCTCGAAAGAAAGTCAAACAAAGAATAAAGAGCGTGGCTAAAATCCGTCTTTGAGTGTTTCAGTGAAGTGGGCCGGTGTCAATCCAAGGGTATTTTGGTACTGCAGGTGTCACATGTCATATTGCCTGTGCATTGTAGCTGTAGAGGCCCATTATGCTAGTAAAAAATATAATCAAATAAAAAACCAAGGAGTGAATGTGAAGACTCCACAGCTGAGAAGAGGATTCACGAGAATGGCACTCTAGCCTTGTCGAGGTACGAGGTTAAATCCTGACTTGAAAACTGGGATCTAGATGGAGGACTAGGTATAGTGCTATAGGGAAAATCCTTTAAGGGTAGATATTACATCTTTATATATACTACCTTTATACGGAATGCTATAGATACAAGTCGGGATTATGAAGCTTTTTCACATTTCCCCTGTTAATCTAGGAAGTCTAAAGAATGACGAGACTTATCACTGTTTCGAGGTTTTCATATCTTAGTAGCGCTTCACATCCTTCTAAAGCCCGTTGAAACATCCCTTGCGCCTCTTTATATTTCCCTTTGCTATAGAGTATATTGCAAATGTTAATAACACTAGTGAGCGTGTTAGGATGCTCGCTTCTAAGCACCTTCTCTCGTGCCTCCAACGCCCGTCGATGCATCGCTTCCGCCTCGTCATTTTTCCCTTAGATATAGAGCATATAGCCAAGGTTACTAACACTGGTGAGAGTGTGAGGGTGCTTACATCCAAGAACTTTCTCACTCCTTTCTAGGTCTCGTCGATGCATCCCTTCCGCCTCTCCATATTTCCCTTAGATGGAGAGCACACTGCCAAGGTTACTGACACTGTTAAGCGTGTCAGGATGCTCGCGTCTAAGCACTTTCTCACTACCTTCCAGGTCTCGTCGATGCATCGCTTCCGCCTCTTCATATTTCCCTTCGTCAGAGAGCATATTGCTAAGGTCACTGACACTGATGAGCGTGGAGGGATGCTTACGTCTAAGCACCTTCTCTCGTACCTCTAACGCTGATCGCTGTATGAATTCCGCCTCTTTATATATTCTTCGAATCAGTAAATACCGTCCGCTATTAGAGGAAATCGTGGCCGTATGTAGTCGATCTTCTTTTTGCTCGTCAGATATCGACTTTAACACCTCTTTGGTATGCGGAAGTAGCTTTTGATATTTAGTCTAGCTCTCGTACTGCCTATTTGGAAATATCTCTGCTATAATGGCTCGCGACCTCACTTGCTACTATGCTAGCTCGTGCTAGATCTCTAGCTATATCCGGACCGATAACTATACTAGTCGGTGTATATCAAATGACGCTGTTTTAATTTTAACCCGAACAAGCGAATAACTGATCAATAGCGCCACTGTATCTTTAAACTCGAGCTTACCACTATCGCTACGGACGAGGCCTTCTAGGATCCCCTACCGATCAAACATACTTATTAACGCTAGTAATTCCGTCGCCGCTAGCCGGTTATGGCGGATTTGCTTAAAAGATAGCTGCTATGTCGTAATGACCGTATGCCGAATACTAGGGTCTCGCCGGAGGTCTTTAGCGTCCTTATACTAAAGAAGATATGTCTGATTCGACTCGATATCACGGAATAACTAAAGGTACTAGGAGACCGTGACTCGAGATACTCGATTCGCAATATAGGACCCCACCTAAGTGATTGCCAGCGGAATATATTCTAGTGCCTAGACTAGTGCCTTCTTATCCTCTTCAGACTCTCTAGAGTGGGGGGACTGGAAACCTTGCCTATAAAAGGGCGAGGAACTCTTCCTTATTTATTGGCTGAATCTCGGTCATATGACCGTCGCTACCTACTAGATTTCGTGCCGTAAGACGCGATGTGATTAGAATTGATCTATACGCGGCCTACGGTAGGAAGGTCACTAGTGGCCCTCGTTTATTGGATGTATTGCCACTGAAAAAGATACCATCGTCATCCGCATTATCTAACACCATCAGCCAGCGCCCATTGCGTGGATCACACAACCACTGATACACGAGCTGGAGGATGTTCATCTTTGGATCGTCCCGTCCCGGAATCTCCACGACTGCGGCAATCTGCTGGTAGCACTGTTCCAACCGCGCCGCATTGCTGGCGTGGATCCAAAAACCCACGTGTCCGGTGTTTATTCTCGCACGCGATAAGAATACTCGATGGCTGTCTGGGTTTTACTAACGAGCAGTTGGATTAGTTGTGATCCAAAAAGCGTTCTTATGGGGACAGCTAACCCAACGCCGGCCAACCCCACTAATGCCACCCGCTCATGACGCTGGCCGGTTTTTCATTTTGGTACATTCGACATGGATTCTTACTGTCTCTGCATACCCTTACTTCATTGCTTAGGGTGAACTCAGAGAACGACAAGAAAGTTTTTATATCGTGGAATCATTATACTCAAAGCTAAGTAATTTATACCATTAAAGCGATGTTCTGTGATGATATTTACAGTACATGTATTGCAGGTGTTAAATTGCACCAGACTGTTCGGTGGCTTGTGGATGTAATATGTTAGTGGAAGATAAAAAGAGAGCGGATATGGCTCGCTGTTGTTAAGGGTGGGAATCAATAAATTCAAAATTGGAATTCTATGTCCGCGATGGTCAAACACGCATCATATCATTCCAAACAAACGACTTGGTTATTTCAGTCATACAGCGCACGGTCACTCTTGTCACATCGCCCATGGTGAAATGAGCAAGGCCTCGGCTCTCTGCCTATGGACAGGAGAACAACCCGATAAGCAGATGCTTTACAGGGCGAGAGCAAGAACAAAAGCACCAGCTGCACCGGCAATGCCCAATGCAACACCACTAGAAGGCGCGGGGGCACCACCAGTCGACTTCGCAGGCGAAGCAGAAGAAGCGGACGCGGAGCCGGAGCTAGAGGACGCAACAGAAGAGGAGCCGGATGAAGTGTTTTGGGCCGCATTGGTAACCGATGGGGCATCTGAAGTGGCCGTCATTGAGGCGGTAGAAGCTGTCTCGGAAGCAACATCTTGTGTGGTAGTAGCAACCCCCACAACCTGTCCATCGAAATTCGAGGAGGCCCAGGCTTTGACGCTGTTGGGCAGTTCATTGAACCAAGCTGGGTAAGTTCCAGCAGCAGCCGCGCTCACAACGGAAGAACGGAATGAAGGATCCGTGAGAATTTCGTCCTCCCACGAGGCAGGGATAGCCGTCTCCATGACCGTCAGAATGGAGCTGGGGATCGCTGCCAGCTCGGAGGCAGCAGCGGCAGCAGCAGCGGAAGCAGCAGCGTCGCCATCGGGATTGGTCACACTACTACCACTGGACTCGACAGTGGCAGTCTGCTGTGGCTGTGGAGAAGCCAGCGCCGAGGCGGCGAAGAGAAGAACGACAAAGGATTTGCGCATGGTGATAGTTTGGGCTGGCTGAAATCGAGGAATGCGAAAATTGGTGCCGGAAGACGGGTAGAGACAAGGAGACTGCCAAACAAGAACAAGATGTAACTCTGGAGGACCCTATGGATTAAATACCGCGCATTCATACTTTGAGTCAAGCAGGGCTCGTGAGTCGGGCCCTGGCCTGATTAAGCGATCAAGCAAATGGAATGGAGCGCCCTGAAATGAAATTCCCCCCACTCGCGGTCAAACCCCCCTGTTTGGTCAATCTGATTGGATAATCATACAGCCTCAAAAGTATATCCGATGCTAAGCTCATGTCGGTACTGTAATTTCTGAGTATTATTGGAGTAGCGAGATTGCTTATGTTGCTCTAGTAGACCAAGTGCACGCCACAACGTCCAATTACGGCGATTTGTTTCAGTCGTGTCAACCCCGAAATCAGGGCCTCCGAGCCCCTTTTTCTGTTACCGAAGTCTTCTCTTTGGACCTATTTTTGCAGGCTAGTGCTATGAATGACCATTGATTGATGGCGGTGGTATTTTCCCCAGCCATCTACCAGTAGCATCAATGAGGTATTGGTTTCTATTAAGAGGCGCTCTTGGTCACTAATAACATATCCTACCTATGTTACCATCGAAATACCGGCTCTGCATATCAATCTCGCTCGTGCTATCTGATTACATTCAGGGCTGAAATGTTAAGCAGACACCGCGAGCGGAACTGACAGATAATGTTGTATATCAAAAGGGAAGCTTATGTATGTCTTGTGTCTGAGGGGATACAAGAGACTATATATACAACATGAAGTCCAAGTTGATTTCCAATCAACCTGGTCTTCGTATAGATAGGTAGGAATTATTTCCGATGTTGCGGCTTCCTTCCTGAACAGAAACTGCCTCATATTATAACAGATAGAAACCCGTAGACAATGACCAGACATGGCGTCGGCAATAATTGGTCATGGAGAGAGTCGCAAAATGCACACATGACACTGAACAGAAATCGCGTCTCAAATTCCCTCACACGGCACGCTAAACCAGAGAGGATCAATATGCTTAGCGTGGTACTTTGTCTAACGCAGTTGGTCAGCTACCTACGAGGCTATTCTCGAGCGGTAGGCGGTGATAGTAAGCGCTGTAGGGCGCACTGGTCGTGAGCGGGGCTTGAATGAGGGAAAGTAATTGGTTAACCAACATACTCATTTGGGGGCCGCAATTCTGATTTAAACCGCCACGGAAACACGAATTGGTGAAGAAAGGGAGCCAGAAACCTGTTGTCCATAGTCTGCTGTGTGCAACGCCATCAAGACTTTGCTGTGATGTATCGACAGGCGTTGGACGCACGAGAGAAGGTGCTTGGGCGTGAGCATCCCTTCACGCTTACCAGTGTTAATGACCTTGGCTTAGTGCTCTTCAGTCAAGGGAAATATGAAGAGGCGGAAGTGATATATCGACGGGCGTTAGAAGGATATAAAGAGGTGCTTGGACGTGAAAATCCCTAAACTGTTACTACTCTCGATATTCTTTAGACTTCCTAGATTAACACGGGAAACGTGAAGAGGATTTATAGTTCTAGACCTATATCTATAGCAGTTAAAGCAAAGGTAGTATATAGAGATATATAATATCTATACTTGGTGATTTTTCCTATAGCACTATATACCCTTATAGTTTGATACGGTTCTGAAGTGCCTCTACTAGAGTTGTTATATTTCCTTTAAGCAGGCTATCAGATATCTCCTACTTGCGGATAGTGTTATAGGGTGGCTGTTCCGTTTCGCGGCCGTAGTATTTTTTATATATCAAATTATAGTATTGTTCCCTTCCCGTGTATTCCCCTTATCGGTATTTTTGTTTTACGTACCTTTCCGCTACTAAGAATTCCATTAAAATTAGTATATTCTCAGGTTATATAATTATAGGTGAAATGATTCTTTTCTATTTCTCTCAGACGTTTTTGTGTATGATTTTACGTTGATAGTAGTGATCAGCGGATTTTCTGGTAGTGCGTGTCGTCCTATAATCCCCCACTTTAACAGTTTGTAATTTTTGTTTAAAAAGAGGTATCGAATAAGAAATCAAATAATTATTGTTTCTACTTCTCTAAGACAATATTCGATATGTGGATTGGGAGTGATGGTGCTCCAATGTGCAGGTATCCGCTGGGCATTTCATCACATAGGGCATTTCATCTCACCGGGATGGGGGTTACATAGTAGGAGTAAGATACACCTGGGCAAAGAAAAGAGAAGAGAGAAACGGGCAGTAAATTCTGCCACCAGAACCCGCCTAGGTCCGATCCCGTGATCCGATCCAGCCCTACAATGGAAGCAGGGAAAGAAATCTTTCGAAAGACGAGACAATCTTAGGAAGCCCTTGCCTTTTTCTTTGGACTCTCCTTAGGGAAGTACTCCTCCACCAATTTCTGCCTCTTCCCCATGCCCAGTCCCTTGATTCCCGATTCCTGCCAGTGAACCCGCTTGTCAGGGGCTTTGCAAAGGTCGATGAACAGCCTTGCCATCAGGGATAATTGCTGGGCGTCCACCAGTGCATTGTGGTTGCGCCCCGAGAGAGGGTGGTTATCTCCGAAGAGCACCGTAAACACCACAGGCAGGGATAGAGGAAATCCCCTGTCTCGGTAGCAGGTGGTACCAATCGCCCTCTCCACGTTTTTGCGGAACTCAGAGAGAAGCAACCAGACATTCCCATCCCCGGGGAGGACGTTTCGATAACCTTCTTGCCTCAGCCAGTCTCTCAAATAAGACAGGTCGAAGCACCATGATGCCCAAGACAGGAAAAAGGGTTTGTTGGAAATACCGAAGTATTGGAGTTTTTCAACGACCCCTTTTGCATCAAGGGTCCCATCGTGCGTAAAATAGGCTTTGACCTTCTTTTTCCACTCAATTTGCCGCCAAGTTGCCGGTGCAGAGAGGCGCGATGAGGAAGGCGCGATGCTTCCATCACCGTATTCAGTAAGACAATCGAGTACTCCTCTCCCTTCTAGGTCAGTGAGGCCGATTTGAAGCACCTCCCGGGAAAAAAGGTTGGTTTCTAGGTCGATACAAACCATCTCGGAAGCCCGGATGTCGGCCGTGCTGTCGGATTCCATTCTCATTATGAGGTCGGCCATTATTTCTGTCTCGGGGCGCCACTGCTCAGAAGCCGCTTTCTCGAACAAACTCCTCAGCTCATCAATTGCGGTTTTATCGTCGATGAGGAGGTCTGGCGTCCAAGCAAGGAAGTGTCTATGGCAGAATTTTGAGCCCTCCCACACAGTGCTGATGCAGCTTTGACGACTGCATATTCTCTGGCTAGCACCTGCTTCCAGATAATGAGTCCTCAAAAAACTGTTAAACATGAACCGCCCATTGCAGGATGGGCATCGGCATTTGAGCCCAATATGGTCTCTCGAACGATCTCTGTAAAAAACACCTGTCTCGAACGAGATTATCGCGTCATTTGAGCACACCTGCGTACCCTGCACTAATCCGTCAACGACCCTTCCCGGCCCCGGGCACTTAAGGCCGAGATGGTACAGGCCTTCAGGCTGAGCAGCTAAATCACGGGAATTAGCAATGGGGCATGAGGTAGTAATGTAATATCTTGGATGTCTTACCTTTCCTGAGGGTTTGGTCTTGTGGCAGATCGTCCAGCCACGCAGCTGCCGACTCCGCTACCCACTCCATGTTCGATCTGACATCCACAGAATTCTCCACTTTGTCACCCTTGGATTCACTCCCTTGATTCTCAACTTCGTCATCTTCGGATTCACTCTATTGATTCTCAAGTTCGTCATCCTCGGCTTCACTTCCACAATCTCCGTCACTGGCTTCTGAGAGCGAATTCGAGACCTGTTGTTCCCATTAGCTGATGCTCATTTGTTCCTTCGTTGTTACGTACCTTTAAAGGTTGGCATTCCCCCTCTTGAAAGTGTCCTTGTCGAACATGCGCCTTATAATGGGCTAAGGCGCCAACTCGTGACTGCTTCCTACCCTGCATTTGAGAAAGGCATCGATTGTACTGGCATACCCACCTGCACTTGGGAATATGCTCATCTGTATGCTGTTTGGCAGCGCGGATCGACGAGAACATTTTGTCACAATTGAATGACTCAGCGTGCTCACAGGGCCAACGAGCCCTCATATGGATGGCCAAGTAGTGATATTCTAGCGCAAAGCGGGTTGCTCTTGTTGTGCTGCAACCTAAGTCTGGGCATGTCCATCTGCCGTTCAGAAAGGACGGCTTTGGGAGCTTGTCCCATCCAGGTATTCTATTCCCGTCCACGTCTTCGAGCGGAGTATAGCGCGATATCCGGGGCCACGCCGCAATGAACGTCTCATCTGGCTCAAATTTGCCATGTGCCATCATAGCATGCGTTTTCGCAATGCCCCGGGAAGAGAACACCTTTAAGCATTTTTCCTCCTGCGCGCGAGGGCAAGGAAACTCTTTCTGAATTGGCATATGCTTATCCCCATGGGCACTCTTTGCGTGCCGTTTAGCATTGCATGGATCAGAAAATACCAAAGTACACTGCTCCTCTTCGGCCAAGGGACAGGGCCATTTGGCTCCATCGTGCTCCTTGGCATGCCGATATGCATTTTGGTTCGTGGTAAATACCCTGTCACAATCGACCTCACTTGCGTGTGGGCAAGGGAATCCTCCCGACCCTCTCAGAGAGGAATAGGGACCAGTATTGCCATGAAACCTCACTGCGTGCACTTCGGCACCATGTTTGGAACAGAATTTTTCAGTACACCCCTTCTCTTCTGCTAAGGGACATGGCCATTTGACTTCATCATGGACCTCCTTAGCATGTTTGTTTGCATTCCCAACCGAAGAAAACATCTTGTCACATCCAAGGTCCTCTGCGCGCGGGCATGGGAAGCGCTCTCTTTGGGCATGCAGTCTCTTACCATGCGCCTTTGCATCATCTTCCGCGTTAAATGTCTTATCGCATTGAAGCTCCTCTGCATGTGGGCATGGGAAGCGCTCTCCTCGGTCATGTACCCTCTTGGCATGCGCCTGTGCATCCGATTTCGAGCCGAACGTCTTGTCACAATGAAGGTCCTCTGCGCGCGGGCAGGGCCATCTGGCTTGATTATGCATCCTCGCATTATGCTTGTTTGCATTCCCTTGGGAGGTAAACATCTTGTCACATCCCAGATCCTCTGCGCGCGGGCATGGGAAGCGCTTTCCCTCCATTGATACGTTGATGCAAGTGGTTGGGGGAGATAAAGGTGTCGAGACTTCAGCAGAGCGAGCAGCAGAGCGAGCAGCAGAGCGAGCAGCAGAGCGAGCAGCAGGATGCTATGAGGTCGAAAATGGATAGATGGGCAAGAACGGATTGATTGTTTGTTGGCGGAAGTGATTGTGGAAGATGAAAGTGTCGAGACTTTAGCAGAGCGAGTAGCAGAGCGAGCAGCAGAGCGAGCAGCAGAGCGAGCAGCAGAGCGAGCAGCAGGATGATATGAGGTCGAAAATAGATGGATAAGCGAGAACGGATTGATTGTATGTTGGCGGAAGTGATTGTGGAAGATGAAAGTGTCGAGACTTTAGCAGAGCGAGCAGCAGAGCGAGTAGCAGGATGATATGAGGTCGAAAATGGATAGATGGGCAAGAACGGATTGATTGTTTGTTGGCGGAAGTGATTGTGGAAGATGAAAGTGTCGAGACTTTAGCAGAGCGAGCAGCAGGATGATGAGTCGATATAAAGATATCCAGCAATCTAGGAACTGATGGACGTGCTATGTCTCTAGAAAGGAAGCAGAGGGATAAAATGATAATGATGATATATCTACTGCTATGAAGCTCATTATATGCTTCACAGGGACAAAGAGAGGTCTGACGCATTGCCAGCAAGTAGAACAAGGCATTTGTGAAACCGACTTTTCTTTATAGGTTGTCTTAATACGGTGGTCTTAATATGGTTTCTTTATATGGTGGTCTTAATATGGTGGTCTATATATGGTTGTCTTTATAGGTTGTCTCAGACATAACACATGGGAATAAAACATGCAAACAGATCTTAAAGATTTCTTTCCTTCTATAAGTTCAAATCTAGAAAGTCTCCGCTATATGAAGTTATTGGATTGTGGTAAAGACTTCTTAGGCTATACAGGGTAGGTGGAGGGTTTATAACAATGCTGATTATAGAAACCAAAAGGGCGGAAATCTGGAAAAGGTTAGAGAACCAAGGGCAGTATACTGGCTTAACCTTTTTCTAATACGGCTAAACTTCAAATAAGCACTCCCATCAGATGTTTAAAGTCAGGAAGATGTCGATCTACTCAAGGTATGTTCGCTTTAAGGGTACTGCGTTCCGTGGCTTAACCCAGACTTTTTCTGATTACTCTTCTACATTAGGTATGTATGGGATAAATTTAGTAGAATCAGTTGAAATCCGCATGTTCTTCATTTCACTCTTCGTAAATCGGTAACGAATAATATCCCCTACAGAGTGCTCTCCAACCGGCGCTCCTTGCGCAATGCCTTGAGCTTGATCCGCGCCTCCTCAAGGGGCACCATGACGCCCTGTTTCTGGGTGGCAGGATCGTCACGGTTACGGATGTTGACAGTACGAGACTCCTTCTCCGACGCGCCCACAACGAATATAAAGTTGTATTGGCTGAGCTGGGCGGTGCGAATCTTCTTCTGCATGGTGTTACCGCTAATGTCAATGTCGACATTCAGCTTGTCACCCCGCAAGATCTGCTGCAGCTCCTCGACGTAGTCGTTCACGGCAGGCATCACCGGAACAATGAGGATCTGGCGAGGACTGATCCAGAAGGGCCACTTGCCACCGAAGTGCTCGATCAGGATACCCAGGAATCTCTCGAAACTGCCGATGATGGCACGGTGGATGACAACGGGACGGGCACGGCCGGGAGGAAGCCCGTCGCTCTTGGTCTCACCCTCCTTGGGCTGCTCCAAATTCGCCTGGCTCTGCTCGTTGGTCATGTACTCCATCTTGAAGTTGATGGGGGCCTGGTAATCGAGTTGAATAGTAGCGCACTGGAACTCACGCTGGAGAGCATCCGCAATGGTGATGTCGATCTTGGGTCCGTAGAAGGCACCGTCACCCTCGTTAATGGTCCAATCATTACCCATGAACTTATTCAAGGCCTTCTTGAGCTCGTCCTCGGCGTGGTCCCAGGTCTCCAACGCACCCATATACTTCTCGGGGCGGGTGGACAGCTTCAACTTGAAGGTGAAGCCAAACAGCCCATAGATGGACTGCAGGAAATCGAACAGACCCTCAACTTCAGACATAATCTGCCCAGCTTCACATATTATGTGCGAATCATCCTGAGCAAAACGACGTACTCTAGTCAAGCCGCTTAACGCCCCAGAAGCCTCATTTCGGTGCAGGACACCGAAGTCTGCAATACGCATAGGAAGCTCGCGGTAACTACGTTCACGGTGGCCGAACAGAACGAAGTGTCCAGGGCAGTTCATGGGCTTAAGAGCCCACTCGCGCTTCTCGACATCCAACTTGAACATATCATCCTTGTAGTGGGCCCAGTGTCCGGAAGTTTTCCAGATGCCAACATCATACATGTTGGGGGTCTGGACCTCCTGGTAGCCTCGCTTGCGGTATTCAGTACGCAGAAGAGACTGGAGCTGGTTGAGGATCTTGGTTCCGTTGGGGAGGAGGAATGGGCAGCCGGGTGAGACCTCATCGAAGAAGAATAGCTCTTGCTCCTTGCCGATTCTAAGGTGGTTCCGCTTCTCGGCTTCTTCCAAGAACTTCAAGTGCTCAGCCATTAGCTTCTTGTCTGGGAAGGCAACACCACGAATACGCTGCAAAGAGTCGTTGGCCTGGTCGCCAAGGAAGTAGGCCGATGAGTTCTGGGAAAAAAAGTTAATATGCTTCTTACTCGGGCAAGAGGTCGACCAGCCACGCTTACCTGCATGATCTTGAAGGTCTTTATTTTGCCGGTGTTCTGAATGTGAGGTCCTCGGCAGAGATCGACAAGGGTACCGCAACGGTAGACGGTGCTGCTCTCGCCAGTGACAAGCTTGTCAATATAGTGCAGTTTGTATTTGCTGTATGCGAACATCTTCTTGAGGTTCTCCTTGGAAACGTCCAATCGGTCGAAGCTTTGCTTCTCCTTGAAGATACGCGACGCCTTATTTTCAAGCGACTTCCAGTCGGCCTCCTTGACAACCCGTCTGTTTTCCCACATATATTAGCATTGACGCAATTGTGAATGGTAGGTGACAAAATAACATACCCGTCGGGCATCGCCATGTCATAGAAGAAGCCCTGAGGCGTGGGCGGTCCATGTGAAAGCAGAGATTTGTACTCGCATTCGCAAGCCTCACCCAGAGTGTGAGCGCTGGAGTGCCAGAATACCTCGCGGGCCTCGGGGTTGCTGAAAGGCACAAGAAGAACACTACAGTCCTTCTCTAGAGGCCGGTTCAAATCCCACAGTTCTCCATCGACCTTGGCAATAACAATATTGGCACTTAGATCCTTGGGTACATCACGCAGGAAAGATCCAGGAGTGGTCTCGAAGGCTTTCGCGGGGACCGAGGAGGGGGGTTGCCGTCACCAATGTCAAGGGTAACACTGATCTCTGGGTGGGGACGGGTCTTGGTCTCTTCGAGATATTGTTGCCAGAGTTCCTCAAAGAGCTTGTTTCGCTCAGTCATGACCTCCGGGAGGGTATCGGGGCTCGGGGCCTGCTTAGATTTCGCATTCGCATCTTTTGGAGGGGCAGCGGTGGCTTCAGAGGCATTGTTGGTCTGCGCTTCAGCGGCAGGCCGCACAGGCAAATCCTTGGGGGGTTCGGGTGACATTTTAAAACCCCTTGGAGTGATGACACAAGGGAATTGGACTTTGAGCAAAAACTTTGATCGTGGTATACTCCGCGTGGAGGGGAAAATGACTCTTGTGAGGGCGGTGAAGCAAAGGTCACGTGCTAGTACTGCCCTTAGCCGACACTTTACCGCTTCAAGTTTCCACCAAGCGAAAACTTCTCCAGCTTTGTACAAGTCAATCACCCTTATCACCACAAAATGTCTTTCCGTGGTCGTGGTAACGCTTCTGGTGCCAACCGGGGAGGTTTCGGTGGTGGCCGTGGTGGTGAGAATTTTCCAACGTGAATGCGATGCAAGAAGTTAAAAGGAGCTAACGAAATTTTTTTGTTGCAGGTCGCGGAGGCTTCCAGCAGTCATTCGGCCCCCCAGCCCAGGTTCTGGGTAATTATTCTTCTGAACCTGATTATAATTGATTCATGTCACTGATATGCCGATAGAATTGGGTTCCGTGATGCACTCTTGCGAGGGTGAGATGGTCTGCGAATCGGTCAACCCCAAGATTCCTTACTTCAACGCTCCTATCTACCTGGAGAACAAGGTACGCCAATACTCCACCAGACCAATACAATATACAAGTCCATGACCTAACTGGTTTTATAGACTCAAATCGGCAAGGTCGATGAAATTCTCGGTCCCATTAACCAAGTCTACTTCACCGTCAAGCCCCAAGACGGTATTGTCGCCACTTCCTTCAAGGCTGGTGACAAGGTCTACATTGGTGGAGATAAGCTGCTCCCTCTCGAGAAGTACGATTCGTTGTTCTACTCATTCTTCTACGCTCTGACTAACTCACCACTCAGGTTCCTCCCCAAGCCCAAGGCTCCCCCAGGAGCTGCTAAGCCCAAGCGCGCCGGTGGTGGTGCTCCCCGTGGCCGTGGTGGATTCGGTGCTCCCCGTGGTCGTGGTGGATTCGGTGCTCCCCGTGGTCGCGGTGGTTTCGGTGCTCCTCGTGGCGGTGCTCGTGGTGGTGGTTTCGGTGGTAGCGGTGGTTTCTCCCGCGGCGGTGGCGGTGGTGGCTTCTCTCGTGGTCGCGGCGCCCCTCGTGGTGGCGGTGGCTTCCGCGGTCGCGGCTACTGATCGATCCAATGTACTGTCTCTTTATGGCGTTTTGGGGGATCTGGGAGCTTTTTCAGGAATATCTTTCCGTCTTCTTGTGCATCCTGCGCAATTGCAACTTCACTGGCTGCAGGCTGTAGAATATCACCAGTCAAAAATGTTTCTGTTATTTTCATTGGATTTTCCAGAACTTGCAATTGCATATTAAACCATAGCAACTCGTTTAGAAATTTGGGGATAATCGCCTCGCCGAACTTTTGGTTGGGATGTGGCTAGTAGATGTGGCGCAGCTGCACCGCCTCTACCTGCAGTTTGAAATGACGTTGACCGCTCAGCGAATCTGTGCGTCTGTCAACACTCCCAAAGCAGGATTGACAGCATTTTTATTCTTCTTACCCAATCTTGCCCTTTAGACATCTTATTGAGACAGAGTATCCTTTTGCCATAAATTTTCATCGCATCTGATATCCATTTGAGCATGTCTCGTCGGACATCGACCATGGCATCGAGCAATTCCTCTAGCGGTGTCCCACCTTCAGGTGATGGAGGTGCGTTTGAACTCCCTCTGATCGTCCATTGGCAATATAACTGACATTTTCCAGGCCAGGAGAAGCAGAAAATGCTGCTTTCCTCGGATCATGGTCATTTCAGCATGGTGAAGTCAGTCTCGTGCTTTCCGCGCTCCTTTGCCCTCGGCTCGGCCTAACACTCAACAGGGCCATGCATCTTGCTGATCTGATTACTGAAATGAATGGTAAGAGATCGCTATCTTAGGGGTTTGTTCGAATTGACTCGCTAACTCTTTAATTTAGGTTTCTGTGGAGGCAAGCTCATATTTCCCAACCGTTTTTCCAATCCGCGACTAACATGTTGAGCAGTCATGTCGGTATTTTCCTCCATGCGCTACTGCCTCGGAGACCCAACTGAATACGGTGCCATCTGGGCTGCCCTCGCATTCATGCCTTTCGGTCTGTTCTTCGACTTTATGGATGGCAAAGTCGCAAGGTGGCGCAAGAAGTCGTCTCTCATGGGACAAGAACTCGACTCGCTAGCGGACTTGGTAAATGATCCCGGCAAGTAACCACAACCAAGTTGTTGCTAACACTCTTATTCCAACTAGATCTCCTTCGGTCTCGCTCCCGCCGCTGCTGCATTCGCTCTTGGTATCCGGACCTCGCTTGATCACGTCTTCCTCACATTCTTCGTTCTCTGCGGTCTGACCCGCCTTGCTCGGTTCAACGTGACTGTAGCCGTACTGCCCAAGGACCAGACTGGCAAATCCAAGTACTTTGAAGGCACACCCATTCCGACCACTCTGTCCATCGCTGCCCTTATGGCCTACTGGGTCTCTCAAAGCTGGACGCACGAGAACATCCCTCTTGGTCTTGTCGCAGAAGGTACGATCTTCGAATTCCACCCTGTGGTCCTGATGTTCGTTCTGCATGGGTGCATGATGGTCAGCAAGACGATACACATTCCTAAGCCATGAGTTCAACCCAGATTTGGCCACGCATTTACTGTTGGGAAAAGAATGCCTGAGTCTGTTGTCTCTCTCAACTTGGACAACTGAAAATAAATATGGAGAGGGCCTTCGTTTGTAGGCAAGCATAGCATGATCTCGATGCACTTAAATAAGGATGCTTAATTGAATTTCAATTGCATAGATTGACAAGTGTTACATCCCTAGGTGGAATGATACTCTCTCTTCGGAGGTGATAATAACAAGAATAGCCGCTTATACGGCCTTGCGACGTCTTTTTGGTAGTCTTTCTAGATGCCTTTGTTTATAGATATTTTGTCCCCCTTCTCAGTTAAGGCGGAAAAAGGCCTAATTTGTGAAATGAACTTTTCTATGTATAGCCTTTGACTATAACTAGTCATTGTGGTTTTTGCGTAGGAGTTGGATTGCGTGGATGTCAATAAGGTCAACATGCTGGAGATGTAGGTACAAGATAGCTATTCGGACAGGGAAACATCACTATATAAATTTCAATTCTCTTCTCTTTCTACAATTTCAACGAGCCATTCTCGGGTCCACGGTTGGGAGGACATCGACACACACGCAATATTGACCTATAACTATCGTCATAATGACCACTTGGCTAGACATCCCTCACAGCCTCCAGGGCTGTCAACGAGGACTTCAATATGACACCAAACAATCGTTGAAGACACGCAATCAAAGTGAAGGCAAGTTTACATAGAGAGTCCTATCACCAGCTCACTAGATTGTATCTAAGCCAGCCACTATAGCGGACCAAGCCTGTTACAAGTACTCCGTACAGCAATGACCATCACCAGACTCGAACCCCCAAGATGCCCGAAATGCCACGAAGATGGTATAAGACTGAAAGTCAACAGCAACAACCCGAATGGCAATGCAGACCGCCCATACTATAAATGCTACCCATGTGATCGGTTCATCTGCTTTGCTGATCAACGCGGGATAAGTCCGGCCAACCCGCTCTGCCAATGCGGCGAGTACACTCGTAGGCAGATATCGGGGACCTCGAAGGAGGTGCAACATGGGATTCATTATGTTTGTGCTCGTGGGCGGTGTTGCTTCTACGAGAAGGATGTGGATCGGGATGGTGCCCAGCGACGGGTTCCTGATAGGTCGGTGGGGATATGTGCAAGTTACTCTTATATCTGAGGTCTGAGACTTGAATTTGATGGTGTTATTGTGTTCATTCTTTTTTTCAGCCTGGCTGGTGTTGAGCTTGAGAAATAATATACTTCTTTTTTCTATTTCTTCTGTGTGCGTGTGTAAAATATTTAATATTGAGCGTGTTGAGGGTCACTGGAATTATAGGGCGCCTAGGATTGAAATCTAAAGTGAGTTGAGTATGTACTCATCTATCTTAGGACGATATGTCCAAAATGTTGAGACAAGTGTTATCTCCCTAAGCGGAATGATACTCTCTCCGTAATCATCGAGCCGGCCCTTCCGCATGATCTAGAATATGGCAGATAGAATAATCGAAGGTCACAGGCAAAATCAGAATTTTTAACATTTAAAATTAGAATGTTGAATCTTGGGCATGCAGGGTCTAGACCCAGACGCAAGTTTCACTTTGATATCCGAATTCGAAGACCCTTACCCACAGTTTGAACAAAATGAACTGGCGTTCGCTCTTGTCGAGACATTATACATAAGAAAGATTCAAGCAAATTAAATAAAGTGTTTTCTCTTTCGACTTTGATTATCGTGTACCCTAGCAAGAAGAAATATGTTTCTACATGATTCCTTTGGCAGGTGGAGAATCCAACTGGTCTAGTGGACGCCACTGGTCCCGGGATATATCTGTGTGGTCCAGCCGGTCTTTCCGTCTGGTCTAGGTATGTATGTATGTGTGCTTGTTGACGCATTACTGTGTACGGAGTATGGGGTACGCAGTACAGAACTGTATTTCCTGTGCATACTGTGTTTTTGGAGGCTCTGGGCTAGCAATACTCGGATGTCGGACCTGAGCAGATGATGAGTAATATGTCTCACTGTTGGAAGATCGCTCTTCATTGAGCATTTATTGTTTGCTCTGTGGACCTGTGGCCGTGAACCTTTGGAAGGGAATTGGGTCGATGACATTGATATGGCTATAATTATCAAACGTGGTGGTGTCCGTAGCGAGATGCTTACCTGCGCAGGCAGTTCTGTTGACCGTTGAAGGCCTTAGGCCTTTTATTCCCATATAGATCCTGAGGCTTATATTACATGGTCAGACAGTTGCAATAACAATAGAATTTGTACTCCGTAGCTATGAATAGGTTGCAAGGGACTAGATCTGCAAGGTACAGCCGATACATTATATACATTCGCGATCCAGCGCGCACTTGGCCGCATATTTACCAATAACTTTATCTCTCCATTCAGTGAAGGGCCCATGAATGTCTCAAAGTCAGTAATTCTCGCATGATAGTAACGTGGTTGGATTAAATAACCTCCGATATCTCCAGGGATGTTATGTATGAGAATACATAGTAGGCAGTGCTAATAATACCACATACATATGTCCACGGGTATTATGCAGTCAAATTACGAACAAAACAATTGAAGCACATAAGCCTCGAAGAAAAGGTTCAAGGTACAATATACTACATACAAAGTGCAAGATTGAAAACAACCCTAGTAGGTGCCATATATGGATTGTATAGAATTGCACATAGATCTTGAGCCACAGTACCCTATTTTATAGTGCGCAAATTGCGTTATGGACATACCGTGGCTGAAGCGGGCTTTGTTCAATGTTTTGTTACAGGAACGGTACGGTGTATTAATGTAGTCGAGACTGATCATAATTTGGTACGCCCCACCCGGGAGCGGCCGCTCATTACCCATGGGAATAATTTGGGATAATACGTGGAAAAGGGGCATGAACAGGGACAAAGAAGAGATACTTGGTGATGGATATAAGGTGCGATTACTCGAAGCATAAGGCTAAATGCTTTGCTAAATCCTTCAAGTTTCATGTTGTACGCAGTGGTTACATTTGTACGGAGTACACATGTATCGAATCTGAAAGTTTTTAGCGCTTGTACGGAGTATTGAAATTGGCTCCGCCTGGGTGGGAAATGAGCCCGTTCCATGATGAAATGGTATTTCTTTTTCTTTCATCGGTAAGACTCGGCTGCAATCTATCAAATGGAGATCTGAATTTCCCCTCGACCATCAGCCAAGGATGCCCTTGTCAGCCACAAAGGACCGTGGCGTACATATACTCCGTATTGACCGGTCATTTATACGGAGTACACAGCAGATCAATGGAAGCAGACCCTGAGACGGAACAAAGCATCATTAGCCGAGGGCTAACTGAGCTGTGCGTTGTACAATTTTTGAGGGGTAGAACACTAAGTCGTCATCAAGGGTCTTCTTCATGTGGCAAAGACGATCTTTCCTAAGTCCAATGTACAGAGTAATACCTAAATAATATTGGATATTGAATATTGGACGAGGTTCACACAATGAGAGTCTCATCATCACTGCTTGGCGCCCAAAGTAGACTAGCGGCATGCCCGAGGGCTCCATCCAGCTGCCGTGTCTGACCAAAATGGGAAAGTGATCCACCACGGTCCCTTGGTTTACCTGGGCGGGTGCCTGATTACTAAATGTATTTTGAGGTATCATTGGAGGGCTGTTTGTTTGTATACCTGGTACTGTACCATACAAGGAGCAAACAACATTGAAACCACCCGTGAAAGACCTGCGCTGAAAGTACCCGGTACTCGAGCGCACCAAGGCCCTCCCCCCATATTCCAAGTACCTCATACCTTCTCCGGGGAACACAGACCCCTTAACAGGCCCTTTCCCAAGGGATCCATTATCCGTCACTTCTCTTTCCTCCTAATCTTCCCATCTCCCCTTTGCACACATTCGTTACCGACAACCCGATTTCTTCGCTCGTTTACTCCCTTTATTTTGGGGGTTATCAACTGAACTGCTTCTTAGTTCACGGTCGCTCACTCTCTCCCGACTTGTAGGGGGTGAACCTCTGCTCGACCACGTACTCCGGGTACCCGTCAATACAACGCGAAATCACCTTCCTTTCACTCTTCTTTTCCCGATCGCAAAACCGAATTCCTCGTTAGATACGCCCTGAGTATCTGAATAATTCAATACCAACGTGGTGGACAGTTTGAGAACAAACGACGTCTACCTGCATACATTCAAACAGAAGTTCTTGAGGGTTACGCAGGCCGTCCCCAGTCCTTCGTCAATCACCCCTGCGACTGTGTCCAGCGGTGTTTGCTTTCCACGCTGATTTCCACCCAACTTCCCTACTCTCCCAATACATCATGCTTTTCAACACTCAAGGCGCCCTTGTGGTGTCCAGTGTGCTAATGGCAGCCACCTCGGCAGTTGCAGAAGACTTCAAGGTACTTCCTCGCGGCTCACCATTAGGGACCCTCCAGGGTTGCTACTCCAGCATTCCTGGATACGGAAAGTCAACGACCTGGACGTACCAGAGTTCCGGATGGTGCCTGGACCACTGTTCCAAAGACTACGCGGCATTTGCTTTGACAGGAGGCTCTGACTGTGTGTGCGGTAACACGCTACCACCATCCAGCGCCAAGGTTTCAAACGACAAATGCAGCAAGTCATGCAGTGGCTGGCCCGATGATATGTGTATGTCTATACCCCCCATCCATCGGTTTTAGAGAATTGACTGGCTAACGATAATCTCGAATAGGTGGTGGTTCCGGCTACTACTCTGTCTATACCACAAATCTGCAAGACAATGTTCCCACGTACTCCGACTCCGAGACCACCACAACCAAGAGCAGTAGCGACAGCAAAACTACGACGCAAACCGACGGCTCTGCCTCCACTTCTTCCACTACTGTGGGTGAAACGACAGAGACGGCGACATCTCAGGCCAGCGCGAGCAGCGTCCCTGAAGAAGATATCGCGGAAAAGTCCTCGAAGAGCAAGAACACTGCCGCAATTGCGGCCGGAGTCGTGGTCGGAGTGGTCGGATTCGCTTCTCTCTGCGGTGCTGGCTTCTTCTGGTGGCGATCCAAGAAGAACAAGGCCGGTGCTGCTGGTGGGGCCACTGGCGGCTATGGCCGTGACTCTGGCCCGCCCTCGATGTCCGATTCTCGGTTCGATGGCGACTACATGGCTCAGCGCCGCCAAAGCAATGGCAGCATCGATGATGACCATGACTTCTCTCGCCGGATCTTGCAGGTAAACATGCGCGACACCCGATAACAACCTGATGTTTCCAAGCTGACTTATGATGCAGGTGACGAACCCCGATCGCTAAACCAATACCCATTTTTCGAACCATTCATGCTCCCTCTCGTTCTTCTCTCCACTTGGTATTAGCGAAACCCCACCTCATTTCAGCCTCCATCGAACTACTTTATGAGAGCTTCCCTATCCTGTTGTCATTACTTTTCACCTGGGTTATTCAGCGGATTTATGATATCCAAACGGCATATGGCTTGACCTCGGTGTCCCTAGCTGGTGCCCTGCTGTCTCTCTCCGTCTCTTGAGTTGCTTTTTACCAACCTGCTCCGTGACAACATCTCAGACAGCGTTACCCTGCTTCTCAACCAGCACCTCTTAGGGTCTACGACCACCGGCCTTCTCTGCTGAAGACCCGATCATTGTATCTTGTTCAATTATAGTGAAGTCTCGGTGGATATAGAGACGTTGTGTTCGAAAAGGCGTTTCTTTCTATTTCGGCTCCCTCAATGCTCGATATTTTCCTTTTTATGAGCAAATCATTCCTTTTATGTGATTCTTTTTTTTACTTTTTTTTCCTTTGTGGTCTCTTTTCCTGTTTCCAGTCAGATCTTTGCCTATCGGTCCCATAATGAGCTTCTCGCGTTCTGCAATTCGCTCTGGTTTGGTCTGACCCAGGGATGGGTGATTGTAAATAGGCGAGATCAATCAGCTGTACTTAATGTGAGAATGGATATGCACATCAGTCTGTGGTCATGCCCCTGTCCTGTAAACCATTCCCCTGTAAACTAAACCAATCGTGGTTTTGTTGGTCAAAGCTAGATCTGCTAGTAGTTCATATGTATATCTTGGATATCTCTGGCGTCTCTGGGTGCTTTAATGTCCATTCAACCAGGAAACTTGCATTGATCGTCTTTTTCAACAGTCTCAAATAGTTCATTTCCTATAGGCCTGCTGATACTAGTTCATAAATCAATATGACCCAGTCAAGGTCAACTATATATTGATTGACATGACCACCTCGGGAGAGGTCTATTGCAGTCAACCTTGGAATAAGTCACGCGCATCACTTTTATACTTGTGTTTTCATATAAACAAAGAGGAAATGAATAACGCTGGAGGAGGCATTACAAGGTACAAGAAACGGAGGCAATAGCTCCAAACCAGTTGATTCAGTATGAGAGCTCAAATGCAAACCAGATTCCCCATAATCCATGTCTCACCACACATAAAATGGAGAAACGTTGCAAACAACTAGATGGAAAGCATAAAGGGACACAACGAATCGCAAAGGTCACCTGAAAAGAAAAAAAGAAAATGCGAAGAAAGCTAGAAGACAACACTATACCTGTACTTAGAGTACAGGAATAGTCAAGGGGAATGTCACCAACATAGTGTTATACCAGGTGACGATGTTGGGGTCGCTGTGATCGAATTCATCTCGAATCAACTCTTCGATGGTATGCTTGAACCTGAGAACGATGTGGTACCAAGCCAGACCAAAGTCAGCATGGGGGCTCAGACGAAGGTGTTGTCGAGAACTGTGTTCGAACTGGACGCGCTTCGGGTGGGGAGTACCATCGCTACGGGGGTTAAGCGGAGGTGGAAGTTCCAAGAATTGACGCTCAGAAAGACAATGCTCAATGTAGGAGGCGTTTTCTGGCTAAGCCGCTTGAAATGTCAGTGAACTGTGTACGAAAAGAACAAGGAATGGGATAGACTCACAGCACTTGGACCACGCTTGCGCACTAAGTTCTGAGCCGCCCCGTGGGATTTGATCAGACAATCAAGACCGGAGCAGAGATCTCGCACAGCCTTTGCAACGGCCCGAACAACCTCCATATCATGAACCAGCCCAGCATCGTCTGTTTCTCCGATTCCAGATCCCTCGTTGATCCAGAACTCCCGTACCCACTCGAGCAATGCGTGCAGCTCGAAACCGTGGCCCCGGATACCTTCGTAGATCTTCGAAAGAGAATTAGAAATGGGTACAATACACAACGGAATGACACTGAAATCCGAGGAATGAGTATACTCACAAGTTCACATTTGTCGCTGGCACGGAAGCATCGTTGACAACGCTTGGAAGTGACGGTATTGCGAATGCAGTTCACCTTGAAGGGCCTAACCCACTCAGTCTCGTCCCACTCACGCACCGCTACTCTGAAGCAGTGGATGCACCAGCCCGTCTCGATCGGAACAGGGTATTGGAGAAGTTCCGGGCGAACATCCAGACTCGTCGCAAGCGCCTCAGCCGTCTCGGGAGTAAGTATCGGAGGCATATTGTAGTAGAGAAGAAAAGGGTTCAATGGGAAAGTGATATCGAAGCACAATGCAAATGATGTGGGATGAAGAGAAAACAAGAGGAGAATGAAAGAATAAGAGACTGAGAAAGAATAAGAAGCACAATGCAAATGATGAGGGATGAAGAGGAAACAAGAGGTAGATGGAAGAATAAGAACCTCAGTCTCGACGAGGCAAACAAATACTGGAAGGCGTGTCAATCAAAAAACATATCAGATGAGTCTGAGATTGATATTCGTCTGATATTGTCTGGGAAGGAGCAAACAACGCTCCTTCCAAACCCATCCATGGCTGCAAAATGAGGCTATTCACAACCCTTGACCATCGCTCTTGGCCTAGAAATGATTGAGCAAAGCATCAAACAATCCAGTTCGGTCTCCGGCCTTGGACCAAACTAGTTTTGTACCTAGACGGGTGCAAACCGTATAGAGGACTTTTCCATGCATGTCTAGGGACTAGTTGATTCCAAGGTTGCCTGCTATTGGGGCTAGTCAGCTGGCGTCATGACTTATATGGCCTTTTTTCGAGGTCTGTATATACGTACCTCTTTCTTAATGCATGCGAATCGATATATAGTTGACCTTGACCTGGTTATATTGATTTAAGAACCAGTATCACTACTATAGGAAATGAACTATGTGAGACAGTTGGAAAAGATGACCAATGCAAGTTTCCTAATTGAATAGACATAAGAATGATTGGCCGTACATAGTCTTTTTGGTAGTCTTTTGGTAGTCTTTAGGTAGTCCTTTTTTTGGGACAAGGGGACAACCACCAACTACCCTTCGCTGATGCCTAGCATTCTATCCCCTCATTTTTCATGACATCAAAAAAGAGATACACTCAGACCTCAAAAAAGCCACATGGATCATGACTGCCAGCTGGCTAGTCCCAACAGTAGCCAACTAACTAGTCCATAACCGCACGGTCTCTCCTCCCCGACCCCCCGAACCGCCGACCGGGGGCCGGACATGACATACTACTCGCTGAGATCGACGGCCCAAGTAGATCAACGACAGACCCAACAGCGGCTAGGCGGACTTGAACCGGACTTCGACCGGATTTAACAGCCACATGGCTCCAAGGGGCACTAATCTAGTGACGATCTAGACCTGCGAGAGAGAAAAGAGATTGAAGGATGCTAGCCATGCTAGTTTAGTTGGTAGTCTGTTACAGCTGATAAATCAGGTGTGTTGCTGAAATAACCCTTGTCCGAAGGAAGGATGGAGTAATTCCTGCTGGGGCTGGAGATTACCCGCTAAGAGATATTAGGCGGAGACTAACCTTAATAGAGCAGGGAGATTGCTCGGGCAAGCTGTTTTGGATCTACTTGACTCGCATCAAAGTCTAAGAGTGCCACTACTCTTTGCCAAGTACTCTCCTACTCCCTGCTCCGTACTTACTCCGTACATGGTCCCGTATTTCTTCTCAAGACCCACGTCGTCAAATATAAAGAAAGTCTCGGAGATTCCGGCGTAAATTGCCGATATTCCCGGAAATAATATGGACTCGAACAGACGCCGATCAATAGACAATACAAATCTACTCCATACATGGTACATAGTATATTGCATCTCAAAAAGGTCTAGAGTGCAAGGATAACACACTAACCATTCCTATTTCCAGCCCCCCCCCCCCAGTCGGACAATTATTACACGATCATCCTCACGCTGCAGAACAACGAGCCAATGGAAATTGCAGCAGAACCAACAGCGTCAACAAGCATGACCAGGCAGATGCGCCCAGAACACCGGTTGTACATGATGTCATGCGCGTGGTGATCGTCTATCATTGAGTCGTTGGTTATGCCCCCCTACACTCGAATGCATCTAGGCAGGGTAATTCTACCGCGATTGGTTTAAAGCTGTTGTTGGTTGTTTGTTGCGGAATAGCAATTCCTCCCCGGATGGGGGATCCTGCCGTTGACTATGTGCAAAAAGACAGTGTAATGTTCCTTAATTAGCTTTGTAAGGTAGTACCTTTGAAGTCATGCTAGTTAGTAGCTAGTCTACTTTGTATGCTGGAAAGACTCAAAGGGCATAGCTGGATTGAGCTTAGTGTGATGCTCTCTAAACAGCAACCTACCTATGGAGTAACCAGGCTAAATAGTTAGTGACTTCAAACTGGGGAGCACTCTGTGACACCGACACCCGTTGAGTGATCTGCAAAGGCCCACAGTTTTGGCCATGTGGTCTCGATGGCACGGAGCAGAGCGAAGGAATTAGCTCCGTCGCACATCGGAAGATACCACTCTCCGTATGGGCAGAGCGTATATCTCCATATGTCTCCGAAAAAGAAACCCTGTACTATAAGGAAATGACAAAAAAGGGGTAATCGGAGGAATCGGCGAACCATGATCTGTGTATAATATACGTTGTAGATCTAGTTTGCCCCATACTGGGAGACTGCAATGTCTGGAGTAAATAAAGTAAATTAATGCTTGCCGAGGTCATTTACACCCCTTTGTTGTGCAGGTCGGCTACTTATTCTGGCTTAGAGTTATATTTTCTATCTAGTAATTACTGAGAAATAAAAGTATTTGGTCGAAATAATTTTTTAAAAAAACATCCCTCCTCCCTGCAAAACCCGAGCCCCAATACTGTCGGGTTTTGGGGGTTTTGGGACGAACCACCCACAACCTACTCCGTACATATGCACTACTAAAATACAAACCTTGGAATGTGCCTGGTAATATTCTGCGTTAATTCTTCGCGTGCTCTAAATATGTAGGATAGCTCTAGGGTACTGATTTGCGATAATTTAACCCTATGCGTCGAAATGTAGCCGATCGGGAGAATTTCGTCCAAGTAAAATGCACTACAACTGTTGTACATATGTAGACTAATAATATCGAGTATAATGGTTATAAATAAGTACAAAAGAGACTAAAGCCACCAAAACCATCCCGGATCAGCACGAGCACTTTCCTGATCCCAACGACTGGCAGCTTTGTCCGCGGACACGGACATGGTAACAGACGAAACCAACAAAGTCGCTTATTCCTGTTTGAGTTAACAATCAATGCTTTCGTACAGAGTACATTTACCTGAAAATGGCTAGTGGCACTCCCAGCTGCATGCATATCCTGCAGTAGTGCCTGCATGGTTACGTGCCCTAAATTAGCTCTCATTTGTTTCCCTTTTTAGTGTAATGTAGCCACATGGGCTACAGGGATAATAATCATTGATGCACGCCCAATGCAAGCCCGCTGGAAATCGAGAAATTAAAGAGGTGGATTTAAAATTAATGTCATTGTCCTTGTTGGACTCGGCCGTAGACTCGGGTACTGGGTACAAAACACTACAAAGTACTGTGCATATTCATAATTTCCCGAGAGATTCGACTTCCATGTATTTTGTAGGTATGCAGGGGGATCATGAATTATCATGAATCATGATAGTGGTGTCATGACAACATATTGAATATTAGAACGGAAAAAAAAGCAATGATCATTACTAGATATAGACATCGATGCTCAGGCACTCGAAATCTGCCTTGCAAAAGGTGGCCACATGGCATGGCCTGATCGACGTGGCTATCTGAAACGTGACCTAAATGGCCCAGGAGCTGCAGGGGGTTTTACGCTTTTACGCCATTGGCGTATCGTTGCAAAAGGCGTAAACGTGGGAAAAAGTATGGAGACTTTGCTTACATCGAAGATTTTCTTTGCTTACATCGAATATTTTCTTGTAAAAGGAGAAAATCTGCGATTATTCATTTATTAATCCAACTTCGGGAAACCGTTGCTCCACTTTTGTAGAGTTCAGACCTCGACTCTCTTGTTTTTTTTTTTTGTTTTTTAATATGTGAAAGGTTTACTACGATCGGAGCCCGTGTGGGGAAATACCCCAGGAACAGGAAGCATGGGTAGATTCCCTGATGACGATGTATATAGAATGTCATTATACCCTGGTAGATGATATAGCACTAGGTAGGTATGGTAGATCTCGGGACATGGATAAAGGGATTGTCGCGTGCAAATGACGATTGTGCAGGTGACGAGTCGTTTTCTCGTCATATATTCGTTTAATCTCTCGAATGATCCCTGCAAGGGTGCTGTATTCGGTATGGTTTGCTTTAGTCAATGCAGGCAGGTGAACCCGCTTGGAAGACAAATGCCTCAGCTACTAACGATCAGTGACGATGCCCAGGTGGACCGAAAAGACCTTGATAGATAGCGACGATCTGCTCGACAGGACTGGACCATGAGTGCAGATCGATCACACTTTTCGACGCTCTAGACTATGCCTGGCGAGAGATCAGGTAGGTTGTACATTAATATATACATGTTGTGGTACATCGAGCCACACAGACGCCCGAGGACCCGTTGCATCCGAGAGACAAGAATCGAGGCGTTGACGATTGTGGATCTACTGACAACGTGCCAGATATGAGGGCCCTGGGGAAATAAGAAGATGAGCTGATTTGACTAAAACAACCTTGGAAGAACGTAAACAAGATCAAGGTCATCTTGTCACCTGGCCCTCCCGGGGAGGAATAACGGGGATAATCGCATAACCGAGTGCCCAGGTGGGTCTGAACTAACCCGATTTGTATAATGTACACCAGCGCTTACAATCCATTTCTGGCATTTTAGGCCATTTTCCACGTGGGCATAATTAATTTCGACTTTTGATTTAGACCGTAACGGTTTGGGATTTGCAAAATCATTCGGGATGTGCCAAGTAAGGGGTAAACCTACTACACCGTCTAAGAGAAAAGCTATAGTCCTCGGGTATAACCGATTTCTCCTTTCTTTTCGGCTAATGCCAGCGAAAAAGCTCCCAGGTTGTAACTCCGTAGTTCAACCGAGACATCGGTAATAGCCGCAATTCCCGGCTATTGGCCCCGGAGCAGGGGTATGCTGACTACTTTGAGTATGTGTAGCGAACCCGACTTTTAGGGCCACTTTCTCGCTTTAGTAACAATTGCGCGATATTTATTAACCAAAGTTAGAGAGTTGTTCTAGGGAGTGCCC